CCCGCCGATTTGGCGAATCGACCAGTGGCATCTTGAGCGGCCTGTCCACCACCCTGCTTTCGTCGAGTCGTGTAGCGATGGAAGGCCTTGTGAGCCAGCAGGATCAGCGATCGATCTTCTCTGGGAGCATTGGCGCCGCCGCGCTGTTTGCCTTGGTAGGTCGTCACGTGTGGATTGAGGGCAATCACTGATGCTGCGAAGTGACCACCACCGAGCAAGAGCACGGTCCACATGCGTAGAGGTGGGTCGGCCGTGGGGTTGCGGCTGATGGTGGATGTCGAAGTGGTCTCGTCGGAAGACTCTTCGTCCTCAGAACTTGACCCAAAATCTTCGTCCTCGTCGCTGCTGCCGGCAGTCTGTGCTTTGATTGCTGTGCTCAGGCCAGAGATGAATCCTTCGCCGTCAAGTACAGTCATCATCAAGGATTTGGCGGCCTCCTGAACCTCCTTGGATTTGACGCGCTTGCCCTTCCAGGCAGACTGCTTTGAACCTTTGCGAGTGATGCGGCCGGCCTGCATAGAAGCGATGCAAGCAGCGTACCAGTCACCGACCGAAGATGTGGGCGATAGTTTGGGAGCTGCAGGCGTGCCTGGATCTGGGAAAGTGTTGCGGTGAAACCCAAGCTGGGTCTGAGGCAGCTTGTCTGCGTCAGCAGCGGCTTCTTTGGAGACGAACCACAGTAGAGGAGCGCGAAGCTGCATGGCGTCTAGCGTATCGGCAGCATGTACATCGTTCGTCTCGTCGGCGTCGTCGGTAGATCTTTGACTGCCAGCCTGCAACGATGTGCGGGCGAGGATTTTGGTGACCAGATCTGTCTTGACGGCAGAGGATTGCGACTGCGGGGTGTCTTCGTCCGATTCGAGCTCGCTGGCGCTCTCCACTTCTTCAGAGAGCTTTTCGAACGCCTGCTCCGAGACCAGAAGGGAGACATTCTGTACGTTGAGCTGCACATTGTATCGATGCCAGTCCGACCTGAAGTGGGCGCGCTGTGCTGTCACCGAAGCGAAGGGCGCGCAGTTGGGGCATAGAGAGCAAGGTGGTACACGATGCTGAGAAGGATTGCGAACCTGACTGGCGTCATCCGACTGCGAGTCTGGAGAAGTGGTGGATTGTGACTGCGGAATGGCAGGCGCAAGAAGCTCGGAGGCCTCGGCCTCCTCTATCCTGGAACGGAGCTTGAGCGAGTTGTGTAGCGTGGGCGGAAGATCGAAGGCATAGAGAGGCCGTGTCAGGGCATGATGCTTCGCGTTTCGTGCGCTTGAGCCTGCTTGAGCCAAGCTTTCCTCGGATTGGGACATGCTGCTCCAGTACCGATTTGCTGCCAAGAGTGTGTCAGATGGCAATGATGCTTGAAATCTGGGTTGTAAGGACTGAAGACTGAGATGCCAGGTGGTCAATCGTTTGGTGAGCCCGCGCAGACGTGTGGGGGCCTGTTGAATCAGTTTGATGGTATGCGTTAGCGGGCTGCTTTCGAAGACTTGGAGGAATGACGATGGCTGGTGTTGTTGAGAGCAGAGATGACGAAGGGCCTGGCTGAGTCGAGATGGACGCACGACATGTCACTTTGCCCACTTCTTCCAAAAAGGTGACGTTGAGCTGCAGTCACTGCGCAAATCGCTGATCCACTTCAAAGGAGTCACCCCGATCTGACAACACATTCCGATATTGAGCTCGAGACTGGGCCATGTGAGCGAGCCAACCCCGCCAAATCACATCACGCTTCGTCGGCTCGCTATTTCTTCCTCGACAGATCCTACCACATCCCAACATCGCCGACTGCTTGCAACTCTGACTGCAGCACAGTGTGCAGCGCGGAAGCTTTATAGCATTGTCAAGGTTTCAGGGTAGTAGCGAAAAGGCCCCACATCGGGCAAGATGACTGTCACCAACGAACAGGTAAGCATCGCCAATCAGCCTGAGGGTCGACACATACCCAGACAAGACGCACACACTGACGTTGAGCTTTCGTGCTTGTTCTGCATATCTTCTCCCTGTCCCGCGACTACAATCTTCTCACCGACAGTTCCTCTCGGAGCTCACCAAGCTCTTCGAATCCAGCACGAGCAAGCACTCAGTCTACGTAACTTCGAAGAAGGCGCCGGCTTCAGCAGCCAAGGACGGCGACGTAGACATGACACCTTCGTCCTCATCGAGCGTATCAGATGCGATCCTGTTCCGTGCCACCAACGGCGCATCGAGCAGCGACAAGGTCAAGATCAGCACATTGGTCCCAGCTTCCCAGCTCGCATCATTTCAGAGCGCATATCTACCGTTGCTAAGGACGCACCTGTCCAACGGACTCAAGAAGCGTGACAAAGCCAAAGAGAGGAAGATGGACAAGGCCAAGGAGCAGAGCCGAAAGAAGCTCGTGCAGCAGGTGGACGGCAAAGACAAGATCGTCACCAACACGGTGGGTAGCAAGCGGGGTGCAGGTCGTCGCAAACGACAGCGCGCACTCAAGAAAGGGCTTGCGTTGCGAAAGGAAAAGGCCAAAGAGGCCAAGAGAAAGGTCTCAGCGGCCAAAGCATCCTAATCAACCAGAGTCTTGGTCACTGCTTCGGGGCTAACTTTACCTAGAACAGGGCAAGACCCACTTCCCTCTCTCCTCGACATTTGTACACTATCACTCCTCATCGACGCAAATCAAGCAGAGGCGTGGCTCTAGCACCCTTTGTTGAATTTGAATGCAACCTCCGCTTGATGGCCGCTTAATGACTCTCCGACGATAGCTGTCCTTCATGATCGCAAGCTCAACGGTATCGTTTGATACGTCGAGGCGTTGATGAACCAAAAAAAATCCGGCTCGTTGTGAGATTTCTGACTGATGCGAGCTTGTTTTAAATTGCTCGGCTTGAGTGACGAAATGGGGTAAGGGCGACTCTGGCACTCACAACTGTCACGGTTGCATGGTCAGATCAACAGATTCACCGTGTTGAACCCTTGCGTAGCCATTTCTCATCGTCTCTAACCACTTGCAACAGCCCATCGATACCTTGCCCGCACCGACATCAGCGCCAAACGTCGCTCGGACCTTTCTCCGGCTCTCGCCACCATCATCACATCAGCTTGTCTCATTGCAGAAGCACCTGCGTCTGCAATCTGCCAAGAGACACCCGGATCCATGACAGCTTGATGGCTAGGACTCTCTCAGACTGGCAGCCATGAGCTCGTCGCATAGGCCCTTCACTACAACTACAGCCGCGATGATGGACGACGACGACGACGAGTGGCAGTCCATGCCTGTCGAATCTGCCAAGACGATCAACGCACCGATCCCCGTGAAATCGCTCTACAACCCGCACGATCTGCCATACGGCGACGAGGACGAAGACGACTCGGATCCAGACGACCCTCGCAGATTTCGCTCGCTTCCATCCAGGACATCTGCGCGCAACGCACCGAATCGCTCGACAAGCGGAACGCATCACAAGCGCGTGGGCGCAAAGTCTCAGTATCTCGCCGACAGCGTAGCCTCGACCTCCACCTCGACGTCCTCTCGCAATGCTGCCAGCAACGCCACCGGAAAACAGCTCGACATTGACGATGCAAGAGGCTACAATTGGAGATCGAAGCCTGCCGGTCAGGCGGCCCAAGACAGCGACGACGAGGGCGATGGCGAGAAGGGCTACTCACAGCTCCGACTCGATGAAGACGAGGAGGCCGACGAGCTCCACGCAGCCACCGAATACCTCTTTCAGGACGGCAGTCGCCACGATCCTTACGGCGACAACACCACTGCTACTCCACTCAACCAGATGAACACGACAAAGTCGCTTCTCACCGATGGTCAAAAGATTGCCTACGTCGGTCTTTGCAGTCTCATAGCCACCGAAATGCTTCGTCAGATCCGCAGAGTGCCAGGCAAGACCCTCGAGCCAGCAAAGCAGAGCATGGAAGGCTGGAGAGTCAAGATCATGGCTCGCCTCTACCAGCACATGGCCATCGAGGGCTCAGAGCAACGAATGATCGAATCTCTGGCCGAGCATGGTGTGCTGCCTACCGATCTTGCTCCATCGCTCATCACCACAAGGACCATCGAGAATCCCGACTTCGATCCAGAAGCTCTCAAGGAAAGGCAAGAGGAAGAGGAAGAGCAACAGCGCCAGCAGGACCAAGCAAGGCAAAATGCAGAGCAATCGGCCTCGCGTGCTAGAAGCCCACCTGCAACCGAGCCAGAGGCAGAGGCGCCGAATGCTGCATTGCCGCGAACCACCGATTTAGAAAACGCTCGTCCAAACGCGGGTCCTAACGAAGATCAAGAGGAAGAAGACGACGAGGAGGATGACGGCGACCTGGGAGGAGGCTTCGGAAAGTCATCCAAAGCTTGGACCCGGGACGAGCCGAGATCATCGTCAGACAATCGTAGACGACAATCAATGGACGATGACGAAGGCTTCGATATTGGCATGCAGCTGGAAGAATCAGAACAAGCCGAGCGTTCGGCAGCTTCGCAACAAGAGAAGACCTCATCAGGGCCTTCGTCGATTTCCTCCGCTCAGACTGTCGTGGCTGATCCCAACACCGCTGCGCAGGTAGCGAATGCGTTAGACGCTGTCAACGGGACATCTACTATTTCAGAAACGGAAGCAGGTCCCGGCTCAGTGACCACTACGCTCGGGCTTACAAAGGAGCCACAAGCACTCGAGCCACCGCCAAGCGCACTCGACGGTGTGACAACAAGCATCAGCAGCGCGGATGCCACCATCACCCTTGATTTGCGCTGGACGGTGCTCTGCGATCTCTTCTTGGTCTTGACTGCGGATAGCGTCTACGACTCGCGATCGCGTGTGCTGCTCGAGCGCATGGCTGCCTATCTCGGGCTCACCTGGATGGACGTCACTCAGTTCGAGAAGCGTATCACAGACGCCCTCGAGATTCAAGAAGGCGTGGAGAGGCTCAGCGACGATTCGGCCATCAAGACACGCATGCTGATGGCTCGGAAGAAGCGCATGGTGCTCATGGGTCTCGCCACGGTGGGAGGCGGCTTGGTCATCGGACTGTCGGCCGGTCTGCTGGCTCCCGTCATTGGGGCAGGCATGGGTGCGGCGCTCGGCGCGGTCGGCATCGGTGGTACCACCAGCTTCTTAGGCGGTGTCGGAGGTGCGGCCCTCATCACGTCGACCGGTACTGTGGGCGGAATGAGCCTGGCGGGACGCGGCATGAGCCGTCGAACACGCAGCGTCAAGACGTTCGAGTTCAAGCCAATCCACAACAACAAGCGCGTCAATGCCATTGTGACGGTGCCCGGCTTCATGAGTGGTCCACTCGATGACGTAAGGCTGCCCTTCAGCGTCATTGACAGCGTCATGGGTGACGCCTTCAGTGTCCTTTGGGAGCCGGACATGATGCAGGAAATGGGCAATGCGCTCGGCCTTCTCTGGAACGAGACGATCGTTCAAGGTGTCCAGCAGGCGTTGGCGCTAACCGTGGCCGGTGCCGGTGCCATGCTGAGCGCTCTAGCATGGCCTCTATGGCTCACCAAACTCGGATACCTCATCGATAATCCGTGGTCCAATGCGCTCGACCGTGCCGCAGCCGCTGGACTCATCCTCGCGGACACCCTTTCGAAACGCCAGCTCGGTGTGCGTCCAATTACGCTTGTCGGATACAGCTTGGGTGCCAGAGTCATCTTTTACGCGTTGGTGGAGCTGGCTAGGATTAAGGCTTACGGCATCGTGCAGAACGTCTACATCATGGGAGCGCCCGTGACGGCCAAGGACGAGACGTGGAAAGAGGCGAGGAGCGTCGTCTCAGGTCGCTTTGTCAGCGCTTTCAACCGCAATGACTGGATTCTTGGCTACCTGCACCGCGCAGCTTCGGGAGGACTTCGAAGCATCGCCGGTCTACACCCTGTCGAAAGGGTGCAAGACATCGAAAACGTCGATGTCACGCATGTGGTGCCCGGTCACCTTGGCTATCGTCCGCTTATGCCGCTCGTGCTGGGCGAGCTCGGCTTCCGAACGACGGCCGACTACTTTGACGAGCCAGAAGATCTCAACGCCATTCCGGAGAGGCAGATTGTGCGCGAGGAAGAGCAAAAGGACTTGGAGCTCAAGTCGGTCTCAACAAAGTCGGGTGGTTTTGGCAAGATCTTCCGACGCAAAGGTGCATCGAAGAGCAGTCAAGAAGCGACACCTGCACGGTCCGCCACGCCTTCTGGTGCAGTATCACAGACCACTGCAGCATCAGGACGTGCCGAGTACGACGAGTACGAGGACGACGACTTGCCGCCAAGGGAGGAGCACAAGCCGGTCGAGCCCGCGGCAGCAGCGCAAGTGGAAGAGGCCAAGCAGGTGCAGGATGAGATCGTCAAGCAGTCTGTCTCTCGCGTCGAGGCGGTGCGGGCTTCGCACGAGGGCAGTGGTCGGGCTGCGACGCCAGAAGCGGATCGTCCGAGCTCGACGAGTGCCCACTTTGACACGGAGGCGATCTTGCGCGAGCTGCGTGACTCTGGGATCGAGGTGAAAGAGCTGCAAAGTTCGCTGCCACCTCTTCCTCTCTCGGCGCGCACCGAGCAGACGGCAGCACCGGTCGCCCCCGTTCAAGTCAGGGCAGAGGGATCGGATCAAGAAGCCTCCAGCAGAGCTGCTGCCCTCGAGACTCTGCCTATCAAGGCTTTGTCCGAGTCGAGCAAGCCTGTGCCACCGCTACCCTGGGCGCAGTCGTCGGACACCCCAGCAGCTGTGCCCGACAAAGGGATCTCACTCACATTTGCTTCTTACGACGACGAGGACATTCAACCCGCTGAAGGTTTAGTGGAAGGACCGGATCCGACTCAGTATGGGCTGTCGTCCTCCGCAGCCAAAGAGCTGGCATCTCGCTTCGCAGCCGGTGACTTGAGCGAAGGATCAAAGCTATCACCATCGGGCGAGCTCGAATCACGACGTCCTGCGATATCCGATCCATGGGCGGAGAATCCGTGGTAGATTCGCGGGCGCTCTTGCTCGAGACTACTGTACGTGCTCAAACATTGGACACTCTTTCTGTTACACTACGCTCACCGCAATCCCAGTCGCATGACGCGATTACTGCATACATACGAAGGATGTGACTATGCCGTGTGTGCTGCGGCATGCCATGCCGGGCGAACTCTTGAATGTCTGTCCAGCCAACCACGTGTGAACGATGCGTGTCGGCAGCCTTCGGTTCGACGTCGGCGTATGGCTTGGCAACTTCGATGATTACGGATCAGAAGGTGTTCGGATGAACTGACAGCAAGACGGTAAGGTCGGCAAAATCAGAAATTTGAGTCCGCGGCCTGACGTTGCTGCAAGCACGGTGACGTTGTCATCATTTCAAGCCAAGAAGCGTGGGATCGACGAAAGGGTTCATCGGAAAATTGTTGTGTGTTTGTGTGTGGGACTTCGGTTGGCCTGGTCAGCTGCGCTAGAAGATCGGTGAGACGAACCCTGAAAGCTGAAGCTGAAATCCCTGGCTTGGTTATCTCAATCGGCGACATGGAAGTGGAAAGCTTATCACGCCCATTTGTATGGTATGTGGTCGACTCGCCCAGCCCGTAGATTCGGTCGAGCGTCCCCGCGGGTGTCAGGCCGGTGATCTTCGTTGGTCTTCGGCAATCTGGCATGATTGGGCGTTGTAAGGTGTTGGGTGCTGATGATCTTCTCAAGATGGTCGGTGCACCGGACCGGCGACGAACTAGCCAGACGCCAATTTCGACGCGCAAAGTGTTGGTTCAAGTTTGATCTGGCATTTGACTGACTGTCCCTGCGGATCGACGCGATGAAGCGTTTCAAAGTCGAAATGGTTCATCACTTCGGATTTCAAAGTTGGCCGTAAGGAAATTTGAAATCAATCAAGCAAACAATCAGACGCAATGACGGTCCGGTACAGCTGAATCAAGCGGATTGGATTTCTTCGCAAAAGCTGAATGATGGCCCAACCGCAAACAAAGGCTGCTCCCGGAATGAAGGCTCAATCGACAGTCACACTTTGGTAGAAGGCGAACATAATGTTAGCGAACAATGAAGCCAATTGACGCCAAGCTGTGCATCAGGGGCGTCGGTAGCATCGTTGACAAGTGTGGATCGGCAACGTGAGCTTGGACAGAGCGAGACACAAAGTTGGCCATACGAATCGATCTGCTTGGCTAGGCTCCACCTGAACATGTCCTGACGCAGACTTCTGCTGAAAAAGCGCACGCGCCCTCTCTCACTCACTCTTTCTCATGCAATCACATTTTGTGCAGACGGATCGATTGCCAACACCTCTGGCTAAGCTGACCCTTCCTCTCTCTGACTTAGTGCCCGCTCAGTCCTCCTGTTGATCTCTCTGGCGTTGCTGCTGCATCCGTGCTTCTTATTCCATCGAGCTGTCTGTCTTCCTTTTCTTCTCACCATCATCGTATCCTTCCCCCCTTCCCCATTCCGAAAACAACTTAGCAAACATGTCCTTCACCAAGTCTGCTAGCGACGAGAAGGCCATTGCCGCCATTCGTAAGTTCACTCTATGGTTGTCTTCCTCGTTCTATCGTCAAGTGATGATGGCGAGCAGAGACATCGCTCCTATAGTAGAAGCGAAGCACACGGACTCTGACTGTCATTTGCGCCTTCTGCTCCGCTTTTGCTCCATCTCTGCAGGTGTCTTGGCCGCCGATGTGGTCGCCAAGTCCAACTCGGGTCACCCTGGTGCTCCCATGGGCATGGCCCCTATGGCCCACACCCTGTTCTCTCGGTGAGTTTCCGCTTGAGTTCTACTTGCTTTTTCCGATCTAGGAAGACAGACTCGCGACGCGAGGCCAGCGTAAAAGCGACGACTCGGCAGCTTGCTCTGATGGATCATCTCTCGATCAGCGAGCAGAAAGGGGTGAAGAGCGATTTGGATATCCTTGAGACCGCGTACTGACGTGCTGGCTCTCTCTTCCGCTTCTCTCCCGCTCAGATTCATGAACATCAACCCCGCTCACTCAAAGTGGATCAACCGTGACCGATTCGTTCTCTCCAACGGTATGTACCTTGTTTTCTAGCAAAAGGAGATAGCGAAAGCGCCCGAGAATGGCTCTTTTCAAGAGCGAGCGAGCTGACATTCGACCTTTTCTCCTCCTCTCTCCCGAACAGGCCACGCTTGTGCTCTCATCTACATCCTCAACCACCTGCTCGGTTACAAGGACCTGCCCATGGAGCAGCTCAAGCAGTTCCGTCAGCTCGACTCCAAGACCCCTGGTCACCCCGAGCACGGCCACACCGAGGGTATCGAGGTCACCACTGGTCCTCTTGGTCAGGGTTTCGCCAACGCCGTTGGTCTCGCCATCGCCCAGGCCAACTTGGCTGCCACCTTCAACAAGGACGGCTTCCCGCTCTTCACCAACCACACCTACATGTTCACCGGTGACGGTTGCTTGCAGGAGGGTATCTCGTCCGAGGCCGCCTCGCTCGCTGGTCACCTCAAGCTCGGCAACCTCATCGCCCTCTACGATGACAACCACATCTCCATCGACGGTGACACCGCCTGCTCCTTCACCGAGGATGTCGAGCAGCGCTTCCTCTCCTACGGCTGGCACGTCTCGCACGTCCTTGACGGTGACAAGGACCTCGAGGGCCTCTACAAGGCCATCTCGGAGGCCAGGAAGGTCACTGACCAGCCCTCGCTCATCCGTGTCAAGACCACCATCGGTTTCGGCTCCAAGCAGCAGGGTCTCGCCGCTACCCACGGTGCCCCCCTCAAGGCCGACGACATTGAGAGCGTCAAGTCCAAATTCGGCATGGACCCCAAGCAGAGCTTCGCCGTCCCCGACGATGTCTACGCCGCCTACAAGGACATCGCTGACCGTGGTGCCAAGGCCGACAAGGAGTGGACCGAGCTCTTCAAGTCGTACGGCGACAAGTTCCCCGAGGAGCACGCCGAGATCGCCCGCCGTATCGCTGGCAAGCTCCCCGATGGATGGGAGAAGGCCCTGCCCACCTACAAGCCCAGCGACGACGCCGTTGCCTCGCGAAAGCTTTCCGAGACCGTCCTCGGCAAGGTCGCCAACGCCGTTCCCGAGCTCCTTGGTGGTTCCGCCGATTTGACCGGCTCCAACCTGACTCGATGGGGCAACGCCGTCGACTTCCAGCACCCAGCCACCCAGCTCGGTGACTACTCGGGCAAGTACATCCGATACGGTGTCCGTGAGCACGCCATGGGTGCCATCATGAACGGTCTCGCCGCCTACGGCATGCACATCCCCACCGCCGGTACTTTCCTCAACTTCGTCTCGTACGCCATCGGTGCCGTCCGTCTCTCGGCGCTCTCGCAGCACCGCGTCATCTGGGTCGCCACCCACGACTCGATCGGTCTTGGTGAGGACGGCCCCACCCACCAGCCTATCGAGACTGCCATCGCGCTCCGTGCTATCCCCAACCTCATGTTCTGGCGCCCTGCTGACGGTAACGAGGTCTCCGGTGCTTACCTTGTTGCCATCGAGAGCAAGTCGACCCCTTCCGTCCTTGCCCTTACCCGACAGAACCTGCCCCAGCTCGAAGGCAGCTCCATCGAGAAGGCCTCCAAGGGTGGTTACGTTGTCGTCGAGAACGAGTCGGCCGACATCACCCTCGTCGCCTCCGGTTCCGAGGTCGCTCTCTGCAACGAAGCCGTTGCTGAGCTCAGCAAGAAGGGCATCAAGGCTCGTGTTGTCTCGATCCCATGCTTCTCGGTCTTCGACGCTCAGCCCATCGACTACCGTCTCTCGGTGCTCCCATCGGGCAAGCCCATCCTGTCCGTCGAGTGCTACTCGACGCTCGGCTGGTCCAAGTACTCGCACGCCCAGCACGGTATTAACACCTTCGGTGCTTCCGCCCCCGCCAAGGAACTTTTCAAGAAGTACAAGATGACCGGTGCCGACGTTGCCGCCAAGGCTGAGCACGTCGCCAAGGTCTTCGAGGGCCAGAGCCTCGTCAGCCCCATCGAGCTCGAGGCTAAGCTCATGAAGTACTAAATGCATCGCTCGGCTAACGCTGTGCTTGTAGATGTGTTCCTTGTCACTTGTTGACGCTGACTTATTGTGATATCGTTGTAATGAATCTGTTACGAGAACGTGATGCTGCCTGTCTCGAATGTTGAGAATGTGTTCTGCCGTCGAATTATTCGTGCTGTTCGCGCGAGGAGATGGTGTGAGACTTCATAACTGTTTGATGCCTTCGCTGAGTTCTGCAGCTCATCCGCGTGCGTCAGGCCATCACGCTGCCTGTCACGAATGCTGCTAGTGCGAAAGCCGTGCAAGCGTGTCAACACGTGTCAGTGCTACGCATTCGCTTGTAAACTGCTGTATGAGGGGCGAAGCAGCCCGCAGAGGTCGACAGAGGCTGCGAGTCTTCTTAGGAGGACATATGCGGCCTGACTTTGCTCGGAAGGCCAGAGGTCACCGTCAACGCTGTACGAAACTCGATGCTACCTCTTTCGGAATGTGATGTCCAGATCGTGTCCCTGTGTCCTGCAACATGAACATCCAGTCTTTTGGCATGTCTGCTGACCGGAGCGACCGTAAGCCTCGATGGATGCCTCCCCTGACTTCCCGCGTGAGACGCAGCATCCACGGCAGCAGACAGGAAGACTCGTACTGATGTGCATCGAGGCAGCTCGAGTGTGTCGACATGCATCTTAGTCTGCTCGGCTTCACCGATGCAACTGCAGTCAGAGTCCAGAAACACTTCGCACACGGAGACACTGGCGTGATGGTCGCCGTAGCGAAGCCTTGCCCATACGACACATCAGCACGAGAGATCTGACAAAGTCAGGCCCTATGAGTGACACTTGTTGGAGTTCCTTCACTGGCGGCCAAGCACGCTCCTCGCCCGTGCCCTGACTTGGCCAAGCGCAAACAACGACTACTCCAACAGGTTGGAACGACTGCAGCTTGCATGGTTTTATGGCAGGCAGAGCATCAATTGATGCCCTGCTGCCTTGCACGTGACGGATCACATTGAGTGTTGGTCACGATCCTGCCTGCTTTGCTCGACCTCGGATTCTGATTTGCATTGCACCGGCATCGACTTCTCTTGCCGAATTGACCTTCCGCAACAGCCCACAATCCCGCACAGCCAGCCTTCCGCAGCCCTTTGAGCCGTGTCTTCACCACCCCCTCGCAACAACCAGCTGTCGATATAAAGAGCTAACTCCCTTTCGCACCTCTTCCGCTTCACTGCCAACACGTCATCCTCCTCCGCACTCGTGCCACCATGCGCACCCCTTCCAACACCAACCCCACAGGACGACCTCTGCTGCAGCGCCCCTCGGACTGGCTGCTGGCAGTACAGGAGCAATGCACTCATCTGAGTGGCTCTGTGCTCAATGTAGCTGCCTGCGGTGCTCGTGTCTTTGATGATGCTTGTCATCGCCCCGGAATCGTCGTGCTATGAGCTCCGCCTTCTTCAATCAGCTCCTCCAGATCCCAGATCCCTGGGCTGCAGCAATTCGCCCGGGGACATGCTCATTGAGTGCCCTTAGTGTTGCGAGGTGCCGCTCAGGGACCTGGTGTCTCACGCCCCGCGATCTCCACTCTTATCATACACGGCTGAACGACGTCGTCATGATCCGCCAACGACGTCCCTGGCAGGCTCCTAGAGTAGTGACTCGCCGCCGTCAAGGTCTCGAACGACGTCGCCGGTGTGCGAAACGTCCGTTGCGGCACACACCTCCTGTTGTACTAATGCGGTTTCGCCTCCCTCGGCAGTGAGTCCGAGACCTTCTGTGAAGAACAGCATCGTTGCCCTTGATATGAATGGGTGTCACCGAGACCCTTCGAGGCAGACGGCCTGTGTCACCCGCCCCTTCGCACTCAGACACAAGCAGCTGACCACGAATCACTATCACTGAACCCGTCGCAGTAGTTAAAGATGGAGGTCCAAAATCAGCAAAGCGAGTTACCCAGATATCGAAGTCAGGACGATCTCAGCACTTTTGACGCTTTGGCGACTTGACTCGACCCAGAAGGCAAGGTCAGAGGGCTTCAATTGAATGACTCTAAACACACCGAGAAAATGAGATGCTCAAAGTCGTAATTTCTGGCCACTTCCAACGAAAGCTTAGCATCTCGCGAAGAAGCCTTGCACAAAACAAAGTCGGAACCACAATTTAGACATCGAAAATCGGTCAGAAAGAGATGAGACAGGCAATGTCAACTAAGTAAGGTACATTTTAACTCATTCAACGTCACAGCGCCAAGCATTAAAAAAGAAGCCATATCTGCGGTCGGTTTCTACAAAGAAAAATGCGCAAATACTAAAACAACAACTTTGTCCACAAAAATAGCAAAACGACACCTGATGTTGCCGTTCTTCGCAGACTTCCACGAGACGATGCGAGAAATTGACTCGAAAAGTCACCAAATCTGTTTCCGAATGGTGGGTGACTGACAACTGCAATGACAATCAAACGAGCGGGTGAGGATATCCAACCATCCACGCGTTGTTGACATTGCGGCAATAAGGCTTCGACATGATCCACCGCCTCGTCCGGATCGTGACGGCACTGTCTCAGACAGGCTGCCGCGATCGAAGAGTGCTCAGCTCATCTCACATTCGAAACGATGGGACACGTCAGAGATCCTCTATTGAGGATCACGAAGAGGGTAGCCGCGCTCGGAGCTTACTCGGCTTGCCAAGATCTAGCTACTGAGATCGAGTCGGTGTGGACTGGGCGAAGTGGGCGAGTGCCCACAGAGTGACGCCCTTGGATGATAGCTCCAGCTGATGATCGAGGGAGAAAGGATGGAGTGAGCAAGACCGTGTCAGCGTATGGTTGTCTCCTTGTAGCAGCGCCTGCCGATGGCCTACCTCGATCGCTTGTAGCGCGTCCGTGCGCCCGACACATGTATCTTGCGGCTGCAGAACGAAAGATCCGACCGAAACCCCTTTGGGTTGCCTCTCTCTGGCCGGAGAGTGGTTCGGAGCCTGCTTGTCGCGACGGATCGAGACACAGATCGACCCCGACAGTCTGCTCGCGAAAGATCCGTGCCAATCAAGGAAGTCAGTCGTCGATGTACGTCGATCAGGTCGCGCCTTGTATGAGACACTCACGACACTATGCCGAAGTGGCTGCTGGGGCCCGGGAACATGGAAGAGTCAATCTGTGCAATTCGTAGTGATAAGTCGTGAGACTGTCAGCAAAGTGCAGAGTCGCTTGTCGGTCGGTAGCATCAGCTCTGTTACCTTCAAGGTGCTGTTCTGAAGTAGTAGTAGCAGTATGCCCGAAGGCTTGTGATACTTCGAGGATTGTCCCTGCGGAACATCCGAGAGCAGTAGCGACCTTCTCAAGTGCGCGATTTGCTCCAGAACGCCTTGCGAAGCTGACTCAAAGTCGCGGTGCCGAGGATAGATTTGATCCCAGGTTTGATTTTGCACGCCAAAGCTGAGCGCATACCCTTGGATCCGTACTGGAGTGGGGAAAGCCTCCGTCAGTAATCCGCCTCTGTCAGTGTCATGCGTGACTATACTGCAGCGGACTCACGCTTAGCTTCTGTCTCGCTGGTGAGCCGGATGAATCTGCGCGACCAGATCAATTGAATGTCAGTGGTCCCTGCTGCATTGCTCGGAAAGAGTGACTGGCCGACTTACGGAGTAGATGGAAGTGCGAACGACTCTGAGGAGAGTTCGTCGCCTTGACCTGGCCCCAGTATGTGATGCAGGGTGTGACTGCTTGAAAGTATGCGCGCTTGGGAGGAAGAATCGTTGTGACTCGAGGAGCGGACAATGTGATATGTGCACAGCTGTGACGAAATGTCCCGCAGATGACGTGGTCAGTCTTTGATGTTGGAGTTCGTCAGCATGTGCAAAGAGACTCACCCTTGTACCGTCGGAGAAGGTGGACACGAAACGTTGTGCGACGTCGTCCTTGCTCAGCACCATATTGACTTGGCCTAGGCTACTTCTCGGGCCCGTAAATTGGAGATTGCCCGCCCGTTTGCGAGAAAGCGACTTTGAACTGCAGCTTGCTGTGATCGCAAAGGTTGTGTTGCAATGCGTACACGAGGCGATTATGAGGCTCCCTCTGCGGTTCGCTTTCCCGCAAACGCTGCATCGGAAGCCCAGAAAGGTCTGTTCCGCCTCGTCGAGCGACACGAGACTGTCGTGAAGGAAGCGAGTAATCTTCATGAGGTTGCTGCCGCCTACTGCGTCCATCGAAATACCCGAGCCCAGCGTGACTCGTGCTTGCAATGTGTCTTCTCGCTGTGGTTCCGAGCAAGGGTCAGCAGATTGCATCGTACGTCCGTGCAGAGAGGCAGCCAGAGAGGACACTTACCTCGACGCTGTGGATGCAGCACGTTCGCAAGAATGTGACCTTGGATAGAGCCATCGACTCATCAAGAACGCGACACTCCTTGCCTTCGTCGTCAAAGACGCGATAGACTTTGACCAACATTTTGGCTGCGCATGCCGCCTGCAGGCTGTCGAAAGAATCTTGGTCTGTCCCGAGACGCACATCAGCTTTTTCACCCATTGAACATCGAGGAAGACCATACACTACGACGAATACGTACCAGTGAATCTGCAAAGGGACGGCAAGAACAGAGGTAAGCGTGCTGCATGTAAGGCCCTCAGAAATTAGACGAGAAAACTCACATTGATGCCACCAGAAGGTCGAGTTTTGGAAGCCACTTGATATCGCCTTGTCGGAGCACAATTGTCGTCACAGCGCCCGATCGGCTCGTGACCATTGATACAATGCCTGTCGGAAAGCCGGCATCGCACTGGCGCATGTCGTCCACGGAAGAGGCCCAGAACGGGCTCTTAACCTGGGAGAAGGGTTTGGCATCGCTCCTTTTTCGTGGTGATTTGGCATCGCTCCCTTTCTCACTGGCTTCCGCTCTGACGACATGCTTCGTCGCATCGCCACGGATGGCTCTGCCAGTGAAGGCATCCAATGATTGCCAATGGCCATCACTGCAGCAAGAGAGAGCTGATGCCTGACAATTGCCGCACCTGCCGGGTGCTCGGTCGCAGAACTTGGCCAGCTGGATGCATGATCTGCAAGCAGGCGGAACTAGAAGCACATCAGACCGAGTCGGATGACGACGGATGGACTCGAAGCGAATTTGCCAGTCCACCACAGCGGCAGCCTCAATAGGTGCGGGAGGAGGGTCAACATCGAGAAAGGGCGGAAAGCGCCCCTTCAAAGCATCCGAGACCTGTGCTGCGATGGCCTCATCGTGTGTCTTCGCACCAGAGCTGGATGCAGCCGATGGTTCTGCAAGAGACTTGTGCTGTTGTTTGGAAGCATCTTGAGCCCCCGAAGTGCTCTGTGACGAGCTTGCGCCGAGGGTGTACGGCAGCTGAGCCCGTTGCGACCGAGTGAGCAATCTGAGCGGTTGACGGGGTCTTGCCGTTTCCTGTGGTTTGGCATCAGCCGAAACTGCTGCCTTCTGCTTGATTCTCATGCTGTAAAGGCTGTAGAAAGAGCCGGCCCAAGAAGAGCATCCTTCAGCTTTGATCGGAGAAGGCGAGTAGCCAGACTTGGGGAGAACGAAGGACAAGATGCGCATATAGCCGATTTGACAGCTGAACAATCAGATTTTAAGCTCGGCTGCGCAGTGTGACTGCGACTGAAACCCACCCCTGCGCCGCCGCGGCCTCTCCGCGGCGGTTCTGCCACGTCCTCACGCAAGGACCACGAAGACCAACGAAGACCAACACCTCAAATTCTAAAATCCGTCCAGAACGAGCTTCAAGATTCTTCGTATCTCCGACTTCGTCACCTTGACATAAGGCGTGTGCCCTTCTAGCAAGCACAGCACGTCATCGGAATCGAGACCGGCGCCGCGTCCCTCCAACAAATTATAAGAACCTTCGACTCCAAGCTGTTCTCGGACTCTAACCCCCGCCTGTCCCTGTCTCGACCTCTTCGTATCCAGCAACTTGCGCTCTAGCACTTGCATGTTCGCGCCGACAAGCATAGTACTCGCCCTATCAGCAGCCCTGCTCGCCTATATCTCCTCGCGGACGCTCATTGGTCATTCGCCAACGCAACCGCTCCATCTCCTGCACACCATGGTCACTACCACCAAGGCGCCCGCTTACTTTATCAGCCATGGTGGCCCGCCCAGTAAGTACAGTCTTACCGTTCACACAATCATGCAGTCCGAGGCTGGACTTTGACTGACACTTGCTCCTTGTTGCTGCGACGAGCAGCCATGTTCGAGCACAAACATCCCGCCTACCAGCATTGGCTTCAGTGGGGAATGGAGGTGCGCACGCTCCACGAGCAAGGTCTCATTCGAGGTTTGGTCTTTGTCAGTGCGCACTGGCAAGCAGAAGACCTCGAGCAGGGAGTCTACGGTACGTCTCACACTACTCTCCCACTTAATATCGCGCTCAAAGGGCCTCCTGCTGATCAGATACCCTCTCTCTAACCCTAACCCTCTCCAGTCAATGTTGACGAGACGAATCCGATGATCTACGATTTCTACGGCTTCCCCCACCACTTTGTGAGTGCACACATTTACCACGAACCTCGCAAGTGTACATCGCTGACCGCAGTCTATCTTTGACATTTCCAGTACAAGCAAAAAGTGGAGTCCTCCAACCCGTCCAACATCTCGGCCCTCGTTTTGGACCATCTCCGCAGTGCAGGCGTGCCCGCGCAGTCGATCAAGCGTGGTATTGACCACGGGGTCTGGTGCCCGCTCAAGGTCGCCTTCCAGAAACCTTACCTCGAGGAGCTGACACCAGAGCAGCGCAAGGACCAGCAGGCAACGATCAACACCCCGTCCGTCCTGCCCGTCTCCCTTTCGCTCACCCAGGTATCCCTCCCGACATCTGATTCCTCGTTCGACTCCCTGAAGCTCGGCGCCGCGCTGCGAGGTCTTCGTGACCAAGGCTTTGCCATCGTGGGTGGCGGCATGTCTGTGCACAATCTCCGCGACCTCATGCGATCCTTTGCACTCGCTGGTGGTCGAGGTTTCGGATCCCTTGCTCTCGACAGCGACCGAGAGGTCGGTAAGCCGCAGCCCAATGCGTATTCGGAGAGCTTCCTTAAGGCTCTGAGGGAGGCCATGACCGTGCCGCCCGCGTCGCAAGACGAGGACAAGTGGGGCAAGGCCTTGAAGCTAGATCGCAGGGCTGACTTCTTGCCTGCCCATCCCTCTGCCGAGCACTTTTTGCGTGAGTTGAGAACCACTTTCGACCGCTTTGATGACTCTCGATTGAAACTGACCGTAACTTTCCCTGTCCCTATCTAAATGCAATTGCACAGCCGCACTCGTTGCCATGGGTGCAGCTCACCCGGACGAACAAGGCGTCGAGACGTTTGCTCTCGACGAAGGTCCCATGGGCTGGTACGTCTGCTCTTTGCTCACTTTCAGATGTCCCTCGCTTCTCACTCACAGCCGTCCTTTCCATTGTCGCTTCTCTATGTTATTGCAGGAACATGTACAAATGGGGCTGAGCTCAGTGTCGCAAGTCCTTCTCCAAGGCCAGCTGGGCACGCTTTCGGTCTTCGCCCTCCTTCTGATCCCTCTCCGCCTGGTCATGCAGCCCAGCCGCGGCGCTGTTGGCCTTCTCGGCGCTTCCTCCTTTTCCAACTCGGTTCGAGCTGAATTGAACAATCTTCTTCCATCGAGCACGAACGTCGGACGCGATCTCGATCATGGCCAGTCCACGGTAGAAGTAGACGTACGACCACCATGCGCGGAAGTAGTCCTTCCACAACGAGAAGGACGTAAGCAGACTGGCTTGGCCGCTCTTGCGACGCTCCTTGAGCTGCTTGAGATCGTCGCGGTACACGGTGAGGGCGCAGAGGCGCGCGGCGATGAGGAAAGGACGCGTGGGGCCGTGCGTAGTGTGCAAGCTGGCGTCGAGCGAGCGTGTGAGATCGTTGAGCTTGAGCACCATGAGCATTCGTCGTGGCAGACGGCGAAGAAGCTCCATGATGGACACGAAGAGGCCTTCCTTCTGCATGACCGTCTTGCGGATGTGCTCTTGTTCGTCGTCGGTCAGCTTGGTGCCGCCGTCCATCTCCAACAGGCTTCCGGCTCGGTTGCGGTTCTTGACGCCGTTGGGGTTGTTGGGGTCGCTGCCTTCCAAACCGGCTCGACCGGTGATGGCGCTTTCCAAGATGGGGTACAGGTCGTCATCGATGTCGGCGATGAGCTTGGCATACTTGCGTCGCTCGGCCGTGACCTCAGGACTGGCACGCTTGAGCAGCGAGAGCCAGAACCGAGCATAGTTGGCGCGCAAGTCAGGATCGATGTCGAAGTACAGTCCGTGGTCGAGGAGCACAACTTCGAAGTTGTACCGCGATCGACTGCCGGGCTGAGCGGGTCGAATCAAGACATTGCCGCCGTGTGGATCAGCATGGAAGAAGCCGTGGAGGTACAACATTTGCGAAAAGACGCGCGAGAGTTCTTGGCTGACGCGGTTGCGGTCGATGTTGTGCTGAGCGAGGTAGCGCAGATCGTCGGGTCGACGACCGTCGATGAACTCCATGGCCATGACGCGCTTGAACACGTACTTGACCTTGGGAATGTAGACGGACGTTGTGCGGTAGCCTGCAAAGTCGTCCTCGGCCCTCTTTGCGTTTTGCGCCTCGTGACGGAAGTCCATCTCGAGGGGCATATTTTCGTTCATCTCGTCGGCTAGCCATTCAAAGCTGAACTCGGGCAAGAGGCGCTTGACCCACTTGACGAGAACAGTGACGGTCTTCATGTCAACTTCAGAGAAGCGCTCGACGTCGGGATGCATCATCTTGATGGCGAGCGCCTGACCCGTCTCTCGATCGACGGCACGATGCACCTGGGCAAGTGAGGCGACACCGATGGGCTTGGGATCGATTTCGCTGAACGCCTCGTCGAAGCTCATCCCGGTCTCGGTTCTGAACATGGCCTCGAGCTCGGGCAGTGGCGTGGGCGTGTTCTGGTCTTGGAGGGGTCGAAGCGTCGAGGTCCACTCGACGGGGAGCAGGATGACAGCGGAGATGTGCTGGCCCAACTTGACGTAGAGACCACCATTGGTCTGCAAAGCTACCAGGATACGATGGGCGGACCGCAAGTGACACTGTCGCAGCTCCTCGGCTTCTTCGGCACTCGAGGCGTACTTCTTGCCGAGCGTGGAGCGATAATCCCAAACGCAGAGAGCGACCGCCTTGGCAATGGTGGTGGAGCGGGTCAAGGCGAGCAAAGCGAAGTTGGTGCCGTTGGCTTGCGCCTTTTGTGCCTCTCGGACCTGACGTTCCATCTCGTCATGCGGAAGCTGCAAGCCCCTGATCGGTGCCGCAGAGCCATCGAGATGGATGCTGTCTTGGAACTGATAAGCGACTGCGCCAAGGACGATGGCGATCAGTGCCGCGATGCCGACTTGTCGGCTGCCGCGACGAAACCTGGCATGTGCGGCAGCGGTCTCGTGTGGGTTGGGGATGGCGGGCTTGTCAAAGTTGATGGGCTTGGGCAATGGTCGGACGGGTGGATATTGCTTCTTGAATTGTGTCGAGCTTCCGGGTTTGTGGCTCGACGACTTGTCTCGTGCGGTGGATGCTGCATCTTTGGACGTCGTCTTCCCGGAGCTTTGAGATGTATTCGATGCGCGTGTGCTGAGGCTGAATGACCTTGCTTGACAGGAGAAGCGAGAGGGCGAGAGAGGCAGGCTTGCTTCGAGCAGTCGTAGCCGCTGTCCTTTTGAGAACGCCTGGACCGTGGCAGGACGTGCTGCTGCCGCCGCCGCAAAGGCACCTGTGATCCCCGACCGCAGCATGCTGGGCGATCTGCAGCCAAAGCTCTGCAACTGTCAAAACCTGGAGAGGACCGAAAGAGACCGTGAAGAGCGACCTATCGCGAAGACTCGCCGGTGGTCATCGTCAATGCCGAGCGAGGGTCGGAGGATCGGAGAGAGGCTGCGACGTGGACGATCACTGTGGAGCTGAAGACGATGATGATCTTCCAGATCAGTACTTGGAAGCAACTGTGATTCACGAGATACTCTCTCCACGAAGAACACATCACATCGCACAGAGCTCAACAGAGCGAGAGAGTGGAGAAAGGCCCTTTCTGACTTATTCTCATGCCAAGACGACGTCACCTCTTTTTGCAAAATACAGGATGTCAGATCTCTGTTTCTACCGAAAACGGCATGCCAATCTCTCCCGATATCGAACCGCATGCGAGCTTCTCTACCGATCCGCTCCAAAGCCCGGTGTCGGACGATGAAATCCGATGACGCTTCTGCCCGGCGGCGGCTAAGGCTGCTGTACCTCGTCAGATTGACTGATGATGATGGCACGGCTCGCTGCCGTGAGTGACAGCCGAGTTCGACAATTGCCTTTGTGAGCCCTCACTGTGATTGCCGTGCCTGCTTGGACCGTTTGCCGGAACGCAAGCAGGCGTCCCCTTCGAAAGCATAGCTGGTGAGCTTGTCACCTCCGTCCTCCTGTATTTGCCGCCTTGCCACTAGCGACTCAGCAGCCAGCCCCTCGCCGACTAGCACCCGTCAACGCTGGCGTCCTCCGCGGACATTGCGACACCATCAGATGACCATTCGTATATAGTCTCACGAGTCTTCTCGGCTTGGTTCGCTTCCCATCGCCCTCTTCAGATCTGTACCACCCATGACCAATCCGCTGCAACAAGTGCGAGTGTGACGACATGCAAACATTGCACCTGTAGCGCCAAACATCCCCAGCCTGCTGCATCCCGGCGAGCATCAAACGCCATCCAACTTCTACATATCTCAATACAAACTGACGCTCGCCGCTTCACAAGATGACAGCAAGAGAGCAGGCGCTGGCGCCCAATTCAAGTCAACCCGATAGCAGAGGAATAGACTCGTCGTCGACTGGGACACCTGAAGATACCCCGGCTGGTGAGTGAGATTCTCGACAAGCATCTCCTACACATGCAGAGCGTACCGCATTGCGTGACAGGTGATGAAGTACATATCGACTCGACGCTGACCGTCGCTGTTCGATACCACTCTTTCCGACATTCCTGCAGAAACATCAAGGCATGCATCCAGTCTTTCCCTACGATCGGACCACACCGATGTCTCACCCGGCGAACTCGAGGCGGCGCAAGAAAAGCAAAAAGAGGACTTGATAGCGTCCGCCAAGGAAGAAGAACAAGAAGATCCGAATCTGGTCACATGGGACTCGCCAGACTCGCAAGAGAATCCTCGCAACTGGTCGCATCGTCACAAGTGGGCGGTGACCATCTTGGTTTCGAGCTACACCTTTCTCAGCCCCTTGGCATCCTCCATGATCGCGCCGGCTCTGCCCTTGCTCAGTCGAGACTTTGGCATCACCTCCAGCGTCCAGGAGAGCTTGATGCTCTCGACGTTTGTACTTGCCTACGCATTCGGCCCGCTCGTTCTTGCGCCCCTAACCGAGATGTTTGGACGCCGAATCGTGCTACAGACGACTAACGTCATCTTCATCGCTTTCAATCTCGGCTGCGGTGGCAGTCAAAATGCCACCCAATTGACCGTGTTACGGTTCTTCGCTGGACTCGGCGGATCGGCCCCGCTAGCATGTGGCGGCGGCACGATCGCTGATCTCTTTGAGCCGCGCGAACGAGGCTCTGCGATGGGCATGTACAGTCTAGCGCCTCTCCTCGGACCTGCGATTGGACCGATCGTTGGTGGATGGATCGTGCAACAGACGGGCCAATGGCGGCCCATCTTTTGGGCCTCGAGTGGCTATGGGGCGCTCACGGCTTTCATCGGATTGTTCTTGCTGCCGGAGACGTACGCTGCGCAGATCCTCAAGACCAAGGCACGAAGACTCAGGAAGGAGACAGGCAACGAGGAGTTGCATACCATCTACGAGAAGCAAGATCCGTCGAGCTGGCATGTCAAATTACGCCACAACATGGTGCGCCCCTTCATGCTGCTGACGACACAGCCGATCATCCAGGTGTTCTCTGTATACCTGGCCATCATCTACGGATGCATGTACATCCTGCTCACCGTCTTCCCACAGGTGTTTGGCGAGATCTACAACGAAAAGCCGGGGATCGCGTCTCTCAACTACATTTCGCTCGCTATTGGGTTCACGGTGGGAGGCCAGGTGGGCGGAAGGGTGGTGGACTACTCGTATCGCAAGCTTAGTGCGCGACAGCCAGACGGCAAGGGTCAACCCGAGTTCAAGCTGCCGCTGCTGATGGGGTCATCGATCTTGTTTCCCGCTGGATTGCTGATCTATGGCTGGACGGCCGAGTACAAGACACACTGGATCGGACCCAACATCGGAGCAGCCTTGTTCGCAGCCGGAGCCATGGGCACCTTCCTGGCATGTCAAAGCTACCTGGTGGACGTGCTACCGCTGTACGCTGCTTCTGTGCTAGCCGCAGCGGTGTTTGTACGCAGTCTGGGTGGGTTTGGGTTTCCCATTTTTGCGCCAACCATGTATGATGCATTGGGACAGGGATGGGGCAACACGATCCTCGCCTTGGTGTCGGCGGTGATCGGCATCCCAGCTCCATATGTGCTGTATCGATATGGGCCGTGGCTTCGAGCCAAGAGCAGGTATGCTGCGGACGATGCCAACGCCGCGCGTATGACATAGAGGCTCGAAACCCACATTTGCATCTCACCGACGACTCGCCACGATACTGTATGCTTAGGTTTCTCGTCATAATGGAAGGACGAGTCAATGGATGTCACATTTCCGTGTAATCGCAGCGAGTACAGCTTGACAGCGACAGATGGTGATGAGCGATCGGCTCTCTGGTCAGTCGCGCTGCAATTTTGCCAAGTGTGCGGGATAAGGTTCTTAGAGTCGCGTCTCAGAGCTTGCAGCTGACATTGCCGCTGCATCAAAATCCGGTTGATACAAGCGCTACCCCAAGCCCCTCTTCAAGTGATAGACAAGCAACACGAATCACCGTCGACCGCTGATCCGCTGTGCATGCTCGGCACGGCCGACAAAGCAACTGCTCGACTCGAGTGCGCAAGAAGCGATCTTGTCTCTTTAGTGTTTGCAGAGCTGACTCTTCTCTCACCCAAGCTGAAACGCGGGACGGAGGAGCCGAGTCGGACAGCCATGCATATCACTGCAGCTAGCCTTGTGGGAATGCCTCGTGAAAGGTGGCAATTGGCGCGAGACTGCGTCGCAAGTCAGCCACAATCAGAAAGAGAGAGGCTGAGAAGTCAGAGAGGATCTAGCTGAGTTGAACTTGAACGGTGGAATCCGCTTGTGTACACAAATACTCGCAGGCGAAGAGCAAGGGAAAAAGGGTTGCGGGGTGCTCTTCTGACTTGCATCTGTATGCACGGGAAAGGCGGGGCACTGCGGCATTGTTCTTTGCTGCTTCAGACTGGCATAGTCGCCGCGCCAGGAGTTTGTGCTCTCGGCAAGCTAGGGTTCGAGCGAAGCAAATCAATCCTCTGTGAGGTGGCAAAAGCAATTTCGAAAGCGGGGAGCTGTGTGGCCTGTGCCTTGCTTGCAACGACTAAAGCTGAACAGCGGTTAAGCAGTGGGGTAAAGGGTCCTCTGTCGAATTTGAGCGTGTCTGGTGTGGGGAAACCCCGCCTTTTCAGTGAAATGCGCTGCAGCTGGTTGGCTCGAGAGCCTTGTCTCTCTTCGCGCGCGCGCGAGATAGCCTGCTTCGCTTAGACTCTTCCAGCGTGGCTGAGTGTCCGCCCCTGGTTCGAACCCTTTCTTCCGACCGCTAGGTCCTATTCCATCTGCAGGGCCTGAGGCATCTGGCCCGTGTGCTTGTCTTGCAGCAAACGTCGGCCTGCTTGCTTAGCCGCCACCCCGCTGGCCTCTCTTCCTGCCAACACACCGCGTGCTGCTGCTGCTGCTGCTGCTGCTGCTGCTGAATCGTCCATCTTCGTCGCACAGCTGGGAAAGAATCTGCTTACTGCGCTCTCGTGGCTCGACCTTCCGCATTCCTTATAATCCCAAGCCACGCCTGCCTTCTCATCGTCGTGCCCCCATCTCACTCCTGACTCGTGATCACCATCGTCTGCATCCGTTCTCTTTGCAATCCCTCATCCCCACTACCACTGCATTTCTTCATCTCGTCGCCCCTCCTTCCACCCAGCTTTCTCATCTCACAATGGCTCGCGTCATCGTCGTCGGTGGCGGTCTCTCCGGCCTCAGTGCCGCTCACACTCTCTACGAGCGCGGTGCCAACGTGCTCGTCCTTGACAAGAACGTAAGTTGACCTATCACCTCACACCCTGTCCTGCTTTCAGCATTGTATGCCATTTTTAGCACGTCGACTGACTCATCTATTCATCTGCCATTGTTTCATTGCAGCCCTTCTTCGGTGGTAACTCGACCAAGGCTACTTCCGGTATCAACGGTGCCGGCACCACCACACAGTCCGAGCAGGGCATCCCAGACTCGGCCAAGACCTTCTTTGAGGACACCAAGAAGTCCGCTCGTGACCTTGCCCGTGATGATCTCATCAAGGTCTTGACCGGCAAGTCCGGTGAGGCCGTCAACTGGCTCATGGACCGCTTCGAGCTCGACCTTTCCAAGGTTTCGCGTCTCGGCGGTCACTCGCAGCCCCGTACCCACCGTGGTGGCGCTCAGTTCCCCGGTATGACCATCACGTACGCTCAGATGGAGAAGCTCGAGGACCTCGCCGAGGCCGAGCCTGACCGTGTTCAGATTCTCCGCAAGGCCCGTGTCACCAAGCTCCTCCACGAGAACGGCGAGGTGGCCGGTGTCGAGTACGAGTACCAGGGACAGACTCACAAGGAGAACGGCCCCGTCGTCCTTGCCACCGGTGGTTACGCCGCCGACTTTGACGACGTCAACTCGCTCCTCAAGAAGTACCGCCCCGACCTCGTCCACCTTCCCACCACCAACGGTGACCACTGCACCGGTGACGGTCAGAAGATGGTTGCCTCCATCGGCGGTCGCCTCATCGACCTCGAGAAGGTCCAGGTTCACCCCACTGGTCTCGTCGACCCCAAGGAGCCTGACGCCAAGGTCAAGTTCCTGGCTGCCGAGGCTCTTCGTGGCTGCGGTGGTCTGCTCATCGACAACGAGGGCAACCGTTTCGCCGACGAGCTGGGTCACCGTGACTACGTCACTGGCCGCATGTGGGACAACAACAAATTCCCCGTCCGTCTCATTCTCAACGAGCAGGCCTCCAAGGAGATTGAGTGGCACTGCAAGCACTACGCCGGCCGAGGCCTCATGAAGCGCTTCGACAACGCTCACGACCTCGCAAAGGAGATGGGCATCCCCGCCGACAAGCTCCAGAGCACCTTCCAAGACTACGAGGCTATCGCCAGGGGCGAGAAGAAGTGCCCCTGGAACAAGAAGTTCTTCTCCAACTCGGATCTCCGCATGGACCAGGCCTTCTACGTTGCCCTCATGACCCCCGTGCTCCACTACACGATGGGTGGTCTCGAAATCGACCCCGAGTCGCGCGTCGTCGACAACCAGGGCAAGCCCATCCCCGGTCTCTTTGCCTGCGGTGAGATCGCTGGTGGTGTCCACGGTGCCAACCGTCTCGGTGGTTCGTCGCTCCTCGGCTGTGTCGTCTTCGGCCGTGTTGCCGGTGACTCCGCCTCGAGCTACCTGCTCCGCAACCTTGCCACTGGCAAGGCCACCGCCCGTCTTGGCCAGATCTCGAACCACCTCGAGACCCGTGTGCGCGCCGACCCCACCAACAGGACCATCACCCTCGAGTTTGGCTTCGGTGACAGCGCCTCGTCGGCTTCGGGTGCTCAGCAGCAGAACTCGGCCGTCCCCGCTGCCGTCGCTCAGGGCCAGCCCGCCCAGACCGACAAGGCTGTCCAGCAGGCCGGCAGCGCCGCTGCTGCTCAGCAGACCCTCGAGGAGAAGGAGTACACCATGGAGGAGGTTGCCAAGCACACCACCGAGGAGGACGTCTGGGTCGTCGTCGAGGGCCAGGTGCTCAACGTCTCGGGCTTCCTCGACGACCACCCCGGTGGAAAGAAGGCGCTCATGCTCTACGCCGGCCGTGACGCCACTGAGGAGTTCCTCATGCTCCACGACCGCAAGGTCATCCAGAAGTACGCCGCCGACACCGTCATTGGCCGTGTCAAGGCTTGATTTTGTTGGTTCCCTTTTCACGATTCCAAAATCTCACGCTGTCTCGTTTCGGTCTTCGTCTTTCGCTTGTGGCCCGTGGTTGTTGTGAGAGAAGAACAGGCGTGGACTGAGCAGAAGGCGTGCTATTGAGTGAGATGCGGAGCCTGCTCGACTTATGGTCGATGGGACCGACGAGGAGGGGATGGGTGGGGTGAGTTCATCGAGAGGGGAAGGTGGGCTCAGGCTCTCAGTGAGGGTTTTCGGACGAGGAAGTGTGCTTTGCCAATGCGATTCCATGGTGATCCGCAATTGATAATCCGGTGAAGTGGCGTGGATCAACAATGGAGATCGTAGCTAGTGTACAGCGAAGTCAGTGATAGTAGCGGCCTCAACGTTCCAATGTGAGGGCAGCATCAAAGGGAGAAACCCATATCCTTTTCCTTCTGGCGATCCTTTTCGAGTTTCTGCTCGAGCTTTGCGAACTCATCCAACGCGATCTCCTCCTCTGGATCGAGCACCTGCTCCACACCGTTGACTTCGGGAATGTAGTGCTTGAGCATCCTCTCGATGCCGGACTTGAGCGTGACAGTCGAGGAATCGCAACCACGGCACGAGCCCTTCAACTTGACCTTGACGATGCCGTCCGTGTCCTCTCCGAAGCCTCTGTATTCCAGATCCCCTCCGTCCTCCTGGATCGCCGGACGCACGCGTGTGTCGAGCAGCTCCTTGATCATCGCTACGACCTCCGAGTCCGTATCAAGAATTACCGTGTCCTGCGAGCCATGTGACGACTCGGGGTCGGTGAAGAGCGGGTGGCCGGCGGTAAAGTGCTCCATGATGCTCGAGTAGATCTCGGGCTTCAGCGTCGACCACTGGTGACCCGCGTCCTTGCTGACGGTGACAAAGTCTGGGCCGTAGAAGACGCTCACTACGCCGGGGACGTTGAAGAGCTTCTTTGCGAGAGGAGAGGCCATCGACGAGCGGGTATCGAGGAACTCGTGCGTTCCCGACTCCATCACCTGGTGCCCCGGGAGAAACTTGAGCGAGTCCTCGTTGGGCGTGGACTCGGTCTGAATGAACATGGTACGCTTTTGGATCCGCGAAGCTGGTGAAGGGGCGACGAGGGCCGTGAGAGAGCGCAAACGGAGCGCTGGTGTGTTGGTGGCGGTCATGATGGTTCGACGAGCCACTGGTGCGCTGCGGGCAACATGGCGACTGCTGCTGGCAACAGCGGATCGAGCGACTGCTCGCAGTGTTGATGCGCTTGTCCTTGCTACTGCCGTCATTGTTTGTATCGACTCGAAGACAAGGATAGGGTGGTATGAGAAGAATGGGTAAGTGGCAAAGGCCGAAGGAGAAATGTGTCATGCAAGGCTCGAGAAGCTCAGGTCGGATTGAACTTTTGTATTTGTCATCATTACAAAGGAAGTCTCGCTGGTGTGGGGAAAACAGCTGCGATTTTCACGGGTTTTCCGGCTGGAAGACTCTCCGATGGAGCCGAGCTGGACACAATGTGAACCTTGACCTCCGCTTAGGCCACCTGGGCCGGCCTTTGAGAAGATCGACGAGACCAACACCTTCGACCTCCCCATCATCACCACCACCCAGCACAGCACCAAAGATAACAAGATGCTGGCTTCGACCGTTCGCACTGCTTTGCGCACCACCGCGCCCCGAGTCGCAGCACTCCCATCCACCCGATCGCTCTCCACCTCGCTCCCTCGCTTGTCTGCGACAGCGGCTAAGGAGTACCAGAACATCATCGTCTCGTCGCCTGCCAAGGGCGTCACGCAGATCACGCTCAACCGACCCAAGGCACTCAACGCGCTCAACTCGGCGCTCTTCCACGAGCTCAACGAGGCCGCCGACATCGCCGACAATGATCCCGAGGTGGGCGCCATCGTCCTCACGGGATCCGACAAGGCCTTCGCTGCGGGTGCCGATATCAAGGAGATGAAGGACAAGCAGTACGCCGATGCATACAAGACCAATTTCCTGGGTCACTGGACCAAGCTCACCACCATCCGGAAGCCCATTGTGGCTGCTGTCAGCGGGTTCGCGCTCGGCGGTGGTTGCGAGTTGGCCATGATGTAGGTGTCCACAACAACAGAACCCGGAGAGCTCTGACTAGATCGAATGCTGACTTCATCTTCGCTTGCTTGTATAGGTGCGACATCATCCTCGCTTCGCCCACCGCCAACTTTGGTCAGCCCGAGATCAACCTCGGTGTCATTCCGGGTGCCGGCGGTACGCAGCGTCTCACCAAGGCGGTCGGCAAGTCGACCGCCATGGAGATGGTGCTGACGGGACGCAACTTCAGTGCCGACGATGCGGAGCGACGCGGCTTGATCTCGCGCGTTGTTCGTGAGGGCAGTGTCGTCGACGAGGCCGTCAAGGTGGCCTCGACCATCGCCAAGAAGGGCCAGATTGCGGTGCAGGCCGCCAAGGAGGGCGTCAATGCTTGTGAGTATACGAGCAAAGCAGAGTTAGATTGCTCATTTGAGGATACGAGCCGATTGCTGACCTCTGCTGTACTTTTATATGATCATACGGATGATGTCGCTGTGGGTTACAGCCTTCGAGCTCAGCCTGCAAGAGGGAACGCGCTTCGAGCGCCGCCTCTTCCAAAGCCTCTTCGCGACCAAGGATCAGAAGGAAGGCATGGCAGCTTTCGCCGAGAAGAGGAAGGCCTCCTTCACGCACGAGTAAAGCCTCAAAGCTCACTCGAGAGCCGTCTCGACGTTTGTTGCCTCACAATGACAGGCTTGAAGTGCGCAAAGGTCACGCGGTCTGGTGTGATTTGGGTGTGACTTTTCCAGAAAGCTCTCCACTTGTGTCGGATTTCTATGCAGCAACGCACGGACGAGCAAAGCTTTAAATTTTGGCAGGCAGGGTCTTGCGACAGGGTTCATGCGGGGCTCGCCAGAGGCTGAGTGAGACTTCGAAACCTGCCTAGGGACGATAAGCTGACTCTCGCGGCTGCAGACGTGGCCCATGCTTTCGGCTTGTTCCGAGTCAGAGCCTTGATGTGATCTTCGAGTGTGGGCGCGTGCTTGCTAAGCTCCAGGCTGGCTGCAGCACGGGCTGAGTCGAGTCAGGCGCCGATGAGAAAGTATAAGTAGTGCGCGCCTGGTCGACCACCTTTCTTCTGCTCCCCCTCCATCAGTCCTCGCACTGCTTCATACACACTTCCACACCAGTTTCCAGCGCACATTTGTATCATGTCCACCAAGCCACGCAGCGACTCGTCCTCCTCCACCTCGTCTACAGACCCCTACGCCAACGCGTCGGTCTTCCGCGCCTCTCCCAACTACAAGTCGGACCACCTAGACGACCTTTCGCACGGCAGCACTGCCAAAGCCCACCGCTGGTCCGGCGGCAAGAAGAATCCGGGCAGCGGTCGCTCGCACGTCGAAGCCCGGCTGACCGGCGCCGATCAGATCAACCCAAGCAGGCAGGAGAACAAGGTCTCGGTCAAGAAGAACAAGGATCTGCCCACCAAGATGAAGAAGAACCACTCGCCCGAACAGGCCAAGAAGGTGCTCGAGGCTATGAGCCGAGACTAGGCGTACAAGCTCAAGAATCCCGTTTCAGATGTCCGTTCCTTCGTCCCTGTCCACGCCCTTGTTGTCCCTTCTCACGCTCGTCCTCCATCACCCGAACGTCGTCCAATGTCTCCGAAAGTACCGCAACAAAGTCAAAGCAAAGCACCGCAGATCTCCAAGTCAAGCAAATGTATCCAATCACTCTCTCGCAACGCTATCTCGCAATATCGCGCTTCCCTTGATTCTGGCGTGTGGTGGGTGCATGAGCTTTCGAATGAGCAGCCTAATCCAGCTCAGCGTAGAAGCCGCTGGCGTTCAACCTGCCCAACAGCATCTCGACGCTCGTGATGCTTTCCTGCTCGGTGCCTTCGACGCTTCGTCCTGCAGCGTCGACATCCAGCGCCATCAAGTCTTCCAGCTCGTCCTGCGCTAGTCGGGCTTTCTCTGCTTCGACGTCCATGCGTCTCTTTCCGTCACGATCGTCGGTGCCGCTGTCCCTATCGACGCCCAGTGCCGCTTCCGCCCCTGGACGAGAAGCTACTGGCGAGCGGTCCTTCAGTATGATGAGAGCTTGAACGAACGTATCCATCCTAGAGCGGAAATAGCGATGAAGGTTCTGAAAATCGTCAAACGTCGGCGGCTCGACAGTGGCGGTGGTAGGCGTGTGGAAGTCGATGCAGAGCTGCGAAAAGTCGAGCACTGTCTGCAAAAGGTCTGAGACGATCGTCAGCACTCCACGCTGCTTGGACTTGAGGAAGCATGTCGAGAGCATCCGGTCGAGGATCCGTTCGTGGTATCGCGCCAGCGAAAAGACGTCCTTGAGTTCCAGGCTGGACGTCATGAGCGCTGCCCGCTCCTCCTCCTCCAGCGCCTCGTCGTCGAGGTCACCGTCAGCTGCGCCTTCGGCGTCTGCAACGGCCGTGCGACCGGAAGAAGCACGAGAAGCAAGTTCGTCGCTCACCTCCCTCCTCACCCGCTCCAGCCTCTGCATAAACCCAGACCAATGCGACTCGATCCCGATCTCTTCCACAAACGATCCAAAGGAGTCCAAAAAATGGTTGAGCTCCCACCGGAACTGCTGCATCAGCGAGCGCGTCTTGAAGTCGAACGTGAAGGCAGCGCTCGTCGACTTGAACGTGCACGCCCACGCCGCCCGCATGGCCACCTTGCACCGCTTGATGCGCAACAGCAGATTCCACAGCCGCTGGTATCGGGTCTGGGCTACCTGCGTCAGCAGCGGAGAGATGAGCGGCGGTGGATGGAAGGACAGCGTGAGCCAATCGAGCGCGTCGATCGAAGATGGGTCCGTCCAGGTAGGCTTGCTCTTGCTCTTGCCTTTGCTGGAAGAGGATGCGGAGCGCGGCTCGACGACAGCGAACGACAACCTCTCGTCGAGATCCTTGAATGCGAGTGAGACTGCGTCTTCTGTCTTCCCGCTTCGATGGAGTCTGTCTTCGTGGGCTTGGCGCATGCCAGAGACAGTCTCGATGACAGCTGTGTTGAGCGCAGAGGAAAGCAGACTATCATTGGGTGGCCAGACGCCTTCCGCCGTCAAGCGTCGATTCATGGCCACGACGGCACGTCCGGATGTCGCCGAGGCATCGTCGAGGACGCTGGCCTGGTCCACATCAAACAAGCTGGATACGACCTGTCGCTCGAAATGGATGCCTCCGAGCAACAAAAACTGCTTGCACGTCTCGAGATAGGTGCCAAGACCGAGGTCTTGGAAGAAGACGCTGATGAGGGACATGTTGATGAGCCGTGCCCAGCTCTCGAAGGGCGCTACCAGGCTAGCTTGTGTGACCCGGTCGAAAGACGATTTTGAGATGGCGTGCTCCGGCTGGGAGGGGCAAGCGGCCGAGGAGAGGTACAGCAAAAGCAATTGCTGCTCGTCATACGACGGCAATGCATTGCCATGTTGCAGTGTATCTTGGTGAAGATCGGGCACGGCCACCGTGACAGCAGTCGGGTCCGTCAGGCCAGGAAGCGCAGCGAAGAGTTGCGACATGCGTGCAAACTGATCCTCAAGTGACGAGACCGCTGCTGCTTCGCTGACCTGCAACGGCGGCGCCTCTTGTGCGGGCTCGTCTGAGGACTGAGCCAGGACCACACTTGAGCTGAGTGGCGATGAAGTGTTGCTCGCGGAAGTGGCCATGCCTCCAGTGACCGCCTTGCGTCTTTGTCTTCGCCACCGAGCAATTTGACGCTTGAACTGCACAATGTGGTCCTCCACCGCGTTCAGCTTGGCCTGACTTTCGGGCGTTGACCATTGCCATGTCGGCAGCTCGATGCGCGCAGCCGACATCTTCTCAGACGCTTTGATCGACCATTGATGAACGAGTGGATGATCTTCTGGAGCGGCCTTCTTGAGGAGCCTCAACGCACGACCTGCTTCGAGAAATGTTCTTGCGTGGCGGAAGGGAAGGAAGCTCGGCACCGCTGAGGGCTTGAGTGTGTATCCGACGTCCTCTTCGCCTCGCTCATCCAGCGACCAATCGATCACAGCGCCGCTCCACGGCGTCGAGATCTGAGCCGAGGAAGAACCGGAATCCGACTTGAGCGCCGGAGGTCTGTCGTCCAGCTCGCCCGTGCGATCCGACTCGAACCCAGGAAAGCCGACCCAACGGGCGACCTGCTGGCGCCACGTGACGCTTGTGCGATCGAGCAGATAGGCCAGCACTGCGGAAGAGAGGGGGGCCGCACCGGATGCTAACGAGGCCGAGAGATGAGCGTGCAGATGCGATAGAGTGGCATACGTGTGTTTGAGCCATGCTAGCGGACGGAAGGGTGGAAGCCTAGGCTGACCACACGAGAGAAGATTGCCGAGACTCTTGAGGACGGCGAGACACGTGTCCAGCTCGGCATGTGCATTCAAGATGGCTGAAGAGGCGGCGTCCGGCGAGGACGCTTTTGTGGATAGGACCGCTGTCTGATCTGCGAGCTCTTCTTTGAGCCAAGTCACGACCGTGTCCAGCGCTGCTGCAAGCGCAGGCGCCTCGTTGCAGAGAGCTGCTGCGGAACGGTGCATTGCGAGGATGCGATCGTCGATGCGACGAAGAAGCGCACCAATGTCCAGAAAGGGGCGGACGACGCTATCTGAGGCGGCCTGACTCCAGCCTAGGATGCGTTCGGATCCGATCCATGAGCTTGTCATTGCGGCCGGGAGATGCTGTTGCTCGTTAGTATCCTCTCCCGCAGCGACCAATGAAGCATGCAGGGCAGCTTGCTCTTTCAAACGTCTACGCAGCTGACGGACGTTTCGATTATGTTGCAAAGTGGCTGACCATACGAATGAGGCCGAGTCTGCGTCCCATTGAAAGTGATCTGACGATGTGCCGGTTGTGGCCGTTGTGACGAGTGACCGGAGAACATGCTGGATAGGATGAACAGGAGCAAGATGCTGATCTTTCGGATCACAGACGGCGTCGGGCAGCGCCCGCTCGTGGATTGCTTCCAAGATGTCCTGTTGCCCAGGGCCATACATCTCAGCCGCGGCCAGATCCAGCACCCTTGCGTTGGCTGGCAAGCCCCTGAACTTGACCGACGCGGGACGAGCAACGGCTCGGAAGTCCTCATCCCAGTAGCTTGTATCCAGGGAGCTGAGGCTCGAAGACGAGTCGCTTCGACGTACTGGACGTCGTGAGGGACCTGGAGACGAGTCGGGGTCGTCATCAAGGTCCACGACGCGTTGAGTTGTGTGTAATGGGGATGCGTAGCCGGCCGTGTGGTGCGGATCGAGCTCGTAGCTGGTAGCCCTTTTAGAGAAGGCACCGAGCACAGGATCGACTCCGGGCTCTACATGCTGTGCAAGTGGTGCGATACGGTAGCTGCTGGACAGAGAGCTGCCTGCGGATGACAGGAAGGTCGAAGAGACCAATTGATCGTGGTCGAGAATGGATTGTTCTAGCTCCAACGAGGGCAAAGGAGGCACCTCGAGCACCTCGAGTGATTGGAATGACATGGCGAAATCGGCTGATCCGATCGATTGATTGCGATGGATGCTATGCCGCGAGCATGCTGAATCAGCCCAAGGTGATTGTGATTGTGATGGCAGAGAGGAAAATGCAATGTGATGTGATAAGCGTGGGAACAGGTGACAGAGCGCAAGTCGGCTCAGCCGAAGGATGGTTGGTGTTGGTCTCCCTCTCTGTGGTCAATTTTCGCACGCGCCTTGGCCTAATCAACGCGTCGCTCAGTCATTTCATTTCGAGTCTCAGATTGCACTCACACTTCTTCTCGTTCTTTCGTCCTTCGCCATTCGTTCGCTCTTACTCAACAGCTTCGAGCGCTTCGAGATGCCAGCACCCATTGAGCGACAGTCGATCGCCGCGCCATCAGACGACGCAATCGCCTCCGAGCTCTCCAAAGCTTTCCTCGTACCGCTCGGCTCCCGCTCCTACAGCAAACAGTATGCGCAGCTCTACGATTACCGCCTTGCCTACCTCAAGAAACGCATCTTGCCCCGTGCAAAGTCAAGATGGGTCGACAACTTTGAAGCTTTCTCTCAATCTCAGTCTCAGCCTTTGTCGCAGCTCGACTCATCGGATGCTGGTCCGTCCAATGGAGCTACCAAGCTGAGCATGGACGAGCCACCCAAGTTTGTCGACCGCATCCTGGATGTGCGCCAAGGTGACATTTGCTATGTCGTCGGCAACGTCTACTGCGCTATGCCGCTCAAACCTGACGTATTGGAGGACTTGACGAGAGAGCAATGGCTCGCGCCGCAACCGGTCAGGTCCAAATTCGTCGATTACGCCAGAGACGAGCTCTTCATCGAGGACCAGTCGGGTCGTGTCAAGCTCGTCGGTGACGCCATCCGCGGCGGCACCGCTTTACGGTCTATGCTCATCACTGGTGTCGTAGCTGCCGTGCTCGGCACAGAGACGCGAGCAGGAGACTTTGACGTCGTCGACGCTGTCTTTGCCTCCTTGCCCGCCTCCTCTCCTTCCAAGCCTTTGACGAGCGCAAAGAATGGCCGGGCAAAGCACGAAGGCGCAGCACAAGATCAATGGGTCGTCCTCATGAGCGGTCTCGCCATCGGAGGAGAAGCAGCGCTCGAATCCGAGCTCTCGATGCAGGTCCTAGTTGAATACCTCAGCGGCGAGCTCGGTGGCGACGACGACCGTAGCTCGGCATCCAACATCGTAGCAGCCGTGATTGCTGGCAACTCGCTCGCGCCTCCCACACGCACCGAAGAAGAAGACAAACCCAAGCGGTATGGTCAAGATCAACCCACCTTCTCCTCAGCGCCCACTCTGGCGCTCGACCAGCTCCTCACAGATCTGTGCTCCACCATGCCAGTTCACCTGCTGCCCGGCGAGCGAGACCCAGCATCGACAGCAGTGCCACAGCAGCCGATCCACTTTGCCCTGCTCCCCCGCGCCGGTCGCTTCGACTCGTTGCATCGTCACACCAACCCGGCATGGGTTTCCATCGGCGACCGCAAACTACTCGGCACGTCTGGCCAGAACATCGACGACGTCTTCAAATACGTCGACGAGACTGACGATGCACGTATCGAGATGGCGCTCCGCACGCTGGAGTGGGGCCACCTGGCTCCGACTGCACCGGACACGCTGTGGTGCTACCCGTTCAAGTCGACGGATCCGTTCGTGTTGAAGCACCGACCGGATATTCTCGTCGTCGGCAATCAGCCTGCGTACGCGAGCGCCGTCTACAAGAGCGATGGTGAGGCTGCAGCAGGAGAAGACGACGACACAGAGGACAAGGGCTGCAGGGTGGTACTGGTACCCGAATTCGCCAAAACCAAGCAGGTCGTGCTGCTCAACCTCTCTTCGCTCGAAACAAAGCTCGTCTGCCTCGAAACACCGCTTTGACCACCTCACTTCTTTTCTATGCACGCAATGGACACATCCTATCAGGCTTCCTCGACTCCTTATTCCATGATGTTTGCATTTCTCAATCCTGCTATCGAGCGATCGCCTCGGGCAGCCCCACCTCGCTCATGCGCTCCCACAGCCTCCTCTGTCTGCGCAGTGCATTGCCCGCGTCCACCTCGGCCGACGCCTCGCCCTCGTCCCACATGCTCAGGTTGCTGTACTGCCCCGCGGCGTTGTTGATCAGGTCTCGAAGGGCGTCCCACTCGTCGAGCACCATGCCGGCGAGCGCGGTCGGATGGATGGTGGGCACGTTGAGGGAGGGATCCCATTCGCGTTCGAGGTCTTCGAACGTTGCGTCCAGCCCTGTGGCTAGGCCGCCTGAGGTGTCTGATGGGGAGGGTGGGGAGAGCGGGCCGGAGTAGAGGGGGAACGATTCGGCGAGTCGCGCGCGGAAGACGGTGCTGCGAGCGTAGGCCGTTTGAATGGTGAGGCGGCGGAACTTGTCGTTCTTGCTCGGTCGGGCGGGTGCAAGGCCTTCGGACAATTCGAGCGCAGAGAGGTCCGCCCAGAGCTCGGCGGTGCGATCGACGTGGGCTGGTGGATGCGGCGACGGCGTCACTGCCCCTGTTGTCGGTCCAGAGGTGTCCGGTGTCGGTGCAGGTGTCTCGGCACTCTGATCTGCGTCGTCATCGCCTATTGTGGGCGCTGCTGGTGGCGCATCCGTAAAATGCCTCCTCGGCCGCTGCAATAACCTTCTCAGCACGTTGGTGTCCCTGTTCATATCACCGTAGTCCTTCGGTGCGGACCAGATCAACCACTCCAGATCTGCCAACGTCCTGATCTCATCTGCCTCCTCGAACGCCAGATTCGTATCCACAATCCTGAGCACCCGGACCTTCCTGAAGATGGGTGCTGAGAACCCGCCGACAAAGCTGTGCGGGTTGACACTGGTCAACCTGACCGGCTGGCATGCCGAACCGTACGTATGTGCCGCATGCAAGCTGAGCAGCTCTCCCGCCAGCGCGACATCTTGCAGCTTCCTGCACGAACGCAGAATCGTGCGTACCGAGGTGTGCACGCGTTCTCGCATGTCTGTGATATACGCAGCCTCGTGGTAGGATGGAGGCGACAGCGCGGTGATCAGGTCCGAGGAGGACGACTCTGGGCCAACCCACAGTCTACGGACGTGACGTGCCAGCTTGGTGTTCGACTTGACGAGCGTCGCGAAAGCGTGGATCGTGGACGAGGAGCATAAAGCTATCGTGCTGTAGAGCAACGGCGAAAGACGTTCATAGTAGTACTTGGACAAGCACAGGAGCCGAAGCTTTGCGGTGTTCTCCGTCGCAGTGCAGGCGGCGAACTCGAGGATCGATGTGATGAGCTCGCTAGGCAGAGACGATGCGAGCTGGCGAAGTCGCAGAGCGGCTTGTTCGGCCACTTCATCGTTGCGCGTGTTGGAGGAGACGAGCTTCGTGGTGGCGGAGCGCTTCGTCTTGCCCGTTCCCGAGCTCGCCTTGGTCGGAGCGGGCACCATCGTCGCCGGAATGAACGTCTCTGGAGTGGCTATGGATTCATCTGGGTTACTGTTCCAGGGACGGGGGGTCTGAGTGGAGATGATGGTTGGTCCTCGGTGGCGTGAAGGAGAAGAGCGGAGCATAAGGTTTCAGGCTCGTAGCCTCCACTTGCCCGTCTCCCGATTTTGGATTCGCTGTCAAGGGTCTTGAACTCAGCCTTGACTTTTTGCACTTCCTCCTCTTCCCTTCCCACGACCACCATCCCCTCACCCCGTCTGCGGTACACGTCAGTACCCGCACCCACCTCAACATGGCGGACCGCAAAGCGCTCAACCACTATTACCCACCGGACTTCGATCCGGCCAAGATTCCCCGCCGCAAAGCGCCCAAAGACGCCCAGCAAACCGTTCGTCTCATGGCCCCCTTCTCGATGCGATGCAACACGTGCGGCGAGTACATCTACAAGGGCAAAAAGTTCAACGCGCGGAAGGAGCTCGTCGTCGGTGAGGACTACTACGGCATCAAGATCTTTCGCTTCTATATCCGATGCACCCAGTGTTCCGCAGAGATCACGTTCAAGACGGATCCCAAGAATGCGGATTACGTCGCGGAGCATGGGGCTAGCCGGAATTTCGTACCGACCAAAGAGGACGATGAGGACGAGGGGGAGGACAAGCTGCTGACAGAGGAGGAGAAGCTTGAGAAGAAGCTCGAAAAGATGGAGGGCGATCCGATGAAGCAGTTGGAGGCGAGGACGTTGGACTCGAGGCGGGAGATGGAGATCCTAGATGCGTTGCAAGACATTCGCACGCGCAATGCTCGTTTGGAACGAGTCGACACAGATGCTGTCCTCGCAAAACTTCACAACAGGGTTTCCGGCCCGTCTGCGCCAGACGCAGGTCTGACAGCCCAAAGCATCGAAGACGCAGAACAAGCAGCAGCCGAGGAGGAAGACGAAGCCCTGGTGCAAAAGTACTTCGGCAAAGCGCTCGACACTTCCAATGCAGCTAACGGCAACGGCGTAACAGTCAAGCGAAAGCTCGAGGAGGAAGCCGAGGCCGAACCAGACGTACACACCTTGCTCGCCCTGAAGTCCGCTGCTGTCTCGAACCCGGTGGGCACCACAAATGGCAGCAGCAGCTCCTCAAAACCCAGCACGGCCTCGGCGCCCGCCGCTAAGAAGAAGAAGAACGCGCCGAACGCCTTCGGTCTCGTTCGCAAGAAGAAGTGACCCTGCATCCCTGTATTTGTAACCTCGCATGCGCTTTCGTTCATTTGATACCCGGCTTGCCCTCATTGTCATCTAGCTCATATGATCATCCGCCTCGGACGTTGTTTGTTGTCCGTTTCAGCTCGGCTTATGCGATGTGTCGAACTTGACTGACGAGCCGGAAAGGAAAGAAGGGCTGCTGCATAGTCACAAGATTGTAATCGCGGCGCAGCGGATCGGGAGTGGGGACCCCGATTTGGCTGTGGATTTAAGGGGCTGAGCGGCCGCGGTGGTCGTCGTGGGGTGGAGGAGAACAACACCAGATCAACACTTTTGGCGCTTCCATCTTTGTCGAACCGACCTTCATCTTCTGATCCTCGCAAGCGACTGGAGATGGCAACGGCAGCGCCGATACAAACATCACAACCAGCATTGCCATCCATCATGGCTAGCCAGACGCGCCACACCGCCTCGTCGCCAACATCCGCGCTCAGCGGCGCAACTTCTCCCATAGGTCCATCCTCATCCAATCCACGGACAAGGTGAGTCTCGCTGTCTTCTTTGTCGACCAGAAATCATCAGACGTCACTGATGACGCTTTGTTCGCCTCTCCTGTCTCGCAGATTCGACGCAGCACAACTACAGCCACATCTCGCCAGCACCCTGTCACAACGACTGCGCAGTGCATCATGGGACAAGTCGGACAAGGAAAAGAACCGCGCACTGAGCCGGTCCATAGCTGAAGTCATCAAGAGCAAGATGCTTGGTGAGTCGGGACGTAGGGCGACTGAATGTCAAGCGGACCGTCATGCTCATCTCTGCTTTATTGTCTGCTCACATCGAACGCTGCGAATCAGAGATCGAGCCAAAAGGTACAATTCAAGCACACACCGGAGCGCAGGTAACAAGAGCAGCACCAGCTCAACGAAATATCTTTTTCATCCGTCAGGCTTCAAGTACATTGTCCAGGTCCAGCTCGTCGAGAATCTAGGGCAAGGCGGAAGGTGCGTCCATTCATCTCCTTTAGCGCACACGGAAAGCTCGACGTCTGACCCTTTGCTTTCCCGCCGCCTGCTTCGGTGCATCCAACGCTGACCCGTCGTCTACAGAGGTAGGTGCATTCCTTCCCAGCCAAAGCATGCCGTAGAATGTAACGCGTGGAGCGATGATCTTGACTGCCCAGCCATTCCCCCGTCTACGCTTGCACCTACAGCCGACCTCGCGTGTCACTGGGAAGACACCGACAGCGTGATCCAAGACATGTATTCCAACGTGAGTGGCGGCCGTCTTCCTCTCTGTTGCAGAATCCATCCAGCCGAGATCATGTCAACTGATTTCCCTGTTCCTTCCCGTGGTCCGCTTCTGGCTGACGACAACGCTTACATTGCCGCGCGTGCCCTCGTTCCGCAATGCAGGACACGCTCATCTGCACCGTCTTGTGTTTTGCCATCCGCGCATGAATGCGTTTTTCTCCCGTTCGATGTCCTCTGCTGTCGATCTTATGTTCGTGAAAGCATGCTGACTGAGTTGCTACTGTGTCCGAGTGGATAAGGGTACAAAGATGGGGTATATTCATTCTTGACCAGGTGCCAAGCGCCGTCGGAGCTTGCTAGGCATCCTCGAGGTTCCTATCAAGAAAATCCCTCAGCTTTTCGAGCAGATGCGTCTTTACATGGGGCGGTATTGTGTCTGTTGCGCGGCATCGTCATCAGAGTGTCAGCACAACCATCCCATTCCCCCCTATCCCCTTGCCCATATTTTGGTCGTTCGAACGTACCTTTGGCATGCGGCGTCAACACGTCGATCAAATCAGGGACGCTGAGCACGGGCTGCTGCTTCGCTTTGCCCGTTGCAAAGGACTGGAACTCGTTCTCCCACCCGGACTCGTCGAGCATGCGTCGCAACAGGATGAGCAGCCGCTGCCATTCGCCCGATGCGACGAGGCGCTGGTGCAGCGCGTTGTAGAGTTCGTCGTTTCCGGAAGAGGAGGAGGCAGAGGGGTTGAGTTCGCCCTCTTCCATTGTTGCTGTTTGATGCAGTGGCGATGTTGGAGGAGACAAGATAGAGGTAGGGTTGAGGCGAGGATAGGGATGTGGTGGATGTGTGACCCGCGATGATGGATGATGGTCAAGGTGGCTTTGCGTTTCGGAAATCGGATTTGTGGAGAAACGCCAGCGCCAAAAAAAAAGGCCGCTTGCTCCAAGAAGAAAGCAGGAGCGGGCGATCCGGTTGAAAGAGAACAACACGCCTTGTCCATGCGATGCGGCTGTTCCGATGAGCCCTTTTCGCTTCCATCCCGCCGAATCACGATGCTCACACGTATCTTCCGTCGGCGTTTCTTCGATTGCTGACTCAAAAGACTGCTGCTGCTGCTCCGCTTCGCCTCGTAGTCGATGTCAGCATGTGCAAGCAAGGTGGCTGAGTTCATTCCTGCCCATCTCGAGCCTCAGAGACAGCTAAGCGGTCACCTCGGCCTTCCCCACGATCGACCTCTTCAAGCTTGGGAGCCTGAATGGACCGTGAGAACAGTCACGAGATGTGTTATCGGCGCTGAGCGTCAGCGGAACGATGAAGCAGCCAGCTGTAGTGATTCATGAAAACGATGAACACCAGCCTGATGCCGTGATGTGAGGTCTTGCTTCTCGAAGGACTGCGGACCCATTTCGCTAAGCGCCCAGTTGCCCTCTCTGCTGCAGGTACGTATTGAAGCCATATCGCAATGCTGCTGCCACTTCACCAAGGAAGCATTCGGTGGCCAGCGCAAAGAGATTATCACCTCAGCTTCTGTCCGATTTGACAGGCTTTGATTGTCATGCTGAAGGTAGCAGCCTGGATCGATGTCACAGAACTCCACAGCGAAGTCAGGTGGGAGGCGCAACTCAGGAGCTGTGTGCATGGGCGCGAACAAAGCCACGTTGAAGCATGCAAGGGTAAGCACAATCGTGATGACTTTCTTTTTTCGCAATCGAGAATAATGCAGTGCAGAGGGCGGAGTCGGAAACGAGGGCGTTTGACGGCTGCGACGTTGGGGTGCTTGCAATGCGCATTCCCGTGCGCCCTCGGGCATGGTAGACGGGGTTCTATCTGGTAAGGCCTAGAGAGAACAACTTGATCTCAGAATATCCGCTGAGGCCGAGCAAGTGACGGCCATCGATGCCGGTTAGTGCGGATGAGATCTCAAGGGTCCTCGTCTTGGTGAGCTCAAGGGCGCCGGGTTAGCTGATCAGCGTGAATGGAAGGTGGAAGCATGCAGCCGAGTCGTCTAAGTGAGATCGCTTAGCTAGTCTCTAGATCCAAAGGGCGAATTCTGTTCGGAAAGGTTCCATCCCATCTCGTCTCTGCTTCCTAGCCGAGTCGGAACTACATTAGGTCGGATGAAGAGTGAGCTTGGAAGGAGGATGTGCGAAGTACGCTCGGCAGCCTTCCACTTCCGACGGGAGACAAGAACGACGGCACCCCACCCAGCGAGGTCCCTGCGGCAGGGTGTATGTTTCATACGCGGAGGGATGCAAATGTGTGCGTGTCTCAAGCATCATGAACAGGCGGAATCTTGCATGTCGTCCTAGCGTGCTGGTCTGACTGTCGATGATCTCTCATGGCCAAAACGCTCGCTTGGGAAAAGGCCGCCCATCGTCGATCAGCGAATCTGTTTGTTGTTTGAGCGAGGACCCCCATTTTAGTCAAGTTTTGATTTTTTAAAAAAAGAAAAGAAGGCGCAAACAGAACGGTTTCAGGGCAGTCAGTCCCTTGAAATTTGCCTTCGGCTACCCCGCTTAGAGAGGGCCTCGCTTGGAAGCACGCTTGGCCTCGGTGTGGAAGCATGCACAAGGTGTGGCCGCCGCTGCAGCAGCAGCACCTTGGTTAAGGCTCTTTCTGCGTTATGACAAGGCGATGACTTTTGCTCGCCGGCGATCTGCGATGCACCAAGGACCCTGCTTTCTAGATCGCCTTCCCACGCCATTCGAGCTGCCTTTCTCAGCCTTGCAGCCGTTCCGATGCCTGTCGCTGCTCGTCTCGTCGGATGACTGAGCTGACACGCCTGACCCGACATAGATTGAGAAGGTCACTGCGGACCTGGCCGCGACAAGTGGGCGAATCACAGTGCAGTGGATGCGTGTGCCTGTCCAAACCTTGCATTGGACCCTCTCCGCCGCATGACAGACAATGGGGATTGGTCTTGTATCGCTGTGCAGCTAACTACTCTGAATGAGAGCACGCTACTGTCACATTCACCCACTCGGCTCGTATGCAACTAGATGGGAGCATCTTGGTCTCCCTCCACCATCTCGACCTCCTTCCCTTCAGACTCCACCCCCTGTCCGCCTTGTTCTCGCAACGCCTCTCCCGGAACACAACTTTCTCTCGACCCTGCTCGGAACCTTGTGCAGCTTAGGCTCAACACGTGCTCTCAACTACCACCCCCCAAGCACCGGCAGCACTCACCTTCATACCCGACCTCTCGGTCACCTTTGCTCCATCGTATCATCAACCATCTGGCCGCGCTACTTCGCCTGGACTCTGTCGTACAATCCTTCCTGCACTTCCCTGCTTCATCTCTTCCGGCCTCCTGCATGCAAGCCAAGGGACCACCTTGATACATCATTAGATTCCGTCGGAACCTCGCTCCCACCTTCGCATTCTCCTGCACCTCTTGTGACACATCTCCTCAAGCTATCCGGTTATCACATTATCTCATTTCCGGCAGCCCACTTCGTCGACCGACCCCGACATTCTCAAAGGAAAGCCTTCATCAGATCATCCCTTTCTTCCTCGCGAAGCTTCGCAAGAGCTCGAGCGTTCAGGCAATCCAGATCCTCTCTCCGTCCACCTCACGATTCGACTCAATGCTCCATGCTCCTCCTCTGAGCTAACAGGGTCACCTTCAACACAATGACCAATCTAGGGGCGCTGGAACCGTCGCTGTCATCCACGAGCGTAGAGTTACTCGACGACAACGACAGCGTTCACGTCCGCAGCAAGGTTCTCGCTCTTCGTCAGAGGAAAAGGGCTGAGCTCTTAGCCGCCGCAGGCCTCGGCATCAAGGACGCTCTGCCTGCCAGCCTCAATCGCTTCACCTGGGTCGGCGTCGATGAGCTCACCGAGCAACCTGAAGCTTTCGCCTCGTCTACAAGAACCGCATGTCTTCCCGATTCCCGCGGCAGCGACGAAGACACGGACAATGACAGTACCATCCTAGGCCACATTCAGCAGCTTCCGCTTCCCCCTCGACAGTCTACCCCAGACCATCACGCGCGGCAACGTTCCCGCCCCTCTTTTGCTTCCGAAGACGCTGCAAGTAGCTCCCAAGACTCTGGCTCATTGTCGAGACGCTTGTTGGAAGACGATGATGATGCGCACAGCCTACATACTACCTCAGCCACTGAGACATCCTCAGGTCCTCCTTCGCGTCGTGGCTCGGGTGCGCCTGCGAACGTCCCTTCTCATCGTCGCTCAAAGCACAATTCTGGCAAGGACTCATCCAAGTCAGGACCTTCCTCTCTAGCGACTAGTAGACCTCTCGGTCCGCCTCCGAGCCTGCCGCTTCCCCCCAAGCCGCTCTCTTCGCCGCATGCTCGCAGTCCCTCCGCTACGCAAGAAGATTTCTGGCCCTCACGAAGGTCCAGTCACGCCTCGACAAAGACGGCCGATTCCTCACGATCTTCGGCCAGTGGTCGCTCCAGCTGGAAAAGCAACTACCCGAATCTAGCATCCTCACCCCTGCTTCCCACCCCGAGCGACCGTAGCAACACCTCGGATCTCTCAGAGGACGAGCTCATCAGCATTCGCGGCATCTCCAAGCAATTCCCGTCCCCCACCTCCGCTCTCGGTGCTCCTCCCACATCGAGCCTGCACCCGCACAGACGAAATAGCTCGCGAGCCAGTAATCGCTCAGAATCGTCTGCTGGGGGCTCCCGAATGCATCGAAAAGTCCTCAGCACCATCCTCGACACTGCATCGGATCATCCTGTGGAGACCGATCCTGTCCGAGGCGAAGACAGCAGTGACGGCGCGCTCTCAGATGTGCTCGATCTCGCCGACAACAAAGGCACCCTCCGCACAAGGAAGCCGAATCGAAAAGCCTTTCTGCCTCCCAGTGTCGCTGTGGCCCGAGTCGGTCTGGGTGCTCCCATTCTCCTGCGACGCAGCTCAGAGCAATCCTTGCGTTCTCCGAACACAACAAGGGCCACCAAATCACCGGGCTCGGAGCAAGCTGGAACCAGACGAGATGCGAAAGGCGAGCGGGAGCATGTCGCTACACGTCCAGCAGAACGACCGAATCATCAGCGCAGTGCAAGCATGTCCAGGAGCATGAGCGAGCTCATGGCCGCTCTTGATCTCGAAGCGAGCGAATGGGGCCAGCGGGTTGGCGGCTCAGACATTGCGGAACCCAGCACGAGATCGGGTGGTACAACGCAAAGAAGGGAATCGCACGTGCTCGACGGCCAGCTGCGCAGACCTTCGATCGACCAAGATTGCAGTGGTGCCGTCCAGCCGCAGCTTCCCAACTCGGATTCAATTCCCACTCTGAGTCCATCCGGATCGCAAGAGGTGTCGCTGGATGACTCACGCGGTCCAGCCACCGCCGAGTCATCGCTCATCCGTTCTGACAGCGCAAAGACGATTCCTTCCCTTGCTGGCAGTAAGGATATCGTGACGGAGACTGCCGATGGCGACTTCAACTCTATCTACAACGCATATCGCTTCTCTGCCAGCACTGTGGCGTCCCGCCTCACTGCACCTGTCCTTCGCATCGAAGACCCTCAGGGTGACGAGGTGTCTGACTCGGAGCTTGAGCGCGATGCTGCCACGGCCGACGACGTGCCACGGAAGAGGACCAAGCCGAGCCGCAAGAAGAGTCTCGGCTTCGAAGAGCAGCGAGCCGCGTTGCGAAGCCGCCCTTCCTTGGCTCAACGCTCCGCATCGCTGTCCTCCAAGCCAAGCCGGTCCTTCCTTTCTACCTTGGTACCTACTGAAGAGGAGGAGGACGGATCGACGTCAGACGATGCGCCCCCTTCGACAGCCGGTGACGGTGCCGATCCGTACGCCTTCTACGAGTTCTCCCCAAGCTTGCCGCCGTTCATGCCAGCAGGGGTGTCGCCCATGGACTTGACCGGAAGAGGGACTTGGTCCAGCATCGTTGCCCGCGCTTCGGACAATATGCGCTCGCGTCAGCCCTCCGTGGTGTCCCTTGCCTCGACAGCGACCACAGCGACCGGACCGATGTCTATGCGCGAAATCCGAGCCAACGCCCACGCCAAGCAGAGACAAGCCGACGCTGCTCATCGTGCGCGCGAGCAGATGTCGAGTCAATTTGCTTCCATGAGCTACCGCCCTTTCGCCATCCACGACCATGCAGCGTCCGTCATTGCAGGGCAGGCACGGATGTCGATCGACAATCAGTCCTTCTTCTTGTCGAACATGGGTTCTGGCAGTCCCATTGAAGATGCGGTCTCCGGGCGAAGCACGTCGATGAGCAGCATCAGCTACACGAGCACGTTGTCCCCCGATCTTGGCGAATACGGCACGCGTTGGCCGGTCGCCATCGGAGCAGACCAGAGCGTCGGTCCTGAGGACGCTGCGTCCATTTTCACCACAAATCCGTGGTCTCTGTCCAGAAGCCCTTCTTCGGCTCAGCCACAGCCGAGGATGTATGCCGAATTCAGCATGCAGACTTCACCGCAAGCATCGCCCACCGAGCCGACCTTTGCGATTTCCGACTCGCTCACCGTCGACGATGAACTCCATCGTACGGATGTGCAGGTCGGGAGCGAGGCAAGATTGGGCCCCGCTGCTTCATCTGGCCTCCAGGTCGCCTATCGTGGGGTTGACGTTCCTCTGCGACGTCGAAAGAGCGCTGCCTCCATCCTCAGCGCCCACAACTTGGATGCCGAGCTCGACCAGCCTGGTCTGTGGCCCTCGCAAATCCGAGCGCCGCGTCTGTCTTCTTACAGTCGGCGACGCAGTGACGATGGCGACTTTGCCGCAGCTGCACCGAGCCACGAGACGGACAGTGACGAGGAATCCGACTTGGACGTCAATGCCAACCTTGAAGATCTGGCGGAGCGATCCGGCATGCTCGAGGTTTCGCGCGGCGCCAAACGCAAGGTACCGTCGGTCGCGATCGAATCACAAGGGAAGGCGTCTGGCGACTCAAGCATGGACCGCGTCATTGCTTCCATCCCAGCGAGGTCTCGCCGCATCTCGGCTGCCTTGGATCGCATCCGTGCACAGCGCGTCTCTCGCAGCGCAGGCTGGGCGGGCTCGGATGACGAAGGCGACAGTGAGAGCTCCATCGTTCCCAGCTTGCCGCGCAGGACAAGCAGTCTCAAACGCCGTGCCCTTTCCAAAGGTGCCTCCGTCAAAAGCAACGACAACGTCAGCGTTGCGCTTTATCCGGAGTCAAGTTCGCCTGTCAGCGTTTCGAAAGGTGCTGCTTCATCACCGTTGTCGCTCCGGGTGCGGTCCCCGAGTCCTGATCTCAGCATCCTGACCCACGCGAGCGACGATGAAGAGATCCTTCTCACTTCTCATGTGGACCTGGACACCGGCGACCTCTCCCACCAGGCGATCCTGGACGACGAGTTCGACATGATGGTCGGTCAGTCGATCACATCGCGCTTCTCTCGGTCCAAGCCTGGATTCAGTCCTGCGATGATGCGACGTGCCAGCAACGAATCAGGAAGCGCAGAGAAGCAGACCTCTCCGAAGGCCAGTGGAGGCGTGTCCGGTGACGCGGAACATAGCAGCGATTCGCAAGAGACAGTTCACCAGCGCTCCGGCTCCAGACCTGCCTCGAGGAGCAGCGTATTGGACATCCTCGAGCAAGCCGATGAGCTGCTCTCGTCCACTGATCACACGATCGGACACAGCACAGGCCATGACACCATCATCAGCGATACGGGCGGAACGATCGGTCACGGTGGCCGGAAAGAGGGTCTGATGGCTGGCCGTGTCTCGCCGAAGTTGGTCAGCACCTCAGCTGTCGATGTGACTACGAGACTACCACACTACAAGGACGATAATGACAGGGATCAAGCTATGACAGCCGACGACACATCAGCTAGGGCGCAAGACACCCCTGACACCCGCGCCGGGTCCGAGATCTGGACGAGCTTCCATCTCGATCGATCCAGCAATGCCTCTACCACTTCGACGTGGTCGCACCCGAGTGGGGATGACTCGCCGTCGACTACCCTCCCAAAGATCAACGAGCTCGCACCTCAATCAGCGCCTGCAGCGGTCGATTCGGCGTCAAAGAGCCCAAGCATGGTGCAGCAGCCTGCTGTCCGTGCTAGTCCGGTATTGCGCCGAAAGAGCAGTGCGCTTCCTGTCCCGACCGCTCGATCTTCGCTTCAGAAGCCGTCGCGACCGTCGCTGCCACTTCCAGCCAAATCCGCAACACCACCGTTTGCACAGGCTGACAGCAGCGCAAGTCAAAGTGGGGCATCTGCAACAAAGCTGGCAATGAGACGCAATCAGAGCCTCGCCAACCTGCGACCGCTGACTTTGACCAGCAAGAGCACGAGCGATGCCACACCGTTGAAGGACGCTTCTGCAGCTCGCAATGCCAGGCTTCCGGCTCGCTACAGTGAGGGCTTCTACACGTCCACCCCTTCGAAGGCGATTCGGAGCGTTGGAGGAGGTATTGCGCCATCCAAGCTGCCGAGTCTCAGGGCGACCGCAAGCACAACGTCGTTGCGAGCACGAGCCGTCGCCGACAGCTTGCCCGTTCCGAACGGGGTGAGACGCAGCCGGTTGCCGTCGCCTGGTGCGGTCCGTGCTAGCGGTCTTCCTCGCCCTTCGCTGACGTAGATTGGCTCACATGCCAAGGCGATCAGTGTGCTTCTTCTTTATACCACGGGATCGTCTCGATCTCACCCACACTTGCTTGTTCTTTTGATACCCTTGTTTGCTCCATCTAAATTGCCATAGAGCCTGCGTGGACAGCAGAGTATACCATATCGACTTAGAGTGTCATGACGTCGTGACAGCACCTTGAGAATGTCCGGCTGCTTTCGTGTCGCAGAAGCGCATGTGCGGTACTCCAGCAAAGCGCTCGAATGCTGAGGGACAACGTTCGCTTTGCTCGGCACGCTCGATATGCATTACCGTGATTTTATGATACAGACCGCGCAGCTCAGGGCGGTGTCGTTGCCGAGATCTCCTCCACTCGCAGTCGCACAGCCTGTCTCTCGGCCTTCACCATCTTCGTCGATCCACAGAGCTGCTCGTGGACCAGATTGCCAAATTCACTACGATGAGCGACACTGCGACAAAGAGCCAGACCTACACGCAAGGCCACTCCGAAGCAGTGCTTCGGTCGCATGCCTCGCGCACCGCTGAAGACTCTGCCGCGTTTCTCTTGCCGCACCTCAAACGCGATGCTTACATTCTCGATGTAGGCTGTGGACCGGGCACGATCACCACTTCGTTCCTCAAGCACATCCCCAACGGTCGCATTGTCGGGGTGGACACTTCGGCGGATGTCATCGGCTCGGCGGCGAAACGTCTTTCCAGTCTGCCCGAGTCGGACTTGGGCTCACGATGCACCTTCGCCATCGCATCCGCATACGATCTGCCCTATCCCGAGAGCACCTTCGATGTGGTCTACTGCCACCAGATGCTGCTGCATCTGCCCGAACCGGTGCGGGCGCTGCGCGAGATGCGTCGCGTGTGCAAACCCGACGGTCTCGTCGCTGCGCGAGAAGGCGATTTTTCCGCATCCATCGTCTACCCTTCCCTGCCCACCACGCAGTTATGGCTCGATACGGCAGGCGCAGTGTTCCGCTCGATCGGCGCGGAACCCGATGGAGGACGAAGACTCGTCCGTTGGGCCCTGGAAGCCGGCTATGCATCCGAACAGGTGAGCTTCTCATCGAGCAACTTGGGAAGTGGCGGTCCAGCGGCGGCCCAGTTTTGGGGACACATGTGGGCCGAACGCGTCGCGGCGGACGAATGGAAGGAGAAGGCGGTGAAGACTGGGCTGGTGACGCACAACCAGGTCGAACAGATCAGAGAGGATTGGTTGAAGTGGAGCGAGAGGGAGGATGCGGTGTTTCTTACACCCTGTGGTGAGGTGCTGTTGCGCAAGTAAAGAAGCAATCTCAAGACGTAAAGCAAGCAAATTCAAGATGCGAACGAGCACCGACTCGGCGCGTGGCTTGATCGACCATGCACCGAATCTTCCCATGTCGACGCCGACACCGCCGGCGTCATCAGGCACACACATACCACCGCGGCAACCACACATGCAGGCTCTTGTCAACATTGACGCCGTATCATTGCAAGTCATGATCATTACAAGGCGCCAACAGACACCGCGCTTAGTTGGGCAGCAAGTTGGAGATGGATCTCCAGTAGTCGCATCGACGACCGCGGTAACCCTCCCAGCTGTATGCGTCGACCTTTGTGAAATCATTCCTCAGGCCAGGATCCGTCAAAACAGTGGCATTGGTTGAGAGGAAGGGCATGCTCTCCGGGGTCCCGCCGGTCTGATTGAGGTTGATCTGATAGCGCGAGTGCGCCGAGTACTTGGGCCAATTCTCTGCCGCGTTGGGCTGCGAGTCAGCCGAAGCGCTGTAATTGGAGCCGTACGCCAGGGCAGCCGAGATGGACGGGTCATCCTTGGTGACAAAGTTGCCGTAGATGTTCATGAATGCCTTGACAAAGTCGGCAGACTGCACGGCGGAGGGGGGACCAAAGTAGCCCACCACATCATTGCCGTGCAGAGCGGGGACGACGCTGTACTGGTAGCGGTAGGAGGCACGGCCGGATCCAGAGTAGGCCTCCGACATCCAGTAGCTCGGGCAGACGAACGTGAGCTCGCCATAAATGTTCTGCACGGAGGGAGATACGATCGCAAGAGGAAATCATTAGGTCAGCTTCAAAAGTAGGGAGACGGACTCGATGAACAGGATCAAGTGTAACTCACGTCGGCTCTGGCCTGCTGACCGGTGGCGACGGGCGAGACGCTGTTGGCGTCGGGCATCTCGAAGCCGTTGGTAGCATACTTGGTGGTGACACTCGTGTCAACGGGGTAGTGAAGCAAGAGCGTTTCGATGTCCTCCTTGGTCAAGAGCGGCAACAAGGTGCTCAACCACGTCTTGAGTTTCTCCTCCGTGTCGATGTCCCTGGGCACAAAGAGACCTCCTTCGGCAGCGTTGTTGCCAACGAGCAGGTGCTTTCCGTTGACCCGTCGCTCGTTGAGCTGCTGCGAGGGGACGCTGAGGATATACTTTCCATCCGTAACGGGGAGGAAGGACCACGTGCCAAAGAAGCTGCTCGCAGATACTTTGACGTTAGCCTGTTGAAGTGTCTGCGTGTCCTTGGTGAGGAGGCACTCGAAGATGTTTTGAGCCGTCTTGCCGTAAGCGGTGCCATTGAAGCAGCCAGCCTCGGCGGCAAAGGCGTAGTACGACTGCGAAGGCTCAAAGTCCTTGTATCCGAACTGGAGCGGGAGGTAGGGACTGGCGGCGATGACGTTCTTGAAGAGGGAAGTGCCGAGCGTACCACCCTGAGCAAGCGAATGGAGCATCACGGAGCCTCCGCCGGCCGATTCACCAGCGATGGTGACGTTGCGCGGATCGCCGCCGAATTGCGAGATGTACGCCTGGACCCACTGCAAGGCAAAGTGTTGATCGAGAATACCAGCGTTGACGACACCATAGCGGCTGAGCTCGTCGGATGCGAGGAAGCCAAAGGCACCAAGACGGTACTGGATGGCGACGCCAACGAAATCGTTGTTGTTGGCGTTGATGATCGAGGTGAAATCGTATTGGCCATTGCCCGCGCCATACCCACCGCCGTGAATCCAAACCATGACGGGCAGCCCGCTGGCATTTTGAGGGGCGAAGACATTGAGGAAGAGGCAGTCCTCGTTTGCCTCGAGAGCCTCGGAAGTGACCTGGTATTCAGGGTTTCCAAACGGGTTCTGAGGGCACTGCGAGCCATACTGACTAGCGTCGATGACGTTGCTGCGGTTGAGGGAAGGAGGTTGAGGAGCTTGCCATCGAAAATCGCCGGTAGGCGGGGCGGTGAAGCGGATGCCTTTCCAAGAGTTGATGTTGGTGCTCGAGTTGAATGTCCCTCTGTACTGGGAGTAGCCGAGGTCGACGGTAAGGTCATCGGCGTTGTTGGTCGACTCGCGCTTGGCAAGAAGGTCTGCGAACGGTTGAGAAGCGATGGGAGAGGCGGTGGCAGAAATGGCGAAGGCCAAAGCGAGCGCCGCCAAGAGACTGCTCCGAAGCAGCGTCTGAGACTTGAACATGATGACGAGGGTGGCAAAGAAGGGGGGGTAGCGTACACGGGGAAGTCGACACGAGGCAGCGATTTGCTCTCTATATATGCTCAAGCGCGATGAACGAGCACCGGCGACCCTTCCGAGATCTCCTTTTCCTCGAGCTTGAGGTTTCTCGACCAGAAGAGCGGGAGCAAGATTGCCGGAGCAGCGGCAACAGGAGATCATTCAGCAAAGCGAAAGGTCATTGATGTGTGGCACGCATGAATGTCTGCGGAGTTTCACACTGGACAAAGGGCCGGCGGGTCACTGCACAGAACGCATTGGCATCAAGTCACCTGAGCAGCTTGGTGACCGGCCTTGGCCTCCATATGGCCTGGCTCGGCTAGCTGATTCGTACAGGCGGTGACCGGCGAGCTCGCACAGGGCACGTCAAGTTGGCCGATGCTTGCCTTCGACAAGAAGAACAGCGGGGTCGGGCGCTTAGCCGAGGTGGAAAGCGGCAATCTTGCCAACAGAGGCCAAATTGGTGGGTTCTCGGCTATGCAAGCTAATGGAGGACGCTGGTGTGGTGTGGTGAAACAGCGGAGGCAGCGTTCGTCTACGCTTTTCCATTGGACGAGTAGCATCGCACAAAGATGGCATTGTTGGACAGGCGCCATGCAGCAACATGATTGAGATTGGCGGAGGGTGACGAATTACCGATGACAGTCCCTTTGTGTGATGTGCGCTGCTCTGCACAAAGGGACTCACGAATGTTCCGAGCTTGCTTTTTCTGCCATTGTTACCCGCTCGAGCCATCTTTTTGCTTCTTGCGCCATCAAGCCGACCCGATTATTGCCATTCGGTCTTCTTCATGTTGAGACCGCTGTTGTGATCTCAAGCGCCATCTGGATGGACCAACAACTTCCACACACTATCCTCACTATGTCAGCTTCAGCCTCGTCCGCGAGCCCAGGCCAGTGGGCCAAGGTGGTCAAAGTGACCGTCAATCTCACGAAGAAAGAAGGCGTGTCGGACCAAGAGTTCTCGCGCTACTATGCTCAGACGCACGGTGCTCTCGCTGCTCCTGTGCTTCTCAGGCACAACTGCATCTCCTATAGTCAGGTACGTCAGAACCCCGAACAAGCGACACAAACCATTCTTCCGAGCGCTGACACGAGATGCCGTTTGCCCGTACAGTTCCATTGCATGAGCGACAAGGCCAAAGACCCGATCATGTCCATCTTCGGTCCAGACGTGCTCGACCCACAGAATGCGGTGCAGATTGCCCAAGTCGATGGTTGCTCCACTTTTCTCTTTGCCAGCCTCGACGACGCACGCAGCTTCTTCCATGATCCAGAGACAGCGACCGTCCTTGCCGCGGATTCGACCAACTTCACCAACCCAGCCACCGTCCACTTTTCCATCGGGGACGAATACGTGGTGATCAAGGATGGCAAGATTCTCGACGCCTGATACGTGCGCGACATCAGAGATCAGACAGGACAGGAAAGCGCAGTTCCATTACAAATGATCGAACGGATACGACGAGCCCAGCCATTCATCGATCGACAACGCTCCCGACAAGATCCCGTCTAGCGAAGGAAAGAGCGATTGCTCCCCTTGCCAGTCGCTCTCGTTCGACGCAACCGTGCCGTCACCAACCGACAATGCCTCCACCGGCTTGCCTACCACATCGCTTGCCAAGCTAGAGAAGTTGTCCGAATCCAACCAGGTGTACGCCCCTTCCATGCCACCCATCCCACCACCAGCGCCGTTCCCATGTCCATTCCCATCGGCAGCACGAACATGGTTCCCGCCTGCCGTTGACGACACACTCGACTCGCGCGTGTGGTGCGCAGAATCGAATGCTTCCATCCGACGCTTCGCCTGATGCGCACCGATCGAGCCTTCGTCCATGCCCCGTTTGCGCTTGCATCTTGACGTGCTGCTAAAGACCTTCTGCAGCACATCCAAGAAGACGTCCTTGGTTCCGCTTGTATCTAGCCTCTCCTCGGCAATCCTTTCCAGGCCGCCCAAGCGAGCGAATGCAGCTCGAATCCTGTTTTCGGCGCTGAGCAGTTCTTTGAGGATGCGTCGCGAGTTGCGGGCCGCTTCGCTTCCCGGCCCCGCCTTGGACAGCAACGAGACCGCCGTGGACAAGCTCGCGCGGATCGAGGTCGCGTCGAGGTCCTGTTGCCGTGCGCAGCACAGCTCCATGACGAGCGCCATCGCAGCCCCGAGAAGGTAGAAAGTGCTGAGCCAGAACTTGTGGATGACGCTATCCTGGAGCGACAAGATGCGGATGATGCAGCTGGCCGAAGAGAGGCAGGCCTTGCGTGCAAACCGCCACTCGTCATCGGTGAAGCCCGAAAGCTGGTGAATGCGATGCAGCCGCAAGATGCGGTTGAGGTACATAAGTTCGAGCATGACCGACTCCATCGCTTGGTCTGGCTTCTCAAAGGTGCGATCCGGAGCGTAGCGCAGACAAGCGGGCGTCGAGTCATGCACCTCGTTGAGCTTGCTTACGAAGCGATGGATCTGGGCACGCGAGAGCGTAGGCCGCTCGTTGGACACATCGACAATCTCGCGGTAGATGGTAACGTAGCGCATGCGCATCGTGATGGCCGAAGAGTGGGTGTATACGTCAGGAGAATGGAGCGTGAGGCTGTCTTTGTGGATCTCGACGTTAGCGGGCAGGTTGGTGCGATTCTGCAAAGGATGAACCGAGTAGACACCAAAGTGGGCCACCGAATGCGACCAGTCGAGCCACGTCAAGTTCCACCAGATTCGTCGTCCGAGCTCCCGACGTGCTTCGGTCCTCATGCTCGCCGACGGTTTGTGCGGTGCACCGCCATGGTCCAATCGAGCGAGACCGATGTTTTGGGCCACTTTGATGGCCGAGCCGAGAAGGGCCCATTGACCGTCGGACTGCTCTTTGCGGTTGTGCTGATAGACACCGAGCAAACAGATGCAGGCTAGATGCTCGAGCTGTTGGGATTGAAGGAAGTTGGAGGACCACAGCAGCTGTTGACTGCCTGTGCAGAGCGTATCTGCGAGTCGGGAAGCCTCGCGTTTGGAGATGCCCACCTTTTCGAGCAGCGTGGCCTCTGAAAAGTGGAGCGCGATGGCGATGACGACAAAGTAGCAGCAGACCAGGGCACTCGGAACGGAAGATGTGGCGAGCTGTTCTGGCTTCATCTGCGATAGCTCCAAAAAGTCGGTGGGGCTTTCTGGAGGCAAGACGCGCGTGGTCCAGTCCACCTGAGCAAAGTAGAAGTCGAGGAGGATGTCGGTGTTGGGGGGAAGGAATTGGGCGAAGCGGAAAGCGACGTCTGCGGGAGAGTCTGCCGATCGCTGGTCGAGCACGTGTTCCTCGTCGGTTTCGGAGTCCTTGACTTCGCCATCCATGGCGGCGTCTACGGCGCCAAAGGGGAGACTTTTGAGTTTGAGCTTGCGGCCCATGGCGGCATCTTCGAAGAGGTCCTGGATGTCTTGGCCGACGGGAACCTCCTGCTTGGAGTGACCGGGGTGCGAGACTTCAAAGTCGTCCTGCTGATCGGCGCCAGCGAAGGTGGTGGAAGCAAGTCGAGCGTCATTGCCTTGTAGACGATTGGTGGATAGGTAGCGCTCCATGCGGTCCATGCGGGCTTCCAGACGATAGAAACGCTCTGCTTCTAGACTGATGAAGCGGTCGGAAGCGAAGTCGGAATCATGAACATCTAGCTTTGAAGAAGAGGACGAAGATGTTCGAGCAGCAGCTGTGGCACCCGAAGCAGAGACACCGGGAACATGGTGATCGGAAAAGGAGCTGCGATGAAGCAAGGGTGCCATTTCTCGCGTCGGAGAAGTGAGTGCGCCTGATGAGGTGGTGATGGAAGCGATGGTCTGCTGGACCTGAGTGCAGGAGGATGCATCACCGCGAATGACGCAAGGCGAGCAAGGGTACTTTTTGTCGCATCGTGTCTTGCGCTTGCGGCATTGGAGACAGCTGAGGTTCTTGACGCTACTGCTGCTGCTCTCCTGAAGATTGCTGGAAGGACCCGAAGCGGCTTGATTGGCAAGGGCTGTGGGCGAGATGTGCGTTGTATCCATGGTTGCGGATGGTGAGGTGATGAGGATGCCTGGTCCAAACAGCTAGCTTTGGGCCAACGGTAGAAAGGCGACCTGGTATCCCCCGGGCAGCAACGAAGCGTGACTGTCCAGGGCTCAGAGTGGGGGAGTTGCGGGTGTTGAACAGCTTGAAATCGCCGGCTGCGCGGGATATGTCAGTGGATTGCAGATCGACGTCGGAACCGAGAGGCAGAGGGGACAATAGGTACGGGCGGCTAGATGAAGGATGCGGAGCGACTTGACTCGATCGCCGCGTACGATGGCCGAAAGAAGGGCTTGAGTTATATAGACGGGGACGATGCGCGGACTTTGCAAGCTCGAGAAGTTGTCTTATTGTGGCGGTGGTTGAGGAGCTGCAAGGAGGGAAGAGCCAAGGTTGTCGCACAAGAAGAGAGCTTACTTTGCATGCAGGATGATTTTGCGGGGAAAGCGACTCTCTTATCTTTGCATCCGACGCATCAGCTGACAGCTCAATGGCTGCATCGGGTCGCTTACCGATGAATGGACGGGCGATGCCGAGTCAAGGCTGGCTGGAGAGGATGAGAACAGGGATTGTGCCCAGCTTGCCTGCCTCTTTGCCGGTCTGGCCTTATCAGCCGAGAATGTCGAGTCAAACTCGTCCCTCAAGCCCTATCATGAAGAGCGAAAAGGGTCCCATAGGGCGGATATGGAGTAACAGCGGCAACGCGAAGGGTGGGGTCTTCAAAATCAGGGTTCACCCGTAGCCGGACCAGATTCGCGGAGACGGTCCGCGGCTCGCTGATTGGGCCCAAATGCACTCTTCGACTGCTGCCCAGCTGACCCTTTTTCGCCAAGCACCGCACCGCAGTCTACTGTGACAGACCGAGAGTCGACGACAGGCAGCTTTGGTCACTCAATCGTGAATTGAGAGCCAAAGCCAACTCAACCGGTGGTCCCTTCCCTCGACTGTTGGCTGAGCCCTGAGCTAGTCTTGCTAACGTTGAAGCGGAATCGATCGATGTGATGGATGCTTCAGCCCGCTTAAGCCGTCTTGTGACTTGCAACACACTCTGCAAAGCCACACAGCACGGCGCGATTGCCGCCACAATGCTGTCTCATTGGCTATCGGACCATGTCCGTGTGACCGATCCGCTTCTGTTCCAGGTCCCAGCATGCTGACCAACAGCCTCGCGGACCCTCCGATGGTCTCCTGACACCTATATTAGTAGGCCTGCTCGCTCCGTGTCTCCTTGTCATCCACTCCGCCGTCTTCCGTCTCAGCATACAACCATCGTGTCAACCATCCGGCCAAATCATCGAGACGCGCTCTTCCAACATGTCCGGATCATCCTCTTTCAAGCAGCTCAATGTCGCCGTTCTTGGCGGTGGCATCGGCGGCTTCAGCACAGCACTCGCCCTTCGTCGTGCAGGACACAAGTGCACCGTCTACGAGCGTCGTGGGTTCGACGTCGAGGTGGGCGCTTCCATCTCTTGCGCTGCCAACGGAACCCAGTGGCTGCACGACTGGAACGTCGATGTGCCCTCGGGTCGTCCCGTCATACTCATGGAGCTCACCATGCGCGACTGGAACACGGGCGAGATCCTCAACCAGTACCACCTGGACGACTACGAAAAGACCTGGGGCAACGTCTACAACATGTTTCACCGTCAAGACATGCACAAGATGCTCATGGACACCGCCATCTCTACCGAGGGCCAGGGCCCACCTGTCGAGATCGTCATGGACCATATCGCGGAAGACGTAGACACCGAGACCGGCACCATCTCTTTCCGCAACGGCAACAAGGTCGTCGCCGACCTCATTGTCGGATCGGACGGGATTCGATCCAAGGCTCGCGTTGCCATTGGCGTCACCCCCGATGTCAAATCGGCACCACAAACCTGCTACCGATGCAACGTCTCGAAAGAGGAAGTGGAGCGTCTTGGTCTCACCTGGGCCGCCGACCCTGCCATTCAGTTCTGGGGCGGCTACCCCAAAGCCGACCTCAACCAGTACTACAAGATTGTCATGAGCCCCTGCGCTGGCGGTGACATTGTGTCCTTCTACTGCTTCATGCCCACCGAGCTCACCAAGCACCAGTCGGAAGGATTCGTCTTCGAAGAGGTGCCTCCCGAGGAGATCTTGGCCGGCGACTATTCCAAGCTCGACCCGCTCTGCGTCAAGCTGATCCAGAACTCGGTGGAGCGCAAGCCTTGGCGTCTCTACATCCACCAGCCCTACTCGCACTGGTACAAGAAGCAGACGTGCATCCTCGGCGACGCTGCTCACCCCATGATGCCTCACCAGTCACAAGGCGCTTGCCAGGCGATTGAAGATGCGGCTGCCCTCGGCATCGTCTTTTCAAAAGAGTACAACTTCACCAACAACGTCGAGGCGGGTCTCCAGCTCTACCAGGAGATCCGCAAGCCCCGCGCTACACGCGTTCAGCAGGCATCCGCCGCCGCTCTCGAGAACCTCAACGAGCGCCTTGGCTTCTCGTCCCTCAGCGCACACGACGCCGCATTGGCTGCCAAGGAGAACAAGCTCACGGTCCATGAAATGAACACCTACGACATGAAGAAGCACGTTCGCGACACGGTCTACCCCAACCAGCAGCAGAGCACGGCCAATGCTCCCAACAGTGCCATGACCACCAGCGTCGTCCCACCTACGTCGACAGCGATTGCCGCTGATGCTTGAGCCGTCGTCCCTGTCCTGTAGTCACCTCACTTGTTCCGTTCTAAATAGCATTCATCGACCCATCATGGCAACGGTGCCAGCGTGAATTGTGACCAACCTGAAGCGCACGATCTGATCCCAATTTCGGACTTGAGCGAGTGGGGGGATGAAGTTGCAATTCGATGTTATGGAGAGGCGGAAGAGGGTCTGCGCGGAAACGCCGCGGCCCGCGGGATGGCGGGATTGCCCGCAAAAAGCGAGGGGCCGTGCGTGCGCTGCAGCTGTGAGTTGGGTTCCTGACCCTTTTTAGACTCGACCGCGGGATGGGTTGGCAAGGGGTCCAGCTTCGAGAACGTGGAACACAAGCTGAGCCAGATTGGCTTCCATGTCGCCGGCTCCAGGTCGTGTAGACGACCTATAAAGGCTGCTTGAACCTGAGTCTGTGTTTCCTAGCCGTCACAGTATCAACGATTCCGACTCACCAGATCCCCTAGCAGGACCAACCCCCATCTCAAACGATTCTCATCTCTCTTCGGACACCATGCTGGCTCCGCTAACTGCAGCCGTTGGCCTAACCTGTTCGGGTCTTGTCTCAGGTAAGTCGGCCATCGATGCCCGCTATGATGAAAAGCTTGATGCTGATAGCCACTTCTTGTCTCTCGTGTCCAACAGGTCTGACGCTCGCCTACCCACTCCTGATCAACACGCACTTTCTCGATGCGCAGGGGATCAAGATTAGCCCTGCCGCTGTCCATGTCAACCTCTCCATCGCCCAACGCCTCACGCTATGGGAGCGCGCCTTCAAAGCGGGTTACGTCATCCCCGCCCTCTCGCTCCTAACCGCTGTCTCACTGGCCACATTTGCGCTCACCACCGACCCGCGCAATGACAAGACTGCCTTCGCCAAGCGTCTCGGCGGCGGCAACTGGCAACAGCGTAAGAAGCTCATCTTGGGATCCGCCGCTTTCACGGGCAGTCTCATCGTGTTTACCGTCATCGCAATCTTGCCCACCAACAGCAAGCTCATGGCGCTCCGAGAGGCGGCGAATGGCAAGCAGCCGATCGACGTCGCGCAGGCCGAGGCATTGCTCAACAGGTGGACGCAGCTGCACAACGTGCGCGTCGGTGCGGCGCTCAGTGGCTTTGTCATGGCACTGTACGCTTTCGTTGCGCTCTAGGGTTCACACTTGTTGGTAATGAAAAGGTCAGGGAACATATGCACAAATGGTGTGCGGAGAAGGTGTCTGTGTTGAGCGTGCAAAGTTGGACCGGCTTATCGCGCTGCAGAGCAAAGGCGAGGATTTTTGGTTGTCGAGAACCCGGGCAGCCGGGCAGCCAGCCACCCGCCTTCGAACCCCGCACTTTTGGCCTCAAACCCTAAAATTGACAGCTGCGACTTCTGATAAGGCTCGTCCCACCCTCTCTTCCCTTCGCTCTTCCTCATCTCTCCTTCACCGCCCACTGCCATCATGACGGTCACATTTGACAACGCAGACAGTGACGAGATCCTGGGCGAGCTCAACTTCACCCTTCCCGACGACGAGCTCGACCACGATGCGCGTATCTACCTGGAAGTGGGTCACGAGCGACCCAAAAAGCCCTTCTGGAAGCCACTCCATTCGCTTCGACCGGAGCTGGACCACCTTCGCTCCCTGTCCCCCGTCGAACAGCTTCCGCTCATCCGCTCGCATCTCGCATCGCGCGGATTTGCCATCGTCCCACACCACAGCTCGGTCCTCTCACAACACGGCATCGACGATCAACCCGCCTTTACCGCTTTCGCTCGCGAAAATCTCGACTTGATCCAGCGCATCACGGGTGCGGACGAGGTGATTCTATGGAACGCAACAAAACGCCAAGCCACCGCGACAACATCTGAGACCTCTGCGGATGGATACGAGCGTCAGTCCCGACCTCAAGGAGTGGAGTCGCGATTCGATAAGCCCATGGAACCTCCCGCGGTGTTCGCGCACATCGACCAGGATCCGTACCAGGGCAAGCGCGTTTGCGCTATGGCCATCGCTGGACATCCCCCCCTGCTGAAGGATGGGGCGATGGTGAACCCGCACGAGGCAGTGGACGCTGACCTAGCGGGAAACTATGGCAGGACCATGATCATCAACCTCTGGCGACCCGTGGGCGGGGTTGTGTACGACAAACCCCTGGCTATCGCTGATTACAGGAGCTTGGACAAGAAGTGCATTTCCAGATGGGCGAGCCCGTACGGGTGCGGATACGATGTGCACGAGGATGGAGGGCAGAGGTGGCACTTTGTGCCCCAGCAGACCAACGATGAGGTCTTGGTGTTCAAGTGCTACGATTCGGCGCAGGAGGAGAAAGGCGAGGCGCTGTATGGAGCTCATTGCGCCGTGAATAGGGTCAAGGGTGGAGGGGAGGTGCCGGAGGGTGCGAAGCCGAGAAGGAGCGTCGAGTTTCGCTTTGTTGCTGTGTGGCGCTAGGTTCGCACTTTGCTCACTTTATACCCTCGAGCGCCCTCAATCCCAATGCTGCAGCGTCTGAACGCGCTGAGTGATACATATGACTGAGTATGGAACCTACTTCTTTGCATCAAGGACTTATACAGTGGTCTCCGAAGAGTCGTCGCGGTGCCGAGGTCCCCGACGCCAGACCAACAAGACCGCCGTGAGAAGCACAGCGGCACAAAACTCCATGAGCGTCACCATGCACGCCTCCTCGACGACAAATTGACCCGTGAACCCATCCGCGTCGTACCTTTCCGAGTCGAAGTACTGTTTCCACGACAAAATCCATGTCAGCATCACTTCGATCTCTGCTACACTGCCGAGCTGGGGGACACTTACGTTGAGATCGGGCACAGCGGCCTGTAGAACGCCCCATATGCCGCGCACCACGAGGAACGGCCATGTGAGCAGGAGCAGTCCGAGCACAGCATGCCCGAACCACGGTCGCTTCTCCACCTCGTGCGACGGTTGACCCTTGCTCACCAGCGAGATGTCGCTTTCCCTCTCCGTGCTTTGATCGTAGCGACGGCGTCGATGGCGGTGGATCGTGATGCAAACCGGTACAAGCAAGGCGAGCGTGAGCAGCCAGAATGCAGATTGACCGCCTGTACGCAACCATTTGCCCGTTGCTAGCCTGCCGCGCATCTGACTCGGCGTGCGGGATGGATCAGAGTAGGTGGTCCCGCTAAGCACCGCGCCGGCGACGATGACCATATCGGCCAGAATAAGGATCAAATCAAACCCGACGACCAACCAGGTCCATTCCGCCCCTCCACTCGCCCATCGACTTGGAGATCGGCTGACCTTGGGCTTCCAGTACTCGGCCTGCCATGCCACGAGTGTGTGCACGAAGCACAGCAGAAGCGTGTACTGCCCCTGCGCGCTCAGCAGCGAGTACGCGATGAGGCTGCGGATGTCTCGTTCGCGCGTGGCGAACGCAAGGCCGGTCGATTGCGCCGCGAGTCGCAGCAACACATGGTTGAGCATAAGCAACCACAGAAGCTTTTGCGGTGCTCTGCGTACGGTGAGGAGCACGCATAGCGCAAAGAACAGGAGAATGTAGACGACGAGGAAGGCCAACGAGGCGCTTGCTAGGGGTGCCAACATTCTGGCTCACTGTTCGATCGGGTGAGAACAGTGCGACGAGCAGAGGTCTGCTCACGACGCTTGCCTTATATATGTGCGGGTAGAACAATGCATCACATGGGACACTTGACAGGCTGACAATGGAAAGAAGCGCGTGCAGGTTCCCGAACGGGGCTTCCATGCACACATCCGTCACGCTTGCGCCAGGCCAAGAACGCCGCCAACGCCATCCCCGGTCTCGCCTCACCTCGGTACGACTGACGACCATCCGACATCCGACTGTACCACCCTGGTGATGAGCGCCAAGCCCCTCGCTTCTCCGGCGTGGGCGGTGGTTTCCGCGGAACGGAAAATCGAAACATTGTTAGGTCGGCTTTGTTGCCGATTCGGTTCCAGGCTGGCCGACCCAAGGTTCTCCACAACACGAAAATGGATTGCCGAATTGGCGGCTCATCAATTCACGACGAGCAAGAGCCGGGCGACGATGAGCAGCAATGCAAGATGTGTCTTTCATTTCAATGCCCAAGCGCCAGCCTTGAACGGAACGAGCTTGTCGATCCATGCTATCGAGGATCTCTCGCGCGATTTAAATGCTCTGCAGAGCACTAATCCTTTCCGCCAGAACCTTCTGGCCGACCGAGATGTTCTGACCACCGAACAGCTCCCAAGCATGCGGCAAGCCCTTGTACACGTTGAGATCGACCTGAACACCCGCCTTGTGAAGCCTTCGAGCATATTCGAGATCCTCCTCGATGAAAATGTCGAGCTGACCGACGTCGATGTAGGTGTCGGGCAGACGGGAGAGATCGTGCACTCGAGCGGGCACGGCGTATTTGACCAGCTCGTCGACCTTGTCCGTGCCAGCCACGTCCTTGCCGAGCAGAGCCGACCAACCGGTGATGTTGCTTTCGTACGTCCAAATCGCCGTGGGTACGAGCCGCTCATCGGGCGTCAGGTTGCGGTCGTCGAGCATGGGGTAGATCAGCACTTGCTTGCGCAGCGGTGGCGACAGACCCCGGTCTCGAGCCTGCAGAGCCACGCCGGCTGCGATACCGCCTCCCGCCGATTCACCAAACACGCCAATCCGCTTGTTGTCCACCCCGAGTGACGTCGCGTTGGACGAAAGCCATTCCAAGGCGTCGTAGCAGTCATTGACCAGCCCATCGAGCGTGTGTTCCGGCGCAAGGCGGTATTCGACGCTGAAGATGGTGAGGCCGCTCGCCAGCGCATAGTGAGCGATGGATCCCGAGGCGATGAAGGCGTCTGCCGATCCGCCAAGCATGCCACCGCCGTGAGCATGGAGCACAGCAGCACCATTCTCCTGACGCTGCTTGGGCGCGATCTCGTAGACAATGATACTGGCACCGTCGCGCGTCTTGATCGTGTGCGTCGTCTTGGTGACGTGCTGCTCTGGCTGTCCGACGCCGAGTCCGCGAAGAAGCGTGTCGAGGTTGGTGCGGCGTAGTTCGATCTCGTGCACTTTCGGCTGCGGGCGTTGAGCGGCGATGGCGAGCATGGGCCCAGCGACCTGAAGGAACTCGGGGTCAAACTTGAATGAATGGAACGAAGCCATTTTGAATGGGTCGATGAGAGGTACGGGTTGTGAAGGAAGGTGCGAGATCGGATGATGTTTTCGAGCATTCAAGTATCAGGGCGAGACCAGAGAAGCTTCTTATCTCCTTGCTCTCAGCTAGACATCGGCTATGGTGAGCCGTGCGAGGTGGATTTTCGAAGCACCCTGGGTACCTTTCACTCCGCGGAACAACACAGCGAAATACTGGTCCGTGCTCTGTACAACCTTGTCTTCGTGCAATGGAACGGATATGAGCGATTGCGACCTCGACATTGGCAGCATCCAGTGCAGACACAAGCGCATGCGATGCCACTTGATGCAAGAGGCAGATCGAAGAAGAAGGCTCACGCAAGCGGCGGTGTCACAAGACGCCTCAAAAGATTGACTCGCAACACGAAGCTCATGGAAATGCCCGGCCCCTTTGCCGACATCAATGTACACAGTTTTCGATGAGCAGGCATTCGCAGACAAATCTGAGAAGCTCTATGCTATTTCGAGCGGGACGGTCGCCACCAGAGCTTCAGAAGATCCTCTGACCCTGACTGGGATTGAAGACCATGTTCGAAGCTTTGCTCTTCCGGTCATCGTCTAGACTTTGGTGCGCCGGCGTCGACTCCACTTTCAGAGCTTCCACCGCATCCGCCATGCCGTAGTGCCGCCAACCAAAGTCTTCTACCATCGCGGAAAGCATCCAGAGGAGCTCGAGCTGCGTAACCCCTCTGACAGCCTTTTGCGCGCTTTCGGAGTCGACTAGCTTCTCGAACAATGACTGGAGCTCGTCGAGCGCAAACGCCGACTGTGAAGCTTTGATCTTGTCTTCGGCTTCGGTGGTCGAGCGGTGGTGCTTCTCGATGTCGCGTTGGACGGCATCGCTTCCGACAGCAGACGAGGTAGCCGCCTTCTGTGCCAGCGTCGTAAGGAAGACGAGATCGATGTGACCATGCGCTGTCAGCTGGACCTGTCGAGGCAGGTCGTTCAAGCTTTCCAAGTCGAGGGTTCCACCCTTCTCCCTCTGGCCTGCTCCACCGTTCGTCGCCGGTACGAGCCAGAACGCGTGAAAGCGGCGAAAGACGTCCGCTGTCCCCTTGGATTCTTCGGAGCTTCTCGCTCTCTCGCCGCCCGAAGCGCCTGCATTGCTGTTGCCAAGATCGGTGTACCACATCTTTGCGTTTCGAAAGTCTCCCTCCAGCTTGTGCAGGATGGCGTGTAGCCAGTCGAGGTATCGGCTGCCACCCTGGGCTTTTCGGACCAGAAAGTGGGCCGAGTACAAGTCGCCCTATTGCCGATTCATAAAGCCAAAGGAACGATGGGGCCTGTCAGTGAGTCTTCTGTGGTTAGACCGAAGATGAGCATGCGAGATCACTCACATTGATCAGATGAAGACAAGCTTCGATGGCGGGATGGTACGCTGCTTCTGCTATCGCCGCCTGAAGCTCAGCGTGTTTGGGACGGTTGTGAGGGACAGCGTCCGCTGGCAGCCCTGGCACTGTGCCGAGAAGCTTGTGCAGCCATTGCGGTGGCTTTGAGGTTGGACCTACAGAGGACCCTCCGACAAGGTCTCTCTTGACCTGGTCGAGCTGTGTGGCCATGAGAAGCCAAGCAGACAACGAACCAGTTTCGTCCAAGATTCAGTTAAGTTCAGGACGCTTGACGTGGGTTCCTCTCCGTGGATGAAGGTGGAACTCGAAGAAGTCGGAGGGTGGGAAGATTGACAGGCGCTGATGTGAGGTTGCAGCGAAGGAGGCTTGCTCATCGAATGCTTTGCTGAACCGGTGTGGTCCAGGGTGTGGAGGGAATGCTGACTTCATCTCGGCGTGTCAAGCAGTCACAGTAATTTCGCCGTTGCCGAGGTGGGGCCCCGATTCTCAGCTCCCACTTCATCATTCTCGCCGCTTCTCAATCAATACGAACCGCCAACAAAGAAGGTGACAGGATGTATGAATCTCGCGACAAGTGGCAAAGATAGGTTACAAGACTGATAACGTAGATCACGTAGATCCGAGATTCACGTAGATGCGAGAACGGCCACGTCAATCCTCGATCTCCAAATTTTGGTTGCTCGCCACTGTCTCATTCAATTACCACCATCATCACTCTCATCAGCAGTCGCACCACATTGACCCTTCCAACCTCGCCTGAAAGTTTGTCAAACAGCGCTTTGAAAGCATAACAGCGCGTATATCAGCTCAGACCCGCAGTCGCGGACTCTTCGTCAGCCAGCAAAACGAGCTCGAAGTGGTTACACAGATTTCAGCCGAGACACGCTGCTTTAGGGCCCGAGTTCGCCAAAAAAGAGGCTCTCGCTGATTGCCCTTTGTTCTCACACTCGGCCTTGCAGCTGATGACATATTTGGTCTCTGCATGGGTCAAGGAGCACGCTCGTATCATATGGTGGTATCTCGCCTCGCCCTTGACGGCCTGCTCGCCACCACCGGATCACCTACGATGGGGTTAGAACGCGGCACAACGCGACACTGGCGAAGTGTCTGTTTAATTTTGCCAAGTTTTGCTTCCAATTTGGCTCCCCTTACAACCTTTGAATCGTCAATTGAACATCACAGACATCATCTAGGGCATCGTTCGTGGGTATTTGCGAAGTCTCGAGAGTGTTTGTAGTTGTGGTTGATGTCAGAAAGGCGTTCGAAGTGATCATGGTGTTTTGAGAGTAGACTGGTGAAGTGCCTGAATGAATCTCGGATAGACCAGGCTCGGCTGCTTATCGCGTGCCGAGCTGGACAGGCGCTAGTCATTGTCTCCGACCCGGCGGATGTCGCAACTCGGGACTTCGTTGTCTTTGGGGCGATGCGTGCCGCAGCGTGCTGCCGGACAGCCGATAGGGTTTGTGCTGCACATATATTTGGCTTGCTGTTCCCAAGTCGCTTCGTCTGATCTGCACCACATTCCTCAGTTGCACGACCAAGGCAAGGCAAGATATGTACTCCAAAACTAAATCAGCCGATGAGGATGAGCGTAGCGCGCCGCCTCCGAGCTACAACGCCGCTATTGGTGGAGCTGGTTCCTCCACTCGACAGTTCACCCTCCCGCAGGATGCTCCCGCTCGGAACGACAGCCGTCAATGTGGCGAGTACACGGAGAAGGACCAGCGGAAGCGAGACGACAAGCTGTCGTCCTCATACCTTCCCAGCGCCTCTTCCTCTTCGAACGCCGTTCAGCCTCTGGCTCCCATGAACGCACTTGCGCAGTACGGCAGCCCCTATGCCATCTCATCGGACTGGGCGCCGTCAGCGTACGACGCGCGACTCACCCGCTTGCCCACGCTTGACCTCGAACTTCGGCTCAAGATGCGCTTCTCCAGCTCCACCTCGGTTGCTCCTCCTAGCTTCACGCGCCCGCCTCCACCTGTTCCTCGGTCGGCGTTCGACGAGGTGTACATTGCGAGCGCCACCACCAAGGTCAAAAAGCAGCTCCTCTCGGACGGTTTCGACCCTCTCTACCCAGGCCCGATCCTCGCGCCGCGCAATGTGAGCGCTGCAGACTGGGCCCGGTTCCTCTCGGACCTCACCGCAGCCGGTCGTCTCACAGGCAAGCAGAGCATCTTCTCCAACGTGGCGCCTATGACGATGCACATGGGTGCCACGGGCTACTTTGTCACCAAAGCCATCGAGAAGCGGATGAAGAAGAAAAAGGACCCGCAGATCTGTCAGGCTCTCGAGGTGTGGCAGGCGAGCTTCTTCTCCGTCCGCCAGCTGGATGTGTGGATTGCCAAAGATGGGCTGCGGGTCACAGCCAGGAGTCCAGGCGCTCTCTTGCCTGGATCCAACCTCACCGCAGAGGCACAGCTTGAACGCACGGGATCAACCGCTTCGGCCACCTCCTCCTCCTCCAGCTCCAGCTCCAGCTCAAGCAGCGACTCCTCCCACAACGACAAGGCGCACGGACAGAAACTCGATAGGTCCACCCGAAAGCTCTGTCGCGAGCAGCGCAAGCTCGAGCGCAAACAGCGCAAGGCCGAACGCAAGCGCCAGCGTGCCGAGCGCAAACACGAGCGCAAGATGGACAGGATCGACCGCAAACACGAGCGCAAGATGGACCGGATCGAGCGCAAGGCGGGCAAGGCGCGCACGAGCAACTGCTGCGCATCCACCAGCGGTGCGAATGCGAAGGGAGCAACCATGAGTCCGGGATGGGTTTTGGTCATCGCTCCGCTGCCCTTGTCAGATGGGGCTACGTTCCCTTTGTAGCGCGGCCATCCACTCTAATATGCGTGACATCATTCCATTGCGCAGTAACCGAGGAGCGTAATTCGACAAAGGGGGCAATCGCGTCCAGCGATGCATCTATAAAGGGGGATCGCTTAAAGCGATGTCTCTACAAAAGGGGCGAAGTGCTTCTTCAAGCGATGCACCTACAAAGGGCTTAAGTGAAGCCGATACGGTCAAAGTCAGGCGCGTACGAGTCGGCGTTGGAGATGGTGATCGAGTTGGACGTTCCCTTGGTGAAGCCGGTGAGCCTGACGCGGTAGCCCTTGGTGACGTCTTTGTCCCAGTCGTAGCCACTCAGAGGGAAGCTGACGGTCTGTGCGGGGCCTCCGTTGACGCTGATCTGCGCGGTCCTGTCGTTGGTCGAGCCGCCGAAGCCGACATCGGCGTTGACGTAATCGAAGTAGATGACCGACTCGCTTGCGTAGGCCTTGACGTTGTTGAACGTGAGCGTGTTACCAGCGCCATTGCCGACGAAGCCGACCTTGTTCCCCTTGGAGCAGCCGGAGCAGGCCTGGACATTGGCATCGCCAGCGAGCACGGCTGCGCTGGCGGCGATGTACTTCAGCTTGGGGTTGTAGCCCGTGTACTTGATGTTGGACAGTCGCAAAGCGATGGAGCCGTGACCGTTGATCGTCTTGCCGTAGTTGGAAACACCCGTTCGCTTGGTACCGGTCCACAGATCCGTCACGTCAGCAGAGGCAATGCCCAACGAGCCAAAGGGAACATTGACGTAGCGGCGGTTGTTGGTGAAATCGAAAGCGAGAACCGCCATGTCGCCATTGGCCAGCTTACCCGCGTGCAGATCCGACTTGCCCGGGCGACGCTCGATCAGCTTGACAGGCTCTCCCAGACTGTCCTGGTTGATCGCGATGAGGCCCTTGTTGAGCAAGATGGCCTTGGCCGCCTTGGAGATGGCGGTGAGGTCCGTAGAGATGACCAGCGGACTCTTGATCATGGCCCAGTAGGCGAAGTGGGTGGCCTGCTCGTCGATCGTCATGCCGGCGTTGCCCACCTCGAGCAGGTCGGCGTCGGCAAAGTGGCCCGGGCCCGAGTTCTTGTTGAGTGCGATGGGGATGGCTTGGTTGATGATACGCACCACGTTGCCCCATCCGGAGCCGATGTCGTCCGAAAGACGGTAGGACGTGCCGATGCCCTGGGTCCATTGGGCGGGACCAATCAGGCGGCCGTCGTCCTGCTGCTGTGCGACACCCCACTGGCAAACGAGCATCTTGTTGATGCCCACCTTGGCGAGCGCACTGGTCATCTTCGAAAATCTCGAGGGGAAATCCGACCTCGCGTTCTTGGGCGCATTGTCATCGCCAGTAGTGCCATCGACGTAGCAGTTGTCGTACTTAAGGTAGCTGACGCCGAAGCTCTTGAGCAGGGCTGCGTCCTGGTCCTCGTAGCCGAGACTGCCCATCACAGGGCTGGGACTCTCGGTGTCGCACGCGCGGAGACCTGCATCCGAGTACAGGCCAAACGAGAGACCCTTGGAGGTGGTATACTGGCTCAAGGCGGGCATGCCGGAGGGAAAACGGTCCGTGTTGGTCTTGAGGTTGCCCGAAGCATCGCGCTCGCCATCGCGAGAGACCCAGCCGCAGTCGACTTGGAAGAAGTTGTAGCCGGCGGCGAGGTAGCCGTCCGACTTGAGACGGTCGATCGTGGTACGCGAGGTGGCCTCCGAGGGGGAGCAGGCGTAGGCGTTGTACGTGTTGAAGCCCATGCCCGGGGTAGGCTGGGCCGAGGTCGATTGACGCTCGGCCAGGTGGGAGCTAGGAAGAGCAGTAGCCGACGCCGAGGGGACAGCGCCGAGAAGCGCGGCCGCAGCGAGGACGCTGAGTTGCACGAAGGAGGGCTGAATCATTGTTCTTGTGACAATGGGAAGGCGGGAAGGATGAGTTGATGGGTCGACAATGAAGGGACCGCCCCATTCATGCGCCCTTTATAGCTTACACCTCGTCATACATCTTCATTGTACGAGGGGTAAGGGGGTACAGCGGGGGTGAGCGGTCCAAGAGCGCTCGAGATGAGAGCGGCGTGAAGGGCGTGTACAGCGCCAGGCGTGGGAGGCAGCGATGGGAGGAGTACCATACCGCTGGAAGGGGGCGTCCCGCTTGACCGGTTTCCTGGAAATTTGTTTGGATCTGGGCGCATTATTTTTCGCCTAATTAATATGTTTCGCTTGTTTCACACCTGCCCATCTGTGCCTGGGCCTTGACGCGAATGAAACCATGAGGCGAACAAATTGTTAATAATACATCAAAGCGCTTCACGGGTCGAGACCGTCGGAACAGAAATATATCGGAGGGCATCATGGTGTGAGACCGTCGGACAAGAAGCCTATGAGACACGGGACGTATTGGCGTGCGTCTTGGCATGATGCATGTGCTCATGTGCAGGGTGCATCTTGGTAGGTAAAGAAGCAAGTCGAGCGATCTGTTTTGCGGGGTACAGACTCTGGACTCAGTTTTTCCGGTCTTCTCCCAATCTCGCTTAGATCTTGAGCGAGACATCCGACGGTCCGAAGCGGATGGTCCCCGGCCTGCAGCGACTAGCGTTCCTGGAATCAGGTCACCGTTTGGACCGCTGCACGGGATCACAAAGTCAGAGGTACGCCGAAAGCATCTTGTGCTGCCGAGGCGGCAGTGAGGTCTCCGAACGCAGGATAGCCGCCAGGTGATCTACAGATGAAAATTTCCAAGCGAGGGTCCGATACACCGGCGTGCAGTGTTGTGGCTCGCTCCGATGTTGGTGACGACTCTACCGACGAGCATCAGTATCATAGCAGAAGAGCGAGCTTCGTCTCGGATCCTGGCTCCTCACCATAGAGGTGGAAAAGAATCTCGGTTGAGCATCCTGCGTCGTAAAATCGGACCACAAGGAAATTTGATCTCATCTTTGACCATACAAGACTGCGCTAACGCTGCTACCAGACGCATATTCTTGTAGAGCAGAGAAAGAGCTTTCCAACGATGTTCAGATACTTGTGTGTTGAGATAGACAGCCATCGAGCGTTGAGGTGAATTGTAACAAGGAGCCATTTTCTGGGACTGTATGCGCGCGCACTGCGTCTCAGCAATTCACAGGCGGACCGCAGAAGGGGCGCAGCGGTGTGTGATCATTTCGCTGACGCCTAGAAAACTATCAACAGGACAAGATGGCGTCGGAGCTCTGTGGATGTATCGCGCAGCACAGCTGCTCGTGATTGGGGCGAATTCGCTTCATATGATCTCAAACATACTGTCGAGAAAGAGGGAAGAAGACGCTGGGTTAGATACGCGCTGAAAGTGTGCAAGCGATGAATCATAGCGTTCGAGAACTTACGACGTAGCAGAGATCGCCGGATTTGGTGTCCATGACATCGCGCACTTGCACCTGATCGATGAGGTTGCCAAACGTAGGCAGCGTGTCGTTGATCGAAGCATCAAAGGGCCCAGTGAGGGTGTTTCCGTCGGGGAGGTTGCCAGCGTAGTCCGACTTTCGCTGTTCCGGATCCATCTCCTGCCAGAGCGACCAGAGACGATCGATTTGCGCGTGGTGAAGGAAGAAGACCGCCTCGTTCGGCGAGTGGGCCGGTCCCATGTCGCCAGCAATGTACTGGTGCACCGCGCCGTGCGGAGTACCCTCCAGATAGTAGCGATACTTGTTGAACGTCTCGAACGCCTGCGCTTTGGCGACCGAGGACGAGTTGAAAGCGTTCACCAGCTGCGGGTCCGGGTTGAAAGCACGCCTGAGCAGATGCGGTGAGAAGAGGGCTACGTCTTTATCGCCTTGCAGAATGTCCACCGGGAAGTTGGCGAAGGGACCTTCCTCGACGACGTCATTGTTGTTCGGGTTGCCGTTGCCCCCGAAGCCATCCGTGACCGAGAAGATGGGGTCGACGTCCGGGTTGCCTGTGTCTGCCGCTTCCGTCCAGTCCCAGTACGGAGTCGGGCCATCGTAGCCGCACGCCGCGAGCGCTCTCTCGCGAGCTTGGACAAAGCGACGGTGCCAAGGGAGGAAGGCGGCGACCGAGTGAATGTGATGGTTTTGCTCGACGTGGATCGCAGGAAAATCGTCATAGAGGTTCTTGGACGATTCGATGCCGGTCACGGCCGGTTTCGTCTTGAGGCACTTGACGGCGTCGAAGTACGAGCTCTTCTGAGCCTGCGAGAGGGTGTTCCAGTTGGGACGCTGCTTGAGCGACGAGCATGGCGTCGGTGCCCGGGCGACGAGGTCTTGCTGTGCAGCGAGAGGGAGGGCGGCAGCGTGAAGAGCCACTGCCACGGCGAAGAAGAGCAAGAGCCAAGTTTTTGCGAACATGACCGATGAAAAGATCCTGTATCAAGTCTAGAGTAGGTGAGGGCTGCTGTTGAGCTGATGTGAGTGAGGGTGAGACGACCGGATCATTCGAATGCCTCTTTATACACCTCGTCTGTCAAGATGACAAGCTTTCGCGTCCGAAGGTCTATCCTCGCAAAAGAACGTGCAAACATGTTGCTGGATCGCCTGTGCCGGTGTGTTGGGCGAGTATGGACCGGTCTACGTTCGTAGAGATCCTGAGAGCAGTGCAAAGCTTTGTTCCGATCAACAGACAGCTTTGCGGTGTGTGACAAGCGCGGTTCTGTTGGGTTAGCGCACGCTAGCTTCGGCACTACGGGGTCTTTTGTCGGAACTTTGGAACTCAGACGACAAGCTCGGCTGCAAGCCTGCGGCTCGCTGGCTCTTGAGCCTACTCATCGTCACCGACGATGGCATAGACTGCAATGACCTGCATTGCAGCGAATGCGGTGGCCTTGCGTTTCCGTCGAGATGCGGTGCAGATCATTGTATGCGCCACGCCGGAGTAGCATACCTGCAGGGGGTCGTCTAAACGCGGTTTTCCGAAGTCTCGGCTCGCGAGTGTGAAGCCTCGCTCGTGCTGTCATCGGCGAATTCTGAGCACCTTCACCGCATCTTGTGTGGATCACGCATAGCCGAGAGGAGTGCCTTGGCCTGCTTGTTGAATCACCACCATCCCCCTTTGTCAATATCGTGTGCATTTAGCTGCCTCGCACCGGAAAGCTGTGGCGTGCTGCATTCCATCGCGTCCGACGGAAGCTCGCTGCAGGCTAGATGGACCGGATTCACAGCCACATGGACGCCCTCCCTTACACTTCACCGTCCATTGTGACTGTCCTGTGCAAGCATGTGAGTAGAAAGCCTGGGAGCTGAGGTGAATTGAGCTGGCGCAAGCTGCGTTTAGCTGCGCCGTGTGTGGCCCAGCAATTGACGCTGCGTTCAAGAGCCGATTAGCTGGGCCACACACGCCGCAGCCAAACTGGGCCTGGAGGTGGGCCATCGGCGATGCGAATATTTCGAAATCGCAGGTCGGTTACCGCTTCGAATTTGATAGCCGGGGTGCTGGAACCGCCACCAGCAGTGCGGGGAAGCGTGTTGTCTGCTCTAATCACCATCAGCGGGCTTCTTCCCGCCCTCTCATCGATCTCTACAGACTCACCATCATGTCCAACCCCAAATCCGGCTATCTTCGCGAGATCTACGTCGGCGGTCTCTCCGGCTCCCAACCGCAGACCACCGATCTGCGCCTGCTCGAGCAGCAAGCCAAGGAGAAACTCTCTCCCGCTGCGTACGCCTACGTCGCCGGTAGCGCCTCGACCGAGTCCACCGCCAGGGGCAATCTCGAGGCTTTTGCAAAATGGCACATTGTGCCGTCGATGCTGCGCGATGTGTCGCTCGCCGAGTTCGACGGTAGCGTGCGACTGTTTGGCCGGGACTACTCGAGCCCGCTGGTAGTGGCGCCCATTGGAGTGCAGGCGCAGCTGCACAAGGACGACGCCGACTGTGCGACGGCCAAGGCGGCTGCCGAGCTCGAGATCCCTTTCACGCTCTCGAGTGCGACGAGCAGGCCGATGGAAAAGGTGTTTGAGGAGGCAGACTTTGTCAAGGGAGAAGAGGAGGGTGGGGATGCGTGGTTCCAGTTGTACTGGCCTCAGGACGACGAGTTGACCGAGAGCCTGCTGGGCCGCGCCAAGAAGGCTGGGTACAGGGTGCTGGTCGTGACACTGGACACGTGGAACCTGGGTTGGCGACCTCGAGACCTCGATACAGCCTACAACCCCTTCCTCACCGGCGAGGGCGTTGCGAATGTCTTTTCCGACCCGGTCTTCATCCAGAAATACTGCGATGGCAAGGACCCACGTCGTGCGGACGTCAGCAAGGACGAGATCACCGAAGCTTCGGTGGCAGCGATCGCCCAGCTGAGCCCGGGCATCTCGCGCACCTGGTCCGACCTCGCCCTCCTCCGCAAGCTCTGGGGGGACGGACCCATCGTGCTCAAGGGCATCCAGACCCTCTCGGACGCCGCGCGTGCCGTCGAGGCCGGCATGGACGGCGTGTGGGTCTCGAACCACGGCGGTCGTCAGGTCGACGGCGCACTGCCTTCGCTCAACGCGCTCCCGGCTATCGCCGAGTACATCCACTCGCTCCCGCGTCGAGAGGGCGAGGAGAAGAAGACGGTCATCTTCGATTCCGGAGTGAGGTGCGGCGCCGACATCATGAAGGCGCTCTGCTTGGGCGCGGATGGGGTCGCGGTGGGCCGACCGTGGTGCTGGGGTCTCGCGATGAATGGCGAGGACGGGGTGAGGGACGTGCTCAAGACGCTGCTCGCTGACTTTGAGCTCAATGCGGGCCTGGCGGGCTTCAGGTCGGTCAAGGAGCTGGGCAGGCATGCTCTGGTGCGCGCCGACAGTAAGATGTGAAGTCGGACACGCCAGACTACTTTTTCCGACCTGACGCTGTTCAACAAGTTGTCGGTCTGACACAAACTGAAATATTTGGGACTAGCTGCGTGGTGTCTCTTTGTTTCGAAGTGTCTGTAGGTCAGCTAGACCGCAGTGAGGAATCGACCCTTCCGCAGATCGCAAATCCAGTCGAACTGGACTGACGTTGCATTGCCACCGACACATACCACAAACCACACAGTGTGAATTGCAGACAGAGCTCCATTGGAGGAACGACATGAAGAGAAACGAGCTCGAAACAGTAAAGAGAGTGATGCCCGCGCGAGGGCGTACAAAAGAGGAGGAGCACATGGAAAAAGTGGGGGCGTGAATGCCTATTACGTGGAGAGACCAAACGAGGGTGGATGGGTGTCGATGGACAGAAAAGGGCCGGAGATGAGCGACTGGGCGAGCGAGAGCAAGAGTCCTACGATCTTCGGCAGGCCATCGAAATGGAAGCAGCAGACGGATCGTAGATTTAGCGTTCAGAGTCTTCCTCGCGCAGATGCCAGCCGCTCTCCTCGTCGGACAGCGGACCGCTTCTGGAGAGGCCCCTCCTGGAGCCGCCCTTGGAGCTGGTGGCACGGTGGCCCTTCTTCCCACCTGCCGCGGCGGCGGACGCAAGCCCCCGATCGCCCGCCTCGCCCTGCGACGAGGTCCCAGACATCGGTCGCCCGGCCACCTGGCTCTCCTCGTCTTCGTCGGCCATACCTCCATACGCAATTCCTCGCCTGCCCCTGCTTCCGAGCGAGATGGGCGCCGAGGCTCTGCTCTCCATCTCCGGATCGTTGTACGCCGCGCCCCTCCTGCTGACGCTGCCTGTACCAGTACCGAAGCTCGATCCTGCGGACGAGCTGCCGGGGCTCCTGCGGCCGTCGTTCCTGTACGACTGGGCGGCGAGGCCGCCTGCGCCACCCACAGCCATAGCCCGCGCAGGACTGCGTCCGATCGCATTCGACCTCTGCATCTCCTGCTGTCTGCTCTGCTGTCCATAGTTGTACGCCCGGCGACCCCACTCGAAATGCGGCTCGTTCAGACTCTCCTGGTCCAGAAGCAGGAAGATGTACATGCCGTACAGGAACTCGATGACAAACAGGAAAACCTGGACGCCAAACGTAGCGTAGGCGAAACCCGTGCAGATGTTGAGCAGCTGACAGCTCGTGTTGAAGTTGGCCGGCTTCTCGTAATGCCAGTAGCCGTCGAATTGGCAGTTCTCGTTGCCCGCTCCCGGTCGCAAGTCGTTGGCAAACGCCAAAGCGCCCGAAACCCACAAGACGCACATGGCAAACTGCAACAGCAGCTCGATCTTGACCATGAACAACCCGTAGAGGAAATCGCCGTAGTTGATAAACGGCATCAAGGGCAGGAAGATGTTGTAGCCAAAGTAGATGATGGGCGTGAAGAGGCCGAGGATGATGAGGAAGATGAGCGATCCCCAGGACGGGGCGATGATGGGCGCGTGCTTGTTGTAGTAGTCGACGACGAGGATGGCTACGATGGCGGTAGCGAGGGAGAGGAGACAGACGAGACCGGTGACGAGGAAACGGATGACGAGCATCACGTTGGGATGCGGCGAGCGTGGGGCGCGCGACGGCTCGCGCACCGTCAGCGACCGACGCTGCGGGAGGACCATGGTTGCGAGTGTAGCTGCTGGTGCTGGGCTAGGTTTGCAACGAACGCCTGGTCCTGGAGGCTATGCAGTATGTCGCGAAAGATGGGAGACGAGCTTTGACGGAAAAGCAATTGACAACCTCCAAATGATCTGTGCTATCGATGTGTGCGATGGTAGTACGACGATTCGACCGACGGATGGACCACGGTGCTGATGATAGTAGTACAGACAACGACCGTGATGAAGATGATGGGTCTAGGGAACGACGGGTCGGTCGAGTCGAAAGGGTGGGAGATCAAGGATGGAGGTAGGAAGGTGAAGACCAACGACGACGACGACGAGCAGCAACAGAAACGGACGATCAGGCCTACGGCAAAGGAGGGGCAAAGCGGGGGAAAGCTAGGCGGGACCCAAGAGTGGACCCGCAAAAGTTTGCAACTGCTCAGCGCACTCTGCCAACCAAAGTCTATCCCATCCCATGCTTTCATTCAATGCATCCGCTCTCGCATGCGCTGCTTTCGTCAGAGACGGCGGCGGATGGAGCTCAAGTCGAGGCAGACCCGCGGCGGGGCAAGAAGCGGGGTATCAAAAGAGGAAAATCTCCCCCTTTCCAAGAGGAAGTGCGCGCTTGCAGAGCAGCACAACCGGGTCTAAGCGAGACCAAAAGGCTGCAGAGATTGATTCAGTTGCGCCCCTACCCTCGCCTCCTTGTCTCTGTGCCTCCTTTTCTCTCCGCTTTTGGATCTTTTCATACGCTGAGTGCCGTTCTCTATGAGATTGAGACGCTCAGATCTCTTTCTGAGTATCGAGTTCGATGCTTGAGCATATCACAAAGGTACGGCAAGTAAGATGCGACGAAGCTTGATTCTGAAGAGGGAAGACTACATCACCTGGCAGAAAAGGCATTGGACGGGTCTGAAGGATCGACGGAGCGGGGAATTTCGCATTCAGAGCCAGGCCCTTCGCTGTGATAGGCTCTACGGTGCGCAGCTGATTGCAACTCAGCTTTGTTCGCAGCAGAGGACGGGGCAAGGGGAAAAGGGCGGGCGGCTCGCTTAGCCTGTGCCTCTGCAATTTGGTTGTCTTCTTTCCCCTACAAAATGCACCTAAGCGAGGTGGGTCGCTGCAGATGGGTTTATTTTTCGAAAAAGGAATTTCACTCAACTGCGTCAGAGAGCGAGAGAGACCGCGGAAATCGACAGCTGCTCGAGTGCGGCACGACGGTGTGCGATGCAAGAGAAGGATTCGCCTTTGGTGCTAAGCCATTGTGCCGCTGCTACCTGCCGTTGCCATCATCGCGGCTCCCTGAGACGGCGTTCGAGCCTCTTCTTGGAATCAATGAGGCCAGTGTTGCATCGTGTCATCACACGCTGTGCAGTGAGTGGAGCCAGATCGACAAGATGTGGGCCAACACCGGATCGTCGAGAAGAGCGATCAGTGCAACGACCACTTCATAGCGAAGGTTCAACCGGATGCAAGTCAATCTCGTATGATCTCCTTCTTTGCAAGGCTGCTAAGTATGTTGTGGTGGTGTGAAAGCAGCGCCCTTGTGACGAGCAGGACTGTTTGTTGGCTGCTTCAATCGGAGCCTCAAAGGGACCTCAGGTAGGATGCCAGGGCGGCGAATTTTGACTCTTCTATTTTTCTTTTCAACTTCCCACACATCATGCGAGCAGGCTCCTGACCTGCATGCGCCTCTTTTTCTTCGATGCGGAGTTCCAATGCGGGTGCACAAGGCCAGTGAGCCACTTGCAGCCTTTGCAGCATCCCCTTCTGTGGCGAGGATGGCAGCCGCAACCTTGTTGACAACATGTGGGCGAGTGCGGAGCATGGTGTTCCAAGTCTCATAGCATCCGCTCGCTATCAACAAACAGCATGACCCTTGATGTCTTGATCATGTCAAAGGTGCTCGCCAAAGACATGTGCGATATACAGGGTCCTTTGTCGCGAGCCCGTGTCGATCGAGTCTCGAGTCGAGGACCCCATCCACTTTTGGCTACACTGCTCAGGTGCTGAAAAGCTTGACGAGGGGCCCAAATGTGCGGTGACGCGTTTGTGGAAGGGCCGATTTAGGCAGCAGCGCAAGAGTGCCGAATCCGGCTCGCTGGGCTGAAGCTTTGCTTTTTACGCGAGGTGCTCGCATCGCACCACCTCAGGCCTGCGAGCAGATCGCCCGATCCATCTCACACATTGACGGCTCCCGATCTATGCTCTGGTGCCCCGCAGTGGCTGTCTCCGATCGTATTTCGTTCCCGTCTGAGTCTGGCATGCTCTGCTGAACGGGTCGAGCTTGACAAAATCGTCTCAGTCTCCTCAGCTGACCAGTCTCCATGGCCAACGAGCTCTGTCTCGAGCGGGGCGATGTACGAAAAGAAGCGAGCTGCCGGGGCGCAATATTAGAGCGGTCCTACAATTACCCCGCGCCCACTTTCACGCCTGGCTCAGAGAAGACCCTTTTTGACCCGTCCAAAACTGCAGACCCCCGTCATCCCCACCGCGTTTGAAGCAAGAGCGAGGAGCTCGCGTCGTGACGGCAGATCGGGCTCACCATGCTTGAAGCTGCGACGCTATCGGCGAGATCCGATACGAAGCTGCCTTGACAGGTGTCGCTCTGACGACTCCCCCGCCCCTCGCCGTCGCGCACGCTGATGCGCAGAACAAGGCTCAGCGACGTCACGGGCCTCGGATAAGCCTCACACGCACTCGCAAAGAAGAGGCAAAGTAGGAACACATTTGATTCAGAACATAGCATTTCGAAACGCTCTTGAGGTCGTTGATGGTGAGGATGGTAAGTCGTCGCTATCTGTTCGTCGCGATCTCATGGATCGGACACTTGATTTCTTGACCGTCTACTTTCTGCTTGTCGCCACGAGTTCCGCCATCTGGTGCAACTCTTCACCCCAGCCTTGTCTGCCCTGCCCGCCATCCCTGCGACTGTTTGCTTTCGGCTCCCTTCTGTTCATCTGCCAAAGGAATCTCGTTTCCCTTGTCCGCTTTTCGAAGCGAAGCCGAAGCACTACTTCCAATTGGCATACATGGCGCTCTCCACACCCCAATCACGGAGTTCCTTCGCATAGATCCGGTTCTCCTCCTGAACCACAACGTGATGCACCGTCTGCGGAAAACCTGCAACGCGGAACATGCGGTCGCAGAACAGACGGCAAGCCTGGTTCACCTTGTCCTTGTCAGCTCCGAAATTGTCCGTGCTTTCACAGATGTTTGCCATCAGCTCGTGGAGCAAGGTCTTGACAGTTGTGTCGAGATCTTCGTTCGGGATCTTGGGTGGAGAGATACCGTAAGCCTTGTAGCATTCGGGCGGTCCCCATCCGTTCCCAGACTCCAGATCAGCCTTCTCGCTCTTGTAGATCTCATGCTGAGCTTTCGTTGCGACCCTCAAGTCGTTCGTGACGGCACGGTTGGCGAAGTGACGCTCGAAAAGATCGCCGGGAACAGAGACATCGGCGCCTTTCTTGCCAGCCTTAGCGTTGCTCGCCATCTTGATGAGCGACGGTGATTGGGAGGAGATGCGAATCTCAAGTCGAGGACAGTGCGGAGCGACGATGACGCACGAGGATGTGGAGCGTGTGCGGAGACGATGACCAGGGCTGCGGATGCTGTTGATGATGACGAGCTTATGCCCGTAGAGCGTGTGGTGATGGACGGAGGGCGTGGAGCTGAGATGATGCCAGCAGGGGAGAATGCGAAGGCTAGGTGAGATGATGGTAGTGGAGGACCGTTAAGTTGGAGGCGGTGGTGGAAGGGGGGAGGGTGGGAGATCGAAGGAAGGGGGGTTTATATCCCTTTCGAGTCCTCTAGAGTCCAGCTACGCCCGCTTGCTTCAAACTGACTCTTGCGGGCTGAGTCGCAACCTTTGTTCCGCACAATCGAGAATTGCTTCCGCAATCATTTCCGCATCTGCTTCCGCTTCCGCTCCCTGCGGTCGAACGTTCGCGACGTGACGAGATCCGCAGCTCAGCATCACCAAGTGTGGCAGAATAAGCTCGATCGCGATCTGCATCTTCATGTGACAAGAGAGTGAGCAGCTTGGGGGCTGACTCTGTCTCTTTCCAGTCACATCGGAAGCTCGTGCTCGACTCAGCTTCCTGTACTTCGGCGTCACGGTCTGATCAACCCCGCATCCATACAAAAACGGACGTTGAACATCTGAGTGCGGCAGGCGTCTGCTTTCCGCATCACTCGCGGACAGACTCAGACAGGCATCGCTGCGAAACTGACAACTTGTTTTTGATTGCGGAACACTACCGCGGGGCAGCGGAAGTGCGGAAAGGACGCTTCGCCGCGATCTAGCCACGCGTGATGGCACATGCCTCAATGAGTATCTAGCTACGCCAAAGCAGTCCCTGTCATGAAGCTAAGCACTGCCTTGCGACGCTTGGCCTTGACGTCGTCTTCGACAGGAGGCACATCCTCGCCGTTGGCCTGCTCTACAGATCTCTTGATGGATTGATCCCGCAGAACGGAAGCTCCGAAGGGCTCGGGCTGCTGCGACGTCTGATGCGCCTCGTAGCGATACTGATCCTGCTCGTAGTGATACTGCTGCGGCTGCGCCTCCTGCTCGTAGCGGTGATGATCCTGATTGTCGTGATGCTTCTGCTGTACCGTAGCGGCAGGGTCAATGCGAGTATGCTGCTGATCGTCACCGGCGATACCAGAGTGCGGACCCTCTTGCTTGGGAGAAGGCTGAGCAGGTCGAGAGCGGCTAGCGAAGTTATCTTTGTACGATTTGATCTGGAGCAACCAGTCCGAAACGCGCTCATTGGTGCAACACGGAACTTGTCCGTTGGTGCAGTCGCGAACGGACGCTTTGGAGCAGTCGCGAACGGACGCTATGGAGCAGTCCGGAACGGACTCTTTGGCGCAGTCCGAAACGGGATGGGTGCGGACGGTCTTCTTCGAGAGCCGAGTCAAATGGTCCGCCTTCCAGAGTCTAGCGAAGACGTCCTGCTCCTCTGCCTGAGGGACCGTGACAAACACGCTGACACGATAAACACCGTCGTCCGGGCTACGAGTGATTAAGGCATCGCAGTTTCCCGCGCACATCCTAGCGATGGTCGAGAGATCAAAGTCCGCCGAGGGGATGCGATATGCGATGTCAAATTCGCTCTCGAGCAGAGGGGACGAAGTCTGCCGGACGAATGGGGGGTTCATCGTGCCCTGTTGTAATACAGGAAGGAGAGGGCTGAAGTCAGAGGGACGTCGCTACGACTCAAAGGACGGCTTCGAATGCTACTCACGGATCGAATGGAGGCTAGTTGACTGACGAAGTCGCCAGCGCAGGGCTTGTCGTGTGAAGACAAGCGCTTGCGCATATAGATGCTCTGATGAGTGGAGTCGGGCAGATGGACTATTGGACAGACGAGGAGTAGACGAAAGGTGGGAAGGAGGATGGATGTGCGAAGGGGTCGATCGATAAGCTGTCTGCAAGGCTGCGTGCGAGCAACGAAGCCTTCGGCGGAGCTGAGTCCATCCGCTTTGTCCCCATCAGCGAGCAGGATGTGTCAAAACGCTAATCACAGCGTACACCATCAATGTGTGCGGAGCAGTCAACGAGCCGAAAATAAGGTTGCGGACGGGCAAGACTTCTTGGCAATGCGACCGACGTGTTGAGCTCTCGCGGTTGTCGACTCCTTCTGAGGGGCTTGGGTCAGGAGAATGTGTCAAGACGCTCATCAATGCGGGCAAGATCGACCGAGGTGGGCCCGACGAAGAGCGGACAGCGAGCACAAGATTAAGGTTTGGCGTCGCGAGCGACGTGATGAGCTCGTGACAGGTCGAGCATCCCGTTTCGAAACGGAGCTCTCTTCGAAGACGGCATTCATGTGCACGCATCTCGCGGCGGCAGCATACTTGATAAGTCTATTCCATTGTTCATGCAGGTGATTTCCTAAGGACGCAAGAACAAGGTTCACGGTACGGCATCCAGATCTCCGAGGTTGTCAATCAAGTAGTCCGGTACCGTCTTTGCATCCGGTCCCTCGATCTCGTCCCTCTTTGAGATACCCGTCAACACCAGCAGCGTCGCGACACCACCGGCCTTTCCGAACTCGATATCGGTGTTCAACCTGTCACCGACCATGATGGTCCGCTTGGGGTCGAACTGCTTGACAGCCTGGATGCAGTCGAGCATTGGCTTGTGCGGTTTGCCCACGATGGTAGGTGTGCGTTTGGTCGAAAAGATGAGCGGTGCGGACAGACTGCCTGCTCCAGGCCAGGGGCCACCTTTGGCAGGGAACGTCGAGTCGTCATTGGTCAGAATGAAGTGACAGCCTCCGCCTGTCGCATTGGCTTCCACCGGCCCGTCGAATCCGGGTCGCGTAAGGTGCTTGAACGCCTTGGCGAGCTTGATGTAGGACATGTGCATATCGAAGCCGCAGACAACCGCACCGATTTTCGGGTCGATCGCGTCGTCGTTCTGCAGCGAAGTAAAGTCGAGCGCTGGCAGAAACTTGTTGTCCTCCGGATCGGTGCCTCCGCAGTGCTGGATGTTCTCGGCGTCCAGCTCCTCCTCGATACCGTGCATACCAATGACGTAGACCTTGCGATCGGCAGGGAAGTTGAGCACCTTCTTGAGGTAGACAGCAGAGGCGTATGAGGAGGAGAAGACTTCGTCGAGCGATGCTTGGATGTTCATGCCGGCAAACTTCTTGAGGTACGTTTGACGCGATTTCGAGGCATTGTTGGTGACAAAGATGACCGACTTGCCGCGCTTGCGCAGCTTTTCGAGGACAGAGACAGCGCCTGGGATCGTGTCGTCGCCAGACCATAGGACGCCGTCGCAGTCGAACAGGAAGGTGTCGTACTTGGAGAGCAGGTCTTCGTAGTCCGAGGTGTTCTGCAGGTACTTGTAGGCGGAAGAAGAGGTTGCTTTGTCATCATCGTTGCTGGCTGCGGCGGCTGCGGCGGATCCTCCAACGACCGCAAGGCCAGCTGTAGCACCAGCAGCGGCACCGAGACCGACTGTAGCCCCTTCTTCTGTCAGCTGGGTCGCTGCAATCGCATTGGCGTGCTTCTCAATAGGGTCCTCCTTGGCTGATACCTGTGCTGCTTCGTGCTTTGTCGATTGCTGCTCGGTAGCGCCATCGGACTTGCGAGTGCCATCCTCCGCGATGCCTCCAACCTCGATGAGAGTGCTCCAGTACTTTTGGAAGTTCCATTCGTAGTTGTACTTTCCTCCCGCGAACTCGGCGTCAAGCTGTTCTGCCGGCACGAATTCGGCGAGGTTGGCATTGAAGCGGATCTTGTCCTTGGTGATGGGATCGAGGAAAGGTGTGATGGCAGTGAAGAAGGCGTTGATGAACCAGGGCACGTTGACAACAAAGGCACGTCCGAGTCGTTCGACGTAGTGATTCTGGAGGATATTGGCGACCGTCTTGGCGGTAGAGAGGGAAGGATTGGTTGAAGTGGTGGCCTTGTGGTAGTCGATGACGATGGCGTAGTTTTCGACTCCTGGTGGCATGAAGTCGATCGCTCGTTCAAGGGTCCATACGAGATAGCGCACCTGAGCATCGCTAGGCTTGGTGTTCTCGCGTGCTGGCCTGAGGTAGATCAGGGGCCTGCCGTCATTGTCGAAGCCTGAGACGACGTGCTTGCCGGACTCTGCTTCGTGCGATACACTGCCAGGGGGGATGATCTCCGGACAGAAGTCTCTCCTCCACTCGAGCGTCGACTTGATCCTCCTCTTTGCGTTGTCGAGATCACCCTTTGCAGCACGAAGATAGCGCTGGTAGAGGTTGTGTTCGTTGAGCCACTTGTCCTCCCACTTCTTGTAGTCGTCCTTGGGCGGGTCCTGGGCTACGATCTGTCGAACATACTTTTCGAGCTCGGCCAGCTTTTTCTCCTGTTCAGCGTTGAGAGGCTCACTGGGCTTTGGAGTGCAACCTGGTGCGGGCTTGGTGAGGATCTCGGATGTCTTTGCAGGGAGTGGCTCGGCGGAAGCCTGGCTCCTGACGGACTGGGTGGATGGCGTGCGAGACAACCGCCCGAGAAATCGTGACATGGTCAAAGATGGAGCAGAACCGTGCTTGTCACTGTGATAGTTGTGACGGTGGGAGGGGGACGTGTGACAGCCTGCAGGGTAGACTATTGACTCATGACGGCACGGATCTTCCGAAGGTCAATGCGGTTGGCCGACGCTTATCCATTTTTGCAGCCGACTATCGCAATTCAGATGTGAGATCGCCGATCTAGTCAACGCGCTCACCTCCACGTCGGAAATTTTGGAGTGTTGGTCTGCAGGGACCATCTGGCCCACAAAGGTTGTGACTGAGCCCGCTTCCACGTCTTTGTTCTCGTCGTCCACATCATCACCTTCCTGTACGGCAGCCGGACCAACTGTTGTCCGGATACAAAAGCCCCGCAGCACAAGCCTCATTTCATCATCGGGATCGCCGCCTCATCGCTTCCCCACCGCAACTATGGCAGACGCTGCTCAAGATGCGCAGAACCTCATTCACAACCTTCTCTCCGAGATTGTACCATATCCCGTCTTCCGCGTCCTTGCGGGCTTCTCCAACCTGATCTACAGTCTACTCGGTAGCTCCAACAATCCGTCATCATGGGCCTCGACGCTGCTTCCTCCGCTCATCACCTTCTTCCTGGCGTACTTTGCGCTCGTGACGGCGTACAGAACAGTGCGCTCGATGCTGGCGGTGGCATGGTTCGGCATCAAGTGGGGCGCGATCATCGGCGCGCTCATCGCAATATGGGCCTGGTGGACCGACAACACGGATGCCATCAACAGCACTGGGACGGTGCCCGGTCGAGGAGGCCTCTTCGGTCAGCGTAAGTAGCAGATCCCATCATCGATTCATATCGATCCCCTGCTCACCTTCCCTTCTCATCTCGCTCGCACAGTGTTCAAAGGCTGATCGAGACCTTGACCTTCTCTTTTCGTATCGAACATCAGTAAACACCCTCGGTCCGCTCATGAACACGCTCTACACGCAGCTTCCGGACTTTATGGCACCCGCAGGCTCGTCCGCGTCACGCAGCAATCGTCGAAGGACAACAGCGCAGACACGACGGAGGGCACGCTCGTCGACTAGAGGTGGTAATCAGAATGCATTCGCATACGATCCGAACGCTGATCTCACCGATGATCTCGGTGCTGGCTACTCCGCGTTCGCAGACATGTTCGGCGGCGCCAACAACGAGCCCTCTAACGGCGTCGACTTTGCGTCTCTGCTGCGCACCATCGTCACAGAGGGTCAGCGGCAAGGCATCGATGCTCTATCAGCACTCAGAGCCGCAGGAAGAGTGCAAGACGAGCTGCGCAACTTCCAACAGAACCCGACTGCGTGGTTCGAAGGTGTCGGCGAACGGTTCCGAACCACAGCAACCCCGGGTCTGGACGATGGTGCGGGATACAACACTCGCTCTCGGGCGCGGAACCAGCAGCAGCAGAATCGCGGTCGCGGAACAAACGTCAATGTCGATCAGCAAGACTCGTGGTGGTCCAACGTGGCTTCCGGCGTCAACGACTTCCTGAAACGCGAGCCGGCGCAGAACCCCGGTGGTCAGCGAAGACGCACTCGCCCGTCGTACAATGTATAACACCCATGTCGCAATGTCAAAATGCGGAATCCTTGTCATTTCGAGTGAGCTTCAATCGTTGCTATCCTCCTTGACCTCGTCCAAGTCCGGTACCTTATCTGTCCTCACCCCCAAGCGTCTAGCCAGGCTCATTGCAACCTCTCTCACGCTCTGCACATCCTCCCTGCTCCAGCCGGCTCTCAGCGCGCCTCGCAGGTGCCATGAAACTTCCGTACGACAATTCTGCGTCACCAGCGCAGCAAGCACCACCAATTCGGTCAACTTCCACCCTATCACCTCTTGACACGCCAAATTGAACCCATAGTTGATCTCAAGGGTCAAAAACTTCAGATCCTCCATGTTGTCGCCCATCTTTTCGGTGAGGATCTGGTCGAGGTTGTGCTTGTATACTCGACGCAGAGCTTCATGCGCGGATGCGGTAAGGGATGAGATGGGTTTGTCCAGCGAAGATCGACGTGCGAAGTGTGAGGCGTCCAGGAGGTAAGAGGGCGAAGTTGCGCGGATGTGCGTGAGAAGGGCGAAGATGGTATCGAGCGAAGGGGGGATACCGTGAATCACGGAGCCTTTGACGAGAGCCTCTTGGATAAGTCGTTGGATTCGCTGCGATGCAGACTTGCGCGAAGTTTCGTCAGCGGAAAAAGAAGAAGTGGTCTGGGTCAAGGCGAGTTCGTAGAGGTGGACGATGGATTCAGGGCCGTGATGGCACGAAACGACTGTTGCCGTGAGGATCGTCAACCACGCGTCCAGGTCCGAGCGGATCGAAGGGGACAGCGCTGCGCGAAAGGACTTGAGCTCGTCCAGCGTCAGCTCGGGCGGGATCGGCGATAGAGGAGAGAGCGAGGTAGTGGACATGGCTGCGAGGCGAGGCGGCGATGAGGTTGACAACGATCGATGCCGGTTGTGAGACGCGGTGACGAGGCGTGAGGCTGGAAGCGAGTTGAAGTGATGCAGATGGGGTACTTGTAGTCGCCTCGGAGTCACAGCTACGAGCCTTAGCATCGCAATCGCCAGGCTCGAGTGCAGGATGTGACGATGGGGCCGGATGTGCAAGTGAGCACTGTGAGGAGAAGGTTCGACTGGTCCATGCACACTCGCTAGCGTCCTGGACCCTGAATTGCCGCTTCCGCAACCTCCGCTGCAATCCTAACGAGCACGCTCCTCACGCTTCACACAGTCAGACATTCCTACTCTGCCTCAAAGCACTTCACAAGGACGTGAACGATGAATGTCATGAATGCGTGGTCTATTGCAATGCTGAACATTCCTTCCCTCCACTTCATATGCCCATCTGTCGCTTCATCCCGAGCCAAACGGCAAATGAGATACTCGTCATGGGCACCACCTTCAAGAACCCAATACTGAGTCCCACGTAGAAGCCTCTCCATCCGCTCGTCTTGTAGATCCACGCGGCAGTCTCCCACATACCCAGCATGGCGCCTGGTCGAATAATGCCACCGACCTGCTGTCTCCTGCGGATCACTTCGAACGGATAGGCCGCCGTCTGCGACAGCGCTCCCGCCAGGGCGCCTGCTGAGAGGTCAACAACCGTCTTGCTGGGCCAGTACCATTGCCTTCTGCTCCCTGGTGTATCCGCTGACGGTTCGGACGGCGGGAAGAGGTCCTGAAGCAACGTCTTGCATCGACCGAAGACGAGAAAGCTGGTTCCCGCGTACGGGATCATACCCATCACCGTCACGCTGAATCCACGGTAGAACTTGAGGATGGGATGCTTGGCGAGCAATCTGTTGCCCGCTGGAACCGCCGAAGAGGGGACATTCGGATCTGTCGCTCGCAATGCGCTTTCGATGGAGCTCGCCGATCCGGCCGCGATGGCACTCTGCGTCGCCGACGTGCTGAGATTCGCCTGCTGTGCCGCTTGTTGTGCCATCCTCGCCGCTCTTCTCCTCGCATCGCTGCTGAACGGCGCCTCTGTCGCACCCTCCCGATAGATCATCCCGATAATCCGCCTCAATCCACCCTTTTGCTTCTTCCGCTTCGTCTCGAACGCCAACCGCACCCGAATCAGCTCGAGCGGATAGGTCAAAAACACCGACAGCACACCGCTCGCCGATCCAGCCAGAAACAACCTCGCCGACGTCTCGCTCTCCTTGGTCGGCATGAGGTAGAAGTGCAACTTGTCGTACGCCATGTACTTGATGGCCGCGTAGGGGAAGATGCGCATCAAGGTCGCGCTGTGACCCTGAAAGAGCGCTGATGGCCCGTCGGAGCGTAGGATGTCGCGGCCGGCATGGAAGACGCCCAGCCACTTGCCGGAGTACTTGGCAAATTCGGGATTTTGCGCTTGGAACAGGATCTTGACCCGGTCGAGCGGGGCGATGGCCGATTTGGCGATGCAACCTGCGATGCCGCCCGCGAAGCCGGAGCGTAGGACGTAGTTCCAGCTTTGCTTGTCGGACGAGTCGCCCAGGAAGGATGCCTTGCGTGCGGAGGTAGGAGTGACGGGAGGTATTGAGAAGGCACCACGAGCATCATCGTACGCTCGTCCTTTGCCTTTGAGAACGGTCGTGGGTTGCGGGTCGGATGCTGCGTGGTCAGTCTCGCACAATGGAGGATGTGTTGGTCGTGGCGCCGCCATGTTGTGGCTGTTTCAGATTGACCGAGCAGCACAGCCTAGCCGCTGTGGTTGTTGCTGTCTGCCTGCTCCTGTCTCTTTTGACGAGAGATTGTGTATCTCCGTTCGCCAGAACTTTGTGCTAGCTGCGCAGCTGTTGTCCCTCGTGATGCGATCGTTAAGGACCTCGTACGCGCCTTTGGTGAGCGAGATCTGAGTTGTGCAGATGCTCCTCGTCGTGTGATCGTGCTGCTGTCCGGACAGCGTTGATGATGGATGCGCAGGAATGGCTGCGACTTGCGACGCTGCGATGCACAATAGCGGATGGTGGTGGAGGAGGTAACGTCGGTGGGCTGAGCAATCAAAGTGAAAGGGTCGAACTGTTATTCGCTCGCTTGCTCGCTCTTGAAAATGAGCCGGAGCCGGTCTGGAAGCCAATTTTGCACAAATCCCCCGCATCTTTTCCTTTTTGCCGGTAGCAGCTGGCAGCGTCACAGCAAATTCACAGAAAAAGCCGATTCAGACCGCCTTTTCCGACAATCTGCAGGTCGCTGTTTTCAGCTGCAAAACATCATGGATCGACTTGGGCGAAGCACTCGACACGCGTCGAGCCAAAATGATGGTCCAAGCCGTCGGATGTGAGTTCTGGATGTGCAGACTTCATGAAAGGGAGCGCCGCTTTGATCAAGTGGGAGGACATGACACAAGGGAGGAGGGAATTGTAGACCGACGCGCGAGAAACGAACACGTGAACCTTGAGGTAAAGCGCGAGCTAAGGTTGGGAGACCGAGTGCTCTCCTAAAACTGGCTCCTTGTCGACTTGACGACGTGAAGCGAGCGGCACAGCTAGACTCACAGAGCGCAGCCAGCACTTCACGGCTCGACCGTAAGATCGAATGACTCCGATGTGATTCGCTCATATATGGCTCACCCGAGATGCGACTCTGGAAGGTCGATTAGAAGATTCGGTGGGGGAATGAAGGCAGTCCATCGCCACCTTAACTGCTGCGCCGCTTCTGAAGTTTATAGCCTTCTGCCTCTGTCTGCGCAGATCTAGGCGTCAATTGCTCCAGTCTGATCCCTGAGGCGCTCCTACCCGGTCTGAATGTGAACGACTCCTGGTGCACGTCTCCTTTCGCGCAAGCGCGCAAGCAGACGAAAACTGACTTGCCGCTGCTCGACCAGAATTGCATGCGCAGAGACCACAATATATGAATCAAGATGCAACATAGAATCGAGCCTTTCCCGCTTCCCACACCTTCCACCTTGTCCTCATATCAATCAGTATGGAAGATCGAACAGCATCCCTCAACGCTCGTGTCCTCATCAGGAATGCCATAGAACGCGAACGTCGCGACGATTACGGCCCACCTCCCGAAGCGGGCCATGACTCGTCATCGCCAGAATCAAGCACCAGCATCTCAGAATCGACTCGGAAGCGCCGAAGCCATTGCGTCACCACTCGTCGAGCCATCATAGATCGCCACTACCCTCGCTGCCCGCGCTGTGGTACCTTGGGCGTTCCTTGCGAGCCACCAGATGTCACGAAATGGCCCGGGCGCTGCAAGCGATGTGTCGTGGATCACAGCAGCTGTCCTCTGATGCAGTGGCTATCAACTGAAAACGTCGAGAGGTACGACGACGCTTTGAAGGCCGGTAAAAGTCTGCTCGAGGCAGACGAGGAAGTCTACGGGGCCATTCCCGGTCTGCTAGGTGGACCCTTGGACAAATGTCAGCAATACTCCCCCCAGTTTCTCTCTCGATTGACCCGCAACAGTTTGTCAGAGACAGGCTCAGTCGCGAGACCTAGGCGCCGAACAATCGTCATCAATCCACCCAGCGGAGCTTTTAGTCAACTCCGTCCTATAGCCGATCTCTCTGGGCATACTCTCGAACAGCATGCCACACCTCAAGGCAGTCGCACGGTCAACCCTTTCACGCCTCAAGCAGCAGTGTCGCGACGCAGGCCCTCCTCATTGCAGGAGGATCCGCGCCGTCGTCGTCGCATTGACTCTGCTCCCACCTCGGTTGGCACTTCCGCCCCGCAAGCACCGAATGGCAGCCACGCGCCAGCAGAGACCACGCAGCTTTCCAGCAACGTTGCTGGCTCCCAAGACTTGGCAGCATTCCGTTCCGAAGTTGCGCAGCATATCTCCCACGTCAGAAGTCAACTCTCCGCCCTACGACTCATCGGCGACACCTATCCCCAACATCACGACCAGATCGCGACCGAGGCGCTGAACGCTATCGCGCGTGCCCTTGGCCAGACGAAGACGGTAAGCCAAGCCAAGAGCTCCTTCTCGGCCAGAAAAGGATCGGTGACTGACCGCCCTACCCTCCTTCCATAGATCGACGAAATCTGAACCGACGAAGAAGGCCATGTCACCCTTCAAAATCTTTCAGCGTTCACAAGAGCCATAAGCCACGTCGTACTCTCTCGAGCCTCACGTGTATCTCAAGAATGTCAAATCAAGCTTCGTGTGCCTCTCACAAAGCTCGAATCTCCTCCGGAAACTCCTCAGCGTGTCAAGCGAATGGTGGCGTCCGAACTTGTCAGCAAATGGTAACGCGCATGCGTGAGCAGCTGGCAATGTGCGCAAAAGCGAAGTTCTGTCTATCTTCAAAGCTGAGCTCGCGTACGTGCAGCTCAACGAGGGCGTATGAGAACGCAAGACGACATGTTGACGAGGAGTTGCCTGCTCTCCAAAATTTTCAAAATTGTTAAACCTCTCGCCTTCCAATTCCTTAATTTGTCCTACCCTCTCACAGCCGACCCTACCTCTCACCCAGCCTTTGCACCCTTTCTTCCCACCGGACGCGCTTCCAAACTCTCTTGCGTAGCCTCAGAACCCTTCACAGAGCTCGAATAAAGCAAAAAGAAAGTGTCCTCGGCGAGGCTCGAACTCGCGATCTTAGGATGTCTAATAGGTTGATTCCCGTGTAACAGGATCGTTGATGCAGCTTTGTGTAGCTTCTCAAAGTATGAGACCTACGCCCTACCAACTAGGCCACGAAGACGTTGTTTCTTTGCAGTGCTGAGGCTGCAAATATGAATGCAGCAAAGTGAGAAGAAGTTGGAACGCTTTCTTTCAGGAAAGATTTAGTCGATCTTTTGATGCTTGTACGACGTTGGACGCACGGATCTCGACCACGAGTCGGGACGGGATTCATGCATGTGACTCATCGGAAGAAGCCGAAATGTGACTATTCGGAAGTGCAGATCTGTGACTGATATTGCATATGTACACAGCTGAATCAGCCAAGTGCGGCGTAGTCGGAAACGAGTTTTGCCACGCCGTTGGCGAGCGGAGCGAGCTCGCTAGCAATGGCGCACTCGGCATAGACGCGAACGCAGTCCTCGGTTCCACTGGGTCGCACAAAGCTTCGGGCGTCCTTGTACTTGCCCACCAGCTCATCAATTCTCTCCTGCAACCCGGGCGGGCTGGTGAGCCTTCGCTCAGCGTCTTCGGTCTTGAACATGAACCGATCCTTGACGTTGACTTTGAGGATCTTGTTGGGGAGATCTTCGTAGGCACCGTCCCATTCGGCGGGTCCCCACTGGCGTGTTCGGAGGATGACCTCGACCAACAGCATGTCGGACAGCGCATCTCCTACGGTCTGGTTGATCAGGTCCACCAGCGCACCCAGCTGTTCCAACGCCGTTTGTGCCGCAGGCGAGTTCGGAGTCGCCTCCTTGATCTTCCTCTGCGCCGATGGACTGAAGAGCACTGTACCGTGACCGTTGGCTTCGAAGTAAACCCCGATGTCGTATGCCTCCGCGGCGTGGTGCAGATGCTTCACACCCGTAGGGGTGCACGTCACCGGCGCGCGCTGCTTCAAATACTTAGTAGAGCTTCCGTTGGCATACGCCGTTTGAACACATCCCAGCTCGAGCTCGATCCCGGCGGCAGTGACGAGCTCGGACAGGTAGCCCGCAGCGAGAGAGGCGATCTTGTCCCCGTCCAGCAGGCGGAATGAGTCTTTGCTGCTAGCGGGTCCCGTGAGGTAGTAGTAGACGATTCGGTCTGCATCGCCGTCGAATGAGCAGAAGCGTTCGCCAGGTTGGAGGTTCTCCTTCTCAAAGCCGGCGGGGAGGCATTGGTTGGTCTTGACGTAGTCGGCACCGCAGTTGTTGTTGAGTGCGCCAGGGGTAGTGGTGGATGTGCGCATGGGGCGGAAGGCAATGCGGTCTTCGGGAAGGTATTTGATGAGGTTGGTGAGGGCGTAGGCACCGACACCGTTGGCGCAGTCGACGACGAGAGGTGGCACGTCCGAGCTGGCGGGGACGAGCTTGAGGAAGGCGGCAGCGAGCTTCCTGTAGTAGCCCTGCTCGGATGGTTCGCCGTACGACTCTGGGGTGCCCTCGGTGTTGATGCACTTGACGAGGTAGTGGAGCTGCGGGGTGGTCTTGAGACCGGCATCGATGGTATGGGCGCCGAGGGCGGAGAGACCGTCGATGATGGCCTGGACGAGCTGCTTACACGAGGGACGCGTGTCGTAGCCAACGATCACAGAAGCAGGAGCAGACAGGTCGATCTTGAAATGCGAGATGATCTTCTCGAGCGAGGCGATGAGCTCTTCGTCGGTGGAAGCATTGGCGACCTGCGTGCAGAAAGGCTCCCAGGTGGCTTCGAGCATCTCACCCCGAGGATCGACCATCTTGACACCGTTGTCCTGCTCCGGGTTGTGGCTGGCAGTGACCATGAGACCGATGGTCTTGCCCTTGAGCTTCTTGGAGCGCAGCGCACCGATGAGACCGACACGGAAACATGTGCTGTCGAGGATGTCGGCGCGGGTACGCAGACCAGCGGTGCCGTAGGTGAAGGTCTGGTTGATGGGCTTGGGGTGCTGTTGCGAGGCGGCGGCGATGAGCGAGGTGGGGAGACCCTCGCCGAGATGTGCCTGTGCGGCCTGAATAGTGGATGGAAGCGCCATGTTGTTAAGTACTATGTTCAACGTGGGACAAAGTGATGGTCGAGAAGGAAGAGTGTGTGAAGCAGCTCTCTCAAGGTGGGACGAGCGGGAAGAAGTGGAGCGAGTCCAACACTTTTTGGCTAAATGCGAACACGGGCCAGCTTTGTACCACATGAAATGCGCACGCATGCGTGGAGGTCAAACACACAGAAGCAGGAAATCGGTGACTGCAGGCAGCAATCTCAGCCAACGTTCTTCTCACTGACCTTCTTCTTCTTGCGCGCAGCGCTATCTTTCCGGATCATCGAATTGGAAGCAAGTTTGGATCTCCGCGCTGCTCTGTGACGGAACGACAAGTTCTCAGACATGGAGCGAATCTGTGCAGGGCTGTGTGCATTTCCTGGCCCTGATTTCGGTGTGCTTTTTCTTACAGCGCCGCTGTTGTGTGTTGCTCTCATATGAATTTCTTCTCAAGCTCCCTTGCCAAGAAAATCGAGATAAGAGCTGGACCCGATCTCACATTCTTAGGGACACGCGTAAAGGCAGCGTGAGTGGGCCATGTGCTTCTTGGATGACAAGCCGAGATTGAGCCCAGTTTGTCTCGGACCTCAGCTCAGGCGCGAGTCGGGCCCATTCATCTGACGCTGTCCATCTTGCTTCTCAGTCGGATCACATCTTCCGTTCCGCACTCAACTCCTCGTCCGTCGCCAAGGATCTTTTGTCATCGGCTTCTGGTTACACTTTCACGTCAAGTCGATTTCCTTGACCACAGGGTACTCCTCAAAGGAGCGCAGCATTCTCCATCTTGGTGCACGTACGACGACCCTCGTGCAGCAATCGACAAACTTGCAAGGCCATTGCACCTCACCATGTCGTCCTCAAGACCAGCGGGCGCTCCGCCCGCTCTGCACATCAGCCCACCCGGCACAGCATACGCCAGCTCTACATCAACAGGCGCCGCTCCACCACCCGTCCAGCGTCCCACCCACAACCGTGCCCGCTCTTCCTCACTTGTCTCGGTGACCCGTGTCGAAGAGACGCACGAAGAGATGCTCGATCAAGCCGCCGGCTTCAACGCCAACGCAGATTGGGTCAACTACAAGGGTGCCTGGGTCATCCACGTCGTTCTCATCCTGCTCGCCAAGATCCTCCTTGATGTCATCCCCGCCATGCAGCAGGACACCTCCTGGACGCTCGTCAACCTCGGCTACATGGCTTTGTCGTATCTCATGTTCCACTATGTCACCGGCACACCTTTCGAGTCCAACGCAGGTGTCTACGACCAGCTTACACTGTGGGAACAGATCGACGAGGGCGCGCAGTACACGCCGGCAAAGAAATGGCTGACATCAGTGCCCATTGGATTGTTCCTCGTCTCGACGCACTATACGAGGTACAACCCGCTGCTATTCGGCCTCAACTTTTCGGCTCTGCTCTTCGTGCTCTTCCCCAAACTGCCGCTTTTGCATCGCCTGCGCATCCAGTTCTTTGCACCACCGCCGACGCCGAGCCCGTATCCTAGCGCACCACCTACACCCACCGGTTCGCGCGCTCCAAGCCAAGTGCTTTGATCAGATATCATTACCACGGGGTTTCACGGTGCGTGGCTGATCGTAGAAAGGGCCAGCACGAACAGCTCCGCAAGACTTCCGAGTTGACAGGAGTCAAGACGGGTCGCCACGGTTTCAGCCTTTCCCGCGTCGCCGCTCAGCTCTCTCATGTATCACAGAGGATGGCACTCGCAACCTGAAGACCACGATGTTCCAACCGCTTGTGACCGTCTGCACCAGAGCGAATACTTGAACGGTATCGAATCCTCTTGCATCGTAACAGAGGAGTGAAGTCCGGATTGATTGGCCGCTCTTTGGAAGCTCACAGAAGACTGAACGGCCTCCTTCGCAAGCTGTTGTGCCTCTGTCGTACATGAGACGACGCTTGTACGCTGGGCAAATGTGTGACCTCGACTGACTCACAGCATCATGCCGCCTTGACCAGTCATTGTTGAGCAGTTGAGCACGTCTGAAGCTAAGATTTGAGGGAAGCAAGTTTCAAGCTTGTGGGTTTCGGAAGACGGGATTTCAAGGTGGAGCCGCCGCTCAAAATTTTTGGCTTTTGGGCTGCGTGCCCTTTTCTTCTTCTGAGAAATTTGACTTCTCGCTGGTGGCACAAGAAGCACTGGGAGAAGACCCTGACTGCCTTCATCCTAGACTCCTGTCCATCATCACCATCATCAGCCAGTCCGCATTCCAAACATCGCAGCGCACCTGCCACGGACCAATAGGCTATTCCGCTCAATCTCGAAGGAGCAGACAGAGCGTTGCCATCCACGCCGAGCTGGGCTCGAGCTTCACCATGCCGCACCATCACCGAGCCTCCTCATTGAGGCAGTCCAACAAAGCTTTCAAGTCGAAGCACGCCACAAAGACTTCCCTTCGCGAGGCATCCAAAGGTCGATCCGCTAGCGACGTATCCAGCACATCCCGCCTCGCCTCGCACAAGGCATCGCCGCTCTCCGCTGCCGGTAACGAGACCGGCTCGCGTCAACACCGCCGCAACCACGCCAAGCAGGCACAGCGATCCAAGCGCAGCGCCCTTGTTCAGTCTAACCGCATCTTTTCAGCCGCATCGTCATCATCCAGAGAAGGCAAGGATGGCTTGTCCAAAGGATTTGCAGGAGCAGGTGCGGGTGCACCTCGTATCTGTGCCGTCGTGGATCTGGCAGAAGACGGTGATTCGTGGGAGGCTGTGAGGCGGATCCAGGAGGAAGGTATTGATGGCGGTGTCCAGCCTGTCGCAGGACGCAGTGTCGAAGAGGCCCTCGCCCAAGGCTTGCCATACTGCGAGCTCGAAGCGACCCGTTTCCGACAGACGATCCAGTTCCTTCCTCTCCCCTACGGCGCTCTCTATCCCACCCTCGACGCCTGCAAATGCGCCGACTTTGTCCTCCTCGTCCTCTCCGCGTCCACCGCCATCGATCCTGGCTCCTGGGGTGAGCTTTGCCTCCGAACCCTCCAATCGCAAGGTCTGCCTACCGTCGTCGTCGCCGTCCCCACATTGCACCCGGACGGAGCCACCGGTGTTGGCGGCAGCAAGAAGGCAGGTGCAGCACTCAAGGCCGCCAACGAGGTGCGCAAGTCGCTGCTCAGCTTTGCCAAGTACTTTTCTCCCGACGTGGAGAAGGTGCATGCGCTCGACGATCGCGCGGAGCGCGGGGCGCTTCTGCGCACGTTGGCCACCGCTACACCGAAGCGTGTTGCCTGGAGAGATTTCCGTGCGTGGATGGTCAGCGAGGGGGCAGAATGGGAGGCGGTGGAGGCCACCGGCAACGCAAATGGTGACAGCAACGGGCTCGACGGGATCAACGGCCACGACGCCGAGCGAGGCACGCTTAAGGTCACGGGCTGGATTCGTGGCGCTCCCATGTCGGCAGATCGACTCATCCATCTTCCCGACTTTGGCGACTACGCAGTGGATCGCATCACCTACGCTCCCCCTCCGAATGCACGCACAAAGCGATCCAAGGCTAGCGCCACCAACGCGTCCAACGAGATCCAAGACGATGCCATGACCGACGCTTCTGCGGATACCTCAGCAGCGGACCTCGTCGCAGGAGACACTCTTCAATCGCGCGACGACGAGTTCGCCGACGACCTGATCTCCGAGAACGAGCCGGACGACATGGCCAACGAACAGACATGGCCCACCGAAGAGGAGATGCAAGCAGCCGAGCGATTCAACAAGCAGCGTGCCGACGGCGAGATGCCCCCACCTCCCGCTCTGCCCGGAACCACACCCAAGACCATCATCAAGGGTAGCGACAATGCCAAGGACAACGCCAAGTACCGCGCTGCATGGATCATCGAGTCGGACGAAGAGGATGAGGACGATCTCGACGACGACGATGGCTCACTGATGGCGGACGAAGGCGACGAAGACATGATCGACGAGGGCGATATGGAAGTCAACGAGGCGATCGACGACTACGAACGCATGAAAGCCGCTGCCATGGCGCAGCAGGCGAGCGATACCGTCTCCGAGATGCCCTTCGAAGACGTCGACGACGCCCAAGCGGAAGCCGAATACCTCGCCTACCAAGAGCAACGCAAACGCGAGCGCGAGGAGCGGGACGACGCTGAGTTCCCCGACGAGGTCGATACTCCCCTCGAGATCGCCGCCCGTACCCGGTTTGCCCGCTACCGAGGCCTCAAGTCCTTCCGAACCTCTCCCTGGGATCCGTACGAGGACCTGCCCCGCGACTACGCACGGATCTTCCAGTTCGAAGATTTCCACAAGACGCGACGTCGCGTCGAGGGCGCTGCGCTGCTGGACGGTGTGCAACCTGGATTCCGCGTCACCGTCTGGATCAAGGACGTTCCCAAAGCAGCGGCGATTCGTGCTCGCGCCACCAACCTCGGCGACCTTCCGCCGATCGACTGCTCCGTCCCCTTCGTGCTCTTCGGCCTGCTCCGCCACGAACACAAGAAGTCGGTCATCAACTTTACCGTCACGCGCAATACGGAGTATGAAGAGCCGGTGCGATCCAAGGACCCACTCGTCCTGTGTTTGGGACCGCGTCGGTTCCGTATCAACCCGATCTTCAGCCAGCACAGCCGTGGAGGTGGAAAGGGCGTCAACAACGTGCACAAGTTTGAGCGGTTCCTGCGTTCGGGTGTCTCGGCATCCGTGGCGACCGTCTATGCGCCGATCACCTTTGGTGGATCGACAGCCCCGGCGGTGCTCCTACGCGAACGCGCACTGGATGGCGAAACGGGTTACGACCAGCGTGGCGTCTCCGCTGCCCAAATGCCCCATCTCGTCGGGTTTGGAAACCTCATCGATGCTGGTCCGACGCGCATCAATGCCAAGAGGATTCTGCTCAGCGGTCACCCGTACAAGGTGCACAAGAAAACCGCTACGATCCGATTCATGTTCTTCAACCCCGAAGACGTGTACTGGTTCAAACCCATTACGCTGCACACGAAGCTCGGTCGCACAGGCCACATCACCGAGAGTCTCGGTACCCACGGATACTTCAAAGCCCACTTCGACGGGCCCATCAGTCAGATGGATACCGTGCTGATGAATCTGTATAAGAGAGTGTATCCGAAGTGGGGACAGGAGTTTAGGCAAGGGTATGAGGAGCTGCCGCTGCCGAGGGGCGAGGTGTTTGGTGCTCACAAGGAGGAGGGGATGCAGGAGGAGTAGTCGACACATTCGTCACCCTTTGCAGCGCAATGACTTTTCAAGCAGCGTGGTCCACATCGTCTGGCTTCTGAGAAGCAGAGAGGAGTGGAATCACGATCGCACCCGGGACTGCTTCCAACACTGAGTGTGTGGCGAGCAGCGCTGATCGCGGTGACCAAGCTCCAAGATCGAGGGCTGCAACGACTCTACTAGGAAAGGTCGACCTAGGCAAGCTGATTACCCTTCGCAAGCGGCAAGCTGGACAGACGGCGAAAGAGCTGTGCTTTAACCATGCACTGAGGGTAATGTCGACAGATCGAGTCTTGACCAAGTTCTTGGTCGAGGGGCAGATGCTGTAAAGAAGACGCGGCGAGAAGGCAAGCGGTGGGGCACGAGTTCGCTTTGCGACGCGAGCCAAGCGGGTGCCGGCGGCATAAAACGAACACAGACAGCTCGCCCAAATCGGGGGCCGTATGTGATGGGATCTCGTTCCGATCTGCCACACGAGGAGGCAGCTTCAAGACTGGCTATCTCTTCGCGATTCACTCCTCCATAGGCTAGCTGCCGTTCGGCGTCCAGATCGGAACCTAGGCGCTTGTACCAGACGACCGGCCAGGGTCTGTTGAAAGCGGGCTGAACCGGGTTGTTGGATCTGTGCGTTCTGGATAAGAGTCGCAACGCAAAGATTAGATAGACCATCCGTCTCGGCGTCTGGCACAGGGTGTCTGCTGCAACTCACGCAGCCGTCCATCACAGCAGATTGTGATTAGCGTCGTCGAGACCATTGTTGAGGAGACCATTTTTGTCATGACTCATCTTAGCGCTCGTGATCATTGTTCATGCCTGCGCCATAATCACCTGTCAGACGTGCGAGACCTCCGTCATTCCATTCCATAGCTGCATAAGCTTGCTTTGTCTGCGTCGATCAACGCAATGCGAACCGGTATCACAAGCTTTCACCTCTGATAGCTGTCGAATCAGCTAAGGTGGACGACGAATCACACGAGCCGCTCTGATTGCGTGCGACCCTTGCTCGATAAGAACTGCATCCGTCGCTGTGGGGAAAATCCGCTTCTCTAAATAAGACTCGTGCAGGTCACGAGGGGAGAGCAAGGCGTGATTTCGCCGCCCAAAGATAACACTGCGGACGGACCATTCATGATCGACGCAAACACCCTCGGTGAATTGGCGGGCATGACACGTCAGAGATAGCCCGCATGATGTTCTGTATGCGAGAAGAGAGGGGGAAAAGATGCAAGGGTACCCTGCATTGAGGCAGTGGTGTTGACCCCGCTGGGACCCCCTCGCTTGATGTTGAGAGAGACATATAAGAAGCCAGGTCCTCCCTCGTCACCCTCTCATCCCATTGACCCATTCCACCATCGTTCCGAGCTGCTCCTTCTGCCTCTCGCCTCTGCCTCTCTTCGCATTCGTCTCCCGTTCTCATTGCAAACCTTGTACCGTCTCTTCTCTGTATCTCTACACAATGGCATCTCAAAACATCAACATCACCACCCCAGCCCCCACTCCGTCTGCCTCGAATTTGTACGGCACGACTCCGGGCGGAACACCACGCATCTCCTATACTCGCGATCAGCTGCTTCAGCTCGCCTCAAGCCCATTGTCTCGCTCGCCCCCTGCGTTCGAGGTCCCCGCTGCCATCTCGCGCACGCCCAAGGTGGACCGAGAGGAGGAGCAGCCGCAGCCCAGCGCCAATGGTCAGAAAGTGACGGAAGACGCGGACGAGAGCGACGACGAAGCGTTCAGGATGGATCTGTAATTGTCGCAAGCAAAGCAACGTCGTCAAGTCTCGTCAAGTCAGGTCCTCGTCCCTCAAAGCAAATCCAAAGTTCCGCATCGAAAGTAGCCCAAATGTCCCCGTCTCAGCATCACCCGCATGTTCCTGCCCACATCTTCGTCTCGTACCAAAGCAAAGTTCATAAGCAAATGTTTCATCTCGCAATGCACAGTTTTCTTTCCTTCTCGCGTCCTGATGTGCCGCGAACGTCGAGTGTGAGACGCAGCAACGTCTGAGCTGCTGTTGCCGCGATTCGCCGCGGCAGTCACAGTCGTCTCTGCAGGCTTGCATCGGCGTCGTGAATAAGTCTAGGGTTGATAACATAGTACATCTTGGTGCAGCTTTTTGACGTCGTATCATCCGCGTCGCTCGTCGGGAGCACGCCTCCTCCTTTTGCTGCCTTCCTCGTGCAGCACCACTTTCGCCTCCACCGCTGTTTAAATGTAAGGAGGACCCAACGCCGTCCTGAACTGGGAGAGCACGACCTCGACCACGAGCAACAACACACCTCCTCCGGGTGCCAACCTGAGCACCTTGGGTGTGAACCCCTTGTAGAGCGCGCCGAAGCCTTCCTCCTTGGCGATGAGGGCCATGCTTGGGAAGGTCCAGTTGTACTTTCTCGGCACACCCTTGACGTTGGGGGTGTTTTGGATCCTCGACTTGACCACGTCGGCAGGGGTGTTGAGCACGGTACCCACCGTACCGCCGACAGCACCGCAGATGAAGTCGTTCCTGAGCTGTTCCGCCTTGCCGTTTGCCTTGGGCATCTGCGCCCTCAGACCGAAGATGACGGAAAAGTAGCCACCGTTCCACAGCACGTGACGCCAAAAAGTGCTCTCCAGTCCTGCATAGAGCCCCAAGATGCCATCCGCCTTGATGATCTTGGACACCACATCCATGGGTCCCGTGTAGAGGTGCGCCTGTGCCTTGTCCTGAAGTCGAATCTTGACCAGCTCAAAGGGGACGACGACGACGGATTCGGTGGCACCCGCACTGCATCCCGTCAGAAGCGACAGAGATTGGGTCATCTTTTCTTGACCGGTGAGATTGCGGTATGTTTTGCCCCAGAAGTCGTTGGCTGCAAACTTGACCGCTCGTTTGGGCGCCTCGAGCATCAGAGGTGGCACCAAGCCGCGATACAATCGTCCCGCACTACACCCACACCAAAATCAAAGATCAATTGTCAGTACGAGAGAAGCAAGAGAGAAGAGGGATGTGTGGGAGGTGGACGCACCCTTCGCTAGCGATGATCTTGCGAAAGGCATCGAGCATGCCATTGTAGTGTTCGGCGCCCGCCGCCGCCTTGGTTTGCAGCTGCATGCGCGTCTTGACCACATCGAGCGGGTAGAGGCAGAGGAGCTCCGTGACGCCGGCGATGGCGCCCGCCGTGAACTGCGCGTAGAACGGCAACGGTTTCGGTTGCGACGTCGTCATCTTGTGCTACTTGTTGATGATGATGATGATGGGGGGAGAGGGAGAAGATTGGGATCGGGACTGGCTCAAGCGTTCTTCCTGGGAGGGGGGAGGTTATCGCACGCACGCTCGGACAGATCGCATCACAGGAAGATTATCACACTCGACGCTCATTCGTTGCCTTCCCCCCCCAAGACCGGTGAGTTGGGGGCTTCATTTCGAGAGATAGCCGAGCAAACACAGTCACACCCTCGCCCAAGCTCGATCGAGGCTCGAATTACCGCCTTGGGAAGAATTCCTTCCTGCTCGCCCCGGCCCCCCGATCCACCTCGATCCAGCAGAATAACGCGGTCCGGTCCCCCGCCCGTCAGCGGACGGAGAAGCTTTAAAATTCCCGAGCGTCGACTCCACGCTTGATCTTATGCACGACTGCTTGACCATCTGCATCCAAGCTTGGACTTCAACCCATGCTGGACGGACGCGCACACGCACGACCTCGAGAGATTTTGCGACACCGATAGGATCAAGCGTGAAGTTGAGATGAATGCGAATGGGATTGCTACTACTGATGCTGTCATGCTTGTCGCGCGTTGCCATTGACTGCTGCTGCTGGCTGCCGTGGCATAGGTCGGCCGTTGTCGGCCGCAGCAAGAGCATCGCTGGGTCGCTTGACACCTCTTGCATCGCCTGGAACGTAGGCGTGATTGACAGGCTCGCCCGTCGCCCTTCCGGCCACAATGTTGCTACCCGCCGCCGCCTCGGCGCCTGCGATTCCGCTCAATGTCGTCGAGTACATTCGTCGAGGAGCTGGATTGCGCGACACTCCCGCGCCCATCGAGGCTGCTGACAACGACGTCGTGCCGTTGCGCATCAGATTGGCACCGCTCGTGTAGCCTCTCGCGACAACTCCGTTGACGAGGGTCGCTGTAGGCGCACCAGCCTGAGCAGCCGATGGACCTTGCGGAGGCGGCGGGGAGATGAACCGCCCCACGCTCCCGGCTCGACGCGGCACAGCTGCTTCCGTCTTGACCTGCTTCACCGGGCTGGTGGATCGACGCATCTCAAGTGCTTTGACTTTCTCTTGTTTGACCAAAATCGATTCCTCGCCGCTCATAAAGGCGACTCCGCTGTCATCCGCGCCATTGTGATTCGGATGCAGGAGGGTGCTATCGTCGTGATCGTTGGAGCCGCTTCGACGCTGCGCCTCGTCGATCTCCATCTCGAGCGCGTGCGAGGCTGCTTCCGCATCGCCCATCGAGGTCTCGTCGTAGCCGGCGAGCGCGTCCGTCAGTTGCTCATCGAACGAGTCAGAGCCAAATTCCGACTCGGCTGCGTGCCGGCGTGCGCCATTGGCAGCTGTGACGACCTGATGCGTCTCTGCTGACCCCGCTTTGCGCGCTTCGGCTTGCTGACGCTCGAGATATGCCTGCCGAGCGAGCATAGACCGTTGCTGCCTCTCGGACACTTCGTCTTTCGTTTCGTCGCTTCGTTCGGCAGGACTGTGGTGCTCGCTGCGGACAGCGCCGTTGCCGTTGACAGCTCGAGTGGCCGCTGAAACGCCATTTGCTGGCACTTGCTGTTGCAACGACGTTGCAGCCGGTGCTGCTGGTGCTCGTCCTGGTACGTGCGCGGCCGTTTCGTTGCCTCGGGGTGCGGGCGGAGCTGCTCTTTGCGCAGGCTGCGGGGGTGGTGGTCTAGCTGATACGTTGTTTGGCGGTGGTGGTTGCGCTCGTGCTGCCGATGGGGGTGCTGTTGCTGGTTGGACCGACGGCGGAGGCTGCGGGGCTGGTGCTTGGGCAGGACGCAGCTCTGGTCTACGATGCAGCTCGGAAGCATCAAACTTGGGCGGGGGATTGCTCACCTTGAGCGCATTGGCCGAGTACTGGTGATCGTAAGTGCAATTGCCGAGCAGCTTGCCAAAGTTCTTGAGCGCTCGTTTTGTGGCATCGGTGACGGCCTCTTTCTTTCCCTTTTCAAGCGCTGCATGCTTCTGTTTCGCGTTATCGGCGCTGCCGTAGCCAACATCCTCGTGAAAAGCACCATCTCGCAACGAAACTCGTACGATGCAGCTGACGCCGGCATTGAAGCGAGTACCGTCGGGCGAGCAGTCGAGATAGTCGACCTCGAGGCGCACGATGGTGGTAGACCAGCCGTTGAAGCCGAAGACTTCGTTGGCCAGGTCAACGAGCTTCCAGCCTTCAATGTAGGTGAGCTTCTTGCCGCCGCCTGGCCCAGGTCGTTGCGAGAGGTATTCGGGACCGAGCCTCTGATTGAGCTTGGCTTGGAGAGTGGCGATACGCGAAGCGCTGTCCTGGGTCAATCCGCCGACGCCGCTGAAGGTCTGAGCTCCCCACCCTCCCGGGTAGTCGTAATTGGTCAGCGCACGAGGGTGATAGGCGGCGCTCGAAGGGCCGGCCTCTGCGCCATGTGCAACGAGCTCTGTGGATTGCGCGGCTGTGCCATTGGCAGGCGCACCGCCGGGATACCCGGCATCCCAATCTGCAAAGTTGCTCATCCCGCTGCCCGAGCCAAAAGTGTCGCCGTCCAGTCGAGCGCCACTACGGTGGTCAAGTTGATGATCGGCTGCTGCGCCGCCAAAAGGCCCCGGTCTGTCGGCACCGAAAGGATGGTCGGATGGATATTTCGGGATAGGCTCCTGTTGTTCCAGGTCCTGCTTTTCAAACTCTGCGATGAGTTTGGCTGAGTAAAGGGCAGCCGAGTTCATAGATGACTTGTGCGCCTGTTGTGGGACTGCAAGGCGTGATAATCGGTTGTGCGAGAGGACTAGACTGGTCCACAAGTGGGTGCGCCGGAAGAGGAGAGTGCGAAGCTGGTCTGACCAAGCTACCGAGAGCTCATTTGCGCAAGCATGCTACGAATGCCAGATGTGGCGAGCTGGTGGTGTTGGTGTGCAAGAGGGTGAGCCTGTAGGTGGCAATCGGCAATGGATGCTGAGCCAGCTCAGTTGAACCACGCCCGAAGAGTGGAAGGCTGAGTTGACTCAGCCGAGAGTGACACAAGCCTCGCTGTGGAGTGAAAATTTCCACAGCAGCACAAGGCGACTTTGAATTTTAAATGAAAAGGCGGCATGCTGGGCCCACCCAAGCCAGGCTCAGCTCGCGTTAGGTGCGCGTTTGCTCGGCAGACGCGTAAATGACGGGCAAGCTTCACGTGATTTCAGCCGACACGCAACACGAGCTCGCTTGGAAGGGGCGGCGTTGTTGTTTGTTCCTGAGCAACGTCTTGGATGCAGAGACGAGGTCGTCGGGAGATGGTGAGGGTGCGACTCGAACGAACCTCAGATTGCGGACGGAAGCGCATCATCGGCTTGCACTGCAGGAGCTGGGAAGGAATGGTGCCCGCCGAGAGGCATAAAGCAGGGGTCCTAAGCGTGGCTGGCTGGAGAGGAGGACAATCAGGCGGAAACAAGGAGGCGTTCCGGCGTCGGATCTCATGTGTTCGAGGCTGAGACCTGGAGAAGAACAAGGCGAGGCGGCGGAAGACACAAGCTCAGCCAGGGTCTAGCCGGGTAGATGCTGCACGTCACCCCTATCTGTCCGGTAGCTCACTCGGTTCGATGGGCCAAGGAAAAGACAGACTTATGCTGGCAAGCCTCAATTGCTCGCTGTGATGTTCATCAGTGACACCAGATCTGATCCTCGTTGTACACGTGTCCTGCGGACGCCGAAGCCATCTGTCTGGTCGGCGAAGTCTCTTATCTTTGCGCAGCAGCCACAGCCGCCTCGATTTCGAGTTGCTGCCGAGTGAGTTGGTGGTCCGACGTGGCTTACCAAAGGGTACAATTGACCTACTGTATTGGTATCGTCGCCGGCTTGGCGAAATAGAAGCCGCTGATGTCGTCGCCGAGATGAGAAGAGCAATCGCCGCTCGGCAAGGGCGGACTCTTAAACGAATAAGCGCCATCTTCTATGGCCCCCTGTGCCGGAGAATGCGTGTGCTTGGGACGTGGATGTGACAGGACTGCCACGCAAGGAACATCGGAGCGAGCTTCTGAGTGCGGAAGGGCCAGCCTGGTTGCGCCGTTCGAGATGACATGTCGCGGCCACCGACTAAGAGTGCGTCTCGAGCCGAGCTGGGAGACAGACCAAAATTGCAACGAGGCATTTGCGCGAGTCCGATTTTGCTCTCGGGCTGCTGCATCGCGTCGATCCCAACACGCGCGCGCGTGCGGGGTCGAGGCTTGGCTTGGTGGCTGGCCTCCGCATCTCGGAACTCCTTGGTCGTGGTGTCCTGCGCGCATACCTTGGACAGACCTGGTCTGACTGGACTGAGATCTGTTCATTACGGTGAGCCACTCCATCGGAAGACCCTTTGGGCTCGTTCAGCCCCGGCGAAGAGCCGACATGAGCATCCCAGGCAGAACGCGCTGACGGTCTGGCCGAGAATGGGGTCTATCGACCAAGAGCCTCGGCCAGCCCGACCATCTTTGTCACAGACACGCTTCCTGCCGTTCGAATCCGTGCGCTGATTGATCCTGCCTCTGTCGATCGGATCATCGCTCACAAAGGAGACAACGGAGGTGTGTCTCAATCATCCAAGACACCCCTTCTTGGGGTCTGCAAAGTGCTCCCTGGAAAATTAAAGTTTAAAAACAGCGCAAGAACGCAATCAAGCTGCTAAGCGAAGGAAACGACACACTGAACACGCGCTGGTTTGATCGACATGATGATGATGTGGAAACAGTGCCAAAATCAGGGCCCAGGCAGCCCGCCTCAAGGTGGCTCACCGCTTGCACCCTCGCTTGTCCGACGCGGTGTCTCAGGTTTGGAAGAGCATTTGGTCCCGCTTCGCGCTGCTTGCAAGCCTCTTTGTTTGCTGTCTGAGACTCTCCCCCGGGAATGGAATCAGTCGGCCCCCAACCAATCCATCATTGTCCTCACGAGGGCACACGAATACGCAGAAGCATTAATAGGGCCTGTGACAACTGCACGGAGCAAGATCCCGCACATGCTGCTGCAAGGACCAAGCCGAGAGCAAGCGATCAGCGCTCTGCAGCAATTTCGCGAGTCGACGAAGAAGAATGCGCGAGCGGAACGGCACGCCCGAAATGACGCCCCGCACAACACGCTCGCTCGCTTTTTGCCCATCCTCGCCCAGTCTGCATCCATGCTCGGTCCATCCAAGAGACTCACGCTTGACGATGATGTTGCGCGTTTAAGCATATGCTCCGTCTGGGGCGTGGGAAGGAAAGCGTGCAACGTCGGATGCACCGACTTTTCTATCGACCTTGCAAGGCCAGCAGCGGGAGTGCCGTTGCTCAACGCGGTTGACATGTTTCAGCATAGCAACGACAGCAACGCATCGGTCTCATTCAAGGCATTCTTCCGTTCATCTTCCATCCTGAGCCTGTTCTTGATCAACCAGTGCTGCTTAATCGGTCAGTCTAGCCCTCTCTGATGCCAGCAACCACATCGACGACCTCTTGGCCGTGGCCAACACCGACAACGACTCCAATCTTATTTTTTAAATCATAAAAAGAGCAATTGCTTTCACCGAGGCTGCTGCTGGCTCCGTCTGAGTCTCTTGTTGCTTCCTTTTTCCGCCTTGGTCTTGACTGTCGCGGCCCTTTGAACGTTTAATTTTCTTTCCAAGTCCGAACAGATTCCTTCACGCCCACCGCGCGCCCGCTCCAAAAGCCAGCCAGCCGGGCAGCTCGCAGCCAGCACAGCACATCACCCACACACACATGCAACACGCCCGCTCGCCCGCTCGCCCAGTTGACTCGCTCAGCCCTTCTCCGACTGCCAACGGACACTCAATTTGGACCCGCGCTTTTCCCATTTCACACACACGCAACACACACACACACACACACGCTGGCTTGCCGCGCTGCACATTTTGGAGAAATCCCCTCTCTCTCTCTGCTTGACCTCGCTCCCTCCCTTCGCCTCCCTCCTCACCTCCTCATACCATCTCCCTTTCTTTCATTCATAGCGATACCCGCATCGCTTCGTCGTATTCATCAGACTCGCTAGCTCTCTATAGCCCGCAGTCACGGCGCCCATCACGACTCGACAGCACACGACTTGGAACCGACTTGCCATCGTCCATCACGTCCACCTTCTCCTCGCCCTCAGGCCTTTTCTCACCTTCGTTCATCATTTGCTCCCTTGCAACTCGTTTCTGCACGCTTTGTCTCCTGCTTCTGTCGGCCTTCGTCCATAGCTCGTCCTTTCGCATCGGATCAGCATCAGTTTACTCGCATTCGGATCACCATTCACCTTACTACGAGCCTTCTTTCGCCAGGACTTCGTTCGACACCACTTCGACGTATACAATCTTCCGGACCTGCACTTTTGCATCTCTGCAGCAACCAGCGACAAGCTCGCCAACTGATTCGTGAGCCCTCTCGCGTGCTCTCACCAAGCAACGCGCATACATCTTCATCTACCGCACCGTAGCTTTCCATCGCACCTCAAGCATTGCTCAGTGCAATCGCGAGCTCGTTGCATAGACAGCGGTCATTCGAGCCATCCGCACGGACCCAGACACACCCGCCAGTCCTAGCAACATGTCGACACATTCACATCAACCCTCACCGCCCGCCTCGCCAGGCTCGAGCGCCAGCCATCATCGCGCCGATACGGTCCCATCTGGCGCATACGAGACCAACTCGATGCGTTCGCCTGGCTACCCTTCCCCGCCTGCATCGCCTCCGCACATCGTGCACGACGACGAGACGCCCCGCAAAGTCTCTAACCCCGGCAGCGCCGCGAGCTCGTCGCGCGCCAGCTATGTTCCTCAGCCTGCCACCGGATATGCGAGCATGGCCAGCGCCGGTGCTGCCATGCTTCCGCCTTCCGTCTCGTCCTCAGGCGCTTTTGCACAACATCCGCCTAGCAAGCTGGCGACAGGCGGTCAGTCTCACTCCCACAGACCCGTCTCGGCCATGCCCACTCCCACCGAACACACCACCTCTGCCTCGCGGAGTGCGGCCACTGCTGCTGATGGCGCTTCCAACGTCTTTGCGAGCATGAATGCCAACTACGCCGAGCGAAGAGCGAGCGCCCACCCCACCATGTCCACCAGTCACAATGGCTCTTCGGCCCCTCCAGCGGCTCCCATCGATCCCACCACCAGCCAAGCCATCTCGTCGGGCATTCCCATCACTTCTCCCGCTGCCCTCTCTTACTTTGCCGCTCATCCGCGTCGCCAGCAGGTTCACTTTGGCAACTATCTCTTGCTCCAGACCCTTGGCGAGGGCGAGTTCGGCAAAGTCAAGCTCGGTGTTCACAAGGAGTGGGGTGAGGAGGTCGCCGTCAAGCTCATCAAGCGCGACAAGGTCGCCGGCGACACGGCGGCTCCCCTCAACCTCGACGACGCTGCCAATAAGGACCCAGCCAAGATGACCAAGGTCGAGCGCGAGATCCAAGTCCTCAAAGACGTGCGTCATCCCAACATAGTTCGTCTCTACGAAGTCATCGAATCGGATCGGTACATCGGTATCGTCCTCGAGTATGCCTCGGGAGGCGAGCTCTTTGACCACATCCTTGCGCACAAGTACCTCAAAGAAGAACATGCCTGCCGTCTCTTTGCTCAGCTCATCTCGGGTGTCTCGTACCTCCACCAGAAGAACATTGTCCATCGCGATCTCAAGCTCGAGAATCTGCTCCTGGACCGCAATCGCAACGTCATCATCACCGACTTTGGCTTTGCCAACAACTTTGCTGACAAGCGCGACGACCTCATGGCTACCAGTTGTGGCTCTCCTTGCTACGCTGCTCCCGAGCTCGTCGTCCAGGACGGTCTCTATGCAGGATCGGCCGTCGACGTTTGGTCGTGCGGAGTGATCCTCTACGCCATGCTGGCCGGTTATTTGCCCTTTGACGACGACCCGGCCAACCCGGATGGGGACAACATCAACTTGCTCTACAAGTACATCCTCGCGACGCCTCTGTCGTTCCCCGAGTACATTACCGCCCAGCCACGCGACCTGCTTTCCAAGATGCTCGTCCCTGACCCGACGCACCGTGCTACGTTGGAGCAGGTGATGCAGCACAGCTGGCTCCGAAACTACCGCGAGCTCTTCAAGTTCTCGGTCGACGATCTCGAGCGCGCTGCCATGGAGCAGCAGACCAAGAAGCGCCAGATGTACCGCCAACAGATGATGTATCAGCAGCAGCTCCAAGAGCAGCAGCGTCGCCAGCACCTCGAGCGCAGCCAGTCGGTTCGTCAGAACGTCTCGCATCTTCCCGTGGGCTCCGCTTACACCACCAACACCGCCGTTCCTGCGGGCAATGCCGCTCATCGACAGACGCTGCCCATCAGTGCCACCGTTCCCGATCGCCTCTACGAGCCCGTCGGCAGCGCGAGCCGCGGCGTCGACGCAAGCGCGAATGCTTCCAGGATTCAAGCGCCCACCATGCATACACCCGCCCCGACCGCTGCTGCTAACATGCCACGCGCCACTACGCACAGCGACGTTGCCAGCGTCGGCGGCGCCGCGTCGCTTGCGGACCCGGTGGCAGTGCTCGGCGATGCTCGTGGCGAGCCTCGCACTCGGCTCGACGACGGCGCCAGCGCTGCCATCCCTGCCTCTCACGAGGCCGCCGGGGAGCGCGTCCCGGCAGCTCAAAAGGTGCAGCGACACACGATCCAGCTCGAATACAGCGGCGACGATCGCTCGCGTACCGATGCTGCATCGCCTCCAGGCTCTCGTCAGACCTCGCAAACGCAACGCAAGGTCAGCGCCACCGAGAGCGAACGGGCCAAGGCTGCCGCCGACAAGCTGGCTGCCGCTGCCGTGCCGCCTTCGGTCCTCCAGCCAGCGCCGATCAACGTCCCGGCCACCCCCGCCGTCGTTCCCGAGAGCGAAAAGGTCATCACCAGCAAAGCCGAGGTGCAAAGCCGGGGCCCTGCGGACATGATGCGTTCGGTGTCGGGCAGCTCGGCATCGCGCGTGTCGGTCCCGCCAGCCATCCTCGAGCAGGAGGCGACCGCAGCGCCTTTGAGCAATGGCATCCCGCCGCCGAGCTCGCGTGCAAGCATGCGCATTCCCAGTTCCGCCAGCTCCAACAGCCGACAGCACGCGGACGGCGTCAGCAGCAGCGTCGGACACGGCGCTCGTGTGCCATCGAGCGCCAGCCAGCGCATCGTTTCGAGCCCGAGCGCTTCGGTCGATTCGGTAGGCTTCCCCTTGGCCGACAAGGGTCGTCCCGTCCCTTCCTCGGAGGCCAGTCGAAGCAGTCACCGCACTAGCGCTGCGGCCGTGGCTGACACTGGTGCAGCGAGCCAACCTCCCTCGGCCACTCGACCCGTCCACACCGACAAGGCTTCCGGTACATCGGCACGACACCGCAAGGGCATGTCGACGGACAAGTTTTTCCTCTCGAGACTTTTGAGCTCCAATGGATCCAATTCTTCTGACGTCAGCAACGAGAAGGCCGCTGCCAACGGCACTGAGGCTTCTGCCAACAGGAGCAAGAGGAACAGCGTTTCGCGTCAGGCCCTGGAACGTGCGCCCAGCTCCAGCGCTGATGCCAGGGCTAGCCGCCGCAAGGCCATGAGCCTCGTCGTGGGTCGCCCCGAGTCGTCGGCCTCTGCAGACCGTACCAGCGCGCTTGCGTCCAAAATGCCAGCCTCGGCTACGGAAGCCTCGTTCCCGTCGCAGCCCAGCTCTCGCAGGAAGGACGAGGCACAGCGCTCAAGCGAGCAGAAGCCGCAGCGCAGGGAGTCCGTACGCGGCAACCAGAGCTCCTCTTCGCGACGTCCTCAGCCTCTTCAACCGTCGACACAACAACAACAGCAGCAGAGCCACGATGCTGCCACGATTGCCAGCAACTCGACGGTGGGCCCCTCGAGCAATGCGGCCAAGAAGGTCATGGACTGGTTCCGCAAGAAGAGCCTCTCGCGCGGCACTTTCACCGAGCAGCCTCCTCTTGGTCCCTTCGAGAGGTCGCCTACCTCTTCGCAGATCAGCGGTGCTGGTCCCCGAACGCCCTCAGTCATTGTCACGGGCGCTCCTAACGGCACCAGTCGTCACGCCGAGGCGCAGACCGGCAGTGGCGAAGGCGTCAGTGGTGCCGCTTCTTCCGTCCCTTCGTCTCGATCCACCTCGGGCACGCACAGCGAGACCAGCGAGGCTACCGAGGTGACGCAGTTGACCAACATGAGCGAAGCATCTCACGCAGAGAGCGAGGGTCTCAAGTCGAGCGCCTCGACGGTGCAGCAGCAGGCGACGCCCAAGGCCTCGCTTTCGGCTGTGTCGAACGGCAGCAACGCTTCCGGCATGGAAGCTCCGACGGTCCCGACGTCTGCTAGCGCTGCCCCTCAGAGACAGCCGTCGCAGCGATCGCGAGCTGTGACCGGCAAAACGGCCACATTGGCCTCTACTGCCGTCGCCACCACGCCTGCTCCCTTCAACGAGGCCCGCCTGCGCTACCACCTCGGTGCCGTCGACCAATCCGCCCTCACCTCGCGCTCACCCGACGACGTCCTCAAGGAAGTCTACCGGGTGCTGTACGAGATGGGCATCGACATGCGCAAGGAGAAGGACGAGGATTTCAAGCTCGAGTGCATCCGTCGCAAGCGCGCCAAGACGCTCATGAGCGCTACGCACAACATTGGCATGAGCATTCGCAGCTCTGTCTTCCCGCCCACACAAGCCGATGTCGAGCGATCCTCGCGCATGAGCCACCGCGAGTCCCTGACGCCGAGTGCGAGCGGATCGCTGCGCAGCTTCCTCAAGCGCAGTTCGCTTCAGCCTGGCGTTACGAGTCCGAGGATGACCGCTTCGGGTCTGCCTAGCTCGTCAACGGTGGCTAGCAACCTGAACGTGGTTGTGCAGGACGAGAACCAGCCGCCACCGCTGTACGGCGATGCATCGGTGGATGGCGGCCAGGAGATTCGTTTCTCGGTCGAGGTGACGCGCATCAAGAACCTTCCCGGGTTGTACAGCCTCGACATCCGCCGGATGAAGGGCAATCTGTGGGCATACAAGTTCGTCTACCAGGCCTTGTTGGATCGGTGTCAGCTGGGAAGCGCCGTTGCGGCCTAAACTTACTTTATACGCTGGTCGTTTTGCATACCCAACCACTCTCTTTATTGAATACACGATTTGATTAGCAGACGGCAGTGCGAGCGAGGGCGACAAATGACAAAGAGATGTGCGATACACGATGATACGACGGGACCTGAGCTACACGGCAATACAAGAGGACATGAGATGCAAAGCTGCGAGATTGCGAACGAGGGAAGAACAGCTGCGAACGGGTCAAGCGACGGAAGCGGGGGAGAGTAGCAACCTCATCGAACTGGGGTTGGAACGATCAACAAACCACACATCCACCACCATCCTTCTCCCTCCCCTTCTCCTCCTCCGCCTCCCTCTTCAGCCGCTCCAACATCTCCTTAACCCCCTCCACATCCGTGGCAGCGACCCCTTCGTCCCAATTAACGACCAGGGGGCCATCTTTGATCTTGGGCATTCCGCCACCTTTTTCGTCAGCTAGATGTTTCTTCAATGCCAATTTCCTCCTTTCGTGCTCTCTCAGATCGAATCCGCTTGCTGTATACCTCGCCTTTTCCTCTCCCAGGGGTGAGGTTGGGGAGGGATCGGAGACGAGGTAGTCGACGATGCTGCGCATCTGATCCGGTGTTGGGGGGTTGGTTTTGCGATCGACGATTTCGAGCTGAATCAGGGGCGATCGGGGTGGGTCCGAGGCTGCAGCGCGGAGGTAGGCGTTGACATCCGCTCCACCACCGTTCGCTTCGACAATGCACGATTCTCCATTCGACGCTGACGAGGGCGTGGGTCGATGCGGGTTGGTTTGCGCGGCGTTGTACGCTGTTAGGAGTTGAAGCACTTGTTTCGAGGCCGAGGAGGAGGGGTCGTGAAAGAGGGTGACGACGCTAGGGCTTTTGTGGTATCGAAACGACATGGCTGCGCGAAGTTCTGGAGTGGGCCAGCGTGCAGTTGATGCTCCCAGCGGTCTTGGGTCGATAGATGGTGGGCGGTGTCGAAGGTGTGAGTCAACGTCGAAACACCAAGGGTGGATGTGGAGGCTCAGTTGGCACATTTTACCCGAAAGCCACCGGCTAAATGCACGTCACGAGACGGAGAGAAACCTTTCGTTTCCTAGGCACGGTGTTGTTGTTGCCGGTCGTCGAGGGTGCGAACGACCTGTTCGATGCAGTGAAGCGATGGGGACAGCGCAAGGGTGCTGAGAGCTCGATCGAGCGTGGGGCTGCGACTGGACCGCGCAAACAGGTGTTGCGAGCTTGGCGAAAGCATCACGCGTGGGGTTGGCAAGACGGCACGCACACGCCTCGCATGCATCCGGAGCGCGAGACGTTCGACGGTTCGAGGCGCTCTCCTTTGGGTCCGCTCCAGCCAGGTCCGCCGAGCACTTGCGTTAGGCGCTCTCGAGCTGGCCCAATCCCCCCTTCCTATCTTCCCGCAGAAACGCTCCATACGAGTCGCAATGCCGCATCAAAGATCGATGCGCCGTCCAACCCACTCAAGCCAGTCTCAGGCTGACTTGCGCCCCCGCAGTGCGTCATGCACATTGCCTCACGTGCCCTTCGTAACGAGACGCCATACGAACGAAATGACCCATTGGCCGAACGTCTCACACCCAATCACCACCGCCACCGTCCAAACCGTCTCCTCAACAACACGACGACACGCTTCTGCCGCAGCTTGAGATGGGGCTGCGCTCAAACAATCCGCACTTGTGAAAGGAACGTGTAGGAGGTGTAGGAACTTGCATTTCGTTCGTACACAAGGGGGAAAGGGGGAAAAGGATCAATCAGATGCGAACTCTGATCGAATGGCAGCCAGATTTAGGCAGCAACACCAACAGCGCGGGCAGCAGAGCCATCGACGCCGGCAAAACCGTTAGCTCGCACGTCGGCCTTGAGCTCCTGCAAACCGAGCAGCTTGTCGGTCCACAGGGGGCTCTCACGCTGCTCGCTGGCCTTGAAGAGGTCAGCCAGCACATCGCCCTCCGGAGCGGCACGCAGGTCGGCAACCGTGCGCAGACCCAATTCCTTCCAAATCTCCGTCAGCGCATAGACCAGGTGATCGACATCCGCCGACGTGTGACCGGGCGTAGGCGTCACACGCAACCTCTCCAACCCCCGAGCAACGGTCGGGAAGTTGATCGGCTGAACATAGCATCCGAACTCCTCCAGTAGCATGTCCGATGCCGCCTTGGCCTTGGATGCGTCACCGACGAGGACGGGGACAATGTGACTCGGATTGTGCTGCAGAGGAATGCCAGCAGCGATGAGTTTGTCCTTGGTCTCCCGCGTACGGATCTGTTGGAGGATGCGAGAGTCGTTGGACTCCATCAGAACTTCGATGGCCTTGTTGGCTCCCGTAAGCACGGCCGGAGGGAGGGTGGTGGAGAAGATAAACTGAGGAGCAAAGCAACGAATGAGATCGACGAAACGGTTCGAACCGGCGATGTAACCGCCGACGTTGCCGTAGGCTTTGCCGAGGGTGCCGGTGATGATGTCGATGCGGTCCATGAGGGTGCCCTTGAGCAGACCGGGCTTGTGACCCTGAGCGACCTGGACGTCCCAATCGAGATGCTCGGCGACACCAGCACCGCGCGGACCGTACATGCCAACGGCGTGGACTTCATCGAGGAACGTGATGGCGCCGTACTTTTCGGCCAGCTCAATGGTCTTTTCGATCGGCCCGACGGTTCCGCACATGGAGTAAACCGACTCGAAGGCGATGAGCTTGGGCACGTCGACGGGGATGGCCTGCAGCTTGGCCTCGAGGTCAGCCATGTCGTTGTGCTTGTAGATGACCTTCTTGGCACCAGAGTGCTTGATGCCCTGGATCATGGAGGCGTGATTGCTCGAGTCGGAGAGGATGACGCAGTTGGGCAGCTTGGAGCCCAGGATGGTGAGCGTAGCGTCGTTGGCGGCGTAGCACGAGCCAAAGACGAGGGCAGCCTCCTTGCGGTGGAGCTGAGCGACGGTTTGCTCGATGGTCTCGACGTGACGGTTGTGGCCGGCAATGTTACGAGTGCCTCCAGCGCCAGCGCCGTACTTGTCGAGGGTGTCCTTCATGGCCTCGAGAACAGCGGGGTGGCGGCTCATGTTTTGGTAGTCGTTGGCGCACCAGACGGTGATCTCGTCGGCTTCGGCGGAAAGGTGACCCTTGGGAGCATTGCCGGCCAGACGATTGATGTTGTTGAAGTAACGGTAGGACTTGTCGGCATGCTTAGCCTGGAGCTGGTCGTGGTAGAACTTCTCGTAGTGGAAGCCAGGGCGGTTGTACGGCTCGGGGTCAGGGTGGACGCCGAGGCCGGAACCAGGGGTGCGGACCTGCTTGTTCTTGATGCTCTTCCTGCGCTGCTGCTGGGGCAGCGAGTCGTTGGCAGAAGCGGCGGCGGCGGCCTCGGCGAGCTTGCGGGCGTGAGGGCACTTCTCAGCAGCGGCCTGGTCGGCGAGGCTGATGCCTTCCTTGGCGTGGAGACGCTCAATGTCGTCGGGACGAGCCTCGGCAGCACGAGCAGCCTCGGAGCGCGAGACGTAAGAGCGGACCTGCTGAGCGGCGCCTCCGTTCATGTGACCGGAGAAGGGACAACCAGTAGGAGCGGCGGCGGCGGCGGCAGGGCGAGCGGCATGAGCGAAGAAGGAGCTGCCGGAAGCACCAAAGGTCGGAGTGAAGGTGTTGGCAGCAGCGTCAGCACCGGTCTGCTCGGCCTTGATGGCGAGGCTCTGGCTCATGACGGGGCACTGCTGAGCCTGCGAGATGAGTCGGCTGGGGGTGGTGGAGAGCTGTCGAAGCTGAGGCATGGGGACGCGGCCCATGAAGGGGCATGCCTGGCGAATCTGCCTGAGCGGGCAGAGGGTGCGGTCCATCATGATGATACGATGTCGCAGGTTGTAGAAGGTAGGATGGTGAGGGATGGAGTCTGCTGGAGTATAGCAGACACGCGAAGGCGGATGAGGAAGGGAAGTAAGGGTCTGTCCAATGTGATTGTTCAAGATGAGAGAAGCGTGGCGGCTTGGATTTACGATTCGCCGAGGTTAGTTGGGCAAAGCTTTCAGGGCGGCGACCGCGGTGAAAGGTGGGAATTTGCTCAGAAAGCCTGTTTGAAGTGTGCCTTTTCTTCTCAGCCAGGCTGTCAGAGACTCTTCTCAAGCTGGGGCAAACCCTTTCATTTCGGCAATCACAAAATCCACAGCAGAGCGCAGTGAAATTGAATCGAGGACCCTTGCAGCGTATCTTAGGCAAGCCGCCGCTTCCTTTTTTGGGACAGCGAGTCACGGGGCCGAGCTTTTCTAAGCGGCTGCTGCATCCACACTCTCTTTCAGCCCGCCCGAAGCCACCACACCTTCTCGCATCCCCATGGAAGGATCACGTTATGGTCGGCATAAATCGCAACGTGTAGATGAAATTGTGTGCTCTGCTCAATTTGGCGTCTAAGCGATCCGAGGAGGAAATGCAAGCTAAGAGAACGAGGCGGCAACCGTCGATCATCTTCATCCACGCTGCTGCTGATTTTGCCTGAGCTCTGATTGGCCCGCTCAGTTCGGACCGCACCTTTCGTACGAGGCGTTTTTTGGGTGTGGCTTCGAAGCGCGGTCTAACATCGTTGTGCGGGCGAAAACCCTCATATCAGCTCTGCTCATCAGTACCTTACATCACTTGCTCGAGCATCAAAGGTCAAATCACACACAAAAACCCTGGGAACAGACGCTGCAGATTCCAGCATGAACAGTTTCTTATGTGAGTGGTGACAGTGTAGCGTTTTCGCTTCGTAAGGGGAGCATTGGCTGGAGGGCCCGGGCCGATGGTGATGACCCTCGATTGGCCTTCAACCAGAGGATGTTCCGAGACGGACCGCAATCGAGGCGCTCTTTCCATGGATTCTGGGCACGGACGACCTGCTTAGGCCTCGCCAGCCTCCTTGGGCTTGGAGATGACCTGGATGCCGCCTGTGAAATCCAATGAGGCATGTCCCAAGACTGAGTCAGTGAATCGTCGCTCTTTCATCTCCTACGGTTAATGACACTTACGGTGCAGAGCCAACAGCGTCTCTCGTGCAGGCTGCTCTCCCTCAGCGGGGGTCCTCTCGATCCTGAACTCGGCGTCCACCAGCACGCGGTAGCCCTTCTTGATGTTCCTCATCCTGTCGACGCCGCGGTCGCCAAAAACGTAGAAGCGGTGGTAGGACGTGGTAGTGGGGGCGCGCTCTCCATCCTCTGCGGGTCCAGTGGGGGGATCGCTCGTGGCGACCGTGTATCGGACGTAGTCCTTGCCGTTCTTGGTCGACTTGAGTTCCGGGTCTGCCGCGAGACGGCCGAGCACCTGCATGCGAGCGAGATCGTTGCGGACCGCGGAGGTCGAGAGCGTGCGTGCTCCACGGAAGAGGGTTTGACGGGTCGAGTTGAGAGCCAACATTGTGTGTGATGTTCCTGAGTCCGTAGAGGGTATGGAGGATCGGTACCAAGAGTCGGATGGATCAGCGCCTTGGCAGATCAACACTTTAGAGCTCAGTTTGCTTCCCGCCACTGCGCGTGCACCCTTTGTGGGATTTCCAGGGTCAGTGCGAACCCAACGTCAAACGCGCGCCGGGCACTTCGACCTGCAATTTAACTTTTTCCCTCTGCAAGACGCGTCTTGCCCTTTCAGCTCTCGCACACGCTCAGCCTCAAACCCTTCAAAGCTGTCGTCCTTTGAGTAGCTGCATTGTGTATGTGTCTAAAGGGTAGGGCACAATGAGAGTGTGGTAGGCAACTAGACGCGAGCGAGGATGCAAGCCTGAGGAATCGCGCTACCACCACTTGTCGAGAGCAGAGCTTTGCGAGCTCGCCGATCTTGCTGGCGAAGGAGGCGGCTGCAGATCTGTCTCTCTAGCAGAAGCAACGTTGGAGCTGCTGCCCTGATCTTCGGCCGTGACACGCAGCCTCGGTGTTGTGCTGGAGGTGACATCCTTGCTCGGCTGCTGAGCGGATGAGCTCGGCGGATCAGATGACGAAACGCGCTGCTGTTGCTCACGTCGCTGCTCTTCCATATCGAGCCAGTCGACGTCGCCATCCGACCCTCCGTCGCCTCCGATGTCGTCCTCCTCTTCGATGGCAAACCTCCTACTCTGCCCTCTCGCAAATCGCTGCTGATATTGCCGCTCCCTCTCATCCAAAGCCTCCCTCAACATGGCCATCTCGGCCGCAGAAGGCGCATACGCACCATACCTTCCCTGGTTTCCCTGGTTCCCCACCCCCAGCCTCGTCGCACTCACGTTCGGCGACCTCTCGTCCTGCGGCGAGAAAGTCGGATCGCTGTACCCCGGGCTCAACGCCCCTCCATTACCGCTGCTCAGCACCGAAGACGTGTCGAATTGCGACTCCTCCTCGGCAATATCCGACAGGCCTTCGGGGCGAAGCGTGTGGTAGTGTGCGAGCCCGTAGAAGCCAGGGTCCATGGGGATCGCGTCGTCGGCGTACGAGATGGGGCCGCCAAAGTAGGCATCGCGGTCGATCTCTTGCGGCGAGGGCGCGGACAGGTCGTCGTCGTCGCGCGAGTTGTAGCCGGAGCTGTCCTCGCGCCAACCTGGTGACTCGGGGCGGGATGGGGGTGCGCTCATGTCCGATTCGGCTTCCAGCTCGGCTAGTGTGCGACCCGAAGGACCGCCGAGGGTCTGCGTGGAGCCAGTCTGGGCAGTGGACGTTGATGACGGGCGACGTGTCGATTGAGTAGGTGTCCTCGGCGTCGGCTGCTGTTGAGACGTGTTCTGTGTGATCCAGCTCGATGCAGCGGTCTGAGATGGACGATGCAGGCGCACCGGCTCCATTGTATGGGACGCGGTCTCCCTGCCTCCCACATCGTTGCCGGAGCCTAGCCCGAGGCCCACACGATGAATGAGCTCATCATGCCCGATACTCTCCTGTTCCACGTCGCTGTCCAGCGGAGTCCCCGCGCCTGTCGACGGAGTCGGTGTTGGCTGGGTCCACACCGTCTCATGCGGATAAACACCTTCCAGCCCGAGCTCGTTCCTGTCGTCAGCATCCCACCCTTCCTCCGAGTCGGTATAGCTCGATCCCAGAAAAGCATCGTCCGTCTCTTCGTCATCGCCACGCGAACTGATATCGCTCGGCATGGATCCGGCGGGAGAGACAGCGTTGAGGTGCGGCGGTGAGTTGGCAGCTGCTGCGGTGTATCGCTGGTCGTGACGGACGGGCATCTGGACCGCGAGTGGGACGATGGGGGACGAAGGTGTCGGTGGCAGCGTCGACGCTGGACTGGGGGTAGGCTCGGCGATGAAGCGCGCAATGATCTCGAGACCCTTCTCCCGTTCTTCCTCCGCTCCAGCCAGATACATCGAGACGAACGGCCAAGCGTGAACGCCGCCGGGGCCGTGTTCGACTGCCGTGCACAGCCAGTCGGCCCCATCGTCGGCCAACTCTTGAGCGAGGCGATGCGGTGATCGCGATGCAGCGCGTCTCTCCTGCAGAGTCTGCTTTGAGGTGTCTGAGCTAGTGGCTCTCTGCGACAAGTCCATGTCTTGGCCAGGCTGGTCGTCCGACGCAGACTCTGCGCCGCCGCGAGCGCTCCTCGTCGATTGCGACTGCCTCACGTGGTCAATCCATACTTCGATGTCGTCTGCGAGTCGCTCGCGATCGCCCCAGGTCACCAGCATACCGCGCTTGAGCTTGATACGGCTCCAGTCGCCCGTGGCGGGATTGATCAGGTGGCTGGTCTCCAGCAGCGTCTTGGCCGCTTCAAAGTCGGGATCGCTCGCGTCGCGTTTCGCTTTTTCCTGCGCCACGCCATCGTTGCTGTCTTGCCAGATGGGAATGTACAGATCGGCGGTGCTTGGCACGGCATCCGTCTTGCGCTCTGTGGACGGAAAGATCGGATCGAGGGCACCGACAACCGATGGCCGAACTTGCTCGATCCGATTGAGTGCATCGGAAGGCGGTCTTGTCTTGGATGAGAAGGGCGTCTTGCTGGTGGCGCCACCGCGGTTCAGCAATGGCTCGGTGAGCATGCTGTGGGCGACGCGAGCAACGCGCTGAGGTAGGAGAGAACGGAGGATGTTGAGCGGTGCAGTGACACCCATTGGCGCTGTCTTCGAGGTCGCAGGTTTGCCTTCCATGGCGCTGCTATCCTCTTCGTCGCCGGCAAGCACCGCGCACATGTGAGCGACCCAGCCCATGGGACCTCTTACTCTACGCGGCGTCTTGAGCACACCGGCGTAGAGCTGTGCGAAATGCATCAGCGCTTCCGCGGCGACGTAGTCCCACTCGTGCTGCCCAATCGCCTCGGTCCAGGCAGAGACCAAGCTCGCGGATGCCTTTGCATCGTTCGAGCGTGTGTTGTTCTTCCCTCTCGATGGAGAGCCAGGCTGATGTGAGGCTGATCGTTCGGCGGCCGCAGCTTCTCGCAGAGGTGCGAATGCTAAGGATGCGGATGGACGCAGGTCCGCCCACGGACTGATGAGCACCGCCTTGCCCGGCATGGGAAGCGCGCTCCAGTCTCGTTCGCCCAGTCCCGCATCGCCACGAGCCTGGCCATCCAAACACAGCAGCATGGCCATGGTCAAGTTGCCGCCGGCGCTGTCGCCCGCGATGGTGATGGACGCAGGATCGATGCCCTCGACCTCGATGAGATGCGCGTAGCACCTCAGACACTGTAGCAGAGGTCCTGGAAAGCGCGAAGTCGGGCCCAAGTCGTACTCGACCGCCACGCAGCGAGCGTCGTTGTCGCGATCTTCCATAGCGCAGACTTTGGTAATGATGCGAATCAGTGCTTCGGCGTAGAAGGCGACGGAGCCGAGCGAGAAACCGCCTCCGTGCAGATAGAGCAGCGTCGAGGCTGATTTGGAGGAGGGATCCGAGCGGCGAACCTCGACAGGGACGTGGGCATCTGCGCCGATCCAGAAAGCGCGGAAACCTGGCCGGGTATAGTTTTGAGAAGGGGTTGGCCTGGGCTTGTGCTTATCTGAAGAGGTCGCAGTGCTGGCCGATGTTCTCGGAGCATCGTTCCTGGCGGGCGGATGCAGCAATGCGGACTTGGCAGACGCCGACTTTGGTGAGGTCTGATCGCCTGTGAATTCGCGTACGATGCCTGCCGCCCCTCCGCCGGTCCTCCATCGAACGAGCGGACCAATGGTCTCTTCTGCGAAAAGGACGCGCGGAACGAGATGCGGGAAGCTGGTGCAGGCGAAACGCACGAGGAGCAATGTGAGATGGTGGAAAGGAGAAAGCTGCGTATCGTCGTCGGCCTCGTCTTGCGATGCGAACTCTTCGTCGGAGGACGAAACCACCGCTGAGACTGCAGTGGACGATGCATAGTTCGAGCGTGCTGCTGCAGCCGCTTTTGATTTGCCGATAAAGTCATCCGGTCGGACGGTCGACTGGCTGGAGTCGGATCGCTCGGTCGCTGAAGACGACGAATTGGTGACGGGCGCATACCAGCTGTGAGAGGCGGATGAAGGACGACTGAGGGACCATCGCTGGTAAAAGTCGAAAGGGAGTCGAGTGCAGACATAGGCAAAGGCTTTGAAAGCAACATCGACCAGTTCCGCAATGCCGCAGGTACGCAAGAGATTGACAGCATAGAAGAAGGCAACGACGATCAGGTCGGAAAAGTAGAGACCGCCGAGCAAAGGCTTCTGAGGCTGAGATCGCTTGCGTGTCTGACTGTGCTCATCACGGAAAGGGTCCATGGAGGAGCTGAAGCCTGCGGTGGAAAGGGAAGAAGCAGCCACATCACTGGAGCGAGTGAATTTGGACCTGCCCCTGAGACGTTGTGTTGTATGCGGACTCGAAGTGATGGTGGAGCGTCGAAATGGAGCGAGGCCAGGCGACGAGCGTGAGGAAGAGGAGGAGGCAGCATTCAAGTAGAGCAGATCTTGTCGATGATCTGAAGGGGTATATTTGTGTCGATGAGAGGAAGAGACGCCGCTTTCGATGCTCTGACGCCGTGCCTGTTGGCCTTTGGAGCGAGCAGCGCCTATGGATGATTTGCTGGTGGTTCTGACATGACCTGGGCGCGAGTGATGCGATGCTTTGAGGGTCGAGGTGGAAGAGGCAGGTGAAAGGGTGGGTGAAGCGGCCTGTGCTGTGGCAGGGGGAGTCGCGGACGACTTGAGCTTGTTGGCAGCTGGTCGCAGAATATCGAGCATGATGAATTGATCGCTACGAGCAGCTTTGCTTGTCTAATCTAAGCTTTAGACTTGGTTCTCAGCGGCGCTCATCTTTCTTGGCAGGGAGATTTGGCGCTCGAGGAAGAGTCGCCTGTGTGGTTATGCGGAGCTGCTCGTCGTGTGCATACGACGGCGGAGGAAGGACTTGCTGATGGCCGCTACTCGCTATTTGATCAGCTGTCGATTGCTGAGCTTGTGTATTCGAAGCTGTCGTTGAGGGTGTACCCTCTGACGGTGCTGACCTGAGTATAGGCTGTTCAGCCGGTAGCAATGCGCTGCCGGAAAGGGAGATGTGCGTGTAGTGAGCGGTGTTGCGGTCTTCTCTCGAACAAGCTCTATCTGCGGTGTTGTGGTGTGGTCGAGGTAGGGTATAGTGATGGTGTAGTGAAGCAAAGCAGGTGTATGCTGCGCTTTTTCTCGGTAACTCCACCTGTGAGCTGAGAAAGGTGTTGCATCTGATATCACCGGCGTGTGTTGGTTGTTCACGTTGCGGCTGCCGCTGCTGAGCTTGAATGCGTTTTTTGAGCCAAGTTAGAGCGTAAGAGTGGGGAGCAGCTCAGCGCTGTTGAAAACGTGAAACGCAGGTCCGCAGGGTCGTGCTGTGCTGTGCCGTGCTGCGTTGTTCTCCTTTTGCGAAGATGAAATTTGACGTTATCCGCGGTTGATGAACATGAGCTCATCTTCTCTCGTAACAGGGTCCATCCATCGCTGGTTCGAGTTTTGGGGTCGAATGCCCACCAACATCGGCGCCAGTCTCCCCGTTGAGCAGGAGCAAAGCATTCCGGTCCACGTCTCGAACAGCAGCGTTCCAAAAGCAGTTCTTCCTGCCTGGATGAATGCATTCTTCGACCACCTGCAAGCCAAAAAGGCGACCCTGCGTCAATCGATCGTCGCTCCTGCAGTGCAAAGCCACAAACACCAGCCCACCAGCAACACCTGCCTTGTGACGTTTCACGCTCCAAAAAATCAAGGCGGTGGAGACAGCCTTGCGAACTTTTCGCGCAGGGTCACGCTGTTAGACCCCTCCTCTTGGCCAAGCACCGCATACAGCTCCTATAAGCCTGTCGTCGATCATGAACGAGTGAGGGAGACACAATATCAAGGGAATGTCCTCGCTCAGGCTTTGGTCGTGCGCACATATCAAAGATGTTGCACACTGGGCACTGTCAGTGTTGGAACAACAGTCAAGGACGTCAATATCGATGTTTGCTCCTGACGATAAATCAATGCGATTGCGAGCAGGCTAGTTTCGAAAGACAGGTAGGTCTCAGTCAGCCCGCGGAGGAGTGCGAGGCGAGCCGTGGCCGGAATGGTGTAAGGAGGAGGGCCAGCCGTTGTCAGCTGCGTCCGAACGCCGACCTCGTCCATTCTGTTGCTGATGTTGATTGCGTGCAACAGAGCGACGCAGATCGGGCGAATCTCGCGCCGCGTCGTTGGCATCGCCGTTTTCCCTGCGCCAGGTCCGATGAGGGCTTCCCCATCGACGGTTTTTTCCGCCGTTCCCATTGCGATTGCCCGGTAAGCTCTCCACGTCGGCTCCAGCCGAAACGAGGTGCTCCAACGCCCGTTCTACTGCGTTGCGACGGGTCCTTGGGCTGTCGGGAGCCGTTGCGGGCGGTCGTGGCGAGGCTTGCCCTCTCCATCGATTGCTGTTCGATCGCGACGTCGACGGTTGCTCTGTTGGCGGAGGCGACCTCGTCTCGGCCCGGAACAGCGCACTGTCGAGCGTATCGGGGCGACTGTCGAGAGTCTCGCGCTGGTCAGGCGCGTCCGTCCAGCTGGGCCTCCTCGGCAGAGACACGGTGGGCCGACGAGCTCTTCGAAATGCACCACCATTTTCGCGACCGCCGTCCGAGTCTCGATCGGGCGAGGCATCGCGTGCTCGGATCCACGAGTCACGCATGCGGATGGGGGACCGGTCTCTCAGCCTGTCCGAACGAGACGATTGTGGATACCGTTCTTGTGCGTGATGATCGTCGCGGGGGCCGGGCGAAGCTGAGCGACTTCGTCGAGATGAGGAGGCTGCTCGACGCGATGGATCGCGGCCCACTGATGCATCTCTGCCTCCCGTGACATTTGCGGAAGCTGATTGACGCTGGTTGACCGTCGAGTGGTGCTGCCCGGCCGGCTGAGTGGTCGCCTTTTGCTTTTGCGGAGGAGAATTCGTCGTCGCGTTACCGTTGGCCGGCCTCTTGGCAGCACGAGCTGGCGATGGAGGCCTTCGTGGGATCGCGGCGACGTTCGGAGCCCTTTTGCGAATCTGCGGCGGATTTGCCTGCCCCGGGACGGTCCTCTGTGCAGCCGGCTTGATCTGAGTGTTGCTTTGTCCCTTTCCTTTTCCTCTGCCGTTTCCTGTCAATTGGGCCCCGTCTGTCATGATCTGAGATCCAGAAGGTGCCGCTGGAACTGTCGGTGGTGCCATTGCCGATGCTGCTGCGGCTGCCGCTCTCGCTGTCTTGCTCTTACGTTTGCGCGCTTGTCCATTGGCCTGAGCGGGCAAAGTTTGAGAACGGTTGCCATTCCCCATCGCCTGTGCTGGTGCCCTGCTGGGGCCAGCATTGCTACTGGTGCTCGGCGCTGTTGCGGATCGGGGCACCACCTCGTCGTCCTTCTTATTCGGGAAGAAAAACTTGAACGGCTGCTTGATCTTTTCGCCCCGTTCTCTCGCGGTCCTGAGCACTCCGGCCACGCGCGAGATCAATGCTGCCGCGGTCCTACCGCGCAAGAAGTTACCCTTGACGCCCATGTCGCCATACTGATCGATGAGAAGCTGAAAGATCCGATAGCGCTCCTCGGTATATTTGCGTGTGTAGTATATCGTCTCCGAGCTTATGATGTCGTTGAGCTTTTCGAACATGAGTCGGTGCGTCTTCGGATCCCAGCGCTCCTTTGACGACACAGGGAGGCCGTTTGGACCCATGATCGTACGAACAGCTGCATTGATAGCCGTGACATCCTGAACAGACGCCGATCGTCGCCCCTCGTTGGATGACGAAGAAGATGAAGACGAGGAGCTTGATCCAGATGAGGAGGAGGAAGAAGTCGAGCTGCTACTTTCGGTGGATGCGGAACTGGTAGTAGAGGAAGATCGAGACCGAAGGGTGCGTGAAGACGATGCTGCCTGAGAAGCGCCGCTGATTGCCCCTCGTGCAGGTGGTAAAGAGGTGATCGCTAAGACTGGAGATGACGCTAGTGGCATTGCTTGTGGGCCGTCTTGTTTGGGGGCGATCGGTGGTTGAGAGCTGCTCGCGCTTGGAGGTTGTCGCGGCGCTGGTGGTAGAGCTGACAGTGCCTTCGCGACGATGATGCCATTCTCAGCAACAACATCTTGAAATGCCGACGGATGAAGCTCCCATAGATCTTCTCCGTCGCTGACGTACAGCTGTACGTTGCCCGAATCGACGTTGAATCGACTGGCAGCCACTGCTTTGGCATCGTCGAAGCCAATGACCGATGCTATGACCTTGCCATGAGGTCCGAGGTCCAGCTTGACCCTCAAGCGAGAAGACATGGCGGCAGTAACCGTCGTTAGTCTCCTCACACGCACGGTCCGGGGGCCAAAGATACTGAAGCTACGCCAAAACCAACCACAAGTACTGGTGGTGCATCCTTCCGGCCTGCTCCCCAGCTCTGATGTATGCGGCGGCGAGGCAAGCTAGAGCCCCGGTGTTGATCCTGGCGTCGTGAATGGTTGGTGATGATGGTTGTAGCTCAAAGATGGGTTCAGGGTCGCCATCACATGGTGTCACGCTTGCAAAAACTTTTTGAGTGGAGGCGACATCGGAAAAAAAAATCAGGCCTGCAGATGGCGGTCCGAATTTCTCGACCTTGATTTTTGGGCCTCCTTTTTGTGACGTTGTTATCGAGGTAGAGTCTGAGCTTCGTCCGGTGACCGAACGCTGACTTGCCACTGCAACGCGATTCTCGTTGTTCTTGGAATCAGACTATCATAAGAGGGTGCGCGCGCTTCATCGGCAGACAGTGCTGCCCGGTACGCTGGGTAGCCAAATGGCGCTTGTGAGGCTGACCATCGCCAGGTGTGATTTTTCGAGGTGTTTGATTCGCTGCTGAAAACAAAAAGCCAAAATATCCTCTCGGGAAACTGAGCCAAAGTTTGGCCAAAACTCGCAAGAAAAGAAAGAAAAAAAGGATGGAATTCGGGAATGGGCGGGCGGCTGGTTGCAGCTCGTGCAGGAACCCTGATTTGGGTGCCTGTGGAGCCACTCAATTTTGAGTTCAAGGTGAGCAGCAGCACCATCATCGTCGAATCCAAGCGCGAAAAATCTCAAAAGCGATTGTATGCAAAGCCGAGTTCGGAATCACCATCCCATCACCATCACATCCTCACACCGCCACAATCACCGGCTCGTTCCGTCGAGGCTCAGTCACGCCACTTGCATCGCTGCTCAGTCGAGGATTGCTCAGCATCGGTAGCACGCATCGCCGGCTGGAAGCGCTCACGACTCGGCCGCCTGCACCATCATCCCTCGCGGCATCCACCACCATCATCCTCGCTCCCAACCCGCGACGTCTCCTGTACGGTCTCTTTGGAGAGGCAATCCGAACACCGGCTCGTCGTTTCAGACGTGGATTGTCGCCGCGTCATTTGCTGATCCATCATCCCCCACCTTCCAGCAACCGCGCAGTATCGAGTAGCACCATCAATGTGTTCCATCACCGCCATCCATCCTTGACTGGAAGAACCGGAACCGTCGTGTAGGTCAATCCGCTGCCATCATGGCCGATTCAGATTCAGCACCGGCCCCACAGCCATCATCGCCAACACGCAGATCGTCTCCTTCAGGTATCGAGAACCTCTACCCGATCGCCTCGACTTCCGCCCAGACTCTGGACAGCATTCCGGCTTTGATACCCATCTCACCGCCCAAAGACAACGGTGCTGGTCCTACTGCTGATCCTCTTACGAGTAGTACTGCAAGCTCAGCCGACGCGATAGCGAGCCAGCCGGCTTCTTTCGGAACGCAGAACACCGACGCAATGGCCAGCACCGGCGACGCAAGCATGCAGCTTGCGCAGCATCCGGACATGACAATATCGTCACCTATGCCCGCTTCGCTACAAGCAGCAGCAGCGGGGCTCAACGAAGAAGATGCCAAGCTGCTTGCGTCGCTAGCCGAGGGCAACGGCCTCTTATCGCATCTCTCCAATCTGGCAGCCCAGAATGCCAGCTCCGATCAGCTCATCCATGCCTATGGCGGCCTCATGCTCGATTCCTCTTCAGGATTGCCGTCGACCGATCCAGCCTTTGACGCTGCGCAACAAGCTTTCCAAGGCGCCGTCGATCTCAATGAAGCGCTCACACGCCAAGACATGGATTGGGACGACGAGGCCTTCGATGACCTCGAGCCAGAAGACGAGGACGACCAAGACCAAGGTCCCATCCAGGCCTACGCCAAGCTCGAGTTTCCTGGCTTTTCGTACTACATCCAAACGCTTGACGTGACCATCGGCCGTCGACCTGGCCAGCTGCAGCCCAACCAACTCCCCGGTGCCCTGCCTCCCCAACTTCCCAACGCAGCTTCCGGCCTCTCTCAGGCTCACATCACTTCCGAATCCAAGACCGAAGGCGACGTCGATGTCGATCTCGGCCCGCTCAAGTCCATCTCGAGGCTTCACGCGCGCATCTTCTACTACACCGGTCCCGTTCATCCTCCTCCCAACGCCGCCTTTGTCAATGGCAACCCAGCCCACAGTCGAAGCTCGAGCGGCAACGGTGCCGGTACCTATCGCATCACCTCGCCCACCGCCCTTAGTCGTGTCAGTGGCTCTCACCTTGCTGGTGCAGATGGCGTCGCACAGGACCCGTACAACATTGCATCCCGCATGGGAGCGGTCCCCGGCACAGATCCCGAGCAGGGCGAAGGTCAATTCGTTCTCATGGTCATGGGCCGCAACGGCGCTTTCGTCGATGATGTCTGGGTAGAAAAAGGCGGACTCGTGGTCCTCGGCAAGCGCACCAAGATCCAGATCGCAGAGCGCGTTTTCTACTTTGTTCTCCCACCACCTCCCGGCGCAGCATCCTACAGCATCGACGGCGACAGTCAACGCGCCCACAATTCTGAATCCGAGTCCTTGTCCGATCTCAGCAGCGACGACCAAGAGGACGATGACGATGATAAGGATGACGAGGACGAGGACGAAGACGATGAAGAGGAAGACGAAGAGGAAGGATCCGTGTCTGCATCCAGCGGAGGGGAGGACGAATACGAAGGGCAGGATGGCACGAAGGGCCGCCGGAGATCGTCAGCAGCAGGCGGCAGGGGCAAACTTGATCCCGCACGTCGGGACGCAAAGCCAAAACGAAGGCTCGTCCTCAAGCCCAAGTCCAAGGTCGGCAAAGCATCCGACAGTGCTGCTGCAGACGACTCGGACGATGAAGCGTTGGAAGAGCAGAGCAAGACCACCAGCAGAAGGGGCAAAGCTTCGGCCAAGACCACCGCTGCTGCTCTCGCCAACAGAGCTGCAGGCAAGGGCAAAGGCAAAGGCGCAGGACAAGGCAAGATGCCGACCAAAGGTCCCGTCCCAGACACGCGTCCCGACGGCGACGACAGCGACAGTCTCGGCACTCCGAGTGCAGGAGAGCAGAGCAGCGAAGTGGAGGAGGAGGAAGAGGACGACGACGGCATCGTCACGCCGCCACCTAGTAATCGTCGAGGAAGCACGGCTGGCAAACGACCGACCAAAGGCGTCAAAGGTCAGAAGGCGGCCAAGGGCGCCAAAGCTGGCAGAGCCAAGGGCGCAGAACCGGATGGCATCGGAGAGGCAGCTGGGGTCAAGAAGGAATCCCCAACGCCTGCCTGGGCCATGGGTGCAGGCATCGCAGGTCGTAAGAGGAAGAGAGGCGAAGCAGCGTCCGAGGAGGAGCCCGCTCTCAAGGTGGGTACGCCCATCGGTATCGAAGCGCTCGATGCTGCCAAGCGCACCAAAGCCGCCAAGGCTCGAGCCGACGCCTCTGCGCGCATCACTTCGGTCAGTCCCAAGAAGGGCAAGGCGACACCCACGACAAGCGCTGCATCTGCTTCCACGACGGCGGCGACAGCTTCAGCAGACGACGATGTTGTCATGGTGGATGTGAAACCCGCCACGACGACCAGCGCGAGTTCGTCGGCAGCGGCTCCTTCTTCCAAAGCAGCATTCGCGCCCATCGCGCCAGCTGTTGCGTCGAACAGTGCAACCGCAGCGATGCCTGCCGCTACCACGACCGCGAGCGCACCTGCCGGGCCCGCTTCCAAGGTCGGTCAAAAGACGACCGAAAAGACGGCATCCGCTCCGAGCGCAGCTGCCAAAGCGAAGCCAGCAAAGGCAAAGCCGGCCAAGCCAAAGAAGAAGAAAGGGGCGGCCGAAGAGGTGTCGCCGACGCCTTCGGGCCTTGCTGGCACACCAGGCTCCACGGTCCCAGGCACTCCTGTCGGCCCCTCGACGATGCCCATGGGCGCCTTCCCTGGATCCTTCGCCGGCCAGAACCTGCCGCCCACCTCGATGCCATACGATCCGAGCTCGGCGTCCGCCGCTTCCGCTATCATCGCTGCGGCCCATGCTGTCTCTGGCTCGATTCCCGGGTACGGTTCCGCTTCTGCACAAATGTTGCCAAACGCCGCTGGACCGATGGCTTCGACTCTGCCCATGATCCCCACGGCTGCTACCGGAAAGGCGGGTCCGAGTGCATCCGGTGCCAACGCATATGGCTCCACGTCGGCGACGACATCGCTCCCTGCTCCGAACTCGACACCGGGCCCTGCGTCCACTGCTAGTACCTCGGGCTCCGATCCTTCCACTTGGCCCACGACAGCTAGCATCATCGCCTCGGCAGCCAGTCTGGCCAATGCGCAAGCCAAGCAGAGTCAGAAACCGGCCGCCGCCGGCGTTGGAGGCACCACCCCGAGCACAGCAAGCGCTGTCCCGACCGCATCGCTAGCCCCGGCCCCGGCTGCCCCCAAGCCGCCGCCCGGGCCCGAAGACAAACCGGATTTGACCAACGTCGAGCTCATCTCGCAGGCGCTTCGCTCCGATCACTGCACCAAGAAGAACGGCAAGCTCACGCTGCAAGAGGTGTACGAGTGGATCGCCAACAAGTGGGTCTGGTTTAAGCGCAACGGCAGACACACCGGTCGAGACTGGCAGAGCTCCATCCGTCATGCCATTGGCTCGACTCGTGAATTCACTCGCATCCCGCGCCGATCGGACGAGCCGGGCAAAGGCATCTTTTACACCATGTCCGACTCCAAGGTGGCCGAGCAGCATCGTGCCAACCTGGCCAAGCAGAAGGAGGAGGCGGCCAAGGCGGCAGCAGCTGGTCCGCCTGCCCCCGTTGGTGCCGCTGGTGTACCTAGCGCCAACACGCCTGGTGGTACGACCGCAGTTGGTCCCAAGCCAGGCGCGAGTGCCACTACTGCTACAGCGAATCCAGCATCGGCAGCTGCAGCAGTTGGAGCGGCCGCGACAGCAGCAGCTGGCACACCCGGATCGTTGCCGGCGATCCGCATTCCGCTCATCATCGGTACGCCCCCGTCATCCGCTGCAGCCGCCGCGGCCGACAAGCCCAAGGCTGCGCCGGGAACGATCGAGTCGCTGCTCGAAACGCCCCCCATCGTCCACCACGATGGCAAGCTGTACCTCAGCCCGCAAGTGTTTGGCCATCTCAACGCCGGACAGCTGGCGCAGATCGAAGGCCTAGGCGCCCAGCAGGCTCTGCAAGTGCTGCAAGCCTACTTGGTCACGCATCTGAAGGAGCGGATGAAGCAGCAACAGGTGGCAGCTCAGAGCAAGACCGCTTCCCCTGCAGGTCCGACGCCGGCAGCCAATGTCAAGCCAGCATCGACTACCTCAGCAGCTGCTGGCAAGGCCACGCCGGCACCCTCACCGGCACCAGCTGCCTCTGTGTCCACTACCACTGCTGGAGCGAACGGCACTGCATCGCCGGCCAACAAAGCGGTCTCAGCGACGACGGCGCTTCCCAAGCCGCCTGTGTCGGCAACGTCTTTGCATTCGATGACGACGCTGCCCAAGCCGGTGCTGCCTACGCCTGTCAAGCCCGCCGTCGCCGGCAGCTCACAGAGCGCGACTGCGAGTGCCAAGGTCAACACACCGGGCACAGCGGCCGGCTCAACTGGATCTCCGGCCACGGCGCAGTCCACTTCAAACGCATCTGCGCCAGCCAAAGCGCCCGTTCTTCCGAGCACACCGATACGGCCTTCTGTCCCTGCGACTACTGCGGCGACCAAGGCGAGCACGCCGGCTCCTGCTTCCGCTGTCACAAACTTGGCTGCATCGCCGGCAAAGCCATCGGCCGTTACGCCAGTCGCTTCCGGCAGCGCGCCGCAGAAATCAGGTTCGCCGGTCAAGCCGACCGCAGCTTCGGAGGCGAATGGAGCCGGCAAGCCAACATCGAGCAGCACCGCTGCCGCATCTGATGCAGCCGGCCCCAGCGCCTCTCCCGCACCCGCCGCGACCGACAGCGACGATCCGCTCTCAGCACTGTCGGCGCTTGCTGCGCACCCAGAAGCGGCGGCACTCATCGCACTCTTGCGCAAGCAGCAGCAGGAGAGCGGCGCGAGTGGCGGCAAGCAGCTGGCCAAGCTCACGCCTGGACAGCTGCAACTGCTGCAGATGGCCAACAAGCTCGCGGCGCAGCAAGGCAAGAAGGGCGGCAGCGGCAAGAAGAAGAAGAAGGCATCGACGGGGGCTGGCACGCGGGAAGGTACTGCGACTCCGGGGCCTGGTGAGTCGTCACCGGCGCCTGCAGGACCCAGCCCTTCGCCTGGACCGAAAGTGGGCTGAGACAGAGCGAAGCGGGAAGTGGTATCTTATTGCAGTGAAGAGGTGTATAGTAGTGACTCTCTTGTATCATTGACGTTGAGGGTGAGGACTAATGGAGACGTGAACCAAGCATGACGTGATTGTGAAGTCTTGCTACACAATGCTGAGTGTGATCGTTGACGAGCTTCAAGCTTCAATGACAGAGATGCTCATCGCTCCAAGTCCAGAGATGGCGAACTACGACTTGGCCCAAGCATGCGCCTCGTTGGCGAGCCACTCCTTCTCCTCCTCGGTCGACTCTCTCCCTAGCACCTCGTTCCGATGGCAAAACCTGCCGAATCTAGCAATGACCTCCCTATGCTCCCTCGCAGCGCCCAGAAATTGCCCACCGATCCTCTCCGCCTCTCTGAGACCCTTGTCCTGATCTTCAAGATTCTCAGAATGCCCCCATGGTAGATAGAAGAAGAGCTCCACCGATTCATCCACCTTCCTGTTCAATCCGTGCTCGATGGCGATCTCGGCCCACTTCTTGGCGAGTCGATCTGACTGGTATTGCTTTGGTGAGCCACGAAAGGCGTTGCGCGGGAACTGATCGAGCAACAGGACCATCCCTAGATGCTGTTCGGCTAGCATGCTCTCTCCCGAGGTTTCCGCCGAGGCAGAAGGAATGGTGGGCGTGAGCTTTTCCGCATAGGCTTCTGGATAAATGCGCGAGTACCGCTCGACGAGCTGCCGATCGAACTCTTCGCTCTGCGCAAAGTATCGAGATGGTCCCGCGGCTTTCCAGAACAACGCCATGTCGATCAAGCCGCCCACACCGGCAGATACAGCGGGCGGGGGCGTCCGAAGGATCTCTTGAAACGTCTTGCCGACCAAAGAGGCTGCTGCCGAAGTCATCGTGCGTAGTCGGTAAAAGGTGGTGGTGGCGATGGTGAGTCAATGCGTGCTGCCTGGACGGTGATCGGTTGATGATGATGACGATGGCGAGCAGTCACGAAGAGGAGCTCCCACACCCCGAGGATCAGCGTCGCACAACGCTTTGACGTGCATGATGAAATGAAAATGTGGAGAAAGCCGCAGGCGATTTTCGGCGGCAAGAAGCATGTTAGCACGTGGACGCGCACAGATTCAGCCGGCTGAAAAATTCATTGTCAGGGTCTCAGGAAGGTTGAATGAGATTCCACCCGAAAGGCTTTGTCCTCGTTCGGCATTCTGGTCGGCTAGCCACCACCACCATCAGCAGTCGTCCTTTCGTCATTCGTTGTCGTCTCGGTCCTACGACAGTCTTCGGGATAGGAAGCGGCAGCATTCCTGCTACGCCGACCTGGAACCTTCGGCGGCAATTCAAATTCAACTTCCATAGAAGGGCCTGCTGAGCAGAGCCCCGTGTCTCGTTCCAGACGCGCAATTGCTGGCCCAGGCACCACTCCCGGCTTCGACACAGCGTCTTGACTCAAGCCTCTTCATTCAGCACGCTACTATGGCGCCCAACAGAGGCATCGCCTCGCACTTTGCAGCGTCGAAAGCGAGCATCAGCCGCGCCACCCGATCCATCAAGGTCAAGCCGGTCAAAGATGTCGCCACCCCCGTCGCCCAAACAGTCAAGGTCGCATCATCACACCCTCTGACAACAGTGATCCCGACAGCGTCCAGCAGCAACGATGTCTTCTCCTCACCCGCCACATCATCCAAACCTCCGACACCAAAGAAGTCGACACCACGACGGGCGACTCGCACGCGGCTTCGAACGCCGGACGAAGGCGAAGTCGATCGCATCCTTGCCGAGAACGAGAGCATGCTCCAATCCAGCCCATCAGCCCGACTCGCTTCGTCGTCGTCTTCAGTCCAAGATGCACCCATATCGCTTCTTGGCACACCACCAGCCACACCCCGCGCCTCTCGCTCCTCTCCACTCCTCGAACCCACCCAAACCTCGCCGATCTCGGTCCGTACCGATCCGGATACCAACAAGATGTACCTCTTGCTCAACCGCTCTCCTTCCAAACCCTCTGGCAGCAGCTCCAGTCCGAGCAAGCGAAAGATGACTACTCCACCCAAATCCACCTCGCCGTCGAAAACGCCACGCACGGTGGATGGTACTCCACGGCGACTCATCACGGGCGAACCGGAGGTGCTGGGGACGGAAGAGGAAGATGGACTTGTGCTGACACCCGGTCGGGCGAAGGGAACGCGAGTGGTACTGGGCAGTCCACACAAGTCTCCGCTACTCGCAAGAGCGGTGGTGGGGACGCCGAAGGAGCAGGCACTGCGACGGATCGTCGATGAGGATGAGGAAGGGTACATTACGCCACGCAGCGTACGGTCGAGGCCGACGGGGTTGCCTTTGCCGCCGATGGCGACGCAGAAGGCGGCTGCGCTGTTTCGTGGTGCGACCCTGCCTGCGTCTTCCAGCATGCCCAGTCTGGGCCGACCTACAGCACCAGCTGCGGTCGAGGAATCTGTCGATCTGGGCTCAGACCCGGTCTTGACAGAGGAAGAGGTGCAACTACCGGAACCCAAACATGCCCTATCGACGGATCTGCCACTGCCAAGCTTCTACTCGAGCATCCTAACCCTTCACATGGCGCTAGAGCACGCGTTGGTGGTGCACCTCGCCACCGCCGGATGCGCCACAGCCACCCTCGACTCCTCCTCATCGGACCAGTCGGAGACGCACAAGATCGTGCGCCTCCCCAACCTCATCTCATACACAGCGCTGCGACCGCTGGTGGAGCGATCGGGTGGTCGACGTCTGGGTCCCACCGAGCTGCGTCGACTGGCGAGTGTCTGGTCCGACTTCCACCGCTCTTCCCCCGAGGAGGTGGAAGAGGTGCGAGGGTTGGGATTCATCATTAGCAAGACGCGAAGTATGGACACGCGCACTGGGCGAAGAGCGTTGGATTGGGGACTGGGCATCGAGCTCGAAATCAGACGCACCGTTCGGGAGAAGACGCCACCTACAGAGATCGGCTTCGGAGGCGTTAGCGTGAGCGCTTCGCCCAAGGTGCGCGAAGAGGGGTTCGATGAAAAGGTCAAAGGTACGCCAAAGATGCCTTCCACCCCACCACCGTCATCGGCCAGCGAGCGGCTGCTCAGATCGCCCTTTGCGTCTTCGCCGGTGACAGCCTCGCCGAGAAGGAAGAGGGAGACGTCCGGTAGCTCACTCGACACGACAAGGGAAGCAGTCAAGGCGAGGGAAGGCATGTCCGTCGTGGCTATGTGGAACAACGGTTTGGAGACGCGCAAGGCCGAGGTCGGACGACGACTAAGGGAACGATGTGCGCGATTCCACCAGCTGTGGTTGGACGAGAAGGGCATTTCGGTGCCACCCTCTGCGAGGTTGGTGAAGAAGAAGCCCGGATCGCCATCCCGGAACCAACCGAAGATGGTCGGACTGGGCATCGCAACTTCTGCAGACAGCGATGCGGAAGATGACGTTTTTCCGAGGGAAGCGATCATGGGCGCGGGCGGGTTGCTCACCCCTTCAGCGACTCGCTCGGGCGGTCGACGCGTCGGCAAACGAACGTTCCATATGGATCCAAGCGAGCTCGATCGCGAAGCTCTCACTTCCGAGGATGAGGAGGAGGGCGATCTCAGTAGCAACACCTTGCGTGGCGGCGTGCAGGGCAAGCAAGGGCTTCTCGACGAGGTGTCGAGCAGCGTCACGCGTACCAGCTCGATGCCTTCCCTTCTCACCTCGTCGTTGAGCAAAGAAGGGGAGATGCCACCGTGTGGATCGACCTTGCACGCGTGGCACTCTGACTTTCCGCTGTCCGACCCACGGATCGTCCGCCCCATTCCCCTCGCGACGCTCCCCAACCTCACAGTCCTCTCCACGCCACACCGGCCCAAACCCACCTCCGACCCATCAACCCCGCACAAGCCGACGAAATTCATCCCTCCCGCCGTCACGCTCAACACGGCAGGTATGACGCTCCGCGAGCGCATCGCAGCGAAAGAACAGCTTCGACGCACGGCCTCTCTTCCTTCCCTCTCCTCTGAGGCTGAAGCAGGGATGACACCCATGCAAGCGCTATCACAGCGCTCGTTGGTCTCCCGACTACCCGAGCTGTGCTCCATCCTCTTCATGCTCTTCTCCAACGGCACGAGTCTTTCTTCCAACGGGATCACGAGGAGTCCCACGATTCCCATGCAGGATCTGCTGACGAAGTTGGGGAAAAGTGTCAAGGTTCAGTTGAGCACGAGGGAATGCAGGCAGAGTCTGGATGTGTTGGGGAGGATCGCACCGGGGTTTTTGGTCGTGATCGAGGAAGGTGGGGCGGGGAAGGAGTATGTTAGGATGGGGAATAACGGGGATACGGGGAGGGTTTGGCGGTTGAACGAGGTGCGGAGTCGGATTGCAGCTGAGCTCAACGGCAAGTAGACGCGCGGAAGGATTGGACAGGAAGGGCGGAAGGAAGAGATTTTCGCATCATTCAAGCATTCGTTCACCACACGCATCACATTTGGAACATCCACACCATTGCAATACAGCACGACATCACATCCATCGCTGCGGCACAACGTGGATCCGGACGTGTAAGATGCACTTCATCTTGAGGCGAAATCGATCTCAGCGACGTTTGTAGATACAAGGCTTGAGGAGCGACTTTCCGTGTTCGGCGAGCTCGTCCAGCGACGTATTGTTTGGGTCGATCTCGCTACCTTCCACCCCCTCCAGCGACCTTACATGCTCCTCCCGTCCCAGCTTGGTGAACTCGAACAACACAAAGTGGGTATTGCTGGCGTCCTTACCGTCCAACTTGAACCCCAGCATCTTGACCACTTTGACAAACGCCTCAAACCCGTCGGCAAACCGACTCGACACTTCGGCGATGATCAGCTCGCCGCCCGTTCGGAGCACGCGTTTGGCCTCCAGCAGCATGTGGATCCAATTCGTCCCCATGAGGCTGAGGCAGAAGACGGCGACGTCTGCGACGCCGGGTGCTGCTCCCTCTGGTGGTGGGTGCAGCCCAAGTGGGTCGTTGCTATCGAAGAAGCCGGGAAGGGGTAGACCGTGAAGAGCCGCAGTGTCCTGCTTCCTCACCCACCCATCGCTCGTCGTGACCAAATCGTAGCATAAAACCTTGATTCCCTTGGGCACCAACTTTTTCGCCAAACCTCCCTCGCCCGCGCCTAGATCGACCACTAGCGCTCCCGGGGAGAACCTCGCCTTCCCACCCTTTGCTACTTCCGCGACACCTTTCTTCTTACCCTTAGCCGAGGAGGAAGACGCATCGAACAGCTCAACGATCCGATCCAAAGGGTTCTTGGGCCAAGAGCGCACTTGCTCGCGAAACCCGGCGTGGTACTCGTCAAACATCGCCGGTGCAGCATCGATCATACGCACGGCTTCGGTCGACGCGGTGGTGTAGAGCTTCTCGTTGATCGTCCGGAACCGGCTGCCGGAGAGCTTGGAGAGCATTTGCGCTTGGAGTGGTGTCAGTGCCGGTGCGGTGCTGGATGTGCTAGTTGTCGAAAGTGCTTTTGTCGGTGATGATGACGAGGCTGCAGGGGCGATCTTCGCCGTGACCGTTGGAATCTCGTTGCTCGTCGACAGCTCCTGTGCCTTGAGCTGTTTGTTAATCTTCTTGCGCTGTGTCTTACTGAGTTTGGACAGATCGACGCTTTCGCCGTCAACAACGACGATACGGGGCTGGTTTTGGGCCGCTCGTTGCGCCTCGACGCCCGTTGCCGCAAAAGGATCCTTCTTTGCCCCCTTGCCATTGGAACTGCCACTGGGCTTCGCCTTCTTGCCTATCGCCCCCGCTCTGCTCGTCTCTTCTTCCTCCTCGTCCTCCACTTGGGCCAAAGGCTCCTCCTGACGCTTGCGCTTCGCAGTCAGCGCGCCCTTCAATCGTACATCGGCGGCACTGTGCGACTTGCCATTGCTCCCACTCTGCTGCTTCGGTGTCGCCCCCAATCCGAGGTTCGAATGACGCGGACGGGATGTGGGCTCGGGCGGCGCTTGGGACGACGATGCTGCCTCCAGACCGGGGAGCTTGGACAAGATGCTGTCTGCCAAGGCGGAACGCTTGAGTTCGAGCTGCGCTTGCAGCTGATCCAGGTCGAGACTGTCTGCCATGTTATGTGATCCGTCGCCGAGTCGGTTCGTGCTGGTCTAGGAGTGAGTGATGGAAGGACCTGATGAAAGGTTGGAGATCTCTGAATTGTTGAAATGAAGAATTCGTGGAAGAAAAGGCAGAAATGAAGGAGAAATCCCGCGGGATTTGTCGACGCCGCGAGAGCCCGCGGAAAATGAATTGCAGGTCAGAACGGCTCATCCGACGACCTTTTGGCGGACGAGACATTCGGTTTGATGCCGATGGAGACAGCTCATGGCTGACAGCTTGGACAGGTCTCGGAACGGAACGTTCAGACAGTGCGGACCACGTGAAGACTGACATGACATTGCAACAGATCACTTTGCCTTAAATAGCTCATAGATGACGGTCACGGTGTTACCGTCCAATTCGAACCGGCCTTTGCCTACGAAGACGGTCCTGTTCACCCAGGCGTGTTTCGAGTTGGCCGGAGCTTCGATCACCGGAGTCGTAAGCAGATATTGATCATCGAAGTTGGTGGATTTGGCCGATGCATCTGCGCCAAGGATCTTCCCAACTGCCGGAGTTACCTCCAAATGGCCCGAGTACTGGATGTAAAGCACCTCGTTGTCCGGCGTAATGGCATGGACTCGAACATCAAGCTTTCCGTAGCCATCTTTGACGATGGCCCAGTCTCCGCCTGGGGTCACCTTGGCGGAGATGCCTTCACCTTCGAGTGTACCGCCCTCGACGACGGGGATGTAAGCTGTATGGAACGAGTGAGAGCTTTGTCAGCAACCTACTTGACCGTCTGAGCGGGAAGAGCGAAGAGGGAAGCGACTCACATCGGTCACCGACGGGCGTGCCAGGGATCGAAAGCGCTGCAGCGACAGGCAGCTTGAGCGTGAACGCGTGCGTGAGGGTGATGCTTGGCGTCGACATGGTTCAGATGATGGTAATGTTGTCGAAAGTTTGAGCGTCGCGGGCTGACTGTAAGTCTGTTTCAGGGACAGTGCGTGCAAGACAACCTGGACGCTTTGCAAGACGGAGCGGCGGTCTGGTACCGCAACTTTCTGGCTACAGAATGATCCTTTTTGGCATCGCTGCGCAGAGCAAGACGCCGAACATGTCATCTGACAGGCGCTAAAATCCGCACAAGGACCGTGCGAAGTGCAAGCTTTATCTTGCCGATTTCTTCATCAGGTCTTGGCCCGATTTGCTCAAAGTCTAACATTGAACAATCACGCGTCCGGTGCGGTGAATGACGGCAGCGCTGAGTCAACGCACGAAGCAGCCGAGCCTTGACATGCTCTCTGCCTCGTCGTCGCTCCATCCTCACGTAAGACATGGCCTTGCAGCTGTCGTAGCTTCCCGGTGTCGGTCTGACGGATCGTCATCATCCACAAGATCCCGTAGCCGAGGCTGTCAACTTGTCCCTTGCCCATAGCGCTGCCCTCATATAACAGCAGGAGACATCAGAGTCGAGCCATTCATGCAGCTCAACTACTCCACACACCACTTTCTTGCCTCTGAACCTCCTTTGATGCTAGCAGCGTCCAGGACCTTTGCGACAGCCAACCTTCTTCGCATCTCAGCTCTGAATCTTCAACAATCACCATCACCTCGAAACATCCACTTCACTCGCACCTTCCACACAACATCGCCCATCATGGTCAAATCCGACGACGACGTCATCAAAGAGTTTGGCGAGCTGGTCAACATGAGCGCTACCGAGCTCGAGAAGTGGCTCAAGGGCAAGGACTCGACCTCGTCCGGATGGACCAACGGCGAAGGTGGTGAGACCGTCGGTCATCAGTCTGGCACCAAGATCGTCGACATCCTCAAGCGCAACCCGGACAAGAAGAAGGACAAGTACACCGACGACGACATCAAGCACATGCGCAAGGTCGTCAGCTACAACAAGCGCCACTTGGCCCAGGAAGAGCACTTGAAGCAGAAAAAGTCCAAGGAGGAGCTCCAGAAGACCAAGAGCTACAAGAGTCTCAAGAGTGAGTTCCATATTGCCCCGGTTGTGGTTCCCCCTTTCGTTTCTTTTGGGTCCCCCTTTTGGTTTCGTCCCCATCCACTTTCCTCTTTGCCAACGTTCCGTCTCCATCTCGAATGGATGATGAAGAAGACTGCGAGGATCTTCCTTGCAGCTCAGCATCCCCACTGCACTGGAGTTCGCACGCTTTGAAATACTGGCACAATTGCCGCTGCTAGCCAGCGATACATGTCGGCGATCACTAAACGGAACCGCGACCTCGACCAGCCTTCGAGACGACCACCGATCTGACGACCAACATCCCCGCCCATCTTCGATCTCCAGCCGGCCAACCCGACGCATCATCATCATCATCAGCATCATCATCCAACTTCCGTTCGGACGTCGCCCTGCCCACCGCACTCAATCTGGGCAAGATCGGCACTTCTGCTACCACCGCCTCGACAGCAGCAGCAGCTTCTACCAGCAACTCCCGGTTGTCCAATTCGGCAGAGTACCTCGACTCGTTAGAGGAAGGCGTCAACAAGACGATCGATGCAGAAGTCGAGACCTTGTTATCGAGCTACAAGGAGCTCGTCTCGCTTGCCAGCGTAAGTTGCAGTCCGCCAGGTCACAGTCGCGGACTTGGAACGAAGTACTGACCTCATTGATTATTTGTGGGCGAACAGATCGCGGATAAGGACAAGTACCGCGTAGCACAAGAAGCGTTCCAGACCGAGGCGAGAGCCGATATTATGGTACGTGCAGCTCATCTCGCCTTCCACCGACTCCAAAGCGATCTCGCTCACCATCGTCTCTACTTCTGTTGTTTTGCTACGCGTCGCAGGTCCGATCCACTCAAACCCTCTCTCTCCTCTCAGAAGCGCTCAAGCTCTCCCTTCTGCTGTCCAAATCATTAGATCCAGCGCTGAACGACGAAGCCGTCGAGCTGATCAAGAGCACCGAAGCGGAGAAGCTGCGCTGCGCCCTGCTGCTTGGCGAAATCATGGGGCTGGACGTCGGAAAAGCCGAGGATCTCGTCAACGACATGGATCGCACCTTCATCAAGACCCACACCGCCACAGAGGACTTGGAGGATGACGAGATGGAGGACGTCTCGGCGGGCTGAGCTCGCTGCAGCCTTCAGAACCTTCTTGAACAACCCTCTCTGCATCAGCAGGGCAAGCCCGCGTCCAAGCACGGGCTTTCCCCTTCTCACGCGCTCTTATCGCTCTTCGCACTCCCCTTTTGGTCGTGGCCCGCCCTCTGATACCCTCGCACGCGAGCCCGAGTATGCTGACACGCACATCTGCACCCTTTCTCCGCGCCGCCGCAAAAGACTGGGGCCACGACCCCCTCAAGACCTAAGCGAAGGTCTTCGGAGAAGCGAGCGCTCTGCAATGGCTATGCACAAGCACTGGTAGCGTCGCTCCCACGCTATCGATCAGAGCAATACACAAACGTGAAAGCGATGTCCTTTTGTTTGTGAGATCGATTTGGACGTCTAGTCACGAGCCTGTGCTGTTGAGTCTATTGGATCAGTCGTCCAGGCAAAGTGAGCTGCGAGCTTCCAATTGTGCGCACTGCTCGCTTTCGGTGAAGTGAAGCTCGAGAGGCTCGAGCAGTGGCAGACAAAGATGCATCGAGGTGCGGGCCGCTCGTCTGCAGCTAAGTTAGCGCGATCGACTGCATGCTTCGGCAAGCGCACACAGAGCGAAAGGCGGTCCTCGCCCTTCATATGCCGCTTGCGAGGTGGCTGTTGGCTTGCTCCTTCCGAAGCGTCGGCCCCACGCCACTGCTACGTCCAGCTCGCCATGGTATTGTTCGACAGATGCCGACGGAAGGCATGTTTTGTCCCGCTTTTGATGCATCCCTTTGCATCGAATTGCTGTACGCGAGCGGTCTAGTCACCGGGCCCTTGCGGGTGTGCATGCGATGGATGCGCCCCTCCAGTCGCCTTAGTTTGTGACACGCAGACACATCTGGCTGAGTTTCGGCCCGGCGGTTTGTGCGCGCTCGGTGGAGATGAGGACACTCTATGAATATATATACCCACCGAGCTCTCGGTTTGCTTGTTCAGAGAGAACGGCTTGCTTGCTCCTCACCTTCTTCGCTCCCAACATCCAGTGATCTCCATCGGTCTTGCCAACTCGAAGTGCCGACCACTCGCTCAGCTCGAACGATCTCGAACAGATATGACTCAGATCAGACGTCTCTTGACGCTGCTTGTGGTGGCAACGAGCCTCGTTCTCGTCCCGTCAGCCACTGCCGACCTTGTCGACAACTCCAACGAGCTTCCGTCCATCATCAATGATGCTGCTCCGGCACACCTGGCCGACTCGCTCGCTGCGTATTCCCAACCTCGCATCCCCATCAACGCCGAGCAAAGCGCCAAGAAGGTTCGTCGACACCACAAATCGCGTTCGGGTGCGCACGTTTCGGGTGGCAAAGCGACCTACTACGCCGGACACCAGCTCGACAATCCCGCCTGTCCAGGCGCCACCACCCCGAACGATAGCAGCATGATCGCGGCTATCTCGGACGACTCCCCTTTTGCCTGCGGCGATCAACTCAGGATCAAAGACCCCAATGGCAAGGAGGCAACCGTACATGTGGTTGACAAGTGCGCAGGTTGCACGTCCAACTGGCTCGATGTCACAAAGGGCGTCTTTACTAAGTTCGACTCGCTGGATAAGGGCGTCTTGGAGGGTCTGGAGATCAGTAAGGTCGGCTAAAGGCTTGCCTGTCTCGCTCGCGCCTGAGCTTCGGAAAGCACCTTGTTGGTTTGCTCCCTCGTCCTCGCTTCTCCCTCTCCTATCCATGTCACCGTGGTTCCGTTCATCATTTGCCTGTTTCGTTGCAACTCGCGCTTCATCAGAACGTTCTCATTTTGCTCGGCAGACCTTGTGCTGTGTAACGTATGTTGTCCAAGACCGCTGGCATAGATTTGATGTGGATGTGGCCTGTCACGCAGAGTGGACCCTGAATCTCGGCGAAAGCTTAACCCCGCTTCGTTTGGCGGGCCCCGTCCTCCACCTCTTGCACCAAACTCAAGCATCGAGCGTCGTGCTGTCCCACAACGTTCCTGCCACTGGCTGCTCCAGCTTCTCCTTCAACGCAGCACTCAACGTCGATGCTCGCACGCACGTTGCTCTTCCGTCGAGCACCCGTCCGCACAACTCGACTAGGCCCCCTCTCCGCACCGTCGTCGCTCTACCGTCCACTTCAGCTGCAGGTTGTCTCGCCCAGCACCTTCACAGCGCATACTAGACCGTTCAGCACCGCGATTGCCGCTCGCTCGTCCAAGATGTCCTCAACATCACCGCCGACCGGCGTCACTATCGATCCTTTGACCTGCCGCACGTCAGCCTTTCCAGAACTAGCCCCCTTCATCGATCCATCCTCGGCAACCACTCTCGCCAACCTCCTTGCAGAGAACCACGCATCTCATCACTCCTTCTTTAACCAAAAAGGAATGCATAACCATTCGCTGCACCAACTGATAGCTGATACGACGCTGAAAGCAACCCCTGCTCAGCTGGAGCGCCACTACGCCTACCAACAGAAGCACTATCTCTCGTCGTTCAGCTACAACGATCGCTCAAAATACGATCCCCACCTCTCCGACACCAGCGGCTCTGGCAAGGGCGGATCGTCCATCACCAAAATCTCCGAGGGCAACTGGACAGCCCACCTTGGCGACGCACGCTACTACTGGAGCTATCTGCACTTTTTCGATCGCGTCGTGGCCCAGTTGGGCTTTCGCGAGGTGTTGCACCGCTACGTGTTCAGTCAGGAGGCGAACGAGGGGGAGGCAAAGATGATTGTGAGGTTTTACGGAGGGGTCATCCATGCGTTGATCCATTTCGGGTATGGGTTGGAGATGGTGGTGAAGGAGGTGGCTGCGGAGGGGTTGGCTATGGCTGCAGCGACAGGTGCGAGTCATGCTTGGTTGTTCGAGCTCGATTGGCTGAAGAAGGGAGCGTCGGTGCGGGAGGAGAAGAAGGGGTTGTTGGAGCTGGTTAGGGAGGTTCAGATGGATGACAGGCTGAGCGTCGACAGGCTGGGGCTGAAGGAGGAGGAGTCTTCGTTGCCGGATAAGCCTTTTGAAGAGGGCAGCGGACGAGGTGTCATTCAGGAGTACGTCGATCGATGGGCGGCAATCGCGGACGGGAAAATCGATCTCGAGACCGCCATGAGCGACCTTGCCTTGCTTTCGGCGCTACTACTTGGCGCAGTACCCCGTCAAGCCGACGGCAAGGCCTACAAACACGACTTTTTCCTGTAAGCACCGCCCTCTTTCCCCAGTACTTCCACGGGCGACCACTGACACCTTCTCATTGCCTGTTCAACGGTGGCGATCGCAGAATGCACCTCAACAACGCGCATCTCTTCACGTCGCTCTACCTGGATCTCTTTGCGGACAGCCCGCAGCTTCAGCGCACGTTCCTGCGCGCGCTGCTCGCGCAGTTCATCTACTATTACGTGTGCCGTGGCAGGCCCGCATTCACCACCTCGAACTTCATCACCGAGCACGAGGCATCTGCGGACTTGGCATGGGAGCAGTTGTTCGCGGACGCTCGCGAGAACGTTGACGAGCACCTGCCAAAAGCTGTGCGTGCGCTGTACGTCTTCGAGCAGCGCTACACGGGTTCGCAAGGTAAGCTGCTGGAATCGGGATTGCTCCAGGGCGGCGGACAGGATTGGGCAGGTGGCGAGGCAAGCGTTTGGAAGCTAACAGCAATGCAGCTGGTCCGCATGCATCGGGGAGAGCTGCAGCCAAGCCAGTACGACAGCGAGGCGGAGCGCGAAAAGGGAGAGAGCATCGGCAGTCATCAGGAGTTTTGGTCGTTCGAGGCGTTCTTCTAGTCAATCATATCGGTTGTATCACAAACAAAAAGGCAGTCGTTCGGACCAATGCACAATCAGGCATGACATTGACGAATCGCCAACGTGGGTCCGAGTTGTGAGGCTAGGTCGAGGAGGAGCCGTCGACAGTCTGCATCGATTCCGCACAACCATATATCGATCCGGATCGCCTCTTCCTCCCAAACTGCTGTGATTTCCTGCCTGACGTCCTCGTCGAGTTTTTGGATGGCATTTGTGATGTTATTTTTGATGCTGGACCATGTCTTCTGGATCTGGTCGTAGTCTTCGCGGGCGTTGACCACCGCAATGGAGATTCGTTCGAGAAACACCACCAATTGTTCGGCCGAGAGCTCGATGTTGGTGCTGGCAAGCTCGACCATCTCTTTGCTGCAGATGACAAGCAAGGAGCAAAGGAATCGCGCTTCGCTCACAGAATCGTCGTCGGGCAGGACGCCGCGAGCTTGTATGGATTCAAATTTTAGAGTTGCGCTCACGCTGTTGGCCTTCTCCTTGAGATCTTCGGCATTCCTCTTGAGATCTTCGGCAAAAGCCATGAGCTCCTCCGATTGTTGGCTCATGTTGTGCTGAGGAGAGTCGTTGTCACTTTGCATGGTGGTCGGACGGAAGAGGTGTTGATGAGGACACTCTGAAAAGAGGAAGCGGGGCGGGTTGTATGCCTGCCAGAGTATGCCCGTCTGCCGTCCGCTCCGTTTGTGAATCTGCACGAAGAGTTTGTCTCCGAGCTGCTGCGCCTTTCCTCGGCGCGCAAGACAATGGCGCCGCCAAAGCATTCCGTGCTCCCAAAGCTATTGACCAACTGAGCGGCGCAGGCTGATTTGCATTAGGTTTGAATAGCAAGGTCTCAAATGAAGTCGGCTCTCTATGAAAGAACGGCCGTCAATTGCTGCTGATTCTGCGCTGCCTCACTCGAACCATAAAGCGGGCATGCATGCTCGCATGCGGTCAGCCAGTGCGCTGAGCTCTGGTTGATCCGCAACCAAGACGGTCTCAGCACATGCATCGCCCTTCTCGTTCAAAGTGCATTCTGGGAGCGTTGTCGTGTCGGTGTCAAGCTGAGCTCAGCATAGAAGCAGCGTGTGTGATTGTGAAAAGAGATTTCTCTAAAGTCACATTCATGACGACGACCTCTTTGGCGACCCTGCGCCAGCATCATTGCGGGTTCTTCCCGCGACATGCTCACTGCTCAGCGTGTACGTGACCTTGTAAACAATCGGCGGCATTGAGGCCGTCAAGACGATGATCAAATCGGTTGTGATTGACATGATCGACCACGTCCTGAGATCGACAAAGGCGAGCCAGTCGTCGACAGCATCACTACTGGTCTCATCGACACGCGCGACGAAACGGACAATCGTGCAGTCAATCTGCACTGGACGACTCGCAGCGTCCAAGCCTTCAACTGGGTTCGCGCCAGACCGCAAGGGCAGACATTCCGGGGCGTTCACAATGTGGACTTCCGCAACACGCACGTGACCGAGACTAGCGCGGCTCGCACATACGACTTGGTGGCTCGGATCGCATTTGGAGATCAGCTCGATGGCATCGAGAGCATTCGGAACAAGCTTCCGGACCAGCATGCCCATGTCAAACAGCTGGAGATGCGAGGAGACGGTGTTCAGATCTGGCGCGTCGAGGAATTCTCTGCGGTCATCCACACCAACGACCAGGAGCAGCGGCGGGATTTCCGAGCTTACCTGCTTCTCGCTACAGCACAAGACATAGCGCAATCGGTCCTCAACGACCTGGGGCAACAGCGAGATGCTAGAGCGGCCCCTGCTTTGGAGCGACGCGAGTATCTCAAATTAATGCGCAACGACGACGGCATCCCCTACATCACCCTTCGCCGAGGCGCCGAGCAGCTGCACGTGCTGCTCGATGAAGAGACCTGGCTCGACATCGGTTCTCAGCATTGGGCATCGGGACTGTTGGGATCTGACGCTGCCATTCTCAGAAGACCCGCCGTATCACGTTGTCGCGGGCAGAATGGTGCTCTGAAAATGATCCCAATAATGAAGCGCAATCCGATCATCATTTCGTTCCTAGACACATTGTACGACTCGCTCCCTGCTCTACCTCCCACACCCGACCAGCGCAAACTTGTCCTCCCTGAGTGAATACAAGAACACCCTTCCGCAACCCACCACGTTTGCCGCCGAGTTGCCCGCGTCTGGGAAGGCGAAATCCACCGCCCTCGACTTGATCAATCGCGCATACTCCCTCTCGTCGGCGGAGAGGGGCTCGAGGAAAGCGCGGAAGAGCATTTCGTCTTCGGAGGCGGTCGTGCCGCTGCCCGTGTCCTCGCTCTGACTCCCGAGACACGCCGTAAGTGCTGCAGCTAGCCGGTCGAAGGTGGCACCGGTGAAGTCGACGGCGAGGATCGGCACGTTGCCCGACTGTAGCTGATCAGCAAACTTCGACACCTGCCTAGACGCTTTGTCCAATACCAGCTGGCGTGATGATGGTTTCTGACGGTTGTTCTGGCTCTTATCGCCTTTCTTGCTGGGGTGAATAGGCCTCTCTGGAAGCACCATCTCGCGTTCTCGAACAGCAATCGTCGCGGATGGCATAACATCGTGACCACTGTAGGTACGCGAGAAGGCTGCGTGAGGGTGATGGTGATGGTGTCCGCCCATCACTGGTGTTCCCGGAGCGCCAGCTGTCGCGCGCATCGTGGCCGCATCCAGACCAGCCGGACCGAAGCGGTTTGCAAAGGCACTGGTTCCTGCCGAGCTTGCGACTTGGACATCGACGCTTCTTTGCTTGGCGATGCGATCCTGCACGAAAGCGACCAGCTCATTACGTGGCACTTCGTACTCGGCGCGTTGCAAGACCACCTTGACCTTCAGAACGGGCGACCTGGGCTTGGCAAAGACGAGCAAGAGGATTCCCTCGGCCCGACAGGTTGCTGCGGCTGCTTCTGGCGAGTCGTACGTTGCATGCTCGTACTGGAGATCCGCTGCAATGTTGTGCGCCCACAGCTCGCGGCAGATCTCCATCCGCGTCTCGAGCAAGCCGGGCGTTGAGGCCACATAGACGTCGCACCTCCTCGGCGTGTACAGCCCGAAGCTGCGTTCCTCCTCGGTCCTGGAAAGGAGCTTCGGCACTTGCGTCTCTTGGTACTTGGCGAGGCCGAGTGTCAGCTTGCCAACAGCGATTTGGACGCCGACTCCGTGCAAGGGCGCTGATGACGCCGTTGGGTTGGCGAAGCGCTTGAGCAGCGCATCGTAGCGCCCACCGGCGGCGACGACATCTCGCCGCTTGCCCGCTCTTACTATCGTGAACAGCACACCGCCCTTGTACAAGGTGCTCGACTGTGCCAGCAGTGGCGAGAAGACGAACGGTCGCTGTACACCGAAGAAGCGCGCTGTGGCCACCACGTCGGAGATCTGCGAGACTGCTTTTGCCAACCTGTTCCGCTGATCTGGGGAGAAGAGCCGTTCGAGTCGAGAGTGTACAGCCGCAACTTCATCGTTCAGGTTGAACGCTTCGAGCTCTTCGATGGTCGACGGAGACAGGCCGAGCTGCGACAGATAGGTTCGTGCACTTTGTATCGTCTTCGATCCGGCTAGCAGCGCAACAACACCGATTACAGCCGTGCGATGCTTGGCAGGAACGCGTTCGAGGATCATCGAAAGGATCGCCTCGTGATTGATGTGAATCACCCAATTCTCGCTCGCGACTCCGGGGATCTCGTCCAGCACTTTCTCGACGAAAGCGAGAGCCTCGGCTTCCGCCGCTGCCGACTTTTCGGGCGAAACAATGTCGAAAGAAGCGGCCAGCACCGCACGAGGCTGACCACCAGCGACAATGTTCTCGCGGTAGACGTTGCTGATCTCGTACCGTTTGAATCTCTGGTTGCTGCTCCGAGCAAAGACGCGCGCAAAGGGGACGGTCAGATCGTAGGGTAGATGCACGACTCGTCCGGTTCGGTCCAGCATTTGCACGACCTTTTCGTTCGATGAGTAGAGGCCATTTGGCGGGAGAAGGAGGGGCGCAGTGAACTCGACAGCACCGTGCCGGCGAGCCGCGTTCCGAATGACATCGCACACCACGGTGGTCAACGACGTATCTTGATCAGTTTCAGCTCCGGTGTCGAAGGTAAAGTCGCGGACGAGATCGACAGCAGTACGGCCGAAGAGAGCGTCCATGAGCTGATGGTTGTAAGCACTGGTCGGGTTTGCCATGAGTCGCAGGCATTCTTCGATGTACTCGTCTTCCATCTTGGGCGGGAGCAGATCGCTCTTCAGGATTTCGAGAGGGGAGGGTCTGCGATCGGGATCGTGATCGAGCATCTGCCGGATAAGCGCGGTCTGCTTCTCGAGCTTGCTGTGTGGCCACGACGCTGGGAGCACGACTTCTCGGTCCCGCAGCTCTCTGATCAACAGAATGCGCTCCATGCCGGTTCGATAGACACGCTGGCTGGCCAGCATCTCGAAAAAGATGATTCCAAGCGAATAGACGTCGACTTTGAAGTTGTACTTGACGCCACCTTTGGCTCGAAGCTCTGGAGAGGTGTACAGGAAGGTGCCAAGATCACCTGTCAGATCCGAGCTTTCGGCCAAGTCGGCGGTGACTTCGGTGTTGCCAGGGTTGCCGTCAGCGATCTGCAGAGCATTGGTGGCAAGGCCGAAATCACCAATCTTGACGTCGCCGTTGGAGTACATGAGGACGTTGGATGGCTTGAGATCACGATGTATGATGCCAAGGCTGCTGATGTGAGCGAGCGCTTCGACCATCTGACGCAAGATGCGCCAAGCTTCGTCCTCGGTCAGTCCCTTCTCGATCGCCTCCAGCAGCGTCCGGTTCTCGACGAACTCCATCTGGATATAGAGGACACGCTGGACAGGATGACTTCCAGCAGGCGGTGCCACACTCACGCCTCTCGACACTGAGCGACCAGTGCGAGATGCTCTGCGTGATGAAAGACGAATCCGACTGAAATCGTCGGCACCGAGTTCGTCCTCTGAGCTTGATTCTTCCGAAACATCATCGTCGTCCTGTTCAGCTGATGCGTCACTGTCGTCATCGCTTCCGTCGGAAGGCGTACGAAGGGCGAGAAGTCCGCCATGGAACGAGGCCGCAAGATTGCCGCGCGAGGACGCGCCATTGTTGCGCTGATCGATACTGTCATCATCGTCGTCCGCAAAGCGGATGTCGGCGAAGCTGCCAGTGAGATTAGAAGAGTTGGCTCCAGATGCAAAGGCATCGTCGTCGTCATCAAAGTCGGGTGTAGCGCGGAAAGAATCGTCGCGGCCATTCTTGGGTCGGCTTGCATTCGCGAGACGGGAAAAGCCGTTGCCAAACGCAGACATGGACAGACTTGGCCCGGATGCATGCGTCTTGCTGGTGGTGGTGTTGGTCTCGAGGGTGCGACCCGAGGTGAAGCCGTCCGTGTCGCTTCCGGCCAGGCCGCCCACGGGGATGTGCGTCTCCTCGATCCAGCAAGTGGAATAGCGCACAATGTGAGGATGATCGAGACGGCTTAGGGCACTGATCTCGCGCAACGTCCTCTCATCTTCATCTGGCGAGCTTGACAACTTGATCTTCTTGACAGCGTAAAAGCGGCCATCGAGACGGTTGCGAGCTTTGACGACACTGCCGAAAGCTCCTTTGCCAAGGAATTCGACTTCTTCAAAGTCGGAGAGGTAGCGGGATGTGGATGGCGCGTTGGGTGCGCCGGGGCCTGCGGGTGAGCGAAACGGCCATAGCGAGCCAAGGGATTGGAAGCCATCTGCACGCACAGGAGTCTCGAGACGTGACTCGTCTGACGATGTCGCAGCTGTAGCGGCCAGGGCAGCCTTCGTCGCCGAAGCGGTCGCAGCGAAGGCAGCGAGACCCTTGACGGGAGTCGAGGGGCCATGCTGGCCGAAATAGCCCGACTCGCGCTTGCGATCCTTCTCCAATTTGAGCAGAGCCACCTTCTTGTTCGCCTCCTCTTGGATCAGCTGGGACAGCTGCTGGGCACGTTCTGTCTCTGCCTGTTGTTTGCGCAGTCGTTCTTGCTGCTCTTCTTGGACCTGGCGGTCTTCTTGTTCTTTTGCGCGCCTCTGCATCTCCTCTTCCAAGCTGAGCGAAGGTGCGCCATCTCTGACCTCTTTGGGTACGACGTTGTTGAGGCTGATGAACTCCTGACCAGTGCTGATGAGCTCCCAGATCATCTCGGCACCGAGAAGCTCTTTGACCTTGCGATTGAGCTCTTCACCGAGCTGAGTGAGATGCTTCGCTGAAAGACCCTTGTGTCTGCCATCGTTCTGCTTGATGATGATGGTGGGCGCAATGAAGGGATACTTGGTGGGAAGTCGGAACAGCACGTATGCGCAAACGAGAGGCTTGAGGCGCTCTTCATCCGGGCGAAGGACGACTTGGAATTCGTGAAGCTGGGATGTGGCGGCGCCCTTCCATGCTTTCTGCTCGACACGCGAAAAGTCTTGGTCGAGAATGGACTCGATGGCTTCGATCTCGGTTTGTTGAAGCTCTGCGATCTCCTGCGGTGAGAGCGACGGCGGTGAGGTTGGAGCCCTCATGGTGGGTGGGGTGCTATGCTTGCATTTGCTTCTGAGGAATTGAGCTGCTTTGATGCGAATTGCTTGTCGCGTGCGATGTCAACAGCTGTAGTGAGAGAGCAAGCTCACCGAAGTCGTTGAGGGCCAGGATCAACTCCACTTGCGTGGAGTTGTCTTAGAGGCTCGACGGCATCTCGATGCGATAAGGATGTGAGTTCTGTGGGATGATGGTGGAAGGGGGCCAATAGGAGAATGGCGACTCAGCCAGACGAAGTAAGCCGATGGTCGTGAAACGAGAGAGTGTGACGGAAGTGAAGGTGAGGGTCAAGGTGATGGTGATGGTGATAGCTCAACGAGTGACGGCGCCCATATCAGACCCTATCAAAGGTGACACGGTCGCGTGCTATCGATATCGCCAGCTGCTGCCTTGCAAATTTAAGGTTTCTGCGCGGCCACGCACGGACGAAATTTGGAGCTGGTCAGCGCTCCACATGCCGAAATCCGAGTTGAGGGCCTTCCCTCTCGACTTCGCTGTTCTTCATCTCTCTCGAGCAACCGTGGCAAAGATGTCGCTCACAGACAAGCGCAAAGCTTCTTCAGCTACAGCCGGACCTTCGACCACTCCTGCTAGCTCGTCGTCAAAGCGTGTTCGAATCGATGAGCCATCGCGGCGACAGCGCAAACGCGAAGAGACCGACTTCTTCGATGGCGACCCCGAGCTAGAAGAAGAGGAGCGACGTCGCATACGCAGGGATCAGAAGAGCGGGCGCATCGATGATCGTGGCGAAGACCTTTCCGAAAGTGACGAGTCGGACGCCAACGGTGCCGACCTCTTCAACGAGAACGAGGATGAATCTGACGCGGAAGCGGACGCCGGATCACATCGACGCAGAGCCGAGAAGAAGCGTAGAGGTGACGCCGCGGGCGCGGGCGGGGACGATGACGACGAGGACATGTTCGACGTAGCAGACGATGAGCCGAAGGCATCCAAGTCCGGCAAGGGCAAGCAGAAAGATGCGAAGCGCGGCGATCACCTCAATTTGGGCGAGCTGGGAGAAGGGCAGGACTTTGGTTCAAAGACGCGATCCGCCGTGGATGCTGCCGACGATGATGCAGAGGCACTCAGAGGTGGAGATGCGGACGACGACGATCTCGATCCTGACCTGGAACTCGAGGATGAAGACGAACGTGACGACGACGATCGAGACGTAGGCGATCCAGATCGAGATCAATATGTCGACCTCAACGCGCTCGCGGAACGTTCACCACCCACATCGCCCGGCGGTACTCCGCTATCCACGTCCTCACGCACTCTGAAAGCTAAGAAGAGCAACAAGTCCAAAGCGCCGAAAGTCACGGGCTTCAATATGAAGGAAGAGATGCGTACGGGCAAATTTGATGCCGAAGGCAACTACCACGAGAACCAGCGCGATCCAGACGCTCAGCACGATGTATGGCTGACAGGCAACTACTCGAAAATCAAGATCTTGGAGGCGCGCAAAGCTCAGCAGAAACGGGATCAAGAAGCACGCGACAAAGAGAAAGCGGCGCTGCAGGTCGACGGAGACGAAGACGATGTCAAGAAGAGGCTGGTCGAATTCATGCATAGGGCGGAGACCGTCCAGAGGACACTGCAGAGGCTGGGCAGAGTGCTCGCGGATCGCAAGAAAGCGGCCAAGAGCAAGGGCTCGGATGGCACAGACGAGGTCAAACAGGCAGCATCGGACGTCGACAACGTCACGCACCTCTCTTCGGTGCTCATGTCCCGATTCGGCAGGCTGGACATCTATGATCAGACCTACGAGCGGCTCCTGCACGACGTTCACAAGTCCGGTCTCGTCCGACAGACTTTCGACCCTGCAGCAAAGTACGACCCGGCTCCCGTTGCTGCGGAAGCTAACGCGGCCTCCAGCAGCTCGGAGCTGAACGCTACAGCCGGCGATTGGGAGTATCGCTGGACGCCGTCGTACCTCGCCGCAGCCGCACGGGAAGCTGGCACCCCAGTAGATCCCGAGATCCAAGTATTTGGTCCTTTCGGTCTCGCGGAGTTGAAGAACTGGGCTCAGCAAGGCTACTTTGGCGACGGTGGGGAGCGCATTCTTTTGCGACGGAAAGGTTCAAAAGATGCCTGGACGACCTACAATGATGTCGCATCGGCGGACACATGAGAGGTGCTGGCGGCAGATGCAATGCCGCTGGCGAGGGAATATCTGGTCACAATCTCATTGAGTGCTTCCGGAGTTGCTCAGAGCAAATCCAATTGTATCATTTCATGCGGCCGAGGAAGTGATCATGCACATTCAAGCCTTCTTTGGCCCTTCACCGGTAACAGTCTGTGGCGTCGTCGTTGGCGTCTGCTGTGGAGTCGCGGGTGGCGTGACAACGGGCAGCATGGAAAATGCCATCTGCATCTGCTTCATAAAGCCCTGAATCTCCGCCACGCCGTTCCTGAGCTCCTTTGCATCCTTCTCGCGCTGTTCCTCGTCCTTCCTGACCTGCTTCTGTTCGGGACCGGTGAGATCGATGAAAGCGTCCTTGAGCCTGTCCTGAAAGTCCTTCATACCATCGACTTGCTCCTGGATCTCCTGGACCTCAGCCGATGCGATGGCACCGGACCATTTGGCACCGTCCTGCTGCTCCGCGTACACGGTTGCCACCTCCTGATCCAGGCTTTGCAGGTCCTTCTTGAGCTGTTCCATACCCTTTTCCAGTTTCTTCAATCGCTCGTCGCTTTCCGTCTTGCTCTTGATCTGCTTGAGGCACGCCACTTCGGATGCAACCTCGGCAATGGTGTCCTTGAGACCTTTGAGTGTGGACGAAGCCTTAGTCTGACGAGAAGAAAGGCTGTTCTTCAACTCGGCCAGTTCGTCCTTGATCGCCTTGATGGCGAGAGCGTTTTCGCGCTGTTGCTTGACATGCATCGCAACGAGCTCGCGATACATCGGCTCTACTCGACGACATTCGTGCTGGCAATTGCGACATGTGAAGTCGAAGCCGATGCTGTGCGTATCGACTTGCTTTTGACAGATCTTGCAGTTTTTGCCCGCCTTGATCTCGGTTGATGACATTGCTGGGCTGGATATGATGCTCAATGTTCAGAGTGAACAGGAAGGAAGCAACGGTGCAAACACATGTCGTGAGATGATGGCACACACTTCTTTTCATGTTTGGCGTGCCGGTACTGCAGCTAGGCGCAGCTCGGGCCCATTGTTCGTCCATAGGGCGCAGGGGTGATCGTGATTCGCGCGCTAGCGCGTGCGTGATGTTTTTCCTCCCCCCTTTGTTTCTTTGTTTGCGCTCAGGCATGCGTACTGAGATCGCAACGGGCCTTTGTGCGAGAATTGCCGCTGAGCTCATTATCACGCATGCTGTTTGTCGCGTTTGAGCGTCCCCGTGTATGATTCAAGCGTGTAAAGTATCTACCGAAGCGCAGCTCACCGACCTCGCAGATCTCGCTGTGAGGTTCGGAATGCTTGAGAGGAAAGCAACAAGTGACATTGGAGTGGATTGTTGAGAGAAAAGTGGTACAAGTGGGCTACTGAGCCACTTCTGTCGACGACGATGATGACGACGATCAGAGCCTCTTACAGATCGAGACATTCGGCAAGCTCCCCATAAACGACATCCATCTCGTCGATCGCCGCCTCGATTCGGTCCGTTTCGACCTTCCACGCCTCCCTCACCTCCATTCGGTCCTCCAAATCGTGGATCCACAAAATCTCATCGTCGACCTCGTCCAAAATCTCTTTCCAAAGATTCTTCACCTGCAGCAGATTGTGATTTGCGTTGAGCACGGTGAGGATCAGTCGACGATGTACGTCCTCGATTCGCTCCTGGGAGTGTTCCATCTGGCGTTGCGAGAGGCTGATGATCTCTTGATTGCGGAGGATGATGAGTGCGGCCAGGTCCTCCATGTGCTTCATGCGCTCGGGGGGAAGCTCGATGCCGTGCGCTTCCATGACTTCGGGCTCGCGCTCAATCGCCATCGTCATAACGATCGCGTTGAGGCGCTCGGTGCAGCCAGTGATCTGCTGCAGCTCATCGCAGGTGATGCAGTGCGGTTTGTAGAGCGGGTGGGTCTCGCCGGAGAGGCCTTCGCGGCACGTGTTGCAGGGATTACCGCTCATGGTTTTCTTGAGAGAGATGGTGATGCGTTGAGCCGGTGTCAGCGATGGCGCTGGAAGAAGATCAAGTGATGGAGCTGGCCGTCAGAAGGGAGAACGATGTGGCGACCGACTAACCACTCCGTCTACATTGAACGAGCTTTTATGTCTTTGTACTGCACCAGCTTGCCTGCACATTAGCGCTAGCGACATCCTCGGCTGAGCTGAGCCCCCGAGACAAAGCTGAGTCCAAGTTCAGAGCTGTTTGCGCAGCTTCCGCAACAACCGTCCTGTCACCCTGCAGCAAGACGTGTCGTCCCACCCATCCTGCTCCGCGTCGAACCGAAGCGTCCGCAAAAGTGCTGCTGCGCCATGCTGCCAAGGGAGCGGAACGGTGGGACAAGGCAGAACCACGCGCTGAACAAATCATGCAGTCTGCAAGGTTTGAGATGAAGTTGAGCGGTGATGAAAGAACGGCGGTTGTTCGCAAATGAAATGAAGCTGCTCACGCAAGCGAACTTGGTTGCTTGCAACGTGAACCACGCCTTGGGCACGTTTTGTGTTGCGGCGGAAAACTCAGCTGCTCATCCGGTGATCGAATTTAGACGATCCGGAACACAGACAAGGACACGCAGTGAGAGGAGAGAGTGGCTTTGATTTTGATGTCACGCGAAGCGACGATTTGATGGGGTTACTAAAAGGGATGTTCGAAGGGTAAATGACCATCTCGAACACGAGCATAAAGGCGCTCGTAAGCGAGTGGCTATGAGAGCTTTGACGATGTAGAGATGCACAGTAGATTCGTGAGGGACGAGCAAAGATTGAGAGACATTGCAGTGGTACGACGCGCGACTTACCTGAGACGTGCCAAGCTTACTCGTTTGTCTCATTGGACTCCTTGCCGCTCTGAGCAGGCTTCTGCGTCTGAGCGAGAAGACCCTGGATCGCATTGAGCGAAGTGAAGAGCTCGAGCATCGAATAAGGACGGTGCTTGTCCTTTTGGTCGGAGGTGACGGACTCGATGAACGCTTTGACCGCGTCTTCCATGTCAAGACGTCGGGTCACGATGCAGCGTTTGCACACGAACGCTTCGCCGTTGTCAAAGGCGACGTTCCAGAGCTTCTGGTTGCATGCCTCGCACTTCATCTTGTGCGAACCTGGCTGAGGAGTCATTATGAGTCGCTCGTCAAAGGGGACGACCTTGATGGTGAAGACGACGGTGTGCGAGAGGCTATGAGTGCGAGCTCGATGGCAGTGGTGGTCGAAGATCGGAGCCTAGACACGCCTCGCTGAACCTATATAGTCCTTCATAGCTGAGCAGCCTCACACAGACACGCGCCACGACTCTGTGTTGCGCTGATGAAGAACATCCCGGCAAATGACATCGATAGCGCTAACTCTTTGAGTCGAAGCTCGATCTCTGCTCATGACAACCCGTTTGATGAGATCGAACCAAGATGGAAGAGGTCGACCTGCAAGCCACAGGTGTGCCCTGGATGAGTTCCGTGTCGGAACCGGCGCTCGATTGAGCACACTTCATTGATGTTTCCATATGCAATGCGTTTTTGCAGTTGAACCTCGACACACGGCTGGATGCTCTCACTTGCTTACACAAATCTCGAGAAAGAAGTGACATTGCCGATTGAATGGTGGGTGCTAGTGAAGTATGGGACTGAGTCTGATCCTGCCAAAGCCAGCTTCGAAAGTAGTCCTTTCAATGCCGTCAGGCGGTGCACTAGCGGGCAGCTTGTCTGCGGCCACGTACACGCTGACTTCGTACAAGCCCTCGCCGTGCTCCTGAACCCATTTCTCGTCCTCCGGATCCTCTGCCACCTTGATGATGGCTCGAATGAGCTTCCCTCCGCCGGCAGAGATCGCACTTGCATCGTGGTGCGAGCTAGTAGTGATGCCTTCTGCAGCTATGGCGTCTGGCTTGTGTGCGGAAGAGAGGGTCGAGAGGAGACGGTGAGGGATTTGGTTGGGGACAAGCTGAAAGTCGGTTGTGATGGGGAGAGTATCGGGTTGTACGGGCTGGTTGAGAGCGAGGCTTACGTCAAGGTAGGACGTGACTGTGTCCTTGGCATAGAGCAAGGTGATCTCGGCGATCCCTTGAGAGCCATTGTGGTGGTGGGCGTAGGTGGGCGGCACGCGGAGGTCTCGCGGCGTGAGATCGGCGCACCAGAACGGCACTGCTGACCTCTCGTTGCCGATGGGCAAAGGTGATGCAGCCTGCTTGCCAGACGGCGGGGTCGGAAAGGAGACCTTCCACTTGATCTCGTCGCCCCTCGTTGTGGTCCTGCCGCCTTCCTGTGGAGCACTGTACAAAAGCCTTGGAGCGACGACCTTGGCCCCACCCTCCTCCCCCTCATTGCTCTGCAGCTCCTGGAGAGCGCTCTCCCGCAGCCGTTTCGCATTGTCATTGATGCTCTCGATCAGTCCATCGGAGATTCCATCCTGCAGACACCAATCGATCCAGCCGGGTGCACAGTGATACCACCAGTGCTTCCTTCTCCGCGCCTCAAAGTCTTGCTGGTTTTCGCCTGACTCGGGTGCTGGTGTCGGCTCGAATTGGATGAGCTCGATGTACACTCCGTCGGGAAAGACGATGAGGGCATTGCTTGTGAGACCGTCGGCGTGCAGACCTCCACGGCTGACCTGAAAGCCAAGCTCCGAGAAGACTAGGATGGATCGTTCGAGGGCTGAGGTTCGTTGAGAGGATGCCTTGGGCGGATCGTTGACCAGCAAGATCAAGTGATCCAGCGCTGGGATCAGCGATGATGATGCCCGTGCACGCATGTTGTGCGATTGCAGACAGGGCGAGATGACGAAAAGTGATGATAGATAGGTATGAGCGAAAGCATGAACGGTGCGCACAACTCGACTTGAGGGGTTCTAGGAGTGACTCGAGGCGGACCCTGAAGACTCGATTGGGTGAGGTTGGTGCGTGCGTTCTTTTCAGGGTCCAATCGATCCTTTCTTCTTTTGTAACACCTTCCTCTGCTCGACCATGTAGACCGACAAAGATGCCGCCCACACCCTTTCAGCCGACTCATCAGACACCGTTCAAATCGACGGTGTCCACCTCGCAGCAGTCGCGCATCCATCACACGTCTTTCGAGGGAGCCATTTCGAACGACCTCTCGATCTCGATTGCGGACATCAACCCGGCAGAATGGAAGTATCACGCAGAGGGTGGCAAGAACGTCCTCCTTTCCTTCGATCCTGCGGGGAGTTCAGCGCCAGGTCAGAGTCCGCTCGCTACTACAACCTGCACCTTCGCACTACGCATCCCGAAGAGCCTACCGACAGATGCAGATACGGCTGACGACGAGGAGGAGGCGGAGCAGTTCACGCATTCCATAGTAGAGCCACTCCTCGGCAACCCATCTGTTCTGCCGCGATGCATCAAGATCCCGGTGATCACAGCTCGAGACAGAGACATCATCGATACACTCTCAGCACGCATTGAGATGCAGCGGCCTGCGACACGTCGTTCTCGCCCAGCTCGAATTCGCTCCGAGGCGCTATCCTGCATCTACGCTGTCGAGGATGTGACTGCGCCGATTCTCGCCTCGTCGAGCTCGCAAGGCGTGTTGAGTGTGGAGATCAAACCCAAGTGGGGCTTTCTACCGCGCATCGACTCGCTTCCGCCCTCCTCGTCAAATGTCGAGATTAAGGGACGTTACTCACGGTATCGCATGCACAGGGTAGCCAAACACTCAGCCGCTCAGCCGATGTCAAAGGAGCACTTCGAACAGCTGTACGATCCGCTCGACTTGTACAGCCAAGACCCGAAGAGGAAGCAGAAGGCAGTGGCAGCGCTGTACAAAGACTGGCAGGAGACGAACGGGAAAACGAACAACCTGCGTCTGTTCTGGAACGGCGCAGTCGTGGCTCCGGACGATCGCACCTCGTTGGCGGGGGTTGCTCAATTCTTCGGCGTGCTTGGAGCAGATACACTGCTTGACGCGCTGACGCATCACATCGTAGAAGAGCTGTCCATGCCAACGATGCCTGCCTTTGAGGGGGACAGCAAAGTGGACATGCTCACCCAACTAGCCCACCTGCAATCAGCTCTCGACCCACTCGACGTCGAAGGTCTCGCCCAGCTCTGGCTGGCACGGACACAGTCCCACGTCCTCGGCCAGTCGCCCACCGATCTACCGCCCTCGCTCACCACCCCACTCCCGTCGTCGCAACTCTTGCCCCTTCTCCAACCATTCCTCGACCGTAGCGCGCAGAAAGAGGTGACGCTGGAAGACGCGCTTCAAGCATTCCTCGTCTCGGCGACGTTCAAGGACTGCTCGCTGCTCCTCCGCTTCGTGCATACGGCAGAAGGCAAGGTGGAGGGCGAGACGAAGCTGGTCGATCTCGACCGAAAGCCGTGGTCGAAGCTGAGCAAGATGCAGGAGACCGATGCGGAGGTGTGTGCGTCCTTCCTGGCGTGGTTGGCGAGTGTGGTCGGGGAGCCGGCTGCTTCTGTGCCTGTATGAGTTGCAATGTCAAGATCTAACCCAGAACGTGTCATCACTGCGTGCCGCTCGGTCTTGTTGAAAGTGGTGCTGTATTGATTGTATGTTGTCTGCTTCGTCATACGGCCTTTGATCCGGATCCATCTCCCGGTCTTGGTTGGGCCAAAAAGGCCTGCTTCTCCCTTTCGATCGCTTCCTCGCTCGTACTGTTACCCCACACAGGTCAACGGTGGTCAGCACTACTCCCCTTTCCTTTGTGTGTGGGAGCTGCACTTACTATACTCGCAGACACTCGCTCAGCGCCTTCTTCTCCCCACTACAGCCCCAGAGCATCGATATCGTGCGCGTCTTGGAGCATTCGACGAACGCTTCCATCTGGGCCTTGCATTCTTTGAGCGCCTTGGCCTTTTGCTGCTTCATCAGCGTGTCCGCTTCGCGGTTCGAGAGGATGCGTTGTTGCGGCGCCGTGGTCGACATTGTGTGTGTGAGGAGACCGACGGTCGTCGTGCGAGATGCCGTCGATCAAAGGTCGTGAAGATGATCGGTGGGAGGGACCGATGAAGGTTGAGGAGCTCAAAAGAGTCGATCGAGTGGAGGCCAGGGATCGACGGAAATCGGGCGTGTGCTAAGCAGCCACGTTTCTTCTCACGCTTGAAGTTCTCGAGCTTGACGTTCGCTGCCGCACCCGCTTCTGCATCACGGATCTTGACCTCGCCTTCTGCATGGCTAGCCCTCTTCGCACTGCAGCGCAAACGCGGGACTGCGACATCTCTCGAGCTCGACGCTCTCATCAGCCGTCCAGGCGTCGCTTGAAACCCCCCCAACCAGGTCGATCGTGCTTGGGCTCTTCCTCCGCACGACCTCACGTCACTCTCGCACTCATCAGTCTGCTCAACGCTAACATGCCTCAGAGCAACCAAACTCGAACTTTGCGGTTTTTGGATCAATCCCTGAAATCATTGCATTTATCGATAACAGAGGATAGTGTGTGCTGGGTCATTGTACAGAGGAGAAAAGGATAGACGGGTTGGTGTCAACCCCTTTTGTTTTCTGGCTTTCGCCAAAGGTGAGAGAGTATGCGCATCCTGTACGGACGCGCGATGCAAGAGACGATGATGATGATATGAGAGAAAAAGTGACGAGGGGGGTAGTTTACACAGAGGCCAGGGGGGCGGGCTCCTTGAACTCGGTGTTGCGGGCCTTGACACCGGCGTCCTCGGCGCCGGCGATGGCGGCACCGCCGTGCACCTCGAGCAGCTTGTTCAAGTCGTCCTTGGGTGCCTTGAGCACCTTGACCTTGCGCACGTAGACGTCCTTGAGGGGGAAGATGCCCTGGGTGGCCTTCTCCACCTCGCGGCCGATCACCTCGGGGATGAGCTTGGCGACAAACTCGCGCAGATCGCACGAGTTGGCCTCACGCTGCACAATCTCGAACATCTTCTGACGGATGGCGCGGATGTGCGACGACTTGGCGTACGTGTTCTTCTTGACCTGGTTGGCACGCTTCTTGGTGAAGGCAATGACAAAGACACGGAGGAGGTAGCCGTCGGTGGTCTTGACATCCTGGTGCGCCTCAATGAGCGACTGCCACTTGCGCACGAGCGAGCGCAGCTTGTCCGAGGTGAAGTCCATGCCGTAGAAGTTGGTGAGGCAGGTGCGGCCCTGGATGCCGTCGACCTTCAGCTTGAACTTGCGGTACGCCTGCTCGTCGTCCTTGTTGAGGTCAGCGAGCGAAGCCTCGACGATGCGGCCCTTGAGCGAGTCATCGGCGTTCTTGAGACCCTGCGATCGGTTGACAAAGGTCTTGCCAACGTTGCGGTTCTCGAAGAAGGTGGGTGCCTTGATGTCGTACCAGTCCTTGCGGGTGAAGGGGTCGACAGCCCTCTTCTTGTTACCCTTGCCCTTGGAGAGCTTCTTGTTCTTTCCGACAGCTGTGGTGAGCGGAGGAAGTGGGGGAAAAAGTCAGTCAAAGCGTTCGAAGATGGGTAGGACGAACAGCGCAGCAGTAGAAACGCGAGCGCGATGGTGTTGCAATGCCAGTCCAAATCGCATCCGTGCCGACAACAGTGACGGGTCGGAATGAAGTTGTGATGATCAAAGTCGTATTGTCGATGTGCGCGTGGCAGTCGAAAGGACGACAAAGCTGGGGCTTGTCGTCGTGGTTGCGCGCCCATGTTGGGCGAGGGAAGTGTTCGGTATGGTTTCCGTCGCTAGTGTCATGACAAGCCGCTTTCGTCGAACGGTCCTGTCTCTACCGACTTTGCGACGTTGTGGCAGGGGTGTCCAGCGACAGCTCGCAAAGATTGTTCCATAGTCAAAGAGCAGCGACAAGGAGACGCCGCCGTGTCTAGTCTATGTCCCGAACGCTGTCTGTTCGAGCTTTGATGCTTGTGGCCCAGACCTGATCATGCGGTGGACAGCGCGGTCGCAATGCCAGATCCAACACATCCTCATCTGGGCCCATGCTTGTGCTGATCCTCCTGCACAGGTTCTTCGAGGCATCCTTCTGACCAAGCTGATACGACGTATGTCCCATGTGATACCGAATGCTCCGATCGAAGGCTGTCCGTCTCGTGGTTCACGCCTGCAGCGTCACGCTTGACGAGCTTCTAATGAGGATGACAATGTTGGATCCCATCGTGGTGTGACCATGTTCGACCACCATCGTTGACCTCAAATCTGGCTTCGTTGGGCGGTCTGAGCTGCTGAGGCGCGCGTCGGTGATGCTGTTGTGTCGATGTGATGCTGTCGGCGTGTCGAGGATGCGATAGGATGGGCAATTGCTGCTTATGATGACCACTTACCCATGATGAATCGATATGTCTTGAGGAAGGATGGAGCAGAGGAGGAACGGACGATGTCAAGCTGGAATCTCGTTGTCCACCGATTCGACTGGCCTGCGACTTGGCTGTGGTTGCTTGGTTCAGGGCCGCTGCCTGAGAGTGTTCGACGGAAGCCCGCTCTCGAAGCCCAACTGCTAGCCCGACTCGCAGCTGGTCGTGAAGCCTCTCGGCTTTGAAACTGACCCTTCCATGTTGTCGCAGTCTGCTGCTGCAAATTTTATTGAGAAAAGCTCGGCCGAGCTACACGTGCAGCCAACTGGGCCAGTGGTTGAAATTCTGAAGCCAGGCTTGATTGAATTTATATTAAAAAGATATATCATGAATACAACGTCTGTAGGCGTTGAGTCCACGAGCCTTGACTGCCTTCTGCAACCCTGGAGAAATTGCAAGACAGAACGGGCTCCAGCAGGCAGCAGCTGGCGTCGACGGCTCTGCGTCCCAGCAGGCAAGTCGAGTCCAGGCAAGTAGCTGTCTGGAGAGTCGGGTTGACTGATGAGCAGGCCCAAAGTGAGAGGTGAGGCTGCGAAGACTGTCGGTGAGAGCTGGGCCCGACATCGTTGAGCGAGCTGGTGGACACTTCGATCTTGGACCTTCTCGCTGCTACGATACTTTCCCCCACCAGTCATCACCCGGTGTATTCATCCTCAAGGTAAGTGCTGCATCGCCAAAGCATCATCACTATCGTCATCGCAGTCAACAACCATAGCAGTGTCGCAGACACAGCCATCTTCGTCACCAAAGGAAAGGCAGTCCGCAGCATCACCATATTACCACTCCAGCCAAACGCACAAAGGTACCTACCATGCATATCACATCAGCAAAGATACAGGTATGACCAGCAGCAGTGCACTGTCGACTCTATGGAACATGTCGACTCTATGGAATCATGAAGAGCAGCAGAGAAGGAAGCGGGATCGATCATATCGGGATGGAGCAGGCAAGTCAGGCAGGCAAAGACTCGGTCGGAAGATCCAAGCGATAGCAGCAGCATCACGGCAGCAGGGATCGCGATGGCTCTCCGTCCAGATAGAGCGTCGCTCGAGCCGTCCAGCGTCGACGTCTGGGTGCAGTCTCGCTGCCATGACGGCCGGAGAAGTGACTTCGATGATGAAGCCACTCGGCAGCCTACGACACACTTGGCTCATCACATCGGATGCGCCGACAGAAGGAATCCACGCGCTACACCATTTGACGTGGACAGACGCAGCAGAAGGATCATGGACGAGGATAGGCATCCGTGGTGTGGATCGAGGATAACTCTGGCAAGCAAGCAGATCTGACGCCGTTCGACCATCACCATCAGCGTCACTATCCTCTCAGCAGACCGACTTCAGGCATTCTTGCGCGACCATCTATGCGTTCCCTTCGGCGATGACAAACGACGATGGCGATGATGTCGGTCCTTGCCGTTACCCTCATTATTGATAGATCGGCTGACCCGCTCACTCTTGTTGATCGCCGACACAGACTTCGTCTCCATATAGTCCATCATGGCTTCCGTCCAGCAGAAGATCTTCCGCACGGCCAACGCGCCCACCGGCCCCGCCGACGAGGTCGAGACCACTGTTGCTCAGGCTCTCATCGACCTTGAGTCCAACGTCTCTGAGCTCAAGGCTGAGCTCCGACCTCTGCAGATCTCCTGCGCCAAGGAGATCGAGGTCAAGGGCGGCAAGAAGGCCATCGTCATCTTTGTGCCCATGCCCCAGCTCAAGGCTTTCCACAAGATCCAGCAGCGGTAAGCATCTTCTTTCGACATTGCATCAGCAGCAGCAACAGGGCAGCACACGGCAACGAAATTATACAGTTCAGCATCGAGAGTTGTCAGTCGGGACAGCCTAAGGAATGCAGTCACGGCCGACGGAAGCGCAATCAGCTGTTCCGCAGTCACCACAGGCTGGCACGGGTACGGAAGTGTTCCGACGAATGCCAAGGAGGGATCTCACGACGAGCGAGCAGCGCATGCGGTTGCGTCCGATACCTGTGGTCCAAGGTAGCGGTGGATGACACGACAGATGGATCGCCGCAATTCTGCTGCTGCTGCTTTTGCTGCTGTCATGCGTCTCGATTTGCCCCCAACCAGCATACTGATCTCTTCGCTCCTCGCTCCCTTTTGGTACCTACAGTCTCACCCGTGAGCTCGAGAAGAAGTTCTCGGACCGCCACGTTGTCTTTGTCGGCCAGCGCCGCATCCTCGGCAAGCCCAGCCGAAAGAACCGTAACCAGCAGCCCCGTCCTCACTCGCGCACGCTCACCGCCGTGCACGAGTCGATCCTGGAGGACCTCGTCTACCCCTCGGAGATCACTGGCAAGCGCACCCGTGTTGCCACTGACGGCAGCCGTCTGATCAAGTGCTTCCTCGACTCGAAGGACGCCACCTCGCTCGAGTACAAGCTGGACAGCTTCTCGTCGGTGTACAAGAAGCTCACTGGCCGTGACGTCAGCTTCATGTTCTCCTCGGACAACTAAGTGGATCGTGCTTGCACCTTCTTTATCCGATCGATCATCACCACCACCTCGCATACATCTCATCATCCCATCATCCACCACCAAAATGTTCCCGGAGCGTTTCGATCCAAGAATCGAGCCTATGTGGTCCCGCCATGTTTCCAGTCAAGTGATCGCTTGCTTGATTGGCTTGGCTGTTTGCTGCATTCTTGTCGACCGAGGCAGGATGCAGCCCTCTTCCCCCTTATACGTCCATTCGTGACGTTGTGTAATTGTTGTTCTCCATTCCCATCATCTTGCACACAAGCGACGAAAAATCAAAACCTGCTTCTCTAGAAACGTGTGCTTGTGTCAGAGGTGTGGTTCAAGTGATCCTGTGATGAGCGAGCGAGCGAGCGAGCGAGCTTGAGCGCCAAACGGAAGGCTTGATCCGAATGATGAGGCTGGTCAGAAAACAAAAGATCGGCACATTGCCGATGGGCTGCCGTGACAGGCTATGTGACAGGCTGTTGAGATTCGCTGCTCCTCGTGTCTGCACGCCTGCAAGCCAAAACAAACAAGAAATTGGGCGCTATTTTTATGCAACAATAAAATAAATAAAAAATGAGATCGCAGACTCCAGGCCTGAGCTTAGCCTGCTGCCGCGTTCTATGAGCCAGAACTCAAAAAGAAAAACCAAAATTGCATTTGGACAGGGAGAGACAGAAAGCGAGCCAAAGTTGCATGACAGCTCGCTCGCTCGCTCGCTCCGTTGCGGACCCTCTTGTGCCTCGCTCCGTCGCTTCCTTTGTCGACGACGTCTTGCTTTGTTCTTCTTCAAAGTCACACGCACGCCAGCTCAACTCTCCCACGGTCCTTTCCGACGGCTTGCTCCTGCAGTGACACATACACGCACGCAAGCACAACCTCGCTCATGCAGCTCTAGCATCGGAAGCGCCCTTTGAGGCACGGCGTGGTTGTCACATCTCCCCCGAGACTAAAGGTGGCATCGCAGGCGAATCAAGCTGAGCTCAGCTGAGCTCAGCCTCGAGAGGCCATCATGAGCGGAGCACACCCCTTGTGGCCGGATTACGTTCCGCCTCCGCAGCACTCGACAACAATGGCAAGAGCTTCGAGCTCTGGACCCTTGTCTTCCACCACCACATCCGCCTTCAGAACCACAATAAGCCCCTCTTCAGGAACAGAGCAGACACCAGCAGCAACAGTCACAGCAGCCTCCTCGTCACGCATGCCTCTTCCTGCAGCCACGTCTACCACCTCGACATCATCCCCCTCCTCGTCGTCATTCAGACGCATGGTCAACAATCTCCGCTCCACCCCCTCGTCGCCCTCGTCGAGCTCCTTCCATCACGCATCCTCGTCCAGCTCGTCCTCCATCACCGCCAGGAATGCCTCGCTGGACTTGCCCGAGAGACGGTCCATGCGCAAGAGCTTGGACCGATCTCGCCTGCAAGCGACTGCATCTGCTGCAGCCTTTCTAGGCTTTCCCTCTTCCACTCAAAATGCTCCCATTCCTACATCATCAACCTCTTCGCTGGCATACAATCTTACATCTCGCGACTTGGAGCCTACGCATGCACATTCACCCAGCAACGACCTGATCCCCTCCCTTCGGCAGCACACATTGCATGATACCCCGTCCCGTGTCCAGGAACCGCTGCCAACCTCCTCTTTCCCCTCCTCCTCTTCGTCCTTCCGCATATCTAGCCGCAAATCACCATCTCATTCCACCGCCGCCCCATCAGCGACCACCTTCGCCCCCACCTCTTCCTCCTCCTCTTCCTCCTCATCCTTCCTCCAGCGTCACAAATCTTCTGCCTCCGTATCCACCGATACATTCTCCTTTGATGCGGCGTCCTCCACCCTACTCACATACTCTTCGTCGTCCAACATGAGGTCAAGCACAGCTTCGTTGGCCCCAGTCGCTCTCACCCCCGCATTCTCCACGCATCGTAATCCGGGTCTCTCGAGGCTGCGATCAGGCTCCGTATCAAGCTATGCTGCTTCTCGTAAAAGCATTGCCGGCGACGCCCAAGTCTCGATTGGCGTTCACATCTGGTGGCCATCCACCATAAAGACTTCCTCCTCCACCTTGGCACGAGCGCCTCTCTTTCGCGATGCCGCTAACGTCAAACAGAAGCTCTCCAAGCGTCCTGGATCTTCCCAGTCTCGGGCAGCAGAGCCCGCCCACGATGCCATGTTTGGCTTCCGAAATCACGGCCCATCCTGGCTCAGAGAGAAACCAAGCAAGGGTCGTCTCAACGCGCCCACCGCCTCCATCGGCCCGCAAGGCCAGTGGAAGCGCGCCACTCTCCTCTTCCGCGACGCTGGCAGCCTCTCGATCCTCGATGAAACCAACGCGCTCTCCCACTCGCTCGACTGTGGCGCTCTCTACGTCTCCGACGTCCGATTCGTCCACGACTCGCTCTTTGCTAGGCCCTATGTGCTCATGATCCAGCCAAGGCAGTCGCGGGCCAGGACCGAGGTCTCGATCACCACCCGCAAGCAGGAAGCCGCCTTGCTCCAAGAGCGTGCTCGCAGCTCGGAGCCCATCTTTATCGAATGCAAAAGCGAACAGGAAGCTCACTACGTCAGAACGCTGCTTCATATCTACGTCAAGCCCGAAATCTTTGGCTCGCCGGCCACCGTCGATACCGGCGGCTCGCATCGCTTCTTCCGACAGCTCGACATCACCATCTCGGACGCCCAAAGCATCATGCCCAAGTGGCCCGCAGACCTGGCCGACTCGGCTTCCGACTCGTCCGCGACGCCGTCCATGTCGCCGCGACCACCCGCGCCCATGCCTCCACCGCTTCCTGCTTCGCCTACAAGCGCCACGGTGCTCGAACTTCCTCGCTCCCTCTCTCACCAGCTCGCTTCCTTGCGCTCCGAGGACCAGGAGGACTCCCCGGGGTCCGAGCCACTCACCGACGACACTCTCTCCGGATCCTCGCGCGCAGGCTCGCGTCCTAGCTCGCGTCAACGCCACCACAACGCCTCCACCAGCAGCTTGCGTGCCTCACGAGATCCCGAGAAGCAAAGTCGGAGTCCAGCTGCTTCGCGACCCACGTCCCGCTACGACGCCTCGTTCCAAAAGGGCATCGATGCGGCGAGCTCGAGCAGCGTGCACATCTCGGGGCCGCTCAGCGGCGACTCGGGCGCCAGCCGCTTCGATCGCAACCCTGCCCCTTCGCTCGACGAAACCGCTCCCAGCCTCCAAACCAGCGTGGCGGGCGGCTCGGGTCGAGGCGCAACGTCGCGAGCAGCAGCAGCATTGCGGCGGGAAGACAAGGATCGCTTTGAAAAGACCCGATTCGAAAGGTACTGCCGCATCCGGCTCGACGGCGACCTGGTTGCACGAACTAGTCTGGCTCACTCCAGCGGCAATGCGTTCGCTGTCGACAAATTTCAGCTCAAGGACGTGGGCGATGTCAAGTCTCTTTTCATCGAGGTGCTGCATCCGACCTTGAGGACGAGCAGCGCCTTGTCTGGCACGCCGGCCCATTCCAGCACCAAATTCATGATGCTCGGCATCGTCGAGATCCCTATCGAGACCTTGCGCAGGAATGAAGAGATCGAAGGTCGTTTCCCGATCTGGTCCATCTCGACTTTCTCCCATTACACCGCAGCAAATGAGGACGATGGCAAAACGCCCACCGGCTTTCATCGCGGCGTTGTGGGCGAGCTCAGCTTGTCCATTCATCTCCACGAGGGCGCCATCCTGCCTCTCACCATGTACGAGGAGGTCTACAACAGGCTCCATGACGAGGATGCGCATCAGATGCTGCGCCACCTTTTCACGTTGATCAGCGACGACGTCGTTGTCTCGCACGTCGTCCGAATCTGCGCCGCCTCCGGCACGATTACTTCGCGCATTTCGACGCTCATCGAGGAAGAGAGCGTCAATTGGGGCGAAAAGATGGAGCCCGAGCTGCTCTTTCGCGCCAACACCTCGCTCTCTCGGTCTGTCGATCATTTCCAGCGCCTTCTCGCCCTCTCGTGGCTGGAAGCTTGCCTGGGCCCCACTGTGCGCAAGATTTGCAACGACGCGCAGCCTCGCTCGGATGCGGCCGCATCGAGCAGCAGTAGCAGTACCACCGCTGGCCCGACAGCAGGCGGCGGAGGAGGAGGCGGCAGCGACGACGGCCCCTTCGATTTCAGTACGTCGATCCGTGCCGCTCCGACGCTGCCGGCCAATGCGATCGATGCGATCCCCGATGGTCCGATGACCGCCAATTCTCTCCGCAAGCTGAGCGAGACCATGTGGCAGAACATCTACAGCCAGCGACACAGCTGTCCCGCAGATCTGCGGACGGTCCTCCACCGCATTCGTCGCAAGGTCAACGAATGCTATCGAGATGCCAAGTCGACGCGACCGGGCATTCAAGGTGTGGGTGCTTTCGTGTTCTTGCGCCTCTTTTGTGCCGCCCTCAATGCACCTCAGCTGTATGGCCTCACGCCTTCGCAGCCAGGCCGAGACGCGCAGCGCAAGCTGCTGCTGCTCAGCAAAGTCTTGCTTGCTCTCGCCTCCAAGAAGAACGCGTTCGACAGGGAGAAGGATTGGGAATTGATCCCGCTCAACGACTTCCTCCGCACGTATTCGTCGGCGTACGATGACTACATCAGCGTGGTCTCCACCGAGCCACCCACCCAAACGGCTGTCCAGCTGCTGGGCATGCGCATCGAAGGGGATTCCGACCTGCAGGCGGCAGCGCAGCGCAAGCTTGGCTCGCTGTGTACACTGCATCGCGAAGCCATTCCTCGCGCCCCATACATGCTCGATCAGCCGCAGGCGCTGGCGTCCTTTGTCGCTCTCGTCGCTGATGCCGTCGAGGAACGCGAGCTGGCAGGCGTCACACAGCAGCCGATCAGCACGATCGACGCTTCGAGCACGGTTGACAGCAGGGATGGCAGCGCGCAAACCGAGGCGGCGAAGATCAAACAAAAGGCGGACGAGTTTATTGCCATCTGCTGCCGCATCGAGGAAGCGGCGGGTATGTGCATCGAGCTGGCCGGCTACGATCCGCGTCCGATCCCGTTCGAACGTTTGCAGCGATCCGCTCTGTCGAGTCTGCCGCGCTATGGTCGAGGGCCTGACGACGCCACCCTGGGTCCGTCGCCGAGTCGGATCGCACAAGGCGATGCAGCGGTGCCTCTGTCTCCGAGGGACGCCTCGCTCGGATCTTCTCCAGCTCGATCGCGAAGCCGCAGAGCTACCGTCGGCGCTGCGCTCGCGCTTCCCAAGCTGGCCGCAACAAAAGAGTTTCATCCCGATGGCTCCTCGGAACAACCCGTTCCGGTACCGGTCTCGCCTAGGGAAGCTCGAGAGGATCGCAGGAAGAGCGTTGGCACTCCCCGATCCAATCAGCACAGAGTTTCGCAGGTCGTCACCGACTCGCCCGAATATCGCGTTACCGCTGGTGCTGACCCGCTGGCGAGAAGAGAGAGCGAGGCGAACAAGAAGAGTAACGTGCAGCACGTCACTGCACAGTCTCTCGGCACGTCGGGTACATTTGATGTCGCCACCCCCTCTTCCTACCGCACCCGCTCTTCGAGGCTGATAGAAGACGAGGATGACCATGGCAGCGACGTCGAGCTGCGAGAAGCGTATCGCAAGCTGCGAGCCGAGGAAGAGGCTGGCGTCTCTACATCGCAGCGTGTCGCCGCACCGGGTCTACCGGCCATCTCGACGACGGAGGGGCCACTTCCTCGGTCGGCCGCCGCAGGCAACGGTAAAGCACAGCCATCCAGAACGCCCGAAGCACTGGATGCGCTGATGGAAGCCGAGGACGGGTCAACCTTCGAACCCGTCTACGCGCCACGAACGCTGCCGAGGACGGTAGGCTCTCGCGCCTCGTTCTCGGGCAAGCTCATACCGGTTCGGCGGCCAGCACTCGACCGACCAAGCGCACCAGAGCCAAACAGACGCCATTCGTCCGAAGAACCAGAGGCACCACGCAACTTTTCGCTGCCGCGACCCTCGGCCGACCGAAACAGCGCTGCGATTCGGGAGCGCGAGGAAAGCTCGGACGGGTTCGAGATGGCCATTGAAGATGCGTATGCTCAGACGAGGGCAACTCTGCCCCCTTCTGCATCGATGCCGGTCAACATGACCGGGCTAGCTCCAGTCGGAGATGGAAGGTACGGGAAGGAGTTCGGAAGTGGTACGGATGGAGCGGGGAAGAAGAAGAAGTGGTGGAAGCCATGAGCTTATATAGTACTAGGTATCGATAATCGTAATCGCTGCTGTGATCGCATGCACTTTCTTTCTAGACCTCTTCATCGTGTGCTTGCTTCCAGATCGTGTGACAGACGTCGACAGTGAGCCTCAGAGCCATCGACGATGATCAAAGAGGGTCGTGAGTAAAAAAGACAAGCAAAAATGTCAAAAAAAAGAAGAACTGCAGCACCTAGGATTCCCGCGTGGTCCCCCACCGCAGTACTGACTAGGCGATACCTTGCTTAACTTCGCAGATCGGACGGGATGCGGTGCTTTCAAGGTTCTATGGCCGCAGATGTTCGACGAGCTGCACATAACATATATGATGGCATGTGTCGCTTGGTCCTTGCCCTCGGCTGGTTCCGCTTGCGGCTCTTGGCTCATTCCGCATTCCCTTCTGAACGTGTTCTGCTTGTGGTACTTTGCATGCTCTACCGACGGATTGACGTGCTCTGCTCAATGCACTTGGCAGCTGTTTCGTCTAGGAGAATCTGAATTGAATCCCTTGTGTGACGATCCGAATCGTGACTTTGTACACTACATGACCGGGGGGAATCATAGGGGGGGGCGGGGAAAGGAGAGAACGAGGGACGGTGGAATCGTGTCCGAGGCCTCCTATCTAGTGCTGGTACGAGACGACGGGGTAAGTGGGGCTGGACTGGCCGACCTTGATGTCCTTGTCGGAGCCGGCGACGTCGTCGGTGCTGTGTTCGACGTCGTGGTGGGCAGCGGCGGTGAGGTTCATGGTGGTCTCCTTGTCGAGCTTCCTCCAGCTCCAGTAGCCCTGCTGCTTGCAGCCGCGCATGTGCATGTAGAAGCCGTAGGCGGCGACGACGGCGAAGCCCGAGATGGGGACGAAGAACGAGGTCTGGGTGCTCTTGGCATCGGCGACGACGGCCTGGACACTGGGCATCCAAGCACCACCCGAAACACCAGCGGCGACGAGGGCCGAACCGAGCTTCTGGTTGGCACCCAAGTTCGACGTGGCCAGTGTAAAGATGATCGGGTAGCACACCGACTCGAAGAAGAAGATGAGCATCAGGCAGGCGATACCACCAGCACCAGGAACAACGGCAGTCAGAATCGACGTGACGATGCATCCGATACCGCAGATACCCAGCACCAGAGCAGCATCCACCTTGGCGAGAACCGGCACACCCATGAATCGGGCAATCGTGAACACGGCAAGCGTTACCGAGAACAGATCAGCCGCACGAGTAACGGTGATGTTGAGACCCGGCTGCTCGACGTAGTAGTTGATGGTAAGCGAGGCAACGGCGACCTGCGAACCGACGTAGAAGAACTCGGCGATGGCACCAAAGATCAGGTGTGGCTGAGTCCAGATGGAAACGGGCTTGTGCTCGATGGCGGAGGCAACCTCTTGCTTGACCTCAGGAAGCTTGGCGATGAAAAAGAGGAGGTTGATGATGCATCCGAAGGCACTCTGTGTGGTAGGACAAGACAAAAGCCGATAGTGTCAGCGACAGAGCCATCAATAAAGCACATTCGAGAGCTGCTAATAGTCACGAACAATTCCGAGGTAAACCCATTGAAGGTGGTTGAGGGTGTGAGAGTAGCCAGTCTTGAGGAAAGTACGACCAGCGATGATGGGACTGATATGAGGAGGTGGTCAGATGAATAAGATGATGGTGTCGGGTCAGCTTCGGATCTCGGCTTCAGTTTCCGATTCTAATTGGAATTTAAACTTACCCGAGGACACTGGCGACACCGTTCCAGCACTGGGCGAAGACGAGACGGAAAGCGGCGTTCTCAGGAGGACCAAGGACGGTGATGTACGAGTTGGCAGCCATCTCGAGCCAAGCGAGACCAGAAGCGGTGACGAAGGTGCAAGCAAGGAAACCAGGGTACGAGTAGGTCTTCGCACACGGCCAGAACATGATAGCGCCGAGAGAGAAGAGACCGAGACCACCGTGGATGGAGAAGCGGTAACCATAGCGAGCAGCCTATGAGCAAGAAAAGGAGGAGGTGGTGTAATTGATTTTCGTCAGCATAAATTCGCGTCGTCGGCGAACCTCAACTCAAATTTGAGTACTCACGAGAGGACCGCTGATGGGACCGTTGATGAGGTAAGCGCCGAAGTAGCAGGCCTGGAGACCCGTGGATTGAGCCTTGGTGAGGTGGAGCGAGTCCTGGAAGGTCTTGTTGAGCGAGTCGAGGAGACCGTACGAGAGACCCCAGACGAAGAAGAGCGACGAAACGAGAGCGAAGCTGAAGTAGACCTGGCTCTTGCTGAGCGTGTCAGCGGTAACGGCGCGCTGAGCAGCAGCGCCCTCAGGCTTGAAGCGACCCATGATGTGAGAGAGGTGACGAAGTGAGGTGGGGTTGAGGAGGGGTCGGGGTAGGGGAATGATATGTGCAACGTCAGAGAAAAAGTGAATTGAGAGAGCCAGTCTATATATGTACGACACCAGACAGCAGGTATATACGCCCTTTCTCGCGAAGGAACAGGGGCGATGCCATGAGCGATGAGAACGAGGCGAAGGAACAAGCGCTGCGACTCGGCAAGTGCCAACCCCACACTTCCATGCACCTTCTTCCCCACAGATAGTTGACTTGACCGACCGACGTGTCGCTTCGTTCGCGCTTCTTGTTGTCTAGAGAGACGATCGAACTACACTGTTGCCCTCAACAAGGGGTGTCTCATCGACTGCAAGAGCGGCGAACGAAAGCGCTCATGCAGCGGTAGCGTTAGCGGCTTCGCTTGCGACTGAGGCTGACCGCGTGTCAAATTGTGCATGGGCACTTCATCAGTGTCGATATTCCTCTCGCGTGGCAACAAAAACGCGGGGGGACCGACGGAAGGCCGTCGCACGGCAGAATCGCGGCAAAACCACAGCAAGGGTCGCACAAGGCATTCCAGCAATGTGGTTGTTCAGCTGACCGACAGGGTCATCTTGAGATCAAGTTGACCGATAAATGAAGGGCATCTGCAGGGCAGAGGTTCCCGCGATCCATTGTCAAGGTGGGGTAAATTGATGAGCAACCCGTCGCCATTGTGTGCTGTTGCACGCTAGCGACCGGCGAAACTTCACACCGAGCACCGAGAATCAGACTCCGCCGCCTGATCATCCGAGATTGCGACTGTGCTCGCCACCCTTGGCCTTCGGACTTGCATCGCGGTCGAACTTTGTGTCCACCGCAGTTTGTCAGACAGTCACGACGAAAGCACTCAAATGCCCGGGGCGGATGGCGAGGAACGTTGTAAAACTGTTCAAGGCCTGGCCACAGACGGGACCTCCTCTTCATGTCACTATGCGGGAAGGCCAGCACGCATCTGCTGCAGGCGTCGCGAAGTAACCAAAGTCCAATGCAGAAGCGGATCGAGAAGGCAACGGCCAACATGCTGCATCGCATTGATCGTGTCTCGCATCACGTTGGGCGAGACGACGTTGATCTGCTCGACGGAAACCCCACATTCCGGTGTCGCTTTGGGCGCGTCCACGTCGACAGGTGACCCTTTGAGTAGCCAGACGATTGCAGCTGCGCACTGGGTCTTAAAGGCGATACGATGAGGAGTGGTACATTTGGCAATTGACCGCTGCCAAGAGGCCCCTTTTCTCGGATCATGCACGGACTCGCCATTGCCCTCACCGGCAATGCTAGTCACAAAGAGCAAAAGCACCCATTGTCCTCGCCGGTTCATAAATGCGCCGTCGAATCCTCAGTGATTATGCCGAATCATCGACTCATGCAATCGCGCTGCCAGCAGTACCCCGCATTGTCCGGGTCGCCATGAGAGTTGAAATTCCGCTCGGTCAACGGTCGGTTTTGTCTCCGCACGCTCCCCGCAACCCGCAATTTCCTCGCGTAGTCCCTGGCGTTTTCGCCGATGCTAGTCCCTCCAGTCTCTGAGTCTGAGTTGTAACTGATCCTTTGCACTCCACCCTGATAGACTCGGGAAAGGAGAAAACGGAGATGAGGGCGAGATGAGCCCAGACTGCTGGGCAGCCAATCAAAAGACAAGGATTGATCTAGCCGAGATGACGGGACGGGGTTGGTCGAGAACAATAGCGCGCGGGAGTGTAGCTAACGGCCTCGCTGCCCATCTGCATCGACCGACTTCTGGTCGCTGGACGTCGCGCGTTTCGCGTGGTGCAGCTTGTGCACGATCACAATGCCACATGGGCGCGCACTCGCTACCTCGGCGGTGAAACAGAGACATATGTGCACGCTTACCTGTATGAGCAGTATCACCTGTGCAGCGGTGAAAGGGGCACATCGAGACACTACCCACAACATTGCAGGTGACAAGAACCGCATTTCGATATCCAAGTACAGCAGGAGTCCGGCATGAGCGTGGGAATCTAAGACAAAATCCGACTGGCGATCGTCTTCGGGGACTTATACCACTTCTTGTCCGCCTTGTCCTTGACCGCTTCCTCCGCCTCGTAGTCCTCCATGAGCCGTCTCCCCGAATCCAGGTCCATCTCCTCCAGCTTAACGATCTTGGTTTTGTGCCACAGCTTCCATCCGATATACAGCGCCGCCGCGACAGGAATGACGATGTACGCGACGATGATGTCCGCAGCCTTCCTTGGCGTGAGGAACGTCGTATAGCCCTGGAAGAACATCAAAACGACGTTGAGCACGAACGCGCCCCACGAGCCCCACGGAGCTAGCATGGCTTTGAACGGGAACTCGTCGACGCTCCTCCCCTGTCGCGCCCAGGCCTGGCGGAACCGGATGTGGCAGAGACAGATGATGGCAAAGATGACGAAGGTGCTGACACCAGAGATGTTGATGATGTAGGTGAACACGGTTGATGCGCCCGAGTTGATCGAGAGCAACGACACGAGGGCGATGAGGTTCGACAGCACCAGGGCAGGAATGGGCACTTTGCCCTTGGCAGACGTCCAGCCGAAGATGCGAGGCGCCCGACCGGTCGCACCGAGCGACTGAAGGGTTCGCGAGGCAATGTAGAGCGACGAGTTGCCAGCAGAGATGACGGAGAGAATGATCAAGGCGTTGATGACCGATGCAGCCGCCCCGATACCACCACGACGCAGCGCGATGGTCAGGGGCGAGGCGGCGGCCTTAGAGGTGGCAGAGACGAGCTGGTTGTCGTTCGAGGGGACGTTGAGTCCGATGAAGAAGATGGTGCCGAGGTAGAGGACTGTTGGGAAGGTGAAAGAGGCGAGAGGTAATCAGCAGATGCTCGGATCATGGTTTTCGAGGGTATGCGAACTTACTAAGAATGCGCCAGAAGACCGACTTGATGGCGATAGGAACGGAGCGTCTTGGATTCTTGGCCTCGGCAGCTGTGATTGCCGTTGCTTCCGTACCAGCGTACAGCGTTGCCGACACGACGAGGATCTTGGCGATACCGTTAAGCGCATCAATGCCAGTGCCGTTGAACGGTCCAGGATCTCGGAAGTATCGGAAGCCGAGATAGCCCTGGTCTCCGCTGCCGCCGACATTGATGACGATGCTGAGGATGAAGAAGATGACGATGCCGATGACCTTGATCGTTGCAAGTACGAATTCGACCTCGCCATATGCTAGAACGCCGAGCATAGACAGACCCATGAAGAGCACCCAGAAGATGGCGATCCATGCTCCCGTCGGAACGACCTGCGCTCCGTCCCAGTATCGAATCACGATGGCGACAGCGTTGTACTCGTTGGCGAGCACCGAGATCCACAGCTCCCAGTAGACCCAACCGCAAACGAAACCGAGCGCAGGGTCAACGAAGCGCCCGGCGTACTCGACGAAGGAGCCGCGGATGGCAAACAGCGTCGCCATCTCACCGAGAGCTTGCAGGACAAAGAAGACGATCAGACCCGTGATGGCAAAAGCGATGAGGGCTCCCACAGGTCCTGCGCTGGCGAGAGCTTGGCCGGAACCGACGAGAAGACCGGGTCCGATGATACCGCCAATGGCAATCATAGTCATGTGTCGCGTTTTGAGAGCTCGTCGAAGCTGCTCCGGCTCCTCTTCAGCCGTCGTGTTTGAGCGTGTCTTTTCCACATCTTCGTGCTCGGGCGAGGTCGGCTGCGATGTCATCTCTTTGAACGCAGAGCTTTGATGTGTGTGGGTGGCGTTGGTCGCAATGTGGTCGCCGCCACTGCCGCCGCCAGTGTAGGGAGCGGACATGACTGCACGTCGAGCGTCACTTCGACACCACGTGCTGAAAAGGTAGTTCGCTAACGCTCGCAGCTTGTTCTCAGGAGGCAGGATCCGCGAGTTGGTGGTTCGAGAAGATATGATGTTGACATTGCGCAGGGTCTAAGTTGATCGCCATTGTGGCTGCCTGTCACGAGCTGCAGCGCTGCTTCTTCCGGTATGACAATCGGGCTTTGAAAACTGTCAACGTTAGCCGCCTGCCAAGCACGCCATGCGCGTCAAGATTTGCCGATCCAACTTCTGGCGATCTCCCGATCTGTCAAACAACCGAGATCGGAGCGGACGCCCTATCTCTCGGCTTTCCGCGGTTAAACGTTGAGCGCAACCTCGTGCTCGCCACGAGTCACGAAGAACTTTGATCGTGCTTCATAACGATATAAGCAGATCTGGTTCTGTGCGACATCTGTCCGACCACCACGCACTCCGCAGAGACAGACATCAACAACATGAGCATGCCGCGATCCGTTTCTGAGCTGCGCCGCGGCGCGCTGTCGTCCCGCAAGCTCACGCACATCCTCACACCGCCGACGCTCCCCGCAACGACGCGAATCGTCCTCTCGCTCATCTCGATCTGCGGCGTCACCATCCTCACCAGTTTCCTCGGCGGTGGACTCACCATTGCACTGCCTTCGATGGCCAAGAGCGTCAACCTTTCGCAGGAGCTGCTGTCGTGGCCGCTATCAATGTTCTCCCTTGTCAGCGGTGCATTGCTGCTGGTGATGGGTTCGATGGCGGATGCCTTCGGGAGAAGGCCGGTCTTTTTGGTCGGCATCTTGGTTTTCGCCGGCATGTCGATCGCCACTTCGGCGATGCAAACGGGCGAAGGGCTGATTGGGTGCTGTGCGGGACTGGGCTTGGCCGCTGCGATGCTGATCCCGTCCGGGGTGGGTATACTGGGCAGCTCAATCCCCGAAGGACCGATCAAAAATCGAAGCTTTGCGGCTATCGGTGCTGCTCAACCGATCGGTTTCATTCTCGGTCTGATCCTGGGTGGACTGTTGGCAGAGAGATGGAGGGTCATCTTTTGGGTTCTGGCCGCTTGCGCTGCCGCTTTCGGCATTTGCGCCTTCCTATCCCTACCGAACGAGGGGGAGGAGCTCATCCGATCGTCCAACCAGTCAAGCGATAACTTGACGGCAAATGCAGCTCCGCTAGCAATGGAGGGGCGTCCATCAACAACGTCGTCTCCTCAAGATGCGAAACGGACCGCCTCGTCGAGCCGCACGGATCTGGGAGCGTCGACACCCTCCTCGACCACCCGGGGGGCACCCCTCGCCACCGAGACTCACGCCGACATGAGCCGCTCACTGCGTCTCAAGACATTCGATTGGGTCGGCGCGTTCCTCTCCACCGGTGGTCTCGTGATGCTCACCTTTGCACTTGCCGACGCGGAGACTGCACCGCACGGCTGGAAGACTTCCTACGTCTTGGCCCTCCTCCCCACATCCATTGCACTCCTCGTGGCGTTCTCATTCTGGGAGCGTTTCCTCGAGCGAAAGCAGCGCACGTACGAGCTGGGCTCCTCGAGCGCAGCTACCCTTCATCCCACCCGCAATGCTACGTTCTTCAAGGCTCCACCGACAACGCCTTTGTTGCCACCATCGATCTGGGGCGCGCCACGTTTCGCTGCTACGCTATTGGTCATCTTCCTCGCGTGGCTCAGCTTCAACGTCATGTCGTACCTCTCGACGCTCGTTCTCCAAGAGGTGCAGCGGGTTTCGCCTACCAGAACCTCCCTCTACTTCCTGCCCATGGTGGCGATGGGGCTGGCGCTCAACATCTTTGCCGGGTATGTGGTTGGGCGAATCAAGGCGCATTACCTCATCATCGGTGGCGCAACGGCAGGTGCCGTCGCGTGCGTCATCATGAGTGTCGCCGTACAACCTACCACCGCTTACTACAAGGCTATGCTGTGGGTACTCATCCTTCAGGTTGGCCCAGACGTGTTCTTCCCTTGTGGCAGTTTGTATGCTTCCAAGAGCGTCGGGAGGCAGCATCAAGCGTTGGCAGGGTCGCTGTTCAACACGACGATTCGGTTGGCGACTTCGTTGGGGTTGGCGATCAGTTCGTCGATTTCCACATCCGTCACCAAGGCTGCGGTGGCCAAAAGTGGTGCGCGCCTCGTCACGCGAGGTCTCATGATGCACCCGTCGATACTCCTCGCCCAACCATTCGTTCAACGAGCCGCAGCGGGAGCAGCTAGCGGAAGCGAGGCAAAACCGGTCGAAGCACTGCTGAAGGGCTACCAAGCCGCCTCGTGGTTCTGCTTTGCTGCTTCAGTTATGTCCATTGTCGTCGCTCTGGCGAGACTCCGGTCGATTGGAATCGTCGGCGGCATGGAGGGCAAGGTCGAGGACAGCACTCGACCCAACTCGCCAGCGAGGGATCAGCAGGCGTACGAGCTCGAAACCATCGTTGCGGCGGGCGACCGCAAGACGGTCACCCCGCTTGGTAGACGCTAATAAACTTCGCAGTAGGCCTCACACTTGTTTCCCATCTCTTCTGCAATGCAGTTCAGTCACGAACAAAGGTTGTTATGAGCTTTACTGTTGAAATGAGCAGGATGGCAAGGCAATGTGCTCACAATTGCGAATCCGGTTAGAATCTATGTAACATATAAAGGATCAGATATACATCTGCGGCCATAGAACCTTGAAAGCACCGCATCCCGTCCGATCTGCGAAGTTAAGCAAGGTATCGCCTAGTCAGTACTGCGGTGGGGGACCACGCGGGAATCCTAGGTGCTGCAGTTCTTCTTTTTTTTCTTTTTTGACATTTTTGCTCTCTCTCTCAACACATGCAACACGATACTGTTTCGGTGTGCCACAATCTATTCCGCAAAGTGTGTCCAGGCTTGTTGCGCAAGCAAAGCCGTCTTGTCACCGAGCAGCTCGTCCTCAAAGCCAAGCGTGGTAAGGATGTTGCGGGCTGTGATGTCGGCCATCATGCTTCTTGTTTCTACGACGGACGAGGCGGCGTGAGGCAGGATGAGGACGCGATCGCGTAGATCTGCCGCGAGGAGAGGATGGTCTGTGTTGATGTGAGGCTCGCCCTGTATCACATCGAGCAGAGCCGCAGAGATTTGGTTGGAGCGAAGTGCATGTTCGAGGTCTTCGTTGACCAGCACTGTTCCCCGCGCGACGTTGAGCACGACCGACGTCGGCTTCATCTTGTCAAAGACGCCGGCGTTGATGGTGTTGCTCGTCGATGCGTTGCCAGGGCAGAGGATGATCAGAATATCGGCTTGGGATGCCATTGTGTGCAGGTCGGTCTCGTTGGCAATCTGTGTGCCGGGATAGAAGGCTTCCCGTAGCGCGTGCAGCCGCGGGAAGCGATCGGATGTGAAGGCCTTGACGCTTGATGTGGTGTAGAGTATCTTGCTGACTCCGAACACCAGCAGCTTCTCGGCGGTCTTCTGAGCGATACGCCCAAAGCCATAGAAGCCGACCACCTTGCCGCTGGGCGAGAAGCCGCAGTTGAGTGTGGGATTCCGTAACACGTCCTTTTGTGCGTCCAGAAAGCCTCCCGCCGTGGCCTTATCGTGCAACGCCTCTAACCGCCTGCAGTAGTGCAAAAGCATAGCGATGGTGTACTCTGCAATCGAGTCGTCGCCGATGTATGGCGTGTAGCCCACTTTGACCCCCGCTGCACGGCAAGCGTTCCTGTCTATCGCCTCTGTGCCTACCGAGCACGTCGATACGATCTTGAGTTTGTCCCCGTCAGCGTTGGCTGCTGCGATGTGGTTCCCCCCGAACATGCCCACGTACGGCCATGTGATGACTGCATCTGCTCCAGTCAGTTCGCTCAAGAGCCATTCGTTCACTCCAGAGAAGGGCAGCCCGGATGGAGCACTGACGAGCTTGATGCGTCCTTCATTTGCGAACCTTTGCAGGAGCTGGGACGGAAAGTCCTCGAAGACGGAGACGATCCTGGGCACCGAGCCAGCCGTCGTAGGTTGGCCTCCGTTTGGCAAGATATCGTTCGCCATCATGCTGTCTGAGTGTGTGGCTGGAGGGTGAGAAGAAGATGCGGAAGTCTGCGCAACACGAAAGGAGAGTGCGCAACATGAAAGATCTTCCCCACGCTCATCTGTGCTTGTTCCAGGCCCGCGGATTTCCGGTTCGAACAAAGCTTCGGTGTTACGTTTCTTCTCGCTGACATTGCATTCTTGCTGGTGCTGGATGTTAGGCCCTACCGGTGGCCTTTCGACACTATCGGCGCTGCCGATGGAAGCATCTCTTCTCCACGGATGAGCCTGCGCCATAAAGGGGAAACGGGAAAACGGCAGCTCGAGGGCGTAAGTTAGGAGCGGACTGTCAAAAACGAGGTACGCGTCTCAGCCGTTTGAAGTCGCGTCCCGCTTTCAAGGCAGAAGAGCGCAACAGCTTTCTATCAAATTTCAACGGCCGCTCACTGCGCCCGCCCTACGCGAAACAGATGCCGTGTCCAGACTCACGGTTCCTTATTCTCCCAGCTGAGCGCTCGCCCTGTTCCGGCGTCGTGAGGACGAGGGTTAGCGTCGGCCCCTTCCGTCAAGAACACCTGCCAAGAGACAAGGTCGGTCTGCACAAAGGGAAGGGACAAAAAGGCAGATCCCACGCTTGGACCGCTGCGCAGCTGCGCACACGGACTCGCGCCGAGAGGGTGGGAAAATGGCAAAGGAAGCGCAGAATTCTGCGCCAAGCGCTTCGACTGACCGAGCCCGGTGCGCTGTCCGATGGGCGAACCGTTTTGCGCTGGTGCCACTCGGTCATCCCGCTTCGGAAGCACCGCCGTGGCTTGCATTCGAGCGTTTCCAGACCTTGTCAAGCTCACGAAGATCGGATCGACCGAGGCTCGATGAGCTAGAAGCTTCTGCTGGCTCACAGCTGAGTGTTGACGTCTCAGTTCGAATCCGGTTTGCTTGCTGGAGTCGAAATGAAGGGTCTTCTGCAGTCTCGCTTGGGCTGCCAGCAAGTGGGGTGAGCGTGTCTCATTTGGCTGTCAATCCGCCCTTCGCTTCGAGCCCCACGCGGCGCACAAATGGAACGGCAGTGCGCACATGCAGCGAATATGCACCTGTACCGGCGCTTGCATGAGCAGCCGAATTCCAGCCGCGACCCTGCTGCTGGCAGCTCGGAATCGATTCGTACAGCCATTGACTGCCTCGGCGAACTTCTGCGCTTCCCTTTGATCACACTTGGCATGCAGCACCCATACGCTTCTTCCGGTTGTCACGAGGGTGCTTGGCGGAAATTGAATGGGGGTCGTGAGGGAGGGCCTCCTTTTGACGGCAGATGCGAATGCGAGCCAAGCCGGAATCGCGAGTCGGCAGTGCTGCCGGCAAGCTGCACCTTCTCGTCTTGGCCCGCCTGCAAGCCCATCCGGATGAATCGACAGATGACATCTGTGCAGCAGCGCTCTCCATTGGCAGCCATGCATCATCGATTGCTGTCTCTTGGCTGCTGCGTGAGAAGTGCGCTGCTTCGACGCGTCGGCACCATCCGAGACGAGCACAAGCATGTCACGCGATCATGTCCGGAACATCCGGGGAGAACGGGTCAAAGCCTGAGACAATCAGCATTGTCGTGAGGAGCTCCATAGCAGTCGAGGCCGGAAAGCGTGAGGCTGAGCAAAGGAACGCAAGAAGGAGGGGAGGGAGGGACAGCAGCTGTGACGGGGCAGTGCGATGGAGAGTCGGGGCGTTGCGAAAGTGAATCAAAGTGAGCGCGACGGTCGCCTTGCGCTGCCTGACGGTCAAGACCCTTGTGACAGCGGCACACTCGCTTGCCAAGAGACGCCCTTCGGATGGCTCGTCAAGCTTAGCCATTCGCTGTGCGCCGCATTCCCCCCATTTGTATGCTCTCCTCCCCTCATCGGATCGCTTCCCTTCCCTTCCTTCCCTTCCACCTCCATCTCACTCATCCTTCCTTCCTCCGTGTGCATTCTTGCGTTCCCTCAACCCTATTAGACGAGCTGGTTCTCGCTTCTCTCTTCCTTCCTCATCCTCGCATCACTTTATAAAGCCCCTTGCTCCTCGCTCTGTAGCATACCTTCAACATCATCATTCCTTGCGCTTCCGGTTGATCCAAAGCACAATCACCTCCATCTCATCTATCATCCGCATCTGCATCTCGATCAAGCCGGCCTTGTTCTCTCTCATATCCCTTACATCCACCTCAGCATCTCTACATCCACCGCAACTCCATCCACCTCACGGTCAAAATGAAGTACCTCTCTGCTCTCGTTCTGGCCTTTGCCGCTTCGGTCTCGGTCGCCTCGGCCGGCCACGACATGATGGTCGCCATCCCTCCCGGACAGGGTCGCTCCAGCCGTGGTATTCGATCCGTCATCACCGGTCACAAGATCCGCTCCCACGGTCACCATACGCGCAGGCAGGCGCACCACGACGACGAGCTCCTTGACCGTCGCTTCAGCAATGCCACCCTCAACGCTGACGAGCAGGAGGTTGCCGCCATCGCCGCCTCGCACAAGAAGAAGCGTGGCACTTGCACCCCCAGGTCCACCAAGAACGCCGCCGCCAACTACAAGGCCGGTGCCAGCTCCGGCTCGTCCTCCGCTTCGAGCTCCAGCTCTGCCTCGCAGGCGTCTGCTTCAGGTTCTTCGGGCTCCAACTCCAACTCCAACACCGGCACAGTCAAGGCCACTTCGCAGGGCTCTTCGTCTGGTTCCTCTTCATCCTCGAATGGTCCGTCTACATCGCAGTGGAAGCTCGTCAAGTCCTACTCGGGCTCGACTTTCTTCGACGACATGGACTTCTTCACCATGGGCGACCCCACCCACGGCTCCATCACCTACGTCGACCGTAACACTGCCCAGAACCAGGGTCTCATCGGCACCAACAACGGCCAGGTCACCATGAAGATCAACCCCGGCAACGGCTGGGCCCAGTCGGTGCGCATCAACACCAAGGACTCGTTCACCACTGGCATCTTTGTTCTCGATGCCGAGCACATGCCCGTCGGCTGCGGTATCTGGCCCGCCTGGTGGTCGACCCCGACCAACCCTGCCGGCGGCTGGCCCAACGGAGGCGAGATCGACATCATCGAAGGCGTCAACGACTACTCGTACAACACCTACTCTGTTCACACCACGGGCGGCTGCAACGTGCCTCAGAACCCCAACATGAAGGGCAAGTTCACGCTCCAGGACTGGCGCGCGACCAACTGTGCCTCGGACGTCACTGGCAACCAGGGCTGCGGTGTCACCTCGACCACCAACGGCGACTTTGGCGTCAACTACAACAACAACGGCGGCGGTGTCCACGTCATGTACTGGTCCGAGTCGGATGGCATCTCGACCTACTTCTTCCCCAAGGGTTCGGTGCCCAACGACATCAGCACTGGCTCGCCCGACCCGTCCAACTGGGGTCAGCCCCAGGCCCACTGGCCCGCGACCAACTGCAACATCGGCAACTACTTCTACAACCACGTCGTCGTCTTCACCAACACGGTGTGCGGTGACTGGGCCGGTTCCGGCGATGTTTGGTGGAACGCCATGAACGGTCAGTCGCAGTCGTGCGCGGCCAAGACGGGTCAGAGCTCGTGCCAGGCCTACCTCAACAGCAACCCTGACTTCAGCCAGGCGTACTGGACCATCAACTCGCTCAAGATCTACCAGACCTCGCGTCGATCGTAGGCAATCGTTTGGTTAGGGCTCATTGCGAGAAGCCGGTTCTTCTCGCTGTATCATGGGATGTTCATCACGCATTATAGCATACGCACACACCTCTCTCCTCCTTTTCCCCTCCGCTCTTCTTTTGTATCATCGCAGCGCTGTGTCGACATGCAGGCCCATCTTGCTCTGTGAGCGAGGCGGGCGCTCCTGTCCGATCAGCCGCTTGACGCTCTGCCCGGTCGAGGACTGGTTCCTCCGACCGGCGGCGTCCTCATGTCATCACGCAAATATGCAATCCCCTTGAGCATTCGTGCTCACAAACAACACTGCCTTGTCTGAGACTGAGTCCGTGTGACAACGGTAGGGGCATCGATGCGCTGTGAGATGATTGTGCGAGCAGTTCACAACGGCGTCTCTGCTTAGCATGATTGGCGGTGTAAGCTGGACGGGGTTGCTTGACGGTGTGCGTGACACAGAAGACTTGACTGTGTGTGCTTGAGGGGCTCTGCTGATCGCTGTCGGCTGGCTCTGTGGCCTCCGCTTGCGGCTGCGTGGCGATCTTAGCGTGTCCTGCTTGTTGCACTTGGCACGCACAGCCATTCGATTTGGCGGATCCTGCTGAATGCACTTGGCTCGCTCCGCTTGACGATCTTCGCGTGCTCTGCTTGACGCCCAACGCGTGACTGTGTTCGACTGGCCCTGCTCGAAGCCTCTGAGGGGTCCTGCTTCCGCTCTCGACTCACTCGCCTCTGGCAGCTCAGACTCGTCGAGGAGGACCTCAATTGCGCATCCTTGGCCTCGCTTCAGCATCAAGCATGCAATTCCACCACAGCATTGCGGTCCACGCTCACTCTTGGCACTGATCGCTGTGCAGAGCCCCTGATGAACGCGGCTCCCAAGGATACGGCGCAATTCGAAGCCTCATCGACTTCCGACACTCGTAAAAAGTATCACAGTCTCACGCAGCATCACGATGAAAAGGCCAATGCATTGCATCCAGCCCACTCACTTTTCCTCCTTGTCCTCGTCTTTGGCATCCCCAAACTTGATCTGGGAGCCGAAAGTGAATGCGCCCGGTTTGGCTGCTGTGCTAGCCCCCAAGTTGGCAAAGTTGTTGCTGGAGGGGGAAGCGCCAAATGTGAATCCTGGGGAGGCGGCGCCGAAGCCTGAGGACGGATTTGGCTTTGCTGCGCCAAAGGAGAAGCCTGTTGATGGCGTGCTGGTCGATGAAGAGGAGCCGAAGGAGAAGGTCGACTTTGCACCACCCGTTGAGGAGGAGGAGCCGAAGGCGGGCGTCGATACTGGAGCTGCGGGGGCAGGGGTGGGAGCGGGCTTGCTAGCGCCGAAATCGACCGGCTTGCCTCCAAAGGAGAAGCCGCCAGATGAAGGCAGCGAGAGCTTCGGCGCTCCAGGCATGTTCTTTGTCGCCTCCGCTTTGGATTTGTCCTCGTCAGAGGTCGAGCTGACCGGCTTGCCACCGAAGGAGAAGCCGCCGGTGGGGAGCGAGAACGACGGCGGTGCGACGGCTGGTTTGGACGACGAGGCGGTCTTGCTGCCTGTAGCCACAATATCGTCGTCATCATCGTCTTCGGCTTCATCGTCTTCTTCGTCGTCCTCTTCGGCGTCTTCGTCCTCGTCGTACTCGTCACCATCGTCTTCCGGATCCTCTTCCTCGTCGTCGTCGTCCTCATCCTCGTCGCCCTCCTCATCGTCCTGATCGTCATCGTCCTCATCGCCTTCGTCGACCTCAGCATCGTCGTTTGTCTCCGCTGCCGCGGCAGGCTTGCCAAATCCATCGAAAGAGAAGGACGACGTCGCTGGCGCACTTGCGCTTGCTGCTGCCGCCGGTTTGGTCTCTGTTGATGACGAGCTCGACGCACTCACGGGCGAGAAGGAGAAGCCTGAACTCGCCGGTTTGGTCGTCGTTGCGCTTGTCGCACTCGATCCGAAGGAGAACGATGGTGCTGCCGCCGCCCCACCCGCACTTGATCCCGCCGTCGAGGGCGTCGATGCGGGCTTGCCAAAGCTGAAGCTCGGCAGAGCAGCGCTCGCAGCGGTCGCAGACGCTGCCGGCGCCGGTGTCGCACTCGAGGTGCCATTGCTCGCAGGCTTGAACGACGTTGCGCTTGCGCTCAGTGCGGTGCCACTGCTTGCCCCAGTTGGCTTGACGCCATCGCGGTGCTTCCTGTACTGCGTCTGGAAGGACTCGAGCAGTCCGCTGAGGTCGGCGAACGGATCGGCGTCCAGCTGCGCCTTGATCTTCTGCGCCAGTGTTGTTTGGAACGAAAGATTGAGCCCGCGCAGCGTGCGGAGACGCTCTTTCCCTGGCGAAGCGCTCCCATTGGCAGGTGTGCTGCTGGACGAGGAAGCGGAGGTGGGTGGGGTCGAGCTGATGACGCTCGAGACGATGCTCGAGGTCTTCGATGGCGCTGCCGCCGGTGCTGAGGTTGCGGGCGAACCGAACGAGAAGCTCGGTTTTGTGGGTGCTGTTGTCGCCGGCGCAGCTGCTGATGAGCCAAAGTTGAATGTAGGCGCTGTGGTCGTTGAGCTGCTCGCAGGTGTCGAGCTCACCGGTGCAGGGACGGGCGCAGCACCGAACCCGCTGAAGCCACCAAAAGGATTCGCCTTGGCTGGGGCGGGACTTGCACTCGCGGCAGCCGGCGCACCAAAGCTAAATGTGGGCGTCGAGGTCGACGGCGCGCCGCCGCCGAGACTGGAAAAGGGATTGCTGCCACCGGCGGCTGAGGCTCCAAATGGCGACGAGGTGCCGGCTCCCAAGGTGATGGGGCTGGCGGATGCGCCAGGTGTACCGCCGGGCGTGCCTTTGCGTTTGGGCAACCCACGGATCACTCGACCAGCAGCGGGCGTGCTCGGCATCGAACCCTGCGACGGCGAGTCGTCGTCCGAGCCGTCTTCGCCGTCTTCCCTGCGGATCTGCTTTTCTGCTTGGCGCTTCATGGTTGCGCTCGTATGTGGTTGAGAAGGAGAACGGAGTGGTGGAAGAAGATGCAGGATGAAAGGCCGATGGCGCACGGAGACACGAGTTCGCGTAAATTCTTCTCAGCGCACGAGCGTCCAAAATCTCTCGCTCAAAGTACCCGATCCAAGACTCACCCGATCTCATATCAAGCATGCTGATGGCGATGCTCATGATCAGGGAAGTGTCTATTGAACGATCGCCATACATGCTACAGCTCTCGAACCCATCCAGCTTCCCTTACGAGCTTGAGCAAGGGTCTGAGTATCGCAGACCCTTCCAATGTGGCGCTGTGCCCGACCATGATCAACTTCCTCTTGGCTCGCGTCAGCGTCACGTTGAGCCTGCGAAGATCGTTGAGCAGCTCTCCTGTGTTTCCGCCTGCGCTTCCCTTCGCTTCCATGGTGTCCGCCTCCTTCTTTGAGGAAAAGTTGGCCCGAGTGAAGGTGACCAGGATCACGTCTTTGTCTCTGCCCTGACTTTGGTCCGCAGTCAGCAACTCCATGTCCTCCAGCTGATCCGCTTGCGTGGCGTGCTTTCGAGACAAGGAGTACTGAAGGAGAAGCGATCGTAGAAGCTTGATCTGCTGTCTGTACGGTGTCACGACCGCAATCTGACTTGGCTTGCATCCGCCAGCCACCAGCGCGGAGGCAATACGAACGACGAGCTCAGCCTCGAACTGATTCTTGACCAGGTCGCCGTGCTTGCTCTCTCCCACCTCGTCAAGCGGTCGCTTGGACGTATCAAGCAGTCGCACCTTGCTGTTGGGCTGCAGCAGATCCTGCATCCATCTGTCCTCTCTTGCGATGGCCAGAGCAGCTTGCATGTCTGGTAACAGCAGCGTCCGGTCCCGAACGCTCTCGCTGCCAGCCCGCAGCTGCCCGCTGTACACCAATTCGTTCGACAGGCGCATAATGTCATCGTTCATCCTGTACTGCGACCTCAGCGCCACCATCGCCTTGTCGCCATGTCGGTCCGAGAGCAGCTTGAACAGCGACACATCCAGTCCTCCCGCTTTGGCCTCCGCATTCTTGACGAGTGGCGGGAGCTGGTGGTGGTCGCCCACCAGCACAAACTTGTCCGCGAACCGCAATGGGCCCAGGCAGGTCGGCAGAGGGATCTGCGACGCTTCGTCTACGATGCAGTAATCGAACAAGTACTTTGGCGAACCGTCATCATCCGCATCCGTGCGGTTGCGCATCTTCTTGGCGATGCCAGACGAGAAGAAGGTGTGATGCACGCTCAGACATGTCGCTGCTACCACGTTGGGCGACTCGAAAGCGTCTTTGAGTTCCTCGATGGACGCACAGCGAGGAAGAAGGAATCGATGGGCGTCAGGATGCACCTTGTCTTTGGTTCCTAGGCGCAGGATGCGCATGCTTTCGTCCGCTTCTTCCTTTTGATCTTCCCCGAGCTTGCGCAGGATTGTGTCCACCGCCGAATGTGTATAGCTGGTCAATAGGATCCGCTTGCCCAGCCTCACGAGCAGCTCGATGAGCTTGGCGATGGTCGTCGTCTTTCCCGTCCCTGGCATGCCAAGGACGAGGGCGTAGTCTTGCGCAGAGAGCACGTTGTCGATCGCGAGCTTCTGGTCTTGGTTGACGCTGTCATCCGCGTGTACCTGAACGAGGATCTGCTGCAAAGAATCGTGTGTCGAGCTGGTAGTGAAAGCCTCCGGCAGCTGCTCTTTCGAGAGAAAACGCGGAGCTCGCATCTCAACAACCAGCTCGCGTCGCTTGACATCACCACCTCGCTGCGGTGTCAAGAACAGGGCGGCCAGGTTCGCCCGGACTCGGCCCATGCCGCTGCCCAGCTCGTCTTTGTCGATGCGAAACACGATGCGCTCAGTCGCGGACGCCATGTCGAATGGCGCCTCCTGCGTCATGGCTTGCTCCTTCTCCGATGCTCTTCTCATCACTGCATCCAGGGAGTGGTCCAGACCGATCTCGACGCTCGTCGGTGTGAGACTGGACACGAAGCCTTGAGCTACCGAGAGCATGTCAGGTTCGATCGAGATGGTGACGGGATCATTGACCTGGATGTGCCCCGACAGCAGACCAGCTTCGGCGTTCTGGGTCGGATCTACATGCCGGACAAAGCGATGGAGAACCCTGCGCATCGAGCTCGAGCTTCCCGGCGAGAGGCTCCTGGGATCCACGTCAAGTCGCATGTTTCCAAAGCAGCGACCCACCTTTTCGCGCTGCTCGGCAGTCATCGTCCACATCTCTTTACGGAAGCGCACGGCGTCTTCCTCTTCGAGATTGAGCAGGCGGTCCCATTTGCGGAAGAATTCGAGGTGGATATTCGTGAGGTGCTCTGTCTTTTGCTCGAAGACATCGGCGATCGGCGTCCTCCTGGACAGCATCCGGCCGGACTTTGGCGCGCTTCTGGCGACTTCTGACGGCTCGACAACATCTTCGATCGCGCGACGAAACAGCATGCACCCATCCACAGCGTAGCAGCGGCGACACTTGTGTTCGCTGTCGATCGTCGGTGGCAGCACCTGAACAGGCTCGTTCGATGCACCGGCATCAGGCTTGCGCAGTCGAGTCATATCGTGGCGCAGGTAGTGAGCAAGCTCGTTGCGGCCGATGACGAGACTGCGCACCTCGTTGCGGCTTCGGCTGATACGATGCAGCTCGCCCGACTTGGAGTAGTAGAGCAGCCCGTCGTCGACGCGAACTCCGTACCGATCCGACATCATGAGCGTGTACATCATTGTTTGAGCGCGGTGCTCGGTCGAAACAACCTCTGCGCGGCCTGTCTTGAGCTCTAGGGGCACGACTGAAGTCGTGACTCGGCGCTTGCTTTCTTCGGTAGTAGTGTTGTTCGCGTGCCCTCGCGAGAACGCTTGCCCTTGTTGACCTGTTGCGGTTTTATATGTAGGGACGTCGGACTCCTCGAGAATGTCACATTCGACCGAGACATCGACTTTGCCCTTGAGGCCATAGATCGGACTCCAGATTTCTTCTTCGACATCGAGGATGCGCCTGAGTCTGACTTTGCTTTGGGGCGAAGCAGCTGAGCGGCCCGATTCCCGCAACGTTGCTTCTGGGTGAAACCCTTCGTCGTTCTCTCGGAGCAGGAACGTACGAGCAAAGCGGGCAAAGGGAGCAGCCTTCTCTCGCAACTGGACCGCAGCGTCCTCGGCGCTCAGGTCGATGGCGTACAGGCTCTCAATGTTGGACCGCACCTGCTCCTCGATCTGTGTCTCGACGAAGGCTTTGCTGAAGTCGCCGATGCCTTGCCATCCCTCTGGCCAGGGGGATGATGTCGTGACTGCGTCCTTGGCGTCCTCGGATTTGACGATCTCTGGCAAGGACCCTTTCGATTTGTGATCTGATGCCGACGCAGTGAGACAAGCCTGCAAGAGTTCGTGAAGCATGTTGCCCATGACGAGGCTGATGGTGACATCTGATGCGCCACGCAGCCGATCTTGCACGACAGGCTTCCGGATGCACGAGGCGACGTCTGCGACCTTGGTGGCGGGCACAAGGACATCAGGGTGGACGACCAGGAGATTGTCGAGCGCACGATCGGTGCCTTCCGAGCTCTTCAAGGTAGCTGAGCGCGATGCAAAGACCATGGTCCTGGCCCGAGGCGCATCATCGGAAGCGAGCAGTTCTTGCGTAGCGCACTGTGACAGCGACGGCATCGAAGCCAGGTCGTCCCACAGGTCGTCGTCTTCTTTGTCATCGTTGTCCGTGTTGCGGGGCTGGGCTTGATTGACTGCAAGCTCCTCTATCGCCACTTTGAGCTTCGATGTGGCTCTGTCGTCTCGCGTTGACTCGCTGCTGGCCGTGGGTTGCGTCATCAATACAACAGGGATCTTGGTATCTGCATCCTCGAAGCGACCGACCAGATGGACGATGCTGCCGACAGAGATCAAAGTCTGCAGCCAATCGTCGCGAAGGGACGCGAGCAGCGTCTCGACTTCTCCATCTGTGGAAACCTGGCTTCTGTCACCCTTCGATGGACTGCCTTGCTTCGCTTTCTTGCTGTGCTTGTCGGTCTCGAGCAGCAGAAGTTTCTCTGGCCGTGTTCTTGTCGAAGTGCCCGGTCCATCTGCAGAAAGTTCATACGAGCTGTCTAATACGGCAATGACTCGACAGCGTGTAAAGTCGATCCGTTGACGTGCTTGCTTGTGTGTGCGAGGCCTAGCGGGGACTGCAGCCGATGCTGATCGCTTCATTGACGCGGAAGGCGCATTATTGCCGCTGATCTCATGATCGACCTTCTGACGCTTGACTCCCGAGGCGGAGACGACGCGGCGAGCTGGGCCTGATGATGCTATTGGCGGTTGTCGGAACCAGTCTTCGATGTCATGCTCAACTTTCAGCTGAGACTGAAACAGCGTCGAGTCCTTGAGCGGGGATCTAGCATGTGGAGAGCTTGGACGTGGGGGGCCAGCTTTGTGATAGGGGAAAGCCTTGTTCTCTTGCGAGGGTGTGATGGCAGTTGCCCTTTTCTTCGGCGGGCTCTGCGAAGGAGGTATGGAGAAGTGCGATGCATCTAGATCAGCGAACAGGTCGTCCATGAAGCGAGCGTCAGCAGCGTCGAGTGCCATAGTGGGAAAGATTTCGTCTTTGCGTCCACCGAAGGATGGCAAGATGGTAGAGAGTGGTTGTGGTACGAGCTGAAAACGATGCTGCCTGCACTTTGGCGGTGGTTCTACGCGACACGTCTGAACATGGTGAGGTGATTATCGCGCTATAATGTGGTCCTCGAGGACTTGCATAGAAGGACCGAGGTGATGCAAGAGAGGGCGATGATGGCCGAGAGACAAGGCTAATGGTTGGACTAGCCAGGACGCCGAAAAGTGTTGGTCTTTGGCTCAGCCGACCTTCTGGACCCTGAGGCTCGAGGCTGTAGAGCCGTCTCGTGTCGTGTCGCGCGATTTCACAGATTTGTTAGGTCTCTACTCATGGTCCCACAGATCCGCCTTCATACTGTTTCTCAATGTCAATGCAGCAAGCACATCCAGTTTCGCAAGTATCATCCGTTGCCAGACATCTAGAAGTACAGTGTAATGCTCAACTAGGCAGTGAGCTTGACCGAGAAAGTCTGGTTCGGTCCCGCCTCGTTGTAGTTCTGCTTAGTGATGAATGCCTTTGCCTGCGGATCGCCAAAGACGAGCTTGGCGTAGATCGTGCCACCAAGGAAGGGAGCGAGGTCATTGCGCTCCTTGAACTCGGAAAAGTAGTCCGGCACGCGCAACGCTCGGACGTTGCGAGCCTGCAGCGGGTTGGGCTCGGCCAGCACCTGAGCTGCCTCGGTCTGCTCGGTCGCAACGTACTCGGAAAGGGCCGAAATAGCTTCGAGCTGGATCGTCTTGATCTTGGCAGGTTGGCCGGTGAAGATGAGGTTCTCCCAGAGCTGAGGTCGACGATCGGCGTCTTCGATGCGCGAGATGGCGTTGGCGATGCCGAGCGGTAGGGAGATGGCCTGGCTCCAGTCAGGGGATGCAGTGGCGGTTGGGTAGCTGTCGTGGCTCTGAGTGCCGTTGGCTTCCGCAACAATGGGTCCTGCTCCGAAGGGCTCGTCCCCGATGTGATCATCCGCGGCACCTGCGACGTCCTTGAGCAGTTCCGGGCGGAACAGCGGCTCGAGGAATCGGAATCTTTCTGGGCCGACTTTGAGCTTGAGACCTCGCCAGTGAACCAGCACCGCCTTGTCATCTGTCGATCCGCCAGCCTGGCCATCCTCACCCGTGATCGAAGCAAGGATCGACTCGTCGATCTCGCCATCTTGGTTCGCTTCCATCGCCTTTCTCCTCTCCTCTTCGTCTTCGTCGTGCTTCTTGGTGCCTTCCACCAGAGCAGCTGCAATGTCAAAGTTGCCCTCGTCGTCCTCGCCGTCGGCGGCCGAGACCATTCCTCCCGCGCCCTTCTTGAACGCCTCTTCGTCCAATACCAGGCCCTCTTCCAACAGCTGCTTTGCGAGCGAGAACATGGCCTTCTTGAGAGCTGCGTCTTCATTTTGGCGGGATGAGCTGGCGGAAGCCTTGCGGGTATATCGAAGCAAGGTCTGGATGGCCTTGACCAGACTCTGGTCGCGACGCAGCAGATGGGCGAGGTAGAGAATGCAATGGCGCGTACCCACATCCGTCTTGACGTTGGCGTTGGACTGCACCAAGCATTCGATGACGGGCGAGACGTCGCAGCTCTCATACCCGAGGTCCACCACGCAGGCGTTCATGGTGCCGACACCATAGCAAGAGAGCAGCGGCTTTTCGGCAATCGTAATGGCAGCCGAGTTGAAGTGTTCGAAGAAGATCTGCGTGAGGTAGGCGTGTGTGACTCGAGAGACGGGCAGCGGCAAGCTAATGAGGACGTTTGAGTCGTTGTGCGATCGACGTATGGGCAAGAGGTGGAAGAGGACGTAATTCCAGAGCGCGATCATCTGCTGCCAGTCGCGAACGTATCCTTTACGCATGGGCCAAAAGATGGCCACATCATCGCCTCTTCGTTCTGCTTCATCGAGGGCGGATCCGACAAGGTATTGCGTGTAGTCAGGAGGCGATGATGCGGACGAGCTCGATGCTGCGGATCTTGCAAGACCGACACGTGCTGTGAGGGAGATGGATGGACGCTTGAGGATCTCGTGGATGCCGTAGCCGGCGGTGATGGTGTGAGATCCGGTGATGACGATGACCGTCCTTGCTTCGCGAGCCGTCATCTTGAGGAGGTGAGTATAGGAAAGGTATGGGTGGTCGAAGGCGAAGTGCGAATGATGGTCCAAAGGGTCTGTGCTCGATGGTCCATCCGGGATGTCGAGGATGCAGGTTCAACAGCAACAACCTTCGCGTCTTTGGCTTGGAGCTTTTCTTCGCGTTGGCTGGTGCCCCAGATTCACTCGGGCGATAAATTGGTGATCGTTTCTCAAAGGGACTTGAGAAGAGCGGCTGAGCCAATCCTTTTGAGAAATGCACGCTTGGGTCAACCTCGAGAAGCTCGTCAAGCTCAGCAGCACCTGTCCGTATTCTCATCCTTTGTTCGGCCGTCGTCATCCTCATCCTAGCCATCCTCTCAGGTCTATCATCGCCGACCCTTGCTGACTCGAGCCGCCCGTCGATCCGCAGCATCCTCGACACAGTCGCATCATTTAGGTGCAAAGGCAAGGCAGTCCTCAACAGCGCATTCTTCCACGATGAACCGCGGATCTGGAGGACCCCAGAACATCTTCCGCACGCTCGAGCGTCTGCGACAGCAAGCCCAGCAAGCCTCATCACAGTTCGCAAATGCAAGCAAGTCCGGTGGTAGTGGCGGTGGCAGCGGTGGCAGCAGCGGCGGTGGTGGAGGTCGAGGCCCACCCAACCTCGCCAACCTTCTCGGCAGCTCTGCCGGTATCGTTGCCCTCGTAGCCCTCGGTTTCGGTGTCAACATGTCGCTCTTCAACGTCGACGGTGGTCACCGAGCCATCAAGTACTCGCGGCTATCCGGTATCAAGGACACCATCTTCAACGAAGGTACTCACTTTATGATCCCGTGGTTCGAAAAGCCCATCGACTACGACGTCCGTGCCAAGCCGCGCAGCATCGCCTCGCTGACGGGTACCAAGGATCTGCAGATGGTCTCGCTCACCTGTCGTGTCCTTTCGCGCCCACGTGTCGATGCGCTCCCCACCATCTTCCGCGAGCTCGGTGCGGACTACGACGAGCGCGTCCTCCCCTCGATCGTCAATGAGGTGCTCAAGTCGGTCGTCGCCCAGTTCAACGCCTCGCAGCTCATCACGCAGCGTGAGATGGTTTCGAGACTGGTGCGCGACAACCTCGTTGCTCGTGCCCAGAGGTTCAACCTCGTGATGGACGATGTGTCGATCACCCACGTCTCGTTCTCGCCCGAATTCACCCACGCCGTCGAAGCCAAGCAGATCGCTCAGCAGGCCGCCCTCCGTGCCGCCTTCCTCGTTGACCAGGCCATTCAAGAGAAGGCTTCCATCATCGTCAAGGCGCAGGGTGAGGCCAAGTCGGCTGAACTCATCGGCGAGGCGGTCAAGAAGAACAAGGGTTTCCTCAAGCTTCGTAAGCTCGAGGCGGCTCGTGATATTGCAACGATCCTCTCGCAGGCCGGTACCAACAACAAGGTGCTGCTCGACGCTGATACTCTGTTGCTCAATGTTGCCAACGAGGACCCGCTCCACTCGTAGGCACAGGCACAAAGGGAAGCAAAGGTTGACTGCGACCATTACCGAAAATCTTGTACTCTATCCCATGCCATTGCACGCTATTGCATTCTCCACTCACATCTCCATCACGTTGCCCGCACGCCTGTCCGAACGCCCGTCTTAAAGTGTTGTTTCCGTCTCCGTCTGAGGATTGTCGCTGTATAAGCTCATAAGCTCCTGCTCAACGCAGCTATTGGAGGACGCTTTCAGCCCAGCGCCTCTCTGTGGGCTACGTATGCAACTGTCATCTTCGACAGACGGACGACCAGGGTCCACCAAGGGACTCGCAATCACAATCATTGCAAGGAGACCTGGTCCACTCTCACCGGGGCTCACCTGCTCCTTTCAGCTCGGCACGCCTCAAGAGTCTCACCATGAATAGCTGCATGGACATCTCACAGTCATACCACAGACAGCTGCATCAAAGCAGCTCGATATGTATCCGAAAGCAGAGAATGGACGAACCAGGCTCCCTTTACAGAGGCGCCGGCTGTCCACCTCCAACGGCAATTTTTTGGATTTCGGGCGAGATGAGGAAGGTCACAAGATATAGCTCCCCTCATCCCAAGTCACGGCATTCGCTGTGAATGGAACTGGGTGTAAGCGTGCGTAAAAATGCTTTGTGTGGTGCATGTGACCCTTGAGGGATATTCATCGGACCCAAGGAAAAGAGCGAGTGGCAACGGAAGTGCACTCCATGAGGTGAATCGCTTAGAAGAGGCGGTAGACCTTGCCCATGGTGGACTTGACGTGGAGCGACTTGATGTTCTGCCACTGCTTCTTGAGAAGGGAGATCAGGAAGTTGATGGCAAGCATGACGTTGGCGAGGAGCTGGTCGTCGGACATCTGGACGTGGCCAATGGCAACACCGAGGCAGAGCACCTTCTTGAGCTGGAACTTGATGGTGGACTTGACCTCGTTGACCTTCTTCTCGAGGTCCTCGCTGTGCGAGACAGGGGTGGGGAACTTGCCGGCCTTGGACAGACCGGGACCCAACAGACGAGGGATCTGCTTGATCAGCGCCTCGGAAGCCAGGAAAGCATCGTACTTCTTGGCCAGCTTCTTGACCAGCTTCTTGTTCTTGTTGAGCTTCTTCAAGTCCTCGACGGTCATGAACTCGAGCTCGATCAGCTTGGCACGGTCGACATCGGCGGCATCGGCAAGAATGCAGAGGCTCATGCGAGGACGGGGGATGTGAGGAAGCTTGACGGTACCCGAGAAACGCTTGTCACGCTGGGGGTCGTAGTTCTTGAGGCCGATCTGGAGCTCGACGGTCTCGTTGAAGTTTCGTCGCTTGTCCTCGGAAGCCTTGATCAGCTCCTTGAGGGTGTTACGCACGCTGGACACCTGGATCTTGCTCATCTTGACGGATGGTAAGGGGGGATGGTTGGTGAGGGGAAGAGAAAGAGGGATCAGGTCGGATGGTCTTGACACACACTCTGCAGCGGCGCCAGAACTTCTCGCTGGGATTTCCCTCTTGACTTTCGCCTCGCCGCCTGCTGCCTGAGAATTCGCGCCTTTTTCGAAATTTGCGTGATTTTCGGAGCCGAGTCAAGCTTACTGCGGCAAGTCGAGCTTTTGCGGGCTAGGGTCCAGTCAGCTCTAACAGATAGAGGTCAAATCGGCGAATCGTTTTTGCCATCTCCCGATTTGACTGTCCGGTGACTTGGCCGGAGCTTGGGCAGCGCATCAGCCATCAAAGCCAGTCTGCGCAGAGCCCAAGAAGCGCGAATCAACCTCAGTCTCCACAAGCCCCACTTCATCATCATCATCATCGTTCGTGGTCACAGCTTCCTGCTCTCCTTCGCAATGTCGACAGCACCCACTCTCTCCCTTCAGAAGACCTCGGTCGCACTGATCCAGCTGGGCTCCACCTCGTTCGACAAAGCCTTCAACCTCAAGCGCGCTCGCGATGCGGTCCTTCGTGCCGCTGCTGTCCGACCCTCGGCTTCCTCCTCCTCGTCCCCGTCCCTGACGGCGCCCGTTGGCATGGTCGTGCTTCCTGAATGCTTCAACTCGCCTTATGGCGTCAAGTACTTTGCCGAGTATGCCGAGTCGTTCGGCGGTGCTTACCAGAAGATCAAGAAGCCGCTTCCCTCCGCGCTCCCCCGCATGGGTAAGGGCAAAGAGGAGATTCGATGGACAATCGATTCGTCCACTGACCCAAGCGCCACCTCCAATCTCGCTCGCGAAAAAGGTATCGGAAAGCCCGTTGATATCGACGAGCGTCTGCAAAAGCTCTCGCCCAGTCTCAAAATGCTTTCCGAGACGGCGCGCGAGGCGAAGATCGTGCTGGTTGGCGGCAGCGTCCCCGAACGCGACGATCTGACCGGCAACATCTACAACTCATCCTGCGTATTCAACGAGCAAGGTCAACTCATCAGCATTCATCGCAAATTGCATCTTTTCGACATTGATATTCCGGGCAAGATGACGTTCCAGGAGAGCGAGACGCTGTCGGGAGGCGACAGGGTGACGGTCTTCGACTGCAGCTTGGGTCGATTTGGGCTGGGTATTTGTTACGATCTGCGCTTCCCAGAGCCGGCCATGATCGCAGGCAGGTTGGGCGCAGGATGCATCATCTACCCTGGCGCATTCAACACCACTACGGGCCCGGTGAGCTGGGAGTTGCTGCTGAGGGGGAGGGCGACGGACAACCAGGTGTATACGCTCGGATGCAGCCCCGCTCGCCCAAGCCAGGCGGCACAGGACGGTACGCTCGGCGAGAAGGACGGCTGGAGGGAGGGCGAGAAAGCCTATCCCGCATGGGGGCATTCGACCGTCGTCGGCCCGCTCGGCGATGTCAAGGCCAAACTCGCAGAGGCGGAGGACACGCTCTTCTTCACATTGGATCCACAGGAGGTGAGCGAGACAAGGAAGAACATCCCCATCAGCACGCAGAGGAAGTTCGACGTCTACCCCGATATCACTTGTGGCTAGGCAACAAATGGAATTGAAGAAACATCACACTCTCCAGTCACTGTTCGAGTCGCCGTCACCTGCCATTGAGCAGCTACACCTTGAGCGCACGTACAGAGCTTCCGCTAGCCATGGCGATCCAATCCGAGTCATGAGGAGCAAACCCGCCCGTCCCGCTGCCTTGACTCCCTGCCGTGAACTCGTTCCATTCCTGTGCCACACTTTTGCTTCCCCCACCGCCGGCAAAGCCTCCGACACCGGGTGGCAGACCTCCACCACCCGCCCTTAGCCAGCTCACATTGTTGACCATCTCCTGGTTCGGCGTTGTGTACGCGAGGAAGGGGATTTCGGCGCCAATGCCGATGCTGCCCGCGATGCTTGTGGGCGCAGGACTCGCTGTTCCGCCAAAGCTGCCGAGGGTAGGAGCGGGAGAGGGAGTGTGACCGTTTCTACTGCGCCTGCCTTGAGCGGAGGCGGTGCGCAGGGTCGTCGAAGCAAGATCGTAGACCAAGACCTGGGCGTCATCGGCGGCGCTGCAGACCATGCCTTTGCTTGGACCCAGGACGCCTGCGCCCACGCTCGGCGGGCCCCATGCAATAGCGTTTACTGCCGCACTATGCCCTCGGAGCTCAAGGATTGGTGAGCCAGGCGCACGAACGTCCAAGATCTGCACAGAGTCGGATTCGAGGTGGAATGTGGCGAGGTAGTTAGCGTCCCATGGATTGAATGCGATGCGGAGCAATGGCGCTGCCGGAACGCTCCGGGTCGAAGTGGCGCGCGACGAAGTAGACATGCTCGTCCCTGGCCGCGACTCTGTTGACGGCGCAGTACCCGTCTCGTAGATGATGGTCGAGTGCTCGAGGCTCCGCAGGTCGAACACGCGGACCGAGCCGTCGGCGCCAACAGACGCGAAAACGTCCGCAGAACCAGGACACCAGTCGACATCGTACACCTCGCGGTCGTGCGCAATGAGCTGCGTCAGCGCTGTCCGCGTCGGCAGGTCCCAGATGGTACACGTCGTGTCGATCGAAGACGTCACAATGAGATTGGGCGAGGGCGTGTTCCACGAAAAGCTGGTCAGCGGTGCTGGCGGCGACTTGGTGTTCTTCGAATGTGCCAGGACGCTCTTTTCGCGTAATGAGAAGGGTAATTGTCCACCTGCTTCCTGACCGCCAACGTAGTTAGACTGGTACGAGTCGGCATATTCGTTGCGATAGATCTCCCAGATGCGCAGACAATCTGCTGTGGATGCGAGCAGTTCGCGATCCGGATAGTGGTCTGGTAGGCCGCCAGATTCGCCCTCGAGCGAGTTGCGGACTTTGGCACCCCAGCTACCTCGTTTTGCGAGCTTGGTCGTGGGAGATGCATAGCCTCGCTCGCCTGCACTCCGCTCCCTCTCGAGTGACGCATCCCTCCGTTCGCTGGATGACGCATCGAACAATGTCGATGGTTGGAAGCCCAGCTTTGTTGGTGGATACGGATGTGATGCATCGGCCAGGAGTGAAAGGGAGGAGGAGTCGCGTTGGTCGAAGCCGAGGATCTGGATGCGGTTGGTGTACTGCTCGACAAAGGAGCCGACGGCGATGCGTGCGCTGTCTGGTGGACCCGGGGTGGAAGAGGAAGGTGGTGGCCCGTCGTATTCGTCCTGTCGCCCGAGTGGGGAGGGTGAGGATGGAATGTAGCGCGCTGATCCGGATGGGTTGCGCGGGTGATGTGACGAAGAAGAAGAAGTGGACGGATGATTGGACCATGCTAGCGCAAAGACGGGCCATGCGGCCTTGTATTCTGCTGTTTGAGGCATTGCTCGTGATGCACGCTGTGCGCAATAGGTGTTCCGCTTGGCTGTTCCACCGCAAGATTCCTTCGGTTTCGAGCAATCCGGATGCTGCAAGTTCAACAGAACAAGACCTTTTCCTATAAGGTGGGAGTCAGCTGAACAGAGACGATTGTGCGCCTGCGAGAGATTGTTGATGATTGAGAGGATGGATGGTGTCGGCTAAGTATCGAGGCAGTGTGTGTTGGTCTCGGCCATGCACGGACGCGATACGGGGCCAGCCAATTTCGGAACACGGAAACAAAAAGCGGAGGGCCAAGCTTTCTTCTTCGCATTGACATGCTCTCCCTCCTCTATGACGCATCACATCCGCATCCATCTCTGAGCGCAGGCGTGGGAGTCAGGACACTACGAAGATGTCATCTGATCCGGTCACGGGCAGCCTAGCTACTGCAGGCGAGTCAGCAGCCGAAGCCTCGACCTCGGCCCTCCCGACCACCTCATCAACAGCTACGGAAGCGCCGACAGCGGGACCGTCGCTCTTTGACCCTCTATTCGAGGCCAAGAATAGCCTCAACCACCAATCGGAAGCATCCACTCAGCTGCACCCACTCAACTCGGCGCTCCAGTCTCTCTACTCGGCTTCGACTTCCGACGGCCGACTGTCTCGTGACCAGTATCGTCAACTTATCGCTCAGATCCGACACTCTCTCTCGCAGTTTGCAGCGACGAATCCTGCTCTCAAGTCACAGCAGTCCTCATACTCAGCACAACAAGCTGTATCAGACCCAACCGCATCGAATCAGCTGCGGCGATACATCTCGCTGCTGACAGAGACGTCGACGCACACTGCCGCACTTGCGCATTCCATTGCTCCGATCAAGTCGGCCGATCGTCCAACCAACAGCGCAGCCACTCGGCCCAGCGCGTCACTGTCATTTCCGCGGCAGCTTCAAACGGGCGTCTTCTTGCCAAGCACAGTCGAGCAACCAACCTCGAGCTGGGAGGCGGCGCTGCAAACTTTGGCGGCTCTGTGCGAAACCCTCGACAGCACAGCAAAGTCTCTCGGTCTCGAGACCTTCTCTGAGCCATCACCAGATGCAGCAGCGCCTACGAGATCGTCACCCAGCGATGTTCTAACTCACACGCTGACATTGGGAGCAAAGATTCTCGTCATCGATATCGAGCTGCACGTCGTCAAGGACAGCGCGCTCGGAGGATTCCGTCCGAAAGCAAAGCTCAAGCTCTCTTACGCAACCGACTCGCCAGATCCGCAACACGCTCGCGATCCTCGACTTGGCGCCGTCCTCGAGCGTGATGTCCAACTGATCGCGGATAAGCTCTTCGGACCTGCAGCATCGAGCGCACTCCAACAAGACAGGACCGTGGTCGCTCGAGCGTTAACAAATTGGACGAGCAATCTCAATGAGCTGCTGGTTCTCGACGACCTCGAGGCCAGGGCAAGCGAGGCCGCCTCCGAAGGCTCAAGATCCACCGACCTCTTCGCCGCTATGCAGAACCTCTCCGTCGCTGCGAAACGCGTGTCCGACGCTGAAGCTGCTTCATCCTCCGCAAGCATGCTGGACGGCGGACACGGTGTGCATAAGCTGCACGAGTCGAGACCGTTCCTACACGCTGTCTTTGCGCACGATCCAACGTCGAAGCAGGACTACACGCTGTCGCTCGGCGTCCAGGCTTTGGACCTTCCCACTGCCGAGCAGACGCTTGCTTATGCGACCACGCCATCATTCCCTCTGTCACAGGCCGCGCAGGATCTCTTGAGCGCGTCCGCCGCCTCCGACCCAGCCAAGCACCTCGGCTCTGTACCGTCTCCGGTCGACGCAAAGAAACGCATCCCTTTGCACTTTATCGTGCGGCTCGACCCGCCTGTGGTGGTCTCGAGGCCAACAGCGGCCAAGCTCGCGTCGATCTGCAACCTCAAGCAAACTCCTCCCCACAATACCGCCGCTGCGCCAGCAGCTCCATCAGGCGCAACGTGGTTCGAAGACGTACTTGCCGCATCGTGGTCTCAGCGCGCTTCGCAGGATGCACGCAGACCCACGCGATGCACCTTCACACTGGCACAGACCATCGAGAGCGTCCGCAGCACCCAGGAGCAAGGGCTGGTGATCGATTCGCTGCCTCTTCTCTCCCCTGCATCGGGTATCGATGCCATGGACGAGAGCGATGCCACACGCAAAGGAGGGTCGACTCTGGCTCGGCTCTTTGCCGCAATCGAGGTGCTGAGGGACGAAGTCAAGGTGACGGAGCTCATGCACTCGGCGATCGCTACCAGTGAAACGACTGCAGAAGTCGCCAATGGCAAGGCAGATGATCTGTCGCTCGACGATCTCCTCTCCTCTGGATCGAATGGTGCTGGCAGCAAGATTCCCGTGACGCTTGCTTTCCACACACCGATCCAAGGCGCGACAGACGAGTCGCAACAGAACCTCAGCCTTCGGCTCGCCTTCCGGGTGCTGGCGGACACTGGCGCCACCGTCGCCTTCGACGCGACCATCTCGCCCTCCAAGCGCACATCCGAGTCGGGGTGGCTGCTCTCCGCTGTCGCTCGACCCGAGTCGTCGGACAAAGAAGCCCGTCTCGACAGCGATTCCCCTGAGGCACAGAGCATCATCGCCAAACTGACCGACCTGTCCTCGCTAGAAGACGTGGTCATCGGCCTCGTTGATTGGGCGGCACAGTCACTCAGTCTCAACCTGCAGAAGCCAACAGCGCAGGAGAATGGCTTCAACCCGCTGGATTACGAGCAGCAGAACGTCCATGCGTAAGTGCGTAGTCTCCCTCTCCTCACCAAATCTCCAACCATCCATCACAGACTGACCCGACGTTTCGCCTGCACACAGGATCTACGAGACGATCGCGCCGCATTTCAGCAATACGCGATACAAACCGTGGCCATTGATCCCGGCATTCCTGTCGACCGTCCCGCCAGGCAGCCTGGGTGCGGATCTAGGTTGTGGGAATGGCAAGTATCTTCCCATCCGATCCATCCTCACTTCGGGCGGGGACGGGGAGAACAGCCTTCTGACACTCGGTGTCGACCGCTCGAGCAACCTAGTTGGGCTGGCGCAACACAACTTTCCATCGGCACAGCCGAACGCGAGACACGAAGTGACGGTGGGTGACGCGCTCGCCTGCTCTCTTCGGGCAGGTGTTTTCGATTACGCCATCAGCATTGCCACTATCCATCATTTCAGCACGCGCGAGCGGCGCATGGCGAGTGTGCAGGAGCTCATCCGACTGCTCGCGCCCTCTGACGCCGCCAGCAGCGATTCTACTGGAGGAGCGAGTAGCGATCCACGGATGACCGGCAGTGGTACCGGTCGATTTCTGATCTTCGTCTGGGCGCTCGAGCAGGGCGACGAAGGCAAACGTCAATTTCAGGGCACCGGTGGGAAGGAGATCGACGATCCGAATCACAGCAAGAGCAAAGACCGCTTGGTGTCGTACAGCTCCTTGGGGGAGGAGCAGGATGTGTTGGTGCCTTGGGTGTTGTCCAAACCGAAACCGCCGAAGGCGAAGGGAGCGCCGGCGGCCAAGGCGAAGAGGAAGGACAAGATTTCGAGCGCAGAGGAGATCCAGACGGGACTCGAGAAGCTCGACGTCAACCCGCCCGCGCCCGAGAAAAAGGTGGAAGAAGAGAGACCCGTGTACAACCGCTACTACCACATGTTTTGCGCGGGCGAGCTCGAGACGCTTGTCGCGGAGGCGGCGGCTAGTATGCCGGCTGTACACCGACGTGGTGGTGCCCTCGAAAAGGTGCGGGTGGTGAGGGAATGCGGTGGATGGGAGAGGGGCAATTGGTGGGGCGTGTGGCAGGTCAGGTGGGCCGAGTGAACAGCCGCATACAATGGTGCAAAACCGGTTGAAACTGCAAATGAGTGCTTCCAGAGCGATGAACGAACCGGTGTGTGACGATTGGGCGAAGCTGCGTAACGAGCTTCGACTGTGCCGGTGGGGTCCTGAGAAGCGGAACAAACGGCGGTGTCAAGTGTGTCACCCCTGCTGACCAGGACGACTCGTGACGAGCGTCGTGATGACGAGCGCAACGGTCGGCATGTGCAAAGACGTGGGCTGGAGCAATGGAGCCGGGGCGGACTGCCGCGGAGAACACGGCGAACGTCGAAAAGTGCATAGGCTCAACGATGCGAATCGCGTTCCTGGCCTGGGTGTGACGATAACCCCTATTTGCAGCAGCGAGAGCTAGAACGTAAACCTTGGTGATGTCACGAGATGCGGTGCGGGGCAAGCTCTACCTCGATCAAGCCTACGAGGCGTCGACCGCGCAGTGTTGAACAAGCGCCACAATCAGCTGATGGCAGTGCTCAAAGTCGGGCTGTCGAGTGCGAGGATGCGACTCATCGACTGAATGGGAGAGCACTCGCTCGAGGCAAGAGCGAACGCCGACTCGAGTGGACAAACCAAGTGGGTCACATGCTAAGTTGGGGGGAGGTCAAGCGAGTTGACTCAACGCTAGCTGCTCGGCGGACGAGCAAATCGCCATGATAAAGCGAATTTAGTGGACACAAAGCCCTGGTAGCCGTGTGGCCAGAGGAAAGGTTGATAAAGACAAGGAAGAGAGCACGGTTGCAAAAGTATGGCGCGCGCATGAGAAGCGGGTGAGCACCAAAAATGGCGAGGTCGATCCTGAGCAACTCACCCTCTTTGTGAGATACAATAGCAAGATGCGACGGAGAGACACCTTGAATGTGTATCAGCGATGCATGAACATCTCCAACCGAGGCGACAGAGAGAGGTCCTAGTATGCATTTCTGCAGACTCAGAGGAAAATTGCTCACGGACGAAAGAAACTGTCAGGGAAAGGAAAGGATGCCGACTCATGCCGACTCGGGGTTTGCCCCACGCCGAGAAGGTTCACAAGACCAGTGAATACGCATACTCCGAACGCAAAGCAAGAGTCGACTCTGAGCTAAGCTGCGAAGCCCTCCGAATCACACACTACGATGGTACGGCTGATGCAAGATGCAAGTACGATACCACAGCGCAAGACGCACTCTTTGAGCAAGTCATTGGAGCGTGGAGCGATCTAGGACGTCAGACGCGGAGGTAGTTGGCTCGCCAACACGCGCGCCAGCATGGGATTGAACGAGGACTGCAGTCGCCCAAGGAATGAGCGAGGCTAGTGGACACGAGACTGAGGTGACCTCGTGGGGTTGCGATCCCGTGAATCAGCCGCTTTCGCTGGAACGACCTGTTTGGCGCTTGTGGCAGCGAGCCAGATGCATCGCCTCCAACAGAGGGGGATCGTAGCTTCAAGTACCGAACATCTCTCAAAGAGAACACATCATTCAGAGACAGCGTGATGAGAATCTGTCATCGGCAGACTCAGGGCAAACTACTCGGGGCCAAAACCGGTCATTCAAACAAATGTATGAGTAGCGTAATGGGTATTCGTGATTGCTAGCGTGCGCCGCCCCTTGGGGAGCTGGACACGTTTTGACGGGTGGTAAAACATGGATGACAAGTACAGTTCATGAATCCGTGACAGTGTATGATGAAATGATCACCAGATCAAATCATTTTGAGTGTGGAGATCCTCCGAGTGGAAGAGAGAAACTTAGTTCTTCTTCTCGTCGTGGGTGGCGAGCTCGTCGTCCTTGGGGGGAGCGACGGCACCCTCGAGGTCGGAGCGGCGGGCGCGCATCTCGGCGTTGGCACGGCTCGACTTGAGGGCGGTGGTCTGCGAGTACATCTCGTCGACCTCCTCGAGCGAGAGCAGACGCGTCTCGAAAATGAAGAAGTAGGCAAAGACGGCGCAGCAGGCGCAGGTGGCGGTCCAGATGAAGAAGACCTTGGTGCCAAGACCAGCGCGGCCCGGTCCCTCGTCGACGAGGTAAGGGGTGGCGTAGCCGATACCGAAGTTCCAGAGCCAGTTGGAGGCAGTGCAGAGCGAGAGAGCCTTGGCACGGATGGCCAGGGGGAAGATCTCACCGCAAACGACCCAAGCGGCAGGGCCCCAGGTGGCGGCGAAACCGGCAATGTAGATGCAGACGAAGGCGACGAGCGTCTTGCCACCCGAGGTGTTGGAGACGGGGACGGTGGTACCAACGACGGCAACGATCAGCTCGCAGAGGCACATCCAGACGGCACCCCAGATGAGGAGCTTACGACGGCCGAGACGCTCCATCATGTACATGCCGGGAACGGTGGAGACGACGTTGACAACGTTGTAGATGACCGAGAAGATGAAGGGGTTCGAGTTGGGGAGGGCCGAGGCGGAGAAACGAGTGCCGAAGTAGAAGATGAAGTTGATACCGGTGAGCTGCTGGAAGGCCTGGATGAAGATACCAGTGAACGAGCGAAGGAAGTACTTTCGGTCGTTGAACTTGAAGCAGTCGAGGTACGAGCCGGTGGAGTGGGTAAGCTCAATGTCGAGGTTGGTCTGGATGACCGAGAGCTCGGAGCGAACAACCGGGTCGTCGGCATCGGTCGAGTTGAGGCGGGCGAGCGACTTGGCAGCGCGCTCGTGGTTGCCCTTCTTGACGAGCCATCGAGGCGACTCAGGGAGGAAGACGAAGAAGGCAGAGAGGATGATGGCCCAGGCGAACTGAATGGCAACGGGGATACGCCACGAGCCAGTGTCCTGGCGATCGGCAGTGCCGTACGAGGCGAGGGAAGCGCAAAGGAGACCGATGGTGATAGCCCACTGGTAGCCGGAGACGACGGCACCACGGATCCATCGGGGAGCGGTCTCGGACTGGTACATGGGGACAATGGTGGAAAGGATACCGACACCGAGACCGGCAATGACACGGCCACCGATGAAAACACCGAGGTCGGTGGTGGCGGTCTGCATGATCACACCGACGGTGAAGACGAGAAGAGCAACCTGCATACCCCATCGTCGACCGAGGATGTCCGAGATGGGAGCACCGGCGAGAGCACCGGTGAAGGTACCAGCCGAGAGAATGGAAACAACGAGCGAGGTGTCGTTGGTGGTAAGGTCAACGACGCCGTTGGCCATACGCTGACCGAAGGTCTCCTTGAAGTTGTCCATGACGAGGAGACCCGAGATGGTACCGGTGTCATAACCGAAGAGAACACCACCGAAAGCGGAGGCAGCGGCCACGAGGATGGCGGGAATCGACTGCTTCCAGTTCTCGGGGCGAGCGGCGGGGATCGACGAGGTGACGCCGACATCGGCGACAGCACCACCAGCCATCTTGAATAGAGGTGTGTGTGTGTGTGTGAAGAAGAGGGGAAGTGGGGTAAGGGGAGCCTTGATGGAGAGAAGGCGCGCTTGAGGATGGATGGGGGGAAAGGAAAGCGATGTTGTCGGAGGGAGTGAGGGGTTTATGTAGACATGGAGCGCGAGGGGCGGGGGAGGGAGGGATGGTGAGCGACTGAGGGTGTTGGTCAGGCTTGTAGCGCAGAAAAGCTGCGCTGCGCTGAGTGACAAGCCAGACAGCCAGCCACTCAGCGCGGTCAGCAGCGATGAAGAGAAAAGAAAAATGAAGAAGCAGAGGTGGGATGCAGACGAGGGGCACCAACCCACAGTTGATGAAAAAAAATTGGCCTGCGCAAGGGAAATTTAGCCAAACATCCAAACCCAGCCAGCCAACCCAGCCATCAACCAACACAACCCACACGCGAGCGCGCACACACGCATGGGGACCCCAAAGTCGAGCGCGAATGGAGGCGAGGCGTGTGGCTTGAGCTCATTGGCCGGCCGAATCTGGAGAAAGCAGAGGCGAGGCGCCAGACCACACACGAAAACAAAATGCAGGGTAGAGCCTGGCTCCTTCCCAGCCGAGCCAAAGGATCAACAGCGGGGGACAGGAGACAAAAAGTGGGCTTGTAATTCAGTCAAAGGCGGGGACCCAGATTACCCAGGTTTTTCTTTGTTTCGAAAATGCACCGACTTTTGGCCTAGAATTTGCAACTCCGACCGTGCGCTCGACCGTAATTGGTCCGTCCGCGCTTTTTGCTTCATCACAACAATGGGCCAGTCCCGACTCGACTCATCAGATTGGTTGTGGCTCATTGTCTCTTGCGCTCGGCTCGATCTGGATCGCAGCAAGACCAAAGCCGAATGGCCGGTCAGCTGAGGAGAGCCAAGCACAGCCAGCCAGTCAGCACAGTGTCCAGGCGACGCGGGCTTGGCCGAATCGAGACATCGCTCCAGGAGTTGCGCATCCGATCTCGACGAGCAGCTTTGCTCCCACTTTGCCTACTGGCCATTGTGGTGGCATTGGGTATTGGCACCCACTTCGTCAACCCCTGTGCCCCTCACTGCTTCATCACGCAACCCCAGTTCGGCCGTAAATCCCCGCGGGGCCCTCGAATGGAGTCGAGCGTCGTGTGCTGCTGCCCGACGCTCCGACTTGTGGCGTTGCCAACTGACTCTGTTCCTCGCCTACTGTTAGTCTACAGTAGGATCTCGAGTCCGCAGCAAGGCATGGCCGAAGAGCATGAATTGGCATAGGCTCCCCGCGTCTGAATCCCCTGATTCGCCACTTTGCAGACCGTGCTGGGCCCCGACCATATCGTAGTCCAGGCGCGGTACAGAAGGTCGATTAGAGGCAAGATTGGCCTCCCTCTGGACCAACGCCTACTCTGCTTTCGAACCTGTCACGGGAGCCGGTCAATTTTTTCGTTCGCTCTTCGATCCCAGCCCTGGGGCTCTTCCACCGCGTCTGCCGCCGTGCAAAATCATACGCGCCCTCATCTCATCGGTCAACCTCCCTGATCAGTGGCTGTGACGCTCAATCCTGTTCGGGAACGACTGCGGCCATCGCAACAGGAACGCTCGCTCGCTGGCGCGCGGGGACGTCTTCGATGCGAGCTCGCTCGCTTACGTGACATGGCCCTTCAGACGGTACAGTGCAAGCCATGCCCAGGTTTTGCTTTCTCGCTTGGACGGACCTCGGTCGGGCGACACATGCGGCGTTCGAATAATCTTTCCGTACCAAACAGCGCGCGTCGTCGAGAAAAATCAAATTCGAAATTGTGCGGGTCGAGGGCGCGACGACAACCATGTGGTGCGAGTTCGAATCGACGTTGCGCCGAGGAAGAACAGAGCGAGATTTTCCTGACTCTCCAGTAGGGCCGAGGCAAAAGAATGGAGCCCTGTCAGCGACCGTCTTTTACCTTCCCGAATGCGAGGTTTGGAAGCATCGCCAAGCGATCACCATCACGCTGGCAAGACTCTTGGCTGTCGTCAGCTCAACAGTAAGCGACATGCTCTCGCAGCAGACTGACAACCACGACGGCGACAAAGCAAACTCTTGGCTTCACATGAGCTGTTGCTTGGCCCTCGTTTGTTGAGGAGCGACCTGTTGGAGGGTCTCATTAGAAGATGTGCATGCCGATCTTCGGGCAATCCAACACGTCTGGCAGGCGCTACTGCGCGCTGTGTCACCAAGGTCTCCGGCAGGCCTCGACCCGAATGGATCCTCGGAGACTTTTTTGCTTTTGAGCTTTTGCAGATCCCCAAGTTCGGCTGGATGCGATCGCGCAGGCACCAGGCACGCGCGTTCGCGTGGCATCCATCTCGTATGATTGGGCGAGTGGTAGGACCGTCAAAAGCGGACTCACGGATTTAAGGGGCCCGAACTCAAGGGATGGGTCAAGGCAGGATGGAGAGATCGGAGAAGTGAGATGCAGGAACGGGTCCCCGGTGGCCTCTACACCGCTGAACGAGCGATGCATCTCAACACCATGCAACCCCGGGGGTTCGACTTTGGTCTGGACACCATCTTCTTTGCAGAAGTGAAGTAGCTGCGTATTGGGCCCCATACTCTCAACGCCATGTGCGCCAGTGGTGGAGCCAGGGCCCCGCGGGGTCGCTCGTCGACACTCATACCAACCCAGAAGGTCCTCTTCCAGCCTCAATTTGGGGCTGCGGACTCTGCGAGATGCAGAATAGTTCGACCGGGCGCCACAAGGCCCGGCAAGGCGCATCTTAGACCGGGAAGCCTCATGCAGGTGTGCTCCGAAGTTTCGACGAAAATTCTCCGTCCAAACCAATGACATGACGCGATGCCTTGCAGATCTCTACACACGGAGAAAAAGGCTTGCACTTGGCGCGTAGGTTGACCGGTCAAGTGCTGTCATCGTGACACAGAAGCACGAATAAGTCTCCGCTTTGGGTTTTGATCATCGAGGGATCGACTTTGCCCGAGTTGCAAGGAGGCGGTCGACTTTGCCAAGGCTCGAGCTAACGTGAGTGGGTGGGAGAGCTGTTGCGCAGGACCACATCTCGCGTGGCCAATCATGGGTTGAGCCTCGGCAAAGCATCTCGTGCAGTTTGTACCACCTCTGCGCTGTTGTTGTGAGCAACACAATTGCTTATTATAATGAATCTTCGATCCGCTCTCTCTCGTGCGCGCGCGAGCGTCCTGTATCCGCGGCATCCGTCGTCTCGAGTCGCAACGGAGGACAGTTGAGCGAGAAGCGCAGAGCGAACGAACCCGCGGGTCAAATGTACAAGGAAATTTTTGTTCATGCATGCAACAGGCCTGTTTTCGGCTGAACTTTCGGTCAAAACCTGGATGTTTTTTTTTCTGGAGACGACAACCGCTTCGTCCTTTTCGCCGGCGCTTTGGCGAAGGGGAGGGGGGGGGGACTCGCTTGGTTGACGACCGCGTGACCCCTTCCCCAGACTCTCTCGGCCGCAAGAACATTCCCCACACTCGTCAACTCGCACTGACATTCGCTCTCTCGCTTGGACTTCCACAAAGGCATCCGCTCTCGCTTGCCCGGTAGCGGCGACGTCTCTCGCTTGCGGCGAGCCAAGGTGTGGCGGTCGATGGTCCAAGCACTCGCCTCCAACATGGATGAGTCTCATCAAATGGCGGAGGAGAACAACCACAATTCATGCTCGGGCAAGGGTTCGTCCGAACATTGACCGTGACCCCGAACCCCGCACCACCCCCAAGTGGCTTCAAATGAGACAGCTCACCCCACCCGGCAAGCGTTCCCCGCGATAACGCCATCTCCGCTCCACCGCGTGCTGTGGGGGGCGTGTCAGTCGCCACATTTTGGCGACAGGTGTTGTCGTGCGGGGAAGCACGTCCGACATCCTTCGCAGTCGACATCTCTTATCGTGTCGTAGATCTTTTCATCTTTGAGCCTTCGCAACAAGCATCCCGCACACACTACTTGAGGCTGAACACCCTTTGCTTTCATCCGAAAAATAATCGATCTCGTCCCGTTTGTCGCACCCATATTCCCCGCCTCCCTATGGTTACGACCCCGCCTTCCGAGCTTCCTGGATGCTCCTCACCAACCCGCTCGCGTCGCCCGCCGTTTCGTACAGGAACGTCCTTCCGTTGGCAATCTTGACCGTAAACGCTCTCCCGCCTCGGTACTCCAGCCCCGCGAGGAGGTTCGGGATCGCCTGTTGGGCGCTGCGTGCGTCAGCACCTGTCATCTCCTCATTCTCCCCATCCGAGACTGCCGCGTGTCGTCCAGAGACCCGTTCGAAATCTCCTGCAGAGTCGCCCGTTGCAGTGGACCCATCAATGGCCAAAATCACCTCGCTCTTGACCTTCAACGCCGTCGCCGTCTCCTTGACGCACAGCAGCCGCGGGAAATCCGTGAGGATGAGCTGGCGTCGTTTGGTAAACATCTTGCCTGTGCCGGTCTTCTTTTGCGCCACGGGCACGGTGTACAGCATGAGCTCCTTGGGGAGCAGGAGGGCGCCCCAGCTCTGTTGCAGCCCACCACTCGTGGCAGGAGGCTGCGCTGCACGAGCCATCGAAGAGGGACTCGCGCTGGCAGGCTGGTGGTTGATCGGCTGCGTCGGTCGGGAGAACGGACGCATGTTTCTGCTCGCAGAACTGGCGGACGCTTCGTTGCCAGTGTGATTTTCCGCGGTATTGGCAGGAGCAGGAACGGCGTCGATCGACATGGTCGAGAACCTGCGTCTGGGCGCTGAACCAGTGCCTTGCTGCTGCGACGAGGGAGACTGCGTTCCAGACCCAGAGGCATTTGACATGAATCGGCTGTGAAAGCCGTCGGCCAGACGCTGCAGACCGCTCTGCCGTTTGGGCGCACCATCACTGCTCGTCGCCTCGCGACGGTCCGAGCTAGCGTCCGACATGTCGGAATCATCTGCGTCATTCGGTTGCGTCGACGACAGCGCGTCGACACTCATCGAGCTCTCATCTGCCCCGCCGCTTCGGTTCTGCAAGTCGATGCTCTGCGTATCCCCGTTATACGCCTGCGACTCGTCCGAGCTGCCAAATCCATCATCGAAGCTGAAATCGCTGTTGTCGCCAAAACCACGCTGCTGCGCCGGTGGCAAGGGTTGGACGAGTCCCGTCTTGATCTCGGGCACCTCCATCTCCCAGAGACGACCAAAATCGATCGCGCGGAAGAAAGCATGCCCTTTGATCTCGGCGGCCGACGGTCTCTGTGCGGGATCGAGGACCAGCACTCGATCGATGAGGTCTTGCGCGTCTTCCGGGAAGCCTTGAGGGAAAGAGAATTCGCGATGTTTGACCTTTTGCAATGTTTGATACTCGTTGACGCCCTTGAAAGGTGGTCGTCCAGCCAGCATCTGGAAGAGCACACAGCCGAACGCCCACCAGTCGGCAGGCTTCCCCGCTGGCTGCGCTTTTTCCACCAGAAGCTCAGGCGATACGTATTCGGCCGTACCGACAAAGCTCGCGGCTCTGCCCGGTGCCTTCTGTGCCGGTGCTTCGGTAGTGGTGGAAGCCTCACCGCCCACATCGTCGACGGCATGCACGATCTTGGCGCTTCCAAAGTCGGTGATCTTCATGCGGCGTCGAGCATCCAACAAAATGTTCTCGGGCTTGACGTCGCGATGGACGACTCCGGCCGTGTGCATTGCGTCGATGGTGTCCGCCAGCTGTGCCGCATAGAAGCGCGCCGAGTCAACGTCAAAGCTGCCGTGCTTGCGGATGAAGTTGAGCAGCTCGCCGTTGCTGGCTAGCTCAAGCACAAAGTAGAGGCTCTCCCGATCCTGGAAAGTCCAGAAGAGGGTAACGACACCTGGATGACGGATCATGCGGCTGAGCGCCTCCTTTTCGATCGCAACATACTTCTGCTTTCCCTGCTTGAGAATGTGCACCTTGTCGAGCACCTTGATTGCGTACGCCTTGCGCCCGGTCAGGTCGATCCGACGGCGTCGCTTCTTCGATGTCTCGGCGCCCACCATGGCAGTAGCGGCCGAGATGGCATTGGGATCGACAACGCCTGGCTCCTTGGGCGCGGGCCCGGTCAAGAGATCCCACGCTTCCAGCACGGTTGAATACGAACCTTCGCCCAGCGTGTCGCCAAAGTGAAAGTCGTTCGGTCCTCTTGCGGAGGATGTCTTCTGAGACGGCGTCGCGGGACGCATCGACGTGATGGATGCAGACGACGGCAGCAATCGAGGGCTTCTCAGGTTGGAGATGGACGCTGGACTTCGGCCGTAGATCGAGTCCATCACGCGACCTGGACCGACGCGAATCGTTTCGGGAGAGCGTGCCAATTGCGAAGCAGGCGATGCCGAGCGCGATGGCGGATTGGACTGCACCAGGAACGGAACGCCAACTCCATTGGGCGATGAAAGGGCCATAATTTGGTCGCCATCCGCTCCGCCCTGAAGCGCTGACGAGGAGGATAGAGCTGGACTGTTGGAAGCGGAGGCGGGCATGAGCGTGCGATCAGGCGCATCGATGCTGCCATTGGCGCCGTCGTCGTCCTCGGGGATCACAGCGACGTGAGGGGGCATCCGTACAGCAGATTCACCGCTGACGGGCAGCGTCCCGTTCGAGCTGCTCTTGGAGTGTGTGCCAGGTCGATCATAGCCTGCGTCGTACATAGGGTCGTCCACGGGACTCTGTCCGTTCGGTGAAGAGGCCTTGCGGTCCAAGCTCTGGCTACGTCGACCTCGGGTCATGGAGCTCTCGCTGGTACGTGCGCGGAGAATGGCCGGCCGCTTGGCGTTGGACCACAGCCGCTGACGTTGAGTCGATTCGGGTCGGCGCGAAGATGCGGCCGTTGCCGGGCCTGCAGGCAGAGGAGCTTCACTGCCCGCCACGCTGCTTGGACGCCTGCTCCTGGAGTGCGAAGAGCCGCGCGTGCGCCTGTCGTTAGCGGCTTCGTCGACGATCACAGGTGAGTAGCTTGCTGGAACGGGCGATGGTTCGCTGGGCGAATCTGGCAGAGAAGCGATGCCGGCTTGCGCCTCCATGCGTACTACTTCAGCAGGTGTGGGATGCGGCGATGCCTGCACTTTGCTGCTGCCGGACGTTACAATCGGCTCGACTTGCGGAGAGCGGTTCGCCGGCAGCGCTGACGAGGTCGAGAGCGTGTAGAGAGCAGGCTCGGCGGGAGGAGCATTGACGGCGCTGGGGTCGGCGACGAGCAGACCTGGCGATGCGACGCGATCCAGAGCGTCGTTGCTGCTCTCTGCGCGTGAGTAGACCGGCTTTTGCGAGACTGATGATCTGCGTCGGCCATGATTGGCACTGGCCGTGCCGCCGGTGATGTAGGGCGAGAGGTCGGAAGTGATGCTGCCAACATTGGCGCCGTAGCTTAAGGGCGGGAGAGAGGGCGCTGCGCTGGCTTGCGTAGTTGCGCCCTGCCGCGCCTCCTGTGATGCGGGGGCCAGGGGCTCCGGAGTGAGCCTCGATGACGGCATGTCGTCGGCGAACTTAGGAACAAACAAGGGCGCATTGGTGACGGAACTGGTACGAAAGTCGGCGGGAACAGGGGTGAGGATGGGATGCAGGGGAGTGCTCGCTGAGGAGCCAGCGCTGTGCTGTGCGGTGGAGAAGTAGCTTGAGCTTCGTGGCAGCGGGGTGCGGTTGGGGGGAACGAGGGTCGTCTCGTCTTCGGAGCTGTCGAGCGGGTTGTAGACAGTATACTGGTCCGAAGTGGTGGGACCGACAACGGTGACGATGTTGGCTTTGATGCCGAGTCGGCCTGCCCCTTTGGCAAACTTCTGACGAAGCACCTCGCGAGACCGTTTGGCGGGGGAGGCTGCCGATTGTGAATCATCTTCTGGTGTATCTGGAATGACGGGAGAGCCACGTGCTGGCTTGTTGGTGCGCATGCCAGGACCCACACGATACATCCAGGCGTCTGTTGCCTGCTTAGGTACACCCTTGTGCCGATCAGACGCAGGTGCCGATGAGCTGAGCAGGGTGGGATCCGTGGAATGCCCTGCAGCAGCAGCCGTAGAGAGGTGCGACGCATCGGGTGCGAGCTCTTCTCGCTGGTCGTTGACGAATGCGAGTTGGGACAAAGACTGGTCTTTGACAGGGTGACTGGAGCTGAGCTGTGTCGACATAGCGAGCGAGCCGAAGTGTTGATTGCGAGCATTGCGTCCGGCGAATCGTCCGCCTGTGCCACCGAAGCCAACTCTAGTGTTGCCTAGAGGAGCCTCGCGGAAGGGGACGGCTTCGAGACTGCTGGTGCTGTTGACGGAGCTGACCGAGCTGACCGACATGGCGCGACCAAGGCTGACAGCGGCGATGCTAGATGCTGCCCCGTCGCTTGCGTCACCACTGCCGCTGCGGTTGCCGGATCCGATGCTACTAGATGAAGCGTTGACTGGATGGGGCACCGCGGTGGATCGTTGATTCCATGTGGTCATCGGGAGCGAGGAATTGGACGACTGTCGGGAGCTGCTAGCTGTGCCGTAGGGAGGAAGTGATTGAGGGGCGAAGCGGCGGGGCATGAAGCCAGAGTCGCTGATGGAGGGATCCTCTTCGTCATCGTCGGTGGTGAGAGGTTGTTGTGAGCCCGAGGCAGCACGTGAGATTTTGTCCTCTGCTTCACTCCCTGCCCGTGTGAGCAGACCCTTTCGGATGCGGGTCGAGGAAGGCGGAGCATTGGACCGAATGCTGCTACCGCGGGAGACGGCGGCGCTGGACGTTGCGGAGACCGGCGTGGGAGGTGCATGCAGAGGAGTGGGAGCGCTCATCGGTGTGCTGGAGCCAGTGGCTCTGGCAGAAGAAGGGTCCTCCCCAGCTATGTTGGTTGCTGGCGTGGCAAGATTGTGATGTGATTGACTTTCGTGCCGCGGGAAGGTGGCATCGATGGAGCTAGGCGAGGCAAAGAGGGCATGCTGCTGGTCGATGTCTGGCGAGATCGCCGGCGCCATGCCGGGCGGTAGTGGTGGTGGTGGTTCGGCCATGTTGGTCTTGCCTGCTCCTCGACCAGGTCGAAGATATGCTGTGTCTGCACGGCGGGTTTATTCGACGCTTGACTTCATGGTGGGGTTCCTGCTGCGCTGTTGCGATCCGCTGTCCGTTGACCTGGAGGACGAGGGGGTATGGCGAGAGCTATCTTCAGGACTTCATGTTGGGGTGCTTTCCAAGTCCGAGCATGCGGCGGTGGTGGTGGCTGAGTCGATAACGAGGCACCCTGCTCAGCTTGTGACTGGCTGGGAAGAGTATGTGTGATCTTTGGAAAGAGTGTTGGTCGAGGCTTGGGAAAGGTGATTGATGCATGCACACTCCGCAGCGCCGATTCAAATGGACACAGTCTGAGTGACTGACCAGCAAGCCCTCTCCCTCCCTCTCTCTGGCACGCGTTAGCTTTCGCGTGGAGGCCGGTGCGACAAAAAAAGAGGGTCCAGGCCATGCAAGATGCACGAAAGTACGAGGCAGCAAGCAGCTCGAGTGTCCTGGGACAAGAGCTCATTCCACAGCCTCGGTTCGTCTCCCTCTCGCCGCCGTTTCATGGCAGAAAATTAAGTCGGAAAAGTCGGAAAAATGCCTCTAAAAGGAGGCACGAAAATGATCCGCTTTATTCGAGGGTTTTCGGTTCTCGCACGAGAAAGGTAGCCATGAGAAAACAGAGCTCGAACTGGAAGAACTGCTTTTGAGCCCTGGCTTCGAGTCATGCCAGAAGAAAGAGGCAGCTGTAGTCAAGCCAGACTGGCCAATGGGAGAGGGAGAGGGAGAGCTTGGCGGGTTCGTGCGGGGCTACTTTCAGAAGATCCTTCTGAGACGCCGAGTCGAGCATTCACTTCTTCTTCCTCCTTTTCCCACCATCTCTGCTCGAAGACCAAGATGATGGCATCAAGATCAGCGACGTCGCTGTTTCGCGTTGCGGCTGCATCGCGCGCGCCCATCCGCTCCTTCTCGTCCACCGTCGCGGCTGCGCTTCCCAACTCGACCGCGGCGCGACAGAACCCCTCGCAACCCCAAGAATCTGACTCGACCTCGGCGCTCGATTACAAGCTCGCACACAAACTGCGAAAGCTTCCACCCCTCCCTTCGCTCGAGCCGCCCTCGCTCGATGCACCTCAAGCGGTGTCCAACATCCTGTACAACACGCCACCGCCGTCCAAAGCCCCCTTCAAGCGACACACGCTCAACTGTCTCGTGCAGAATGAACCGGGTGTGCTCTCCCGCGTCGCCGGCACTCTCGCTGCTCGAGGCTTTAACATCGACTCGCTGGTGGTGTGCGGGACGGAGATCCGCGATCTCAGTCGAATGTGCATCGTCCTCCGTGGTCAAGATGGCGTGATCGAACAGGCGAGGAGACAACTCGAGGATCTCGTGCCTGTATGGGCCGTGTTGGATTACACCAACACTAAGGTCATTGAGCGCGAACTCATGTTGGTCAAAGTCTCCATTCTTGGCCCCGAGTACTTTGAAGAATCTCAGCAGGCGAGCAACAACCCAGCAGGAACCCCGGAGCTCATTGCCGAACGAGAGACGGATTCGTCCAAACCCGCAACTCCACCCAGCACCCCCGCACCGCTCACGCCCACGGAAGCGCTCCGCGTCAAGAGCGACAACATGCGCTCCGTCATCGCCTTCGCAGAACAGTTCCGCGGTCGCGTCGTCGATGTCTCTAGCACAAGCGTCATCGTCGAGATGTCCGGAAAGAGCTCCAGGTGCGACGCCTTCTTGAAGCTGGTGAGACCATTCGGCATCTTGGAGTGCGCAAGGAGCGGTACCATGGTCCTGCCCAGGAGTCCGATTCCCAGCTCGTATGCCGGTGCGGAGGATTTGACTGAGGAGGAAGTTGAGGCTGTTGATGCTGGTGCCCTGCCCCCCGGCTAAGCGGGGATGCTCGGACAGAACGATGTTCTGCAGTTGTAATGCATGTGTTTGGTCTTAGCAATGCCTCGTGTGACGTTAGTTGGATGTGATCCTGAGGTCGAGCGGATGGCTCGGGTCGACCTTTGCTAGCACACCCGCAACACGGCTCTTTGGAAGGACAATCGCCACGGTGGGCTTGCGTAATGACTTTTGAGTAGGCTAGAATACAAGATACGATCTGACAAGACGAGGACGAGATAGAGCAAGGTGCGAGATGATGCAGGGCGCTGAGAGAAACAAGAGATGCAAAGCGGAGCGAGTCCAAGAGACACACGAAACAGACGGAGACGAATTTGGAGAGAGCGGGACGAGAAAACTACCACTCGTCCATCATCATCTCGTTGATGCCACCGGCGGCCTGTCTCGCCGCCTCCTGATCGCCCTCGACGTGCTCCCAGAGCGGCTTGCCTGCGTGCTGCTGGGCAAAGTATCGATTGGCAGGTGCGCCAGTGCCGTCGTCCGAAGGTGAAGGCGTGGGTGGAAACTCGACGCCCAAGGGGAATCTCATCTGCGCAGGTGGCGAGGCGGGCACCTCGTTCTGATGAGCAGAGTTCGACGGCTCGATGACCATCTGCACATCGGCGTTGCCTTCGAGCAGGTGCAACTCGTCCGACTTGATGAATGTGTAGCCGTACGAAGTGACCACTTTGAGCCAGTGCGAGGTGGACGAGACACCAGACTCGGCGGTCTTGCCCTTCGTCGTGGCGGACGAGTGGGTGAAGATGTCGCGCTGCTGGTTGTTGGGGTTGGCGGTGAGGTCGTCGAGCGTCACATCGGACGAGCTCGCAAAGGGGTCTTGCGAGTGCAGCGACCCGGGTGTGTGGAGGGGAGTCTGCAACTGTTGCTGCTGCTGCAGCTGGAACATACTCGAGGATCGCGAGCCTCGGAGTGGTATCATGGGACGAGCTCGCTTGCCAGCAAGAGGCGAGGTTTCGACGTTCTCCTCCTCGGTCTTGCGCTTTGGCGTGGGCGAAGAGCCGCCGGCCATGGTGCTGAGGTAGGAAGTCTTGACGGCGGGGGAAAGCAACATGTTGGGCGAAACTGGATAAGTTGATACCAATGAGATATATGAGTGTGAGATGAGGCTTTCTTGTCACCTGTAATCGAGAGGCGAGTGGTAGATGAGAGGAAATAGAAAGGGGAGCAAGTGGCCTGCACTTGTCAAGGTGGCTGGGCTCTTCGGAAGCTAGTTGGAAGGACGTGTAGTGGTGCGCGTTTGCGGTGTGCGGGAGAAAGGGGAAGGACGGTCGTTGTGAAGGGGCAAGGTGGATGAAGCGAGTATGGTTGAGGGGGGGAAGGGAGGAAGGGTAGACAGGAAGGGCTTCCACTCTTCTCACCTGTCCATCTCCGCGTTCGGATTGCGGAACTGCAGCCAGGCAGCCCAGCAGCTCAGCCGAGCGGCAAAGCTTCTCGAGCCAAAAGAGAGAAAGCCTTCAGAGCGGAGCGAGAGACAGTGGCTCGCAAGCCTAATCTTTTCGGCAACCGTTTCGAGCCGCTTTTCCTGAATGAATTTTCATTTTTCCCCACTGCAGCGCCACTCTTTGGGAGAGGTTCGACCGCCAAATCTCACTTCTAGCGCATTTTTCGCCTTTTTCGGGCATAGAAAATGATTAAGTCTGCAGCTCTTCCGCCGCGTCCTGCTGCCTTTTACGCGACGACGCCGCCTCCGAAAGTGGACAAAAATCGAAATTCTTTCTTTCGATGCGGGAGGTCGTAATGACACGGCAGCGCGACGCGCCCTGTTCACACGAGCTTGCCAGTCTCTCTTGAGGCAAGCTTTCGGCCGATAAAATTGTCGCAGGCCAAAGCCTCTTACAGCTGTCAAAGTGCTCTTGATGCAAAGCGCCTTTCATCGGTATACAAAAGGCCGGCAATGAGCTCTTCTTGCCTGCTGTTCACTCGTCGTCTCACGTCGCTGCTGCTCAACAGCCTTCCCACAAATCACGTAAAGAAACACGGTTGACGTGGTATTGGTATTACTGCTAGTGACGTAGCGTAGCGTTTTGTGGTTGGGGCCGTCGAAACAGGAGCTATGCAACTGCTCGTTGCCCCTGAGATGCGTGAAGCGTGCGATATGGATGCGGGACGAAAGCGCTGGCGACAAAAGTGCAGGTGTAGTACAGATGTGTAAGGGGTAGTTGGGGGCGGAATCTATGCAAAGAGACACGGGAAGGACACTACCAAGAACCGAGGGGAAGCAACCGTTCAAACAGAACGAGACCGAAAAAGGGAGGATGGTAACACAATAGAGAGAAGTGGTAAAAGAGAGAAGATGCGGGAGCCAAAAACGATGTTGAATCGACCAGAAGAAAGTTTAAAAGTCGAGGATGAGGGAAAGACCTTTCAGCCAAATCCTAAGCTGCTGCTGCTGCTACTGCGAGCGGACGATGCTTAGAAGTTGAGCTGCTTGGGCTGCTCCCAGGAGAACTCGGGTCGGCCGAAGTGACCACCAGCGGCGGTGGCAAGGTACTGGGGCTTCTGCAGGCCGAGGTCCTTGACAATGACACCCGGTCGCAGGTTGAAGTTGCTGCGGATGATCTTGACCAGCTCCTCGTCCGACTTCTTACCGGTGCCGTACGAGTCGACAAACACGGAAAGAGGGTCAGCGACACCAATGGCGTACGAGAACTGGACGAGCACACGGCGGGCAAGGCCAGCGGCCACGAGCGACTTGGCGACCCATCGCGCCGTGTAGGCAGCCGAACGGTCGACCTTGGAGAAGTCCTTTCCGGAGAAGGCACCACCACCGTGAGCACCCCAGCCACCGTAGGTGTCGACAATGATCTTACGGCCCGTGAGACCGGCGTCACCCTGAGGACCGCCAATGACGAAGCGTCCCGAGGGCTGGATGTGGTAGATGGTGTCGTCGTCAAGCAGGTTCGAGGGGATGACCTTCTTAACAATCTTCTCCATGATTTCGGATCGGAGGTCCTCAGTCGAGATCTCCTCGGCGTGCTGGGTCGAGATGACGACCGTGTCGACACGAAGGGGGATAGTGGCACCACCGTCCTTCTTGTACTCGACGGTAACCTGGGTCTTGGAGTCGGGTCGGAGCCAGCCGAGGGTGCCGTCACGGCGAGCGGCGGACATGGCAAGGTTGAGCTTGTGCGAGAGCATGAGGGTCAAGGGCATCAGCTCGGGGGTCTCGTCGGTAGCGTAACCGAACATGATACCCTGGTCACCGGCTCCGTGGTCCTCGAGCGAGCCGTGGTCGAGACCCTGGGCGATATCGGGCGACTGCTGCTCGATGGCGACGAGCACGTTGCAGGTCTTGTAGTCGAAACCCTTCTCGGACGAGTCGTAGCCGATCTTCTTGATGGTGTCACGGATGACCTTCTGGTAGTCGAGCTGGGCCTTGGTCGAGATCTCGCCGAAGACCATGATCATACCGGTCTTGGAGGCGGTCTCACAGGCGACCTTGGAGTTGGGGTCCTGCTCGAGGCAAGCGTCCTGTTGTGCGTCGAGAAGGGGCAAATGCATGGCAGGGACATTGTCAGCCTTTCGTTCTATCCAGATTGTCGCGAAACATCGTCTGCAGCGCTGCGAGGTCCGCTTCAGCGGCTTCTTCGGCTGACAGTACAATCGACCCATTCCAGCGCGCTGCTAGCCTGCGGACAGGTGCCAGAACACCTGTTTTGTATAATCTTGCCCTCCTTCTCGGTGCAGAATCACGAGGAGAGGCCCAGCAGCGAGGTTCCGATGCGCACTGTCTCCTTTCCCCACCGATGCATTTCGATTTGCTACTTACGAGGATGGCATCCGAGACCTGGTCACAGATCTTGTCGGGGTGTCCCTCACCGACGGACTCGCTGTGATGCGAAGCGATGCGCGAGAAGAATGGAGCCAAAGAGCAAATGCAAGAAGGTGATTGTCAGCGATACATTCTAGCGAAACAGGAGTCGCTGCTTTTGTGCAAACAGGATCTGACTGCACGTCAGTGCAATGACAACCTACGAAGTGAAGAGGAAGTGGCCCTCGGGGAGGGTGCGGGCACCGGCGGTCTTGGAAGCAACCATTTTGATCTATGTGAGATGGAGGGTTTGCGGAAGGGAGAGGATGGATGTGTGTGGTGAGAGAGAAAGAAGGACAAGCACAAGGCGTGGCTAGTCGTCGGCGGCGACGACGTCAGGTTGGGCAGCGAGCACGAGGGCGGCAAAGCAAAGGTCCACTCTGTGCCTTTTGGAAGAACTTTTTCAGAAAAAAGCACGACACAGAGCCAGAACAGGGACGTGCGAGGCTTCGGAGGGCACTTTGCCTGTCACACAGACAGGGTCTTTGAGAAGAAATTTCAGAAGAATCCGTGTGCCACACTCACAGACTCAGACTCTACGCACACGCACAGGCTGACACGCAACAGGCAATACAGGCGTCGGGTTGAAAATCAGTTGATCATCGCCTGCCGCCGTGAAACGAGGCTGTTTGCCGTTGGCACGCGCTTCTCCCACTCTCTCTCGCTCTTTGTTGAGAGACCCTTTGGCGAGCAGCATGCAGATCCGTAGGAACGTGCCCATGCTCACCGACTGTCCCCGCCGACCGGACCAGCGACGTGGACTTCCTTGTTGTCTTTGCCGTCTTCTTGTTGAACGCACGTCTTGTTCACCAAGAAAAGAAAGCACAGACCAGGAGCGACATTGCGTTCGAGAACCGAGTGCAGGTCCATGCCGATTCCTTTCATCCACGCATGAGCGTATCCGCACGTCTTGTGTCGACACAAGCTCAAGATAGTCCCTTCAGGATCATATGAGATGTCACTCAGCTCCGTCCGTGGCTCCTCTAATGAAGCAAAGCGCGACGCTCGTCTGAATGGCGCACGTTGATGGTCATCAATCGACGCAGCGTCGAGAAGAGTGTTTGAACCCACCACCACAGCCTGCAGAAGCGTGCATCGATATGGCGTGCTCAAGCCGCGTTCCTTCTTGATCCGTCACATCCGCCTGCCAATCGTGCGATGCGGGTTTGATAGAAGGCTTCATCGGGCATAGATTTATGGTAATGTTACAGCACATTTTGTCGAACTGGTCGAATATTGCTGGCGCATCCACGTGATCTGACCCACTGAGCCAGCGATTTCTACTAGCCTTTCGGAAAAAGTTGGAGCTTTGTCAGGCGCAACCCTTTCTTCTTGGATCACGCTCTCGAGCTCATCATCGTCATCACTACTCGACAGCATCACCCACCTCCCTCTCCAACAGCCGCGGCGAGCCCGTCACTACAACGATGCGCAAAGCCAAAGTCTTCAGCCATGAGACCATCATGCCGCGCATGTCGTGGTCTCCGCGCAATCTGTACAACCTCCTCGCACGTTCGACCGTTCCCTTCCACTCCTCGCAAACGACCTTCACCAAGACTTCGTTGACGATGTATCAGCAGCGATGGCGGTCCAAACGTTTTCTGCGGGCGTATCACGGTGATTGGATCCCCGAAAAACGCTTCAAGCGATGGTTCCTGCCTACCGACCTGCCGAGTTTCGTTCCGCCCCAAGTATCCGCTTCGAGCTCGGCGAGTTCTGCAGGGCCCCGACGAGGTGGGTTGTTCGACAAGGCGCTCCAAGCCAGGCGGTCCGATGGAGCTCCCTTCACCGAAGAGAAGGAAGGATATGCAAACGTAACACAACAAAAGGTGGTCGAGGAGATGGACGCCATGCCTACCGCATCGTTGTTCATGCGCGATGTCGAGCGGCGATTGGACGTGGTCGTCTTCCGATCGTGCTTCGCGAGAAGCGCCTACGAGTCGAGATCCATGGTGGTGCAAGGAAAGGTCAAGGTGAATGGGGTTAAGTGTAGCAATCCGAATCACCTGCTACAGCCGGGGGATTTGATCAATGTCGAGCCCGCGGCGGTGCCGATGCTGAGCAAGGAGCTGGCCAAGAAGGCGAGCGCACAGAAGGTGAATGATGCCGTGACGGGCGAGGCGGATGCTACGGAGGCTGCAGAGGCTGCCGACGCCGAAGCTGCGGAGAGCAATGAGGGCGGATCGAGCGAGGCTACCACAACAGAAGCAACCGCCTCATCCTCAGAAGCCGCATCCTCCGACAAGCCTGCCGAATCTTCTCCATCAACTTCCTCGGACAGGGGCAAAGCGAAAGAGACCGAAAAAGTCCTCCCACCAGGCGTACTGCCCTTCACCCTCCCGGACTACGCCGCGCCCTTCCTCTTCATCCCGCCCTACCTCGAGGTCTCGTTCACCACGTGTTCCGCGATCTATGTGCGTCATCCCACCATTGTCCCCTCCCGCACGTCCACCGACGGCAAAACACGCTGGACGTTCCGCACCGATCTCCCCTCCCCTTACCCCGCGGGCGGCGAGCTCTACTCCATGGCGTGGGAGCATTACACCCGCAACGCACCGCGCACACGTGCCGACGCACGACGTGTCAAGCTCGAGGCGGAAGCAGGCAGGAACGGGTTCGATACGATGAGGGCCAAGGATCAGAACATGAAGAGGTCCGCGCTGAGGAGGGGTTGGGGAAGGACGAAACCTGTCGAGGGTTGGAGGAGACATTTGGACGCGGCGAGGGCCAGGGAGGCTAGCAAGTGGTCCGCAGCTAGGGTCGTCGCATGAGCCGGCTTTCACATAGCATACCATCACATCATAGCATGCATAGACAGGATTTGAGAGTGCACGACGCCGAACGAGGATCGGGTGGTTTGGTGAACATAATGAGTCCTTTTCGGGTGAAGTGGTACATGCTGAGCTTTCCTCTACACCTGCTCGCCAATCAAGTAGTTCGAGGGGACTTGGGCTCCTCCGCCTCCCCATTCTCCATCGTCACATCGACCCCCTTCTCCTCCACCTCACCCGGCACACCCTCGGCCACCGTCGAGCTGGGCGTCGCAGCATCCGACCGAATCAACGACAGCAACTCCGACTCATACGTCAGATTGTCATCCGCTATCCCGACCTTCATCGCCTCACTGATCAACTCCTCTCTCGCCTGTTCGTCCTGCTCCACGGTCGAAGTCGTATTCTCGACCCTGGCGTAGACAACCCAGAAGACGCCCGAGGACGGGTCTTGTGGTCGGCCCATAATCACGTCCTCTTTGTCGACGGCGATCGCTTGACCATTGGCGATCTTCCACCAAGAGCCGTTGGGCTGTTTGACGAGCGCAACACATCGACCGAGCTCGTTGTACAGGACCGCACAGAGATCGTACGCGAGCTGCGTCCATTCTGGATTGGAAGCCTCGCGTTTGGCGCGGTCGGCAACGAGGGCGCGCTTGGCATCGATCTGCGCTCGGATCTTGGCGATAAGCTTGTCGGTGGCGGCGAGGTCGGCTTGGACTGCGTCGAGGATCTTTTGGATCTGCGGCGCTGCTTCTGCGAGTGAGGAGGATCGGATGGCATCGGTGCCGTCGCCAGGTGTCGCAATTTGTTCGAAGTAGCGTTTTGCGCCCAAGAGCACCTCGTTGGCTGGCCGCCCGCCGTCGCCGAGAAGTTTGCGTTTGCGTGCTTCGAGGTCCTGACGTATTGCATCGAGGCGCACCATTTCGAGATCACGAAGCTCAGCATCGAGTCGAACGCCCTGCCGTCGGTCCCACATGAGCGAGTCGAGGTGAATGCGTTCGTTGATGGTGAACGGTGGTGGACCTCCTTCGGCTGTGGGGAGGGCGTGGTCGATGCCCATGCTGATGACGCTTGCTGTCCGCGTGAGCAGAGCGCCTTCGCCATCGGACGCCAGCGCAGCCCGAAGACAGGAGTAGGTGTCTGAGTTGACCGAGTCGTGACGCAGCTGCAGGAAGCTTCGGTGTTGCTCGACCTTGGGTGGTGATGATGAGGATGATCCTGACTCGCCATTGAGACGGGGCGAAGCTGGATGAGTGAGAGCAGCCGCTCCGCTGGACAGAAAGAGTGCGTCTGTCATCCACAAGGCATCCGTGTCGACGGGCTCCGCATTGGGTGTGTTGAGAATCGTGTCCGTGAACGCCGAGATGTGCTTGCCAAGACTGTCCACTACGAACTCGTAAAAGAGACTGGCGACCTTGGCAGGGGCCGAGTGGTCCGCGCCTCGTGCGATCACCTCGCTGGGTGCCAGCGAGGCCACGTCCTGCACCACGCAGAGTGGCCTTTGTGAAAGTGTCGCAAAAGCGAAGAGCGTCTGCAGTCGCCGCGAAAGATCCATGTGGGCGTCCAGTTTATCTTGTGGTGCGTCCAAGCTCGAGTCGGTGGGTGCAGCTCCCTTCCAAAAGTTGGACAAGTCCGAGCCACGATTGTCGATCGGTCGAGATGCTAGGTAGGCTGTGCGAACCTGTGGCGCTGCGAACAAGGCTTGCAGTAAGCTGGCGACGATCTCAAGCGAGGCGAACGGCGCCACCATGGCAATCGGCGCTCCCTGCACTCGACGGCTCTGCAGATTGAAATCGAGGTGCTGAGGAAGCGCTGGCGTCCTTGCACCGGAGCCCGTGGTTTGCATGAGGTCGTGATGGCTTTGTACACTTGCTTCGAGCGCTTGTCGTATCTGCTCGTCCTCCGACATGCCGATATCCTGTGGTGTCCAAGTGCAGAAGAGAGGGCGAAGAATGCGTCAGTGAAATCGCTCGTTCTGGCATCTCATGACGCTGATCAGTGTGGGAGAGCGCACCGTATTCCAGCTGCTCCAACCTTCGACGCCTTTGCCCCGACCTTTGCCCCTTCTGCTGTTGCGTCGTCCGTATGTCCTCATGTCGCGACCTCGAGAGGGCGCTTCGGTCTGGCATTGGCCGAGGATGGTCGGCGTCTTTTCTGCCTTCTTGATCTTAGTGCGATCGCGAAGGCCGTATCTGCGTGCTTCAACGAACTCGTCGTCGGTGTCCTGCTCCTCGGAGCCTCTCTTTTTGCCGGCGTTGTCCCCTGCTGCATTGGACGCGAGCATCCTCGGCGATTCGAGCACGGCGGAGGGGATCGAAGTGTTTCGGTCCAGTTGCAATTGGTCCTCTTCCATCTCGTCCACGTCCATCTGTACAACATTTTGGTCCTCGAGCCCGCCCTCCCATCCTCTGCATGGAGACCCGGATCTTTCGTCACTTACGCCAATCGACCCAGTTGGAGCTGCTGGTCTGCCTGCGGCTTGTTGCGATTGGTGGTCCTGAAGCGAGGCGGCCACGGCTCGCCTAAGATCCTCGTCCGTGTCGGCGTCGGCGGTCAAGTCGATCACATCTGTTGGACAAGGTACGGAGAAGGTCAGTCAAAGATCTCGTCATGAACTAGAGCGAGGTCGAACACACCTTTCTTGTTGCCGGCCCAACCCTGGCCGGACGCTGGAGGGGGCCCTGTCGGAGGAGCATAGGCTGGATTGTTTGGCACGTCCCATCCTGATCCTGACGCAGTAGACGGATCTGCGGGTCCTTGAAAGGGAACAATCGCATTTGAGGAAGCTTGCGAGTTCGAGCCTGGTGGGGGTCTCTGTCGAATGCAGCACGACCCAAGCGAAGGTCAGAGTCAGCTTGAGCGTGCTTGTTGTGCTTGTTGTGCGAAGTCCACCTTTGGGCGAATGAACACTTACTTCTGGTGGCGGATCGTCAAAGAACGAATTGACCGCCCTTTCCACGCTGCCATTGGACCTCTCTAGGACCGTGCGAGCTTGATAGTCATTGCAACCGGTAAACGCGCAAACCTCCTGTATCTGAGCCGAGTGGTCGGCCATGTTGTACGATGCTGGGAGGCGCTGGCGTCGTGTACCAAGCGACGCGCTCGATGCAGCCTGTTTCAGAGGGTCAGAGACACCTCTAGGCGATCCAAGAGAGTACGGCGACAAAGACGCGGAAGGTGAGTGGTGTCGAGAGTCAGAAGACGTCAAGCAACATCAGAAGGTCGAAAGGCCCCTGCGTAACCAACACTTTTTGGCGGAGCAACCGTGATGTGGAGCTTTTCGAGGGTCCACAGGCGATTTTTCGGCCGGAACGTAAATTTTCAAAGCTTTCTTCCAGACTTTGAGATTTGATGATGCTCTTTCGCTCACTTCGACATCCACACCATCACTCTGTCGCACCTAGCCATCTACTGTCCGCTCTCAAGAACGAGGACAGATCTCTTACACAGCTTGCACCACATTCCTGATCGACTCGACACCACCTGATAGACACGATGAGGTCAACAGCCGTCAAGATGCTCAAGGTCAAGCCCCTTCCCGCTTCCGCCATCCAATCGCTGCGACTGCCACCATCGACGTCCGTATCCAGAGCCAACATCATCACAGCAGCAGCAAAGGCACCAAAAGCAGCATCGGTAGATGTAGCAGCGGAGCTCGAGAAGAAGGTGCTTGCACGACAAGAGCTGGGTGACAATGTGCGCTTCTCGAATCATGTCAACAAGAGGGACTTGTACTGGAAGGTGAGTAGTTTGCAAAGATTTGATGGCAGCGCAGGAAGATACTGACTGATAGGATCTCGCATCGTATTGGCATGACAGGTCTCAAAACCCCAGCGCGACGTTCTAAAGAAGCTCCTCAAGGAGGCATAAGCCTCCCGTTTCGATCATCCACCTGTATTTGTACCAGCAATCTCACAGCATTTGTTCAGCACACAACGGCTCGCCCTTCGCCAGGATCCGAGCGATCGCAGAGGAAGACTCGAATCACGGTCGATTCGACGATGTAATTGCGGCTTTATTTGCAGATTCAGCAGTCGATGCATGAAAGGCGCGACCCGAAAGCAGGAGGGAGACGGAGTCTTGAGACAGCAGCTTGGTTTTGGGGCACTAGGAGGACATGGCTGAGACGCACTTCGACTCAGACTAAGCGACGTCACGATTCATGTGGCTCCTCCTCGCGGCACGACGCAATTCAACGGGACGCAAATGTGGCAGAGATGCTGCGGCAAGGCGCAGAAGCTGGAGATGAGGCTATCCCGAGAGAGAAGGAAGCGCGACAAGGGAAGGGCCCTCGCCGAACAGGTCACAGTCTGACTGAGAGAGTCACGACATTAGAATCGCCTTACGCTGAGGCTGTCGAGATGAGCCGACGGATCGGAACGCCTCCGCTTCGGCTTCCGCGGTTTGCTGCTGACGTGAAGCGCCGTCGGTAGCCGCCGATGTGAGGATCAGTAGGCAGCACCATGTCCGACTGGCCTGGATCTTTAAGAGCGCCCTCGGATGCTCTTAGCGATCACTGACCCTGCATTGTGAGCAGAGCAGAGCGTCGATGTCAAAGTCCGGACAAGATCCGAACGAGCGCGGTCGCCTTGCATTGGTCTGCCTACGAGCAGCGACGCGCTTGTCAAGATCGAGGCTATCTATGCACTCCTGCAGGTGACTAGTTTGCATGCAAACAAAAGTGTCTCCGACACGCTCGGATCGCTGCCGAGAAGCTCAGCAAGCTAGCCCACTGGCGACCGATGCGAGCGAGCGAGAGCGATGTGACGGCTTGCATTGCGGCAGCAAACTACACCGCCTGTACCGATTCAATGTGATTTTGATGTTCTCACGCCGCCCAGTCAGGAAAGACGCCGCAGGACGCGTGCGAGCAAGACCAACACCGCACTCCGCTCGGTCGCGGCCAGAGGCAAACCTTCTTTTTGTGTGTGTTTGAAATTCCCGCGTGGGGTCGGACTGCAGAGCGGACTGGCTCATTCGGTCATGCATACCGCCAAGAGACCATATCGCGGCGTCAGGAGCTCATCAGCATCACCACCATCGGCATCGTTGATCCCTGACATCGTCGTCTCTCAGCGTCGGATACCGACGGACACAGCCATTTGCCCTTAGCTCGTCTTGCCCTCTTCTCGTCGCGGTCCTATTTGTCATCGTCGGATCTGCCCACCTGCCAAGAAACCTCATCAACGGAACTCCCACCGAACCCTACCCTGATCATTCGCTCGCGTCGGATCGATACCGACACTTCATCTCATCGAGACATCACACTGCAATCATTGCTCCGTGACTTGCGGATCGCCTGGACGCCGCTGGACGACACCCATTGACCGGTAGCAATACGCACCTACCTTTCGGTAATCCCATCAGCCCCTCCAGCACAGACCCAGCCATCACCACATCATGACACTCATCCACAAGTCATCACTATATCAATAAGCCTCGTCATCGTCTCGTTGGTGACCAACGCCCACATCACGTCATCCGCAAGCCATGCTGCGCACCATGGCATCGGACCACGACGACAGGTCCAACACCTCGCTTCGCACGCCTCTGTTTCGACGACCCAGCAACGTCTCGCCCTCGTCCTCACAGTTTACCTCGCAGCTTGACTCGAAACATGCCTATCTGTCCCCCGAAGAGAGACGCTACCACGCCGAAGCGGCTTGGTCTGACGCGTCGATATCCCCGCTTTCGAGCAACGCCGTCTCGCCCAACGTCAACTATGATCGTGAGCTTCCTCAACTGCCGCCTGATGCGCTCGGCGAGATCAACACCAACCGGCTCGCCTCGCGCGATCTTCCGCGCACCGACGACGAGGTGGGATTCCGGCATGTCCCCGAGTATGGTCCCTCGTCCCCTTCCAACTTCAAGAGCGACATGAGCAGCAAATCATCCGCAGCTCTCCGTTTTGCGAGCGCCTCCACCTCGGCCGCCGTCTCTGCAGCAGGCGTCGGTCTCAAGAAGCTCGGCAAGAAGGCGTCCGCGGCACGTCTGCGTCGAGCCAACACCAGCCAGGGAGCTGCAGAGCGCGATGCAAGCTATGCAGCCATGCGCGATGCATACTCGCCTCACAGCGCTACATGTGAGACGCCATCGGACGACTCGTGGACGCGTCCCGGCTTCACTGTGGCATCTGGCTCTCAACATCCTCGCAGCCACAGTCGCAATCCCAGCAACGCTGAAGCTGCATTGTATGCCTTCGTGGACCACGCCGATCCCGCCATCGGCCTACCCTACGACGTCGCGCATAATGTCCACGTCGATATCGGCCCGCAAGGCTACACAGGACTGCCGGCGTCCTGGGCGAGCATATTGCTGTCCGAAGGTATGGACAATCGAGATGTTCACGCTGATCCCAGCGCAGCAGCCAGGCTCATCATGGACAAGACCGAATTCTATGTCCAGCGGGCCGTACACAGCGGTGGCGACGCCGACGACACGCGCCGCGTTCTGTCCCAGAGACTTGCCCAAGATCCAGTCCTCAGCGCGGCGGTGGCGTCCAACGCTCATCTGTGGCCAGCCGGAGCACGGCGTGGTAGCGACCATTCCAGAGCCAGCACCTCCTACAGCAGCGTTCTCGAAGCAGGGTGGGACCTCAGCGCGCCGCGAAAGACACCATCCTCGGACGAGGCCTCCTCTCTACCGTCCAAGAGTCCCTTGCTGCCTGACTTTGCTGCCGAAGATTACGACGACTGGGCCACCTCGCTTCTCAGCTCCATCCCTTCAGCCGCCAACGACAAGCAAAGCAACCCAGCGAAGGGATCTCAGAAGAGCACAGAACCGGTGTCACGTCGGCAAGACGGCTTGTCCGCACAACAAGGTGAGGAGAGCTCGCTCAACGGCCTTGGCATCGGTATGTCTGCCCACGACACTCCCAAATACACGGTCCAACGCGACCGCGTCCCATCTCATGCCACCCCCAAGGCATCTCAACGCATGCGAGCAGCCATCGGCATGGATCCAGGTTCCGACCGAGGTCAATCTGGCCGCACACTCCTCGATCAAGGGCAGCAGAGGCTTGACGAAAGCCCTGACATGGCCAAAAGAGCCAGCATGGATCTGCACGACGATTTCGAAACTGTTCAGATCGCTCAGGCTGCCGTCGTCACCAAGAGTGTCTTCAGACCAGTTCGGGCAAGCCAGCTCGGTGCACGCAAGGTGTCTCCTTCCGCAGCTTCGCTGGACTTCGGCATCTCGCAACTGAGTCCGAGCGCAAGCGGCGATGCCATCGAGACGCATGGCCGCGTTCAACGCTCGCCGCATCCTCCTAGCGCTTCTCGTTCGCCCTCCTTTCGGGCGGACATGAACACGTCTCGCTGTGGCTCCGCCGACTCGTACGCGTCCGCTCGGTCCCGTCCGGACGTGTACGCTCGAGAGAGGAGTGGCTCGAATGCACCTCTGCCTCGCATCCACACGGAGAATGTCTCGACCGTTCTCGAACGGGCTGTTACCAGCTCGCCCCTCGATACCAGCTCGTCCGGTCACTCGTCGATGCGCACAAGAAGCCCAGCTCCTACCATCGCCACCTCCTCACTGGGTCACGGCCACGGCAACAATCCTGGACCCGTGCCTCATAGCTCACCGTCACCGAGCCTATCCGTCCGAGATTCCGTGTTGCCTGCCGTGCCCCCCAAAGATATTGATTGGCGCGCACGCTCCCCGGCACTGTCCGTCACCGCTTCCGAGCCCGAAGTGGCTGTAGCTTCGCCCGCGGGAGCACAGACTGCGTGGCGGTTCGCAAAGAAGGGCCCTTCGTCCCTCGATGGCGGCCACACCGCTGGTCAGGGTCACCGGGCGCAGGAGAGCTGGGCGAGCGCGGCACCTTCGATCACCACCTCCGAGGGCAGGAATAGCGTGACGACAGGTCTTGGACTGCGAGATCGCCGTCAGGCTCCACCACGCATATATCCTCCTTCGTCCTCGACTCGATGGGCACACATCGCCCTACGAGACGATGCCTGCAGTCCCGGTGCGTCCTCAGTCTCGAGCAGACGTACGCAACAGTCGCCCGTGCAGGGCCCGATCTCCAGAAAGACATCCGCGGACAGCCTGTCTCGACCGGAGCGCAGTCCCCTAAGCAGCCACTCGCACGGCTCAGCATCCCGCGAATACGGTGTCTCCTCACTGAAAGGCCACGGACCATCACACTCGCAGCAGCAAACGGTGGAGTCCCACAGGCGTGAGGCGGACGGCATAATCACTTCGAGTGAAATTCACACTTCCGCACGCGACTCTACGGGACCGCCGCCGCCGCCACCTCCTAAGCCCACGGTGGTGATACGAAAGCAGCCAGAGTACATATCTCCAGGAGCAGATGGATTCTACACGATACCCCCCTTGCCCGCTGCGTCCACCAACGGTACTGCTGCTACTACCTCCGATCGGCTGCGACCACCGTTCCTGTCACCTGCGCTTTCCCCGGGATCTCCAGCCTCCCCGGCGTCTCCGGCATCCCCAGCGTCGTCAGGTGGAGCATCGGACTATTATTCTGCCATCGACCAGTGGATGCGAGACGACTATCTGGATCGATCGCCATCGATGTCGACAATGGCCGACGCATCACCCAATCCTTCAGATGGCAGCCGCGGATCGCCTTTGCTGCCATTGCCCAAGGAGCAGGAGGGGGCTGACAATTTCTCACATGCGTCGCCTCGTTTGCACGAGGCTGAGTTTATCCATGCTCTACGGTCACCAAAGGAGCAGCTCCCACCGATTCCCTCCAAGGATTCACTGGACCGCTTTGCGAATGCGCCGCCAGCATCGGAACAGGTGCCTCGGCTTGCATCTGCAGCGCCGCCTCGCCTTGAGCTGAGCAAGACATTCTCTACTTTCTCCAGCTTCGAAGCAGAGTATCCCTCGCCTTCGTCGCCTGGCGACGCTTTCGAGACGCTCGACGACGTGACGTCGCACCGAGCTTTCGCATCTCGCAAGGATGGCGAAGCTGCTTCGTCGCCCAATCGCCGCCGTGACAAGAAGGGGCGAAGCAAAGGGACCTGTCCGCACGCTCGAGAACGCGACGACACCAGATCCATCATCTCGATCGGACCACGTGCCCAAGAGGATGCCGGGCGCTTCCCGGTCTCGATGCACTATGCTAGTGGTTTCGAGACGGCATCGATGATGGGCGACGATTCGGAAGCGATCCAGTCGTTCCGCGAATTGATGCTAGCGCGTCAGTCCATGGACTTGGAGGAAATGATGCCGATGCAGATAGGATCGGACGAAGCACCGCCGGTCCCGGCGTTGCCGAGCAAGGCAGAGCTCGAAGCGAAAGTTGCAGCCGTCAATCTAATGCGCACAATAGATGCGGAGCAGCGTGGACGACCAACGAGAAGCCCGGTTCCGGGCGGTGACAGTGGCTCAGCATCGCCGAGACTCGGCAAGCAGGATTTCAGCACCATGGCAGTCGCTCTCCCACCCAAATTGGCTCATCTGCGCGAAGCCATCGAACTGAAGCCGCTGCAACAGAACGTGCTGCAGGACATGCAAATGATTGGCGAAGGCGAGAGCGGGCCCGTCTTTGCCGCTAATGATGTCCTCAAGAGGCGGCGAGTGGCCATCAAAAGCATCCGGTTCACCACCGATCCCGACGCGGAGCCTTCCGCGCGTCTTTTGGGCTTGGTGAAAGAAGTCAGTGTTTGGCGACGCTGCCGTCACGTCAACATCCTCGACCTCTATTCGACCGTCCTCACGGACAACGCGATCTGGTTGGTGCACGAGCTGGCAGACAGGAGCCTGGCCGACCTAATCGCGCTGAAGGACGACGGCGTGGTGCTCAAGGAACCCGAAATGAGCCGCGTTCTGTGTGACATGGTCGAGGGGCTGCAGTTCCTGCACAGCAAGAGCATAACGCATCACGACGTCCGCAGTGACAATGTCATGATCTCGAGCACGGGCGTGTGCAAGCTGAGCGACTTTACGCATGCCGCCGAACTCAGCGCTGGGGTCCGCTCGCGTCACTCGGTGATCGGCACGCCGTACTGGATGGCTCCCGAAGTGATCAAGGGCAAGAGCTACGGCATCACCACGCCCAGTGACGTGTGGTCGTTGGGCGTGGTGCTGTGGGAGATGATCGAAGGTCAGCCTCCGAGAGTCGAATTCCCACCGCTGCGGGCCATCATGTTGACAGCAGAGAAAGGATTGCCGGCATTGCGCGATCCGGGCTCGCTCTCGCACGAGCTCAAGTTGTTCTTGCACTGGGCGACGGAGATGGATGCGAACAAAAGACCGACCGCCGAGACGCTGGCGATGAGCGACTTCCTGGCGGATCCATGCAGCCGTGCGAGCATTGTCGCGTTGCTGGAGAAAGCGCGAACGGTCGAGATGGAAGCATCAGCAGGAGAAGAGGAGGCCGAAACGGACGGAGAGCGAAGAGACGGTGACTCTGGCACCCATGGCTTGCGACGCAGGGGGAGTTGGAGCAGTGATTCCACGACGAAGGGGTGAGCGGGGAGCTTGGACAACAATCACCACCTTGAGCACATGCAACGTAGCATTTGTCTTGGCATCGCCATGCGAGTCCAAGCTTAGGCAGAGGGCGGACTGGGCTTATCGTAGCGGCGCTGCCGCATACTCCCACACTCTTTCCATTGATTGCACAAAGGATTGTCTGCATCTGCGAACGCAACTAAGGTTCACCAGCATGGCAGAACAAAGGAAGCTCTCCTATCACTGCATCGAAATCGAAGACTCGAAAGGTGAGCGCAGCTCTTTGCCGGTCGTTCTGAGCCGGTTATAAATTGTTTAATTTTAAATATCGAGCTCTAAATTTTATTGGAAAACGCGTGTGGCCATCTCGCGCGTAGCCTGGCAGCTGAGTCGCAATCCATTTTTCTGCGGCACGCTCCTGTGAGCCTTTTTCACTTTCCCTTTCATCTTTTTGGTTGCCGTTGGTCGAGTGTTGGACCCTCTTTGTTCGTGGCGTTGGGTGCTCATGAGCTCGATCCTGCGCACACGCCGACACTATGAAGACTCACGCACCGACAGAATGCTGCCAAAGCGCAGATCGCAGATCGCAGATCACTGCAAGTACGCGGATCATTAGCGCCTCAAGCAGATTGATTCGTATGGACAGCGTCTGTGTGAGAGAGCAAGTCGAGTGCAAAGTGACACTTTGACTTGAGCTCGAAAAGAAGGCTCAGTCGGCCGTCTGAAAGAAAAAGCGCTTCACGCTGGCTCTATGCAATCCGCTTGGCCGCTTTCAAATTGCATTTGCCTCATGACAAGAAGGCCAAGTCTGCTCCTCCTCGAAAGAGGCTCAGCTTCTGAACCATCACATCGATCCACTCCGCTTCTGTCACATCTAGCTGGCTTCATCAAGCTCGACAAGGTTTCCATTGCCGTTTTCCGCTGCCTGTTCGCTCCACCCGCAGCGCCCGCATCATCTGACCCGCACTCAGAGCACGGTCACCTTGTCCATCATTCCCGCCCTGCGCTCAGCTTCTTTATCAGCATATCACTTCAAGCCGCAGTGATCTGGTCTCGCTCATCGTCTCGATCCCACCACAAGAGGCTGATTCTTGTCGCTGCGTCGCTGCATACGACCCGCCACTTCGTTACCGTAAGCTTGGCCACATTCATCAGAGCCATAGCGGCCCATCCCATTTGTCGCAAGACGTTCGGCAAGCTAGCAGCTGCCTGACGAGCGCATCTTCCGACGCAATCAGACTCTCGGATCGGACTCGCAGCCTTCCAGGTGCTGTTCGCCTTTCTTCGTATTCGCTGCTCAGCTTCAAGGTTGACCCCCGGGAGGTAGCCTCTCTGCAGGCATATCACTTTACTCGAGTCGCCGGCCGGCTTGACCCGCATACGTATCAGTCTTATTCTGAACAACGCATCATCAGCATTGCCGACAGCGCTCAGCTCTCCTCAAACCTCATTCTATCGCATCAGCAGCCCTTGCATCAAGCGGAACAAGAGCATCCCGCATTTCGTCTAAAGCACGTTCCCGCACCGCGACTCGTCTTCGTATCGATCACACTCCGCATCATTGCATTCTACCGCTCAAGAACTCGACCGCCCTCGATTGTCTGTTGGTCACCATTAGCAATCTCGACCCGTCAACCACGTCTTTCCAGCACTACAGCGATTGCCGCATTCCAATCACGGCCACTTCAGACAATCTAGCATACCTTCTTGTTCGCATCGACGACCCCGACGCAGCACTCGAATTAGCGCGCTCAACTTTCAGCCGGTAGCCTCCTCTCAGGGACGACCCTCGCGCTCTTGCACTTCAGTAAAGTCTCGTAACGAGTCACTACAACCATGCCCGTCTCGTCAACCACAGCGGGTGCCTCTCGCCAGCGCAGTCGGTCGCAAGATGCTGCTGTGTCCATCCCAAATTCACTCTTGGTAGACTCCGGACACTCTATATCCGCATCGCCGTCACGTCATCTGGAGACCTCCTCCGCGTCCAACTCTCGCTCTGTATCTGGCAGCTCGATCAGCTCAGACAGGTCCGATCGAATGGCATCCTCCACCACGTCTGCCGCACTCTCGGCACGTAGGCCCAGTACAGCGAGATCCGAAGCTTCCGCCAAGCTCAAGGCTACCCTCTCGGCGGCCTCGTCCTCCGACAAAGCCTCGTCGCAGCGAGGCGCTTCAGGTCAACAGCGCTCCAACAGCACCTCCGGCCAGGAGCGAGCTTCGACCAATGGCTCCACCGCAGCCTCGTCCTCCACTCTGTCCGCAGCTACCACGCCGGTTCGCAGGACGTCCGCACCAGACGGAAATCAAGCCCGTCCGCCGATGCAGCGATCTTCGACACAGGACGACAGCGTTCCGCATACGCCTCTCTCCCATTTTCGCGCCGAAGCGGCCAACCTCCCTGCCATTCCCTTGCAGGCTTTTGCTTTCACCCAAAGCCAGAACGGCGTCCATTCGCATACGAACAACCTCGAGGGCACCACCGGCTCGTTTGCTACAGGCTATCTCCCGTCTCAAATGAGCGCTGGGTCCGCTCCGCTCATGACTTCACCGAGCCGATCTGCACCCCTGCCAGCGGCCAATGGCAGCACCACCGCTTCCAACACGACTCCCTCCGCCTCTCCAAACGGTCGTGTGCGGTCTCAGACAGCCACGCCCGCCAACGCAACATCGCCCTACTCCGCCAACGGATCCAATGTCTCCTACCACGGCTCTCGCAGCATGCGCGCCAGTCCCCAAATGCGAGCACTGCCACAACAACATCACGGACTCGTCCCTTCCCTTCAGAGTCTGGGCGCTAGCATGCTCACATCGCCGTCGGCGGCAAGCTCGGGATATGGTCACAGTGCGTCTATGTCAGCAACAAGTCCAAGCCACAGCCAGACTCATTCCGGTCCACATTGGGAGCGTCACACCAACGAGCTGACCAGCTGCGTCGTCGCCTTCCTGTCGCCCATCCTTCCCACCGAGGAAGAGTACCGAATCAAGGAAGCCACCCGCCGACAGCTCGAGAGGCTCGCCAATCGTGTCAGTCCCGGCGCCAAGCTGCTCGCTTTCGGTAGCATGGCCAACGGCTTTGCGCTGCGCAACTCGGACATGGATCTCTGCTGCCTGATGAGCAAGGGGGAAGACGGACAGCCCAAAACGCAGCATACCGCTTCCGAGCTGGTGGAGACGCTCGGCCAGCTCATCCGCGAAGAGACCGACTTCACCGTCATGCCTTTGCCCAAAGCGAGGATCCCTATCATCAAGATCACCCGCTCGCCCACCGCCGACCTGCCCTACGAGATTGCATGCGACATTGGCTTCGAGAATCGACTTGCGCTCGAAAACACGCGCTTGCTGCTCAGCTACGCGATGGTCGACCCGCAGCGTCTGCGCACCCTCGTACTCTTCATCAAGGTCTGGGCCAAGCGCAGAAAGCTCAACTCGCCCTACACCGGCACTCTTTCATCGTACGGGTACACGCTCCTGGTGCTCTTCTTCCTCACGCACGTCAAGAAGCCCGCCGTGCTGCCCAATCTGCAACGCGTACCGCCCACGCGCATCATGAAGCCCGAAGAGATGGAGCTCAACGGCAACAATATCTACTTTTACGACGACGTCGAGGAGCTCAAAAAGGAGTGGGCCTCAGAGAATCACGAAAACGTCGGCGAGCTCCTCATCGATTTCTTCCGCTACTTTAGCAAAGAGTTTAGCTACGCTCGCGATGTCATCAGTCTCAAGTCCGAGACTGGCTTGCTCTCGAAGGACAGCAAGAGCTGGAACGCCGAGCTTTGCATCGAGGACCCCTTCCAGATGGGCTACAATGTCTCGCGAACCGTCACTAAGGATGGTCTATACACGATTCGCGGCGAGTTCATGCGTGCCAGTCGCTTCCTGACCAACACTCGCGGGCAAAAGATCTCAACGCTCATCGCCGAGCTGTGCGAGGAGCGAGAGGACAGCCTCAGTCGCGCTCCCGATGGTCCCGGCTCCATGCAGCGCAATCCGTATCACTCGTATATGGGTATGGGCGTGCCGAATGGAACCAGCTTCTACACTGCGAGCGCCAACGGTGGACGTCCCTACCGCGATTCGAATCGACGCTACGACGGCAACAGCATCAGCGGCTACGGAGGCAGCTTTGCGTTTGAACAGATGGCGCGTGGACTCGGGCAGGGCGTCGCATACCCACCCACGGCTGCGATGCTTGCTCCGCTCTCTCGCACACACGGATTGAGCCCCAAGCCGCAGCACTCTCGCTACGCTGGGGCTAGCTCGCACAGCACCGATGCAGGCACGGCGTCCTTCAGCTCTGCGCAAAGCGATTCGGGTGGATATGCCCCGCTCGACTCCGCTGGACGCGCCAGCATCGGGCACGCTTCGGCACGCACGTCGCCATCGTTCAAGCACGCTGTGCCCAATGGGTACCACTCGAGCAACGGTCTTGGCGCTCAGGAGGCGTTTGCGTACGGCGCCGAAATCAGCTTTGGTGCTCCTTCAGTGGCGTCCACACGTGACGACATGGGAAGCACGCCGCGTGGCAAGACGTCGCGCTCGTTTTCGGAAACGCTCAATCGATCTAAGTCGCTGCCTCGAGCACCTGCTTTGGCGAATGGACACCAACGTCGTGCGCAAGGTGGTGCATCCTTGATGCCTCACTCTCAAGCCGGAGCGATACCGACACCTGCACCCGCAACGTTCTATGAGCCAGCGTCACCGCACTCTCTCGCACCGTCGGAGCTCGAGTCGCGAATGGCGACGCTTCATGTGCAACAGCCTTCCACATCAGGTCCGCGACGGTTGTCCGCCTCAAGCCATGCATCCTCGTCAGCGCTCTTCGACAGCAACAGCGCGAGCACGCTACACTGCTCCTCCGCGAGCTCGCCATGGTCTCTCGGTCCTGCCGTCACCGATGGTCGACGCCCATCGCACCACCAGCAGCAAGCAGACACGCACGCGCTCGTCCAAGAATACCTCCGACGAGCGGCGCAGTCGGGGGCCGAATCGACGCTGCCGATGGACGCGGACAAATTTGCACCTCGAGCTGACCACGATGACGAAGATGAGTCGGGGTCTGTGATCAGCGAGGCGACGCTGGACGAGCTGGCGCGGCTCTCCGAGTTGGAGGGGACGGATTCGTCGGCTGGCTCGCCGGATTGGCGCGGTGCGGATGCTAAGCAGCCCGCGCAGAGGGAGGAGTCACCACCGAGACCGATGCGATTGCCAGAGAGCGTGCTGCAACAGGCAAAACTGCGAAAGCACGCACAGGCCGCGGCCGCTGCGGCGGCGGCGGCGTCGAGTGGCATTGCGAGGAAGGATCGGGAGAATGCTAAGCTCGATTGAGGGTGGTTTCTCAGTGTCAGTACGAAGTGGATTTGTACAACGTCGTATTGTCGAATGTCAGAAGGGCTTTGCGCCATGGAACGGATGCAAGCGGCGTGTGCAGTGAGTGGGTGTGTGCGGACGTCTAAGGAGGAGCAGGATGAAGACGTGAGTGGTGGAGCGTGTGAGATTTCGGAAGTCGGCGACTTTTCGCGGTCGGTTTTCTGGACCCTTGATGGCGAGCAGCACGCTTTTCCGCCCTCCTTCCTTGTCATCGCAACCTCGACTTGACGTCAGACAGAATGCCAGCTGACGACCGCCGACGGGACGAGCGCTCCACCCATCGTGCTGATCGCAATCGCGAAGGGTCGTCGAAGCGTTCCAACCGCCATCACCGCGATCCCTCGCCTTCCAGCTCGGCCAACAAGCAGCGGCGCGATCGCTCCGCCTCACCTTCCTCCTCACGCCGCCCTCTGCTCTCACCCACTTCCGCCCCGACCTTGCCGCACGGAGCAACTCCCCTCACCGCGGACGACTACTACGCTCGCTCGTACGAGTTTAAATCCTACCTCTCGGCGCGCAGTCTCTTTCTCGACGAGCTATCGTCCTCATCCGCGCGAAAGCACTTTGATCGCTTCGTGTCCAAGTGGAACTCCGGTCGGTTGGACGATGTCTATTACGCGGGAACGCTCCGGAGTGGAGGAAGTGGAAGTAGTCAAACAAGGCATCAGTGGGGATTGAAGGGGTTGAGCAAGGGTGAGAGGGAGGTGATGGAGAGTGTACGGGACACTGTGGACACCTTGACCAATGGGCAGAGTCGGGGGGCTCGGGAGGCGAGGGATGCCGAACGACATGCGCGTCGGGATCACGTTCCGAGGGAGGGGGAGGAGCGCGGCGAGAGGAATGACAGGGGGCAGCAGGGAGACCGGGATTCAGGCTGGTCTCAACGTCACTCGGACCGGCAGGTGGATCGTGAACACACACGCGAAATGACGCGGATCAGCGAAGCCGATGCCCGCCGTCGCGCTCGCACGGATGCAACCGACGAAGCGGAGACGCTCCACGGTCGGGCAACGGGTCGAGACCGAATGCACGAGAAACGACTCGAAAAGCGGGAATCCAACCGCGCCTTCGCGAGGCGCAACGACGACGGGCTCGAATTGGACGATCGCGAGCTGTACGACGAGCCTAGTCGCGCGGGCGAAGGGGGCGAACGGAGGTTGGGCAAGAGGGAGCTGGCGAGGCAGGAGAGGGTCGAGGAGAGAAAAGCGGAGTTGCAGGAGAGGGTGGGAGAGATGAAGAGGAAGGAGGGGGCGACGATGGATATGTTTCGTGCCATGGCGGCCGAGCGATTTGGTGGGAGTGGGTAGCCGCGGACAGATCGGGTGATGGGAGCGATACCAAGCGTATGGCAGGCAACGCAAGGGTTGATCAAGCACGTCAAATCGGAAAAAGATCAGCGAGACCAACTGCTAGACACCCTGTGAGACTCGGCGGGAGCACGTTTGAAGCTATTATGTTTGTTAGGTGAGACAGCCTCCTCGACCAGGGACAAGCTCCGATGGTAGGGCGCGGGCGGCGAAGGGCTGTCAAAAGTGCAAACGCCGTCGAAGGCTTCGATCAAGGCGCGCAAATCGGTCCGACCTGAGACATTTTCGGCGTTGCGCCAAGCTGCATGATCCGTTCTTGCAACAAACAAACCCTTGCTTCATCCTCCCTTCGCTACGAGGTCCTGGCAAGGATCAGACTGCTCTGGTCGCGCTTCACCGTAGACAGATGGGTGTAACGATCGGTGTATGCCACGCTAGGCGGTGTTAGCATGAGAACAAACGGCTAGCGTGCCCAAATGTGAGACAGCAAACAAATCTTACGCAGCGCGCGATGCGATAAGCGAGGGCCGTTCCGGACAGCCATATACCGGGTTGGCTCCCTTCGCACCGTCCGTACCGGGGCGCGCCATCTTACCACTTATTCGTGGAAGGTTGCGGTGTGGGAAGACAAGGCGAACGGGCACGCAAGGGGTGGTCGTGGCCCACTTTGAGCTCGAATATGATTTCTGTTTGCCTGCGGAACGGTGTAACAGCTGGAGCGCAGACTCCGGCCCGCGGGGTTCTGCTCCACGAGATGCCGAATTTTGCCTTCCGACTCTGCACAAGTTGACGGACAACGTTGGCACGCCGATTCATGGTTGAGCAGGCAGCTTCGTCTTGTAAGACAGCCCGTTTGAGTGGCCTCGTGCAGGCGGCTGTCTGACCGCCTCGCTGCCACGAGGACTTCATTGTTCGCCGTTCTCTGAGCAATGAATGCTTTGTGCTGCGACATCGGCGCACAATGCCCCTCGCCTCTGTCGTTGTAAGGCTCCGCTGTACCCTCGTGCACCTCCGACGCTACGGAGGGTGTGTCACCTTGATGACTCTGAGACACCCTTTAAAATCAACATGCCGAATGGTCAGCCCTCACATCGTGGTCAAGTCTTGACACGAAGCACGATGTACAGTTCAGAGCGTCTCGCATCGAGCAGCGCGAACCCGGCCTTGCTGAAGCGATCGGAACGGCGACCCTCGCTCGTTGGGGAGTCAAGACCACGCCTCTCGCTACCAATACCACCAGTACCGATGATTCCGGGTTGCTTCATAACCTCTCCTACCATCACCTCGCAGTCGTGTCCTCCATCAAATGCGCCGCTTGAGATTCGGAGCAGCATATCTTCCTCTAGCTCCAGCGCTTCCACAACATCTGCACCTTTCAAACCGACCATGTCTGCACCTGCATCACCATCGATGATGTCGGCGCCCCCATCATCATCCGCGTCCTCTTCAATGGAATTGTCAAGATCGTCCCCACAACGCGGTCCACGCTTCTCACCACCCGCACGGACACGCACAGCCCATCGCAGCACAACGCACATCCTCAACGGCACACCTCTGTACAGTCAACCATTCACCCGCCCTCCCCATTCACGTGGGTCGAGCCTCGCTTCTTCCTCCACCAGCTGCACCAGCGATGGCGAGGAGGACACGCCAGCATCGTCCACGTGCAGTCCGGAGGTGATACCGCTCAAATCGAGTCGCACGGTCGAAGACGCACAGCCGCCAGCGCGCACTTCGTCCCTAGCGCACAGAATGAGCCAGCTGTTGGACCAGCTTCAGTTGGATCCCACCGAGGATGCACGACGCGATTCGAACGAATCCTTCGAGTCGAGCTCTTCTTTCTGCCTCGACGAAGCGTTCCCCACCCCACCCAATCGGCCGGCAGTCCAGGCTAAAGTGGAGAGGCTGGAGAAAGAGAATCTCCAGCTGAGGAGGGAGCTGCAGAGGTTTCAGGACGAGCTGGCGCGCAAGGAAAGGGCAATGAACGAGGTATGGTGCTGGTAGGCCACCATCGTTCGACATCTGTTTTTACCTGGCATTCATATAAAGCGTGCGAAAGAGACCTCGTGGAGTGCAGCCTCGGACGTCGTGCGAGTTTGCTGTGCGTGAGCGTATGCGATAATCGGTAAGGAGGGGGTTGAGAGCATCAGCAAGCGCTCCCTCAGAGAGTACGTCCAGGCAGAGAGCGGACGCGCTGCGACGATCTCACGTTGCGAGCAGAAGGCCGGTGTCGCCTATTGCCGGGCCGACAGGTCTTGAATTGGCCTTGGCAAGACCTCCCAAGTGCCAATCAAAGATCGCGCGCCGAAGTGTCGGACAGAGCACAGCTCAGGTCGATTTCATTTGGTCCTGGTCAAGTTGACTTTGCTCCTCAAGAGCACCACACTCGACGACCCCAGTGTGCGAGCGAGCAAGCAGCACAGCAAGTCCACACGTTCCCCTCTTTGGCAATATCAATCAAAGTTGGCCATTGCATCGACCTCTTCGCAGCCTCGCATCTATACAGCCTTCATCTGGTCCTTGATCGCCACCTTGGCCTGGTCCTTGGCCTGAACGACATCGGCGACCTTCAACCCGGTTTGCTGCTCGACCGTCTGCAAACCGCTCCTGACCCCCTGTTCGGTCTTATCCTTCAACTCGTGAATTCCCCTTGTGGCCTCCTTGACGTAACCCTCGCCTTTGCTGGTCCATTTCCGCCTCTGTTCCGTCAGGGCTGGGACGTACCTCTTCTCCAACCCTTCGTAGTACGACCCGAGGTTCGAGGCGAGTTGCGGGTTGAAGTGGTTCAGACTGACCAACAGCGCAAGGGGCGGGGTGAGGATTCGGATGGGGAAAGCGCGATAGCGGGTAAAGATGGAGCCTGCCAACGTGGCCACGCCGACATAGAGAAGACCGGGGGTGAGAGGTTCCGAGGTTGGGATGAGCGTTTTGACCTCACCCTCGACCGAGCGCTCAATGGAGATCCAGCGATCGACCAGACTGCGCAGCGTGGAGCGCGTGTCGGACGTGAGGTGGGTGAGGGAACGACGTGCAGAGCCGATCTGACGCTCGAGTTCGGTCTGGACAGGGACGATCTCGACTTTCGGATCGGGTTGCGGGTAGATCGAGAGCTGGAACGAGCGAATTGCGATGGTCGACGATGCGTCGTGTGGAGGGACGGTAGTCAGGAAGGGGATCAGGGTCAGTAGACGGATTCGATGAGCGAGGGAGGAAGGTGGGAGGGCTCACCTTGGAAGCGCCGCTCGAGCTGGCCTCCTCGTTGTAGATCGGCTTGGATAGGAGGACCGACGAGGTGGCCGCGATCATGGCGACCGAGGCACCTGCTGCCACCTTTGCTGAGGCCGAACGCGCCTATTGAGGGTCATCGAGGTCGTCACGATGCGTTCAGTCGCCATACGGGAGAGAAGAGTGTCAGCCAAGCTCGTCCTTTGATATGCTGCATAGACGATTCCTCGAGACGGATACATACCGAAGCTGCAATCATCCTGTGCTTGTCTGTGTGCCTGTGACCGCTCTAGGTAGGTGCACGAAAGAGTAGATGCTGCTGAAGCGGCTTGTCGTGTCCGCAAGGCTCGAAATGTGGAAGGGCGACGTGCAAAGGTGATGTGAGAAGTCAGTGAACAACGATCTTCGCGAAAGGGTCGCGGTGCGGAACCTGTGTGGAGTTCTCGAGCCAACTTTCGGAAGACTCAGGGCAGCTGCGACTGAGAATGCGACGAAGCTCCGCACGTGACGGTCCACCAATTTTGCCGGGAAAGGATCGACGATGTAACAATTTGCATTTTCTGACGGGTATGCCTGACGCTGGTGTCCTCGACGTCCGACGGTGCTCGTCACGATGAGAGCTATAGATCGTCAGACAGGTGATTTCACTGCAATACAGGCGTCCTCGAGGGTCGAAGAGAGCCAGTGCTGAATCTGTGGCCCGAGACTGTGTGCAAAGGCGTGAAGCAAGGTCAACTTGAGCCGGAAGCGCTGTAGCTGACGTCGCCAAGATGCGACACCGAGTGCTGGTTTGTGCGAGAGAGAATTGGAAGAGGGGTGCGAAAAGGGCGTGCAGATGCACAAGCCAAGATGCGAGCTCAAAAGGATCGACAGTCTGTCACAGAGAATCAAAGCATGTTTGGGGGAGTAGGAGTGGGATTGCGGATAGGGGAGATTAGACGGGAGCGGAGGGGGGGAGTACAAAATGCAGGTGGAAACGCAAGTGCGGGGAAGTGCAAGAAATCGAAGTTGACCTGGAAGGGGAGGAGCTGTCGATCGCTGCTCAACCGATCATCCCACAACTCAGTTGAGCGAGATGGGAGTGCACGAGGTCTGGACAAGACCGTTGTTGGCGGTGCCCTGGCAGCAGACGGGCTGGCTCTTGCACGTGTTCTGCAGGGCGAGCGAGGCGCCGACACCAGCGATGGGGATCTGCTGGCAGTCGAGGCCGATAGCGCCGTCGAGGAGCTCGTTGAAGGCAAGACCGAGACCGGCAAGCGCGTCCTGGGCCTGCTTGCCTTGCTTCTGCTCCGGGGAAGTTCATAAAGAGAGAAGAAAGGTCAGATCGCTGTTGGAGGCAAGTAAAGAGAGAGAAAGCAGCGGTGTACTCACGACCTGCGAACAGCACTGAGCCTGACCAGTGGAGCATTGGCCGTTGAAGTTGTGCTCGCCAGTAGGCATGGCCGAGGCAACGGCGGCGAGAGCGGCAACAGTGGCGAAGATGGTCTTGAACTGCATTTTGAAGAGAGTGTAATTGGGGAGCTGAAGAGCCGAGGAAGGTGGGGAAGAGTGGAAGAGTGGTGTGGAGTGGAGTGCTTGAGTGGAGTGATGATGAAAGGGAGAGGAGAACGACGCCATTTGGGTCTTTCTTTATACGTTTCGAGGGTTGAGAGATGAGCTTACAGGGGGCCGTATAGCGCGCTTGCGAGAGAGGAGGTAGCTTCGCTGTATCGTTCGATGGTACGACAAAGGATCTGCGTCTCGGACACACGCGCTTGACTGTATCACAGTCAACGATACCGAATAGCTGCCAAGCCGGTCCCATTCGACGATATCTCACCAGAGCACAAGGTGAGCCTGAGGGATGTCAACATCAAGCCCTGCGACGGTCGTGCCCACAACAACTGGCGAGCCCAGGCGAGAAGTTCGGATGCATCGGCGGACATCAGGACAATCTGTAAGTTGGCTGCCAGACGTCGAGTCGCGCAAGAGGTCGCAGAGGAGGAGGCATGCAGCAGGCAGCGTTTGGCAATTTGCAATTCTTCGAAGCAGCAAGGAATGACTGCGCGCATAGGGCTCCTCATCGGTACGCGTAAGCGAGTCGAAGGTATTCATCATCGCAGCAGAATGCTCAAAGCAAAATCATGCGTCTTACGGCACGTACTCCGCGTGAAGAAGCGCGTGTGCAAGGCACGATCCAGACGACCGGGAGTGACGCGTGCATACAAACATCGTGAGCGGTAGGGGTCACGTCCAAGTGTGCAGTCATGATCAGCAATGCAGATGTGGCTGCCATGAATTTGTTTGTCTGTCTTGTCTCCGTGACAGCGAAGCAGGAGCCCGTCGAAGCGATCATGTCGATCATGGGACGAAGCTTCCAGCAACGTTTCGAGAAGATTCTTCCGATTGACGCAGACTGGCTGAGGCGGTGGAATGCGAAGTACGTCCGGATTGTTTGTGAGTCCCGTGTCAAGGACTGCATGCGCACGTAGCCGATCTCTTACCTTGTTCGCTGTGACTGCCGAGACGAAAATATGTGGCTTGGAATGTGAACCACATTTGACGGAGTCGAGATGCTTCTGTCGACCTCGTTTCCGACTTTTCCGTACATTCGACCAGGGCCTGCGATGCACGCTCCATCCATGAGATTCGCATCGTGCTTTGCTGTCAAATTAGGAGTACTGGATGCTAACCTGCGGGCCGGCAGCTGGGATCGTCACGCGCCTCCAACAGGCCCTCGGCGGGTTTTCATGGCGAAGCGCTTTGGTGCCTCGATAAACTTGCCTTCTGACACGTCGAATTTCGTCTCGACGTCAAACGATGCCAGTCATCCTCTCATCGAATCTTCACACACGGCAAGGATCATGCTGCAGCTCTACTGTCGCATTGCTATTATAGTCGATGAGACAGTCGGCAGGTCCTTTTGTAAGATGTGCTACGAAAGGAGCGCACGTTTAGGCGACGACGGGCTCGTCAGTCTTCTCGACCTGGGCGACCTTGCGCGAGCCAGTACCGCGGGCCTTGCGGACGGGAGCCTCGCGGCGGCCACGCTGCGAGCGGAGGATGGCGGAGCCACGGACGACGGCAGCTATTCGATGCAAAGGGATGGAAGCGAATGAAATCGAAGAATGTCAGTGGTCTGCTGCGCTTGAAACGATGCTGACATTTCTTGCTCCTGGACCTCCGTCAACCCTGTTTGCCTTGATGTGATAATGTACGTCGGGCAGTCGCACCGCCCCTGAGGAGCGACACAACATTGGTGAGCCAGCAGAGTCTGCAGAGAGACCGCAGGGCCCCACGAGAAGCACGCAAGCGTGACTCCGCCCAGACGCAAATGTTCGTTATTGCATCGCTTTTACGCCCAAACCTTCAAGGAGGTGATCCCGAAGGATATCCGGTGGGTTCTAGCGCAATGCAGTGGTCCTTCCTGACCAGTATTCCCTTTCACTTCCTCCACTCGTGTTCCTTGCTTCATCCTGTATCGATGCTGATGTTGCTGTCGATTGATTGATACGTACCTCGGGTCAGGTCAGAGCGGTAACCGCGCTTGGCAACGACGTTGGAGACGAGGCCGGAAGCACGACGTCCACCACCCTTCTTGATGGTGGCGGTGTTGAGCACGGCCTTGATGGCGTTGGTGCCCTGCTTGCCGTTCTTGGTGGTGATCTCAAGACCCTTGCCGTTCTTGGAGGGCGAGATGCCGACAGCCTTGGCGTTGACAACACCAGAGTACTGCAGGATTAGCAATGGCGGAGGTGCGAGATGATACGTGGAGGTGGAGGTCAGTACAATATGTCGGTATGGGCGAGGGCTTAGACGATGAAGAGGACCTGGAGCGTTGGTCGCGCCGGAGGGTGACATGGACTCGTCGGTTGTCGTCAAGATGTCGGCATTCGAGACCTGGATGGCTCGACAACGCTATGGCTGTGGTGACGCGCTGCTTCACCTCCTCCAGCTTCCCCGAGAGTCGAACAGATGCGAACCTGCTCGCCTGAACATGCAGTGTCGAAGCTAATGGCAATGTCGGGCCTCCTGGAAACAGCAAATCGACCGAGTCGCACATTGAGCGCACGTGACCCTGCCAAACCCTCGCTGACAGTAGGTAAGGACACTGCTAATATGCTTTGCTGCGACGTGTCGTTGTGGCTGTTGAACTGCTCCGGGTGGTCTTCATCGTCATGTCGCGTCGGTCGTTGCTGGTGATCTTACCTTGTAGCTGTGGAGCTGAACGAGGTTGCGGGGCTCGCGAGAGAAGATGCGGCCGAGACCCTTCTGCTTCACGATGAAGCTCGAGTTGTTGCGGACAAGAAGCCACTGGAGATCCTGGGAAGCCATTTTGAAATGATGTATCTGTCTTTTGGTGGAGAGATGATGGTGTTCGTAAGCCGATGGCTCTGTGCGACGTCGACGACAAGGTCCAACGCACGATCTGTGCTCCTGGCTTCTTCTCGCGAGGATTGGGCAGATCGGCGAGGGTTGGGTTGGACCCACACCCGATTGAGTCTTCTAATTCTGTGAGCTGACTCGGACCCGAGCATCCAAGTCTTCGGCCGAGCCTTTGAGTGATCGGCGATACGCCATTGTGTATCGGCGATATTGCCCCATTCACCGATATACATCAGTGTCTCTTCGTCGCAGTTGCTATCTCTCTGACATGCTGATATGGAATGTCACCGAATGAATTGTCAGATGTCGCCGAGATGTTTTGCTGCCCGCATCGAGGAGGTTCTCATGGCTGCTTCGACGGCTGTCCTGCATTTCTAGACCTCTATTTCGCGGGCGATTTATTTAGTCACCGCTGCAGATTATTTCATGTGGCATCCCTGTCATATCCTCATCCTCCAGTCCCTGTCACGCATCAAGAGCGACACTGAACACAGGAAGCAGGGCGCATACTCGAATCGGACAGCTTCAGGCGGCCATTTGAAGGGATCCTGGCGCTGGAAGAACTGGCACTTGACGCCGCTCAACTTGGAGCCAAAACTGCTAGTCTATTAAAACAAAACCATATCGTATACAATCAAGTCTCGGTCCTAGATCGCTGCTCGGCGAGACTGAGCTGAATCGCGAAACGCATCTCTTCGTCCATGTCTTGCTCATCCGCGTCCGCCGCCGGCCTGCCCTCCCCAGCAGCCTCGGCGCGACCCTTGCCCTTGCCCTCCTTCAGCGACTCGGCTAGCAGACTTGGCTTGGCCTCGCCGCTCGTAGACGCTCGTGGCGATCGACTGGCCCACGCGTTCGGTCTCGCGTCGACTGGACGAAGATTCGGGCTCTTGGTCCACTTTCCCACGGCTCCTGGCCCGGGACTGGCAGGCGAGCTGGTCGCGTTGAACCCAGAACCTCTTCTGAAGAACGGAGACACTTGACCCGGCGTCAGCCCCTCCCCTCCGACCGCCGGAGTGTGGCGCGGGCTCTCCATTGCCGGGAAGTCCCTCGGCGAGTGTAGTTCCGGTGGCGACCGAACGCTGCTACCCAAACTGCTGCTGATGGACATCGCCTCGGCAGGAGTGGGCGAGCTCAGCCGCGCCTGGCGCGGAACATTCACGGTTCGAACCTTGGAGTGCGACCCCCACCGATCCGAGGCGTGGGCGGGGGTGGTGGCGCTCGCTCCGGCTTGCGAGAGGATCGTCCATGCTCGTGAAGGGGGCGATGACACATCTGACAGGTAAGGGGAGGCGCCCGGTGAGGGAGAGGGGGAGGGTCGGCCGGACGGCTCGTCGAGGTCGTCGAGGTCGACATCGAAGTCCGTATCCTCGAGCAGTCTGTACCTGGGCGAAGGGTGGAATGGCGTCGACTCCCTAGATTCGGCCAACGCGATCTGTTCCAGCGCATCCGCCAACTCCGGGTCCTCCACTACCTCCACTGGCGTCTCTATGGGTCTCCTACTCGACCCGGCGTGCGCACCCGGAACATATCCAGCGCCACCCATGTGCCTCGCCTTGCTCGTCGCGGTCGCAGCCTCCTCATCCCTCGACAGCATCAACGCATACTCCAACGCCTCGGTCTCACTCAGACCTTCCAACTCGAACCCCTGCCTGTTCCTAATCTTACTATACTCGACCTCCCTCTCCTCAGCCTCGGCCTCCAACTCGGCCTCGGTCTCCCTCACATCGCGCCGCAACTCCACCTGCCCCAACCACTTGTTGTCCGACAACCTCGGTTGGGCTCCCCTCGTCTTGCTCGCTGGACCGGCACCTGCGGCAGCCGCAGCGCGCTTCGAAATCCACGCCTCCGCTTTGAACGCCAGCACCTGATGCCCGATGGATGCTACGAGGCATTCGTGGTCCGCGATGATCTGCGTCACTCTGAACCGCGCCGCTTCCGATTCAGTCAGTTCGCCCGCAGCGAGCATCCGAGCAGGGTGCCGTGTCGCGGTGCGGTCGTTGATCGTCCGTTGCAGGTCACCCGCGAGAGAGTCGAACACTTTGATCGTCCCGTCTGAGGTGCCGACGAAGATGTGCAGCGGTGTCATGTCGAGGGCGGTGATGGATGTGTGGTGTGCTTCCCAGCCGATGGAGGGGAGTAGCTGAAGTTTGCCCTGGAAGCGGGGAGTTGGACCTTGCCATTCATGTTGCGTGTCGAGGGAGAAGGCAGAGCCGGTGCTCTCCCAGTCGAACAGGAAGAGTGAACCCGACTTGGTGCCGATACAGACGAGTTTCCGTTCAGGGTACTGGCTCGAGGTGTCGTACGTGTCGAACGTCTGGCCGATGGCAAGGGTGGTGCCTTTCTCCGGTTTCGTGGCGGAGAGTGTGGGTGAGGCGTGGACGCTGATGGAGGGGCTGTGTGCAGTGGACCGGGGATCGCGTTTGGGCAGGCGAGGCTCGAAGTCGACGCGGATGGCTGTGATCTCGTCCATCACCGCGGCGCCAAGGATGGTCGTCTCGACGGAATCGGATGGGTCTTGCGAGATGCGGTGGCGCAGCAAGACTCGGGCGCCAGAGTGGTGGACTAGGATCGAGCAGTCTTGTGCGCTCGAGCCGGCGTCCGTCGGCTTGGAGGCAGCGTCAATGAAGATGGAGCTCACAGCGACTTCTGCAGCGGCACCTGGGGGCATGTTAATGGTGGTCGGGCAAATCGCCTGTGAGAGGCGGAGGAACTGCCCGTGAGCCTCCAAAGTCTCGGGTCCTGGCGAACCGTTCTGGAGATGCTCCGGGTCGGTAGCTTCTGGAGGAATGCGGAGCAGCGCTGCCACGTCAATGTGTGTCCAAACAAAGACCTTGCCGGTGGTGCTGCCGGCTACGATGACGCCACTTTTTGCATCGTAGGCAAGTGCGCAGAGGGGAGCAGCTGTTTCGGCATTGTTCTGATCAGGCGTGCCTGAGGATATGGCATTGGCCAATGGAGCTTTTGTCGAGGAAGCTGCAATCCAGAGCGGCCATTGGCGTTCCGAGGACCACAGGCGTACGCTGCCGTCAAAGCCAGCGGTGACAAAGGTGGATGCAACGTCGCCGAGCATGGCAGTGGCCTGTCGAAGACGTTCGGGGCTACGACCTGGGCCGTGAGCTCCGTCACTGTCGCTGGCGAACGGGATGGCAATGGCCGTGACGGGCCCTGCATGAGATGCGCGGGGCGTGAAGCGCACGCTGCGAATCAATCCGCGGGGATTCGCTCCTTGCCTGGAGATGATCGTCATGCCCACTTCACCTGAGCGGAATCCCCAGAAGATATGCGAGGCGTCAGAGCTCATATTGAGCGATGTCACGTTCGGACTGAATTCTTGATTCGGATTGCCATTGCCTGCACCGTTGACGGTTCCCTCTGCATCAAGGTAGCCTTTGATCACCTTGCCGGTCCAAGGGTTGGAACGCGATGCGACGCCGTACGTGTCGGTAGCCGAGAGAAGAATGCGATGCTGTTTCGACAGCGAGATCTTCTTGATGATGTCGACGCGGGGCGTGCTGAGAACAGTGGGCGTCCGTGACTTTCGCCATTGACGGAGAAGGTCCACTCGTTGTTGGAACTCTTGACGCCAAGATGCATTGGTGAGACGGCGAAGCGCGGGCGTTGCAGATACCTCGAGGGAGGCGGCGCGATGCGCCTGTGCTGCCTCCAGGCTGAAGTAAGTAGCGAAGGCGGCTCTCCAGGTGGCATCATCGCGAGCAACTAGTGCCCACGCACGGCAGACGGCCGCAGCGCGAGAGAGCGAGACCGGGTCGAGGAAGGCGAATGTTCGGATGAGCAGTTCGGGTGCCAATCGCGCGACGTCGATGACAGCCGATGGCTCGTCCGACGCGTCGGCGTGACCGTTCTGAGCTTCAACCTCGACAGCACGAGGATCAGTGACGCGAACTATGGTCGAGGCGTCCGTGTCGGCGTTGCGGTCTGTGACATGTCCTGCGTCGTTATTGTGTTGCTCGTGCTGCGCTGCAGGATCGGTGAGGATCCCGGATGCGCCAGGCGCCTCGTGAGGTTCAGCGACGTCATGTTGGCGTTCGACTGACTGGTTCTGCGAGAGAGTGGAATTCGTGTTGCTTTCTTGTTGGTGTGTAGATCGCTGAGAAGGGTCAAGAGACATAAACCTTGGAGACGAGTCGAGTGTGCTAGGCTCGACAGAGGGTACGTGTTGGTCAATGAAGTAGATTCAGTGACGCTTTGTAATTGGTTGTGGATATGAGAGCGATGCTTGAGCTTGGCAGATAGCTTGCGATGGTTCGGACGGTGATGATGATCGTGACTGAAGTAGATGGTGTTGGTCCCTGCCCTTGAAAGTAATGTGCTGAGCGGCAGCTTTTGACGTCTCGGCTGCATGACTGACCCGGTGCCCAATCAACGCGTCGAGCATCCAAAAACGCAGCTGCAGCTCAGCCTCATCCTGCAGCGCGCCAATGTAAGATCTGTGTTTCGAATCGGCGATTCTGTAAGATTGGCTTGGTCGCGATTCTCCTTGAATCAGCGAGACCCCGATGGTACCAGTTGAGCTTTGCCTCCGAGCCTTGTTGCTTGTTGGTACTGTTGTCGGTCGCATTTGGATTGTCACGGCGTTTGTCGAGTCTGTTGTGGTTCTGATGCTGTCATGCTCCGGTGGGCCATCGTCACAGAGCTCAACAGCCAAAAAAGCATGCTCTTTCATGGCCGCCAGCGATTCCAAGTGCTCCCTATTCAAATCTCAGCACATTACGTGGCATCCACGGTAGTGACGATCTTGTCGTCGGAAGAACACGGTCGCAGGACTCTGTTGACCAGCCCTTGTCAAACAGACTTGCAGGATATGAATGGCGAGTGCCTGACTGCCATTCTAACTCCAACTAACCTCCTTCCAAATGGTGGACAGCCGAATCGCACTGGCCACGAGGCCTGTCCAACCCTCGATACCGTCCTTGTCCACATGAGGCATGGCCGCTTCGTACCCCAAAAAGATGCTTTCGGACCAGTTGGCCACCTTCTCCCAAAAGTTGAGCTTGATCCTGCGTCGAGTGTTGCGCAGATCCGACTCTGCCCGGACCAGTGAGCGCTCTGTCGACTTGACCATGCTCGATACGTCGAGGGGATGGGGATGATGTGTTCGCCTTCGAGGCTCTTCGTCGTCTGGCACCACGGTCCATGTTTCGCTCAGCCTACTCGAGTTGGAATCGCTTTCGTCATCGAGATCCCGTGCAGCCGCCTGCAGATCCGCACCGAGGAGGTCGACGGGTTTCTCCCCACTCTGCGTCCGCGTCCTCGAGCGGGAGGGATCGCGTGTGCGATGCGAAAGAGCCTGATCGCGATCGATGGTGGTGCCGGCGAGATCGGTGGCCCATCCGAGCTTGTCGTTGGCCCGAATGATTCGACGATGGGCAGAACGGAGCTCGGATCGAAGGGCCTTGCGCTCGATGCGCAGGACAAGGAGGCTCAGCAACACCGAGCAGAGAGAGAGGACGATCCCGAGCCGTTCAATGCCCTGGCGTCGACGTCGGGACAGGAAAGGTAGGCCGAGACGTTGGATCCCGACGGCGCGCCAGAACATGCCTCCGCCAGCGAGAACCGCGGCTGTTTCGCACGCCTCGCCGATCGTAGCGAGCGACTCAGCGGCGATCGAAAGGTGGGTGTGGCGGAAGAGGGAGGAGAAGAGACGTGTGAAGGGTCGGAGCATCGAGGTGGACTTTGATTTGGGACCAGCTGGCTTCGTGGATCGCTTCTCATTGGCGTTCTCAGCGACATCCGCTCCCACAGCGCCAGTCGCATCCCCCCTCCCGGTCACCTTGCCCAACTTGCGTAGTGGCGCCTTGGCAAAGCTCTGTTCCCCCTTTTCATCCTCGACGTCGAAGGGCGCAAGGCTGGGCGGCTGCAACCAGCGTGGGAATGCGCCTTCGACATCATCCGATCCCTTGTGTATCGGCTCTTCGCCCGTCCACTCAATCTCACGGTCCTCTCTCTCGAGCTCCTTTGCTTTCTGTTTGAGTCTCCGATTGTCCTGTATTTGCTGCCAGTGGTCCATCGCCGCTTCGGTGGCGGAGGTGACCCAGCGAGCGATGAGGATGACGCGACGGAAGTTGTCGATCCCTTCTGCGGTGGTGTAGATCCTTTGCATGAGCGCGACGCGCATTGGGCGAGGGAAGGAGAAGGCGAGCACTGTTCCGACTGGCCGTGCGATGGCGCCGCGATACGTCTGCGGCACCGGGTGATCCAGCGACGAATAGAGCAGCAGGACGAGCGAGTGGCAGAGGTGCAGGACCTGTTCCCGCCCCTCGAAGGTCTTTAGCAGCTTGAGCAGGATGTTGCGTCTCCGACGTTGGAGCTTCACCGCCGAGGGTGGCAGCGCTAGCGACGGCCACGACGCGGAGATGCTCATGGGAAAGGATGAGTGATTCTGGGAAGTTGAGTCGCCGTGGTGGGAGGGGGAGCGCGAGATTGGGCGCGACTCGTTGATGCTGGTAGCATGCGAGTGACTGATGGTGAGGACGTCTCCTTCCATGGCCTCGCGGAGGTGGTCCGTTGTAGACCAGTGGCTTTCTGAGCTAGGTAGGTTGCGAGGAGGGTCGCGGAGGTCAAAGTCGTACTTGTCGACGATGTCAGCGTCGTTGCTGGCAGCGCCCTCAGGGTCTGAAGTAGCGTCGTCGTCGTCGTCGGAGGAGGGAGGGTCGGAGAGGGTGCTTGGGACGAACGTGGTGACCGAGCTGAGCGAGGCTAGATTTGCCGGGCTGGTGTCGTTGCTGCTATTGCCCATGTCGGACAGCGAGTCTGATGAAGGAGTCCTTGACATTGGCGTGTTCTTTGTGGGCGTCGAGGAGTGAATCGAGTTGAGATCGATACGGGGTAGCGCTGTTACTGGCTCGCTGTCAAGCTGCGAGACGCGACTAGACGAGGCGGTGATGTAGCCCGAGTTGTCATTGTCGCTGCGCACTGACAGAGACGAGTGGCTTGGTGGAAGTTGCAAGGCGTGGTTGGCGCGCAAACTGCTGGAGCGGACCGGTCGAGCGATCTCGTCGTCTGCTTTCCCATCCTTGACCATGATGCTGGTGGACTTGTGCCTGCCAGCAGCAGCGATCAGCCCAGCTGTGCTTTTGTAGAGATTGTGATGGTGGAAAGAATCCTTGTCCCGCTTGAAGAGGTTTAAGATGTGTGTGTGTGTGTGTGTGTGTATCCGGTTGAGGTTGTCCGGTTGCTTGCCGAGGCACAGACCCTTGACGAGGTGTGTTGTGCCGCGCCTAACGCGTGAATCGATTTTGGGGTCAATGTTAGCTCGTAAGATGGACGAGTGAAGAAGAAAAATGTCTCGCGGGATAGCATCAAGTCTCAATGGGAGCATATACTGCTCTGGACGAGAAGACTGCTTGCTGCGAACGACGGAAATGCTAAAAGGATGGATGATATGCGTGACTATAGTACAAGAGCATCAGTGGTGCTCAAACAGAAGGCTGATTGGAATGATCTGGCTACCTTGAGCCGCTGCCACCAGCTCGCTTGGCCGTCTCGTCCTTGACCAATTGCTCGATGCGAATCTTCTCCTTGTCCTCTGCCGACATGAAGCTCTCCGCTTTGGCTCGTCTCGCCTGCGCTTCCTGCTTGGTGCCAATCTTGTCCGAGAGTGTGAATCGCTTGCGTGCGGAAAGTGGCCGGCATGCCTCGGCGATGATCTTGTCTCCCACCGAAAGCGAGTTCCCCTCGTCATGCACGAGATACTTTTTGTGTCGGATGTATGGCTTGAGCAGCTTCGGATGCAATAGACGCCGCTCGACGGTGACGGTGACTGTTTTCGCCATGACGCCTGCTTTGGTAACGATGCCTTCGATCGTTTGGATCACCATCGTGGAGATTGTGTGCGGAATGACGACTTTTCAAGCTTGGCTGTGACGTGAGGGGGACGCGAGAATGAGTCCGTGAGAGCGACGGAAGTAGCCGAAAGCGCTGTGAGCTGCCCGATAGATGAGAGTACAGTCGTGTTGAGGCTTTGACGCTATCGAACAGGGTGAAGATGGTGTTAGACGAGCTGGAAGGATGATCATGGCCAATTCGAGAATTTGGCTGCTCAAGAAGAATTGTGCTTAGTAATCCAAAGTCAGACTCGCTGACTCTGCAGGGCCATGCAGGTAGCCGTGTGTGACTTTAGAAAGTGGACCCTGAACTGCGCTCCAGACATGCCGCTCAGGCCTTCCTTCATCCCATCCACTCATCACAACCTCCGAGATGGCTGAGCCACTAGATGGGCTCAGTCATTGTAACGACCAATGAGATCTCTCACATACCGACATCAAGCCACAGAACGCCTCGGCCTACCATCCACCTCTTGATCCAACATGATCGACGAGCTCATCCACTTTTGCATTGAGCAGATCGGTCTCGATGGCGATGCGGGAACCGACATCAACCGCTTCGCCGACTTCATCCGCCAATACCACACGGAACACTCCTCGCGATCTCAGCTACCCAATCAGCTTGTCGACGAGTACTACCAGGCTTTCGTCTTTCGTCAGCTCCTGCGCCACCCAGATGTCAGCGTCGGCCTCTTCATCCCTGGTGTGCCCGTCAAAGGCGGCGCCAAGACCGGCATCTTGAAGAGGAAGGCGTCGACTCTCGACAGTCCAGCACCGGGCACAAAAGTGGAAGCAGCCTCAGCACCCTCGCAAGAGTTTGACTGGGTCGACCTCTTGCCCGACCAAGTCCTCGCAGAGCAACAGGGCCTCGCTCAGCTCCAGCAACTCCACGCTGACCATCTCCGACTTGTCCTGCAGCCATCTGAGATCAAGCGTTTGATCGTCGGAGCCAATGCGGATGCACTGACAGCGACTGGCTACCGCGCTCTCCAGATCATTTGCCGCTCCAGGGAGACGCCCGTACTCAGCACCGATATCGGCGCCGCACTGCACACCGACCAAAAGACCGTCTTCTACATCTGCAAACGCCTCATCGACCTCCATCTCATCATCAAGATCAAAGCTCGTGAGACGGGCACAGTAGCAAGCTACTTTCTCGCCACGCAATTCGAGGATCAATGCGACATCCTCATCCAGCAGAGAAAAGCGGACAATGCAGCGGATCTTCAGCAGTCCGGCTTGGCAGACCCGAGCACCAGCCAAGCTTCGGCGTCTGCCCTTCCGAAGTCCTCCAATGACCAGACAGAGCTGATGGATGAAGATGCCGAAGACGACCCCGACGATCGTGCTGATCTTGATACCGAACGTTCAGCTCCTACTGTCTTCGTCAAGGCGGAAGAGTCACAAGACGTCTTCGATACGGCTGCGCACACTGCCAGCTCTGCGCAATCAAATGCACCAGCTTTTGACTACGTCGAGCCCGCACAAGCCTTACTTTGGATCAACAGTCGACCTGAATTGGTGCGCTTCCGTATCTACCTTCTTTGTAACGCCACCTCTTCCCGAGTCACATTTCGCTACACCCTGCTCCACCGAATCAACCTCGCACAGACGCGTCCTCAAAGGAGAGCTTTTCACGTCCTGCTCGAGCATGCCGTTGTCGACGGGTTCCTCGAGGTGGTCAATGTCGTCATTCCGAGCACCGGAGGCTCCCATCGAGGCCTCCGCATGACGGCCAAGGGTCTCGCCGAGATGCACGACTTGCTGCGCGGCGACTATGGTGACGCTTCGCTGCTTCAAGAGCAAGTCAAAGCTGCGCGACTCAACGCAAAGCTGCAACAGGATCTTGACAGGATCGGACCCGCAATGCCTCGCGAACTTACGCTGGAGCGCCATGTCTATGAGCAGATCGCGCACGCCGGGCCCGCGGGACGCACTATCTCGCAGCTCCTCTCTCAGCTCCACGGCGGTGGCCACTTTGCTCGTGCTCTCGACCAGCTGGTCCAGCGAGCGGAAGACGCCGACGGCGAGCCCGCCATGAGCGATATGCGAGTCCGCGGCTTCCACGAACACAAGCTTCGTGTGCGCAGCACTAAGCTCTACAGTCACCATTCGTGGGTCCTGCAATCGGCCAATGATGGCTTCTTGGACCCAGATGATCTGCAGCTCCTTGCTTCCGCCGGCGGCTCCACCTCCTACCATCGCAGGTCCACCGCTTGGACTTCTGCAGACCAGATTGGACCTCATTTGGCTACTTTGGGCACAGACTTGTATCCATCGACGCCAGGTGCGGGAGCACCTAGAATCGGACGACCGCCGAAGAATCGCGATCCAGACGCGCCACCGCCCAAGAGAGGACGTCCTCGAAAACATCCGCTGCCCGATCCAGACACGCCTGCGCCGCCGCCGAAGAAGAAGGGACGGCCGCCCAAGAAGCCGCCAGAATCTGTGGAGGCGAGTCCAGTCGACGCGGATGCCGCTCCCTCCTCCGTGGTCTCTTCTTCTCGCAGGTCGCTTCGTCCACGCAAAACTCGACAAGCCAAGCTGGTCGATGCCGACAGCGAGGAAGAGAACCCTGTCGATCTTTCGATGGACGAGGTTAGCACATCTGTCATGCCCGAGTCGCCCGCTGCAGGCGCCTCGAAGCGTCGCAGTCGACGCGTACTGCAAGGGCCGGAACAGACAGGCCCCAGCTCGATGCTCGCTTCCTCGCCTGTCAGTCCTTCGTCCCCGATCGAAGCACCTACGCATGCACCTGAAGAGCTCGCGGAAGCACTCGTGGAGCAAGCGATCATCCCACAGCCGTCTGACGCATCAGCACCAGCAACGGAAAAGGCAGCGGAGCAGGAAGTTCCGCAGAATGGCACGCAGACCTCTGCTCTGACAGACGAAGGCGTTGCAGCCGCGAAGGCACCTACCGTCGATGTATCGCGTGTGAGCGACTTGCTAGATGTACCCTCGCAGGTCAAAGCAGAGGCCACACTGCCGCCGACTCCAGCCGCCAAGAAGCTTTCCAGCAGCACTGCTACCCCAAGCGCATCAGAGCGAAAGAGGCGCACCAACTTGACACAATTGCGAAGCTCGTATGCCCTCGTGCAATGCGTTCGCGAAGCTGGCGGTGCCATGGACTCGCTGCAAATTCCAGACCAGCTCTCCGACTATGTCGAGAGACACGGCTTCTCCTCCGATGCCCAGCTGACCAATCTGCGCGACAGAAAGGTCAGAGAAAAGGCGCTCGTAGCCGCAGTCGACAACAATCTGCTTCGCCGCACCTTCATTCGACTCGATCTTCCTACCGCTCCCCTGCCCAGACGCCAGATCATCTATCTTCCGCATTTGACGCCAGAGCAGCTGCAAAAGTATTGTCAAGCTGTCAAGGAAGGTCGAGACGGTTGGTTCGAGAGCAAGAATGCAAAGACGGCGCTGACACACGCTACGAACGATGTCGCCGTCGATCTTGACGATGCTCTACGTTTTGCCAAGCCTTGGCATCTGACCGAACCGCTCCGACTGGCCGAAGTGTCCACGGATACATCGCAACTCTCCACGTTGCGCAAGCCCTTCCTCGATGTGGTCAGCGTCTATCGACAACATCTCGGCTTCTTGGCCGGTGAGATGGTGCGGCTCAAAGCTTTCCACCTCGCTTGCGCGAAATTCATCACCTTGTGTCGTTCAGCGTCTTCCGGTCCCGACGATGCTGGCTCCCTCTCGCTCAGCTTCTTTTGGACCGACGCGCCCCTCGATCTCTTTCTGGCGCTCGTTCCTACGCCCGCCGTATCCGAGACCATCGAAAGCATGACGCTCGACCCTCAGGTGCGTTCGCTACCCGTGCGTGCACTGTCTGAGGAGCTAAAACTCAGTCTTGGGCTCACGGAAAGGGTCGCGGATGATGTACGCATCTCGCTGTACAGCCTCGCGACCCAGCTTTCCGATCTTGGACTCGTCGAGCTGCAGCCAGCAGGTGCCGTTGAAGATCAGAGGGACGGCCGCCCGGACACCTTCAACACCGCGATCGAGCCGCGTCGCTATCTTCCACTCTACGATTGGACGAGCGAAGAGGAGAACAAGTCGCTGATCGGCTTCGTCGAAGCTGGCTTGGATGCAACGCTGATCAATCGATTCTGGGCCAAGACGCAAGCACGTTGCCTCAACGTGCAGAAAAAGTTCGGAACAGAGGGCCGCCAAGATCATGGAGTGCTGACACTCGAGGATGCAGCGCGTTTGGCGTCACCGGTTGAAGCAGAGGCCCACAAGACGGTACCGGAGGAACTCTCGAACGTGCTCTTCTATGGGAAAGCGTGGCGTCCTTACCACCAACTCAGGCCATCACAGCAGAAGTATCTCCTTCGCGTCGATGTGCAAGACATCCCCTCGGCGACCCAGGATGACCTTGAAAGGCTTGCCTACATCACGCTGGCGCCGACACAGATCGTCCGCGCTGCTCTTCAGTACCGGCTCAGGCTTGCCACCGAGCCAGTCGATCCTGACGCTCCAGTCGTGCGACACAAGAGCCCGCACTTCTCATGGCCACTCAAGCTCAGCACCATCTCCCTGCCGACCAGCGTCTACAGGCCTATGGCTGTCCAAGCCGAAGAGGCAAGGCCAGCCCAACCTCGCGTCAAGACGCAGGCGGAGCGCGAGAGAGAGGGTCGACTGACCACGTACAACAAAGCGCGTGAGCTCCGTGAACGTCGCAATCAGCACTTCCAAGCCATGCTCGATGACGCAGTCCAAGCAACTCCAGCGGCTCACGAACTTCGCGCCAAGATCGAGACGGCACTCGAGGTGATCCGCCGCAAATTTGTCACAGGCGACATCAAGTTTGACGCCAATGCTGTACAGATGGCGATCGCCAGAGCTATCCGATCCGCTTCCGGCGTTAGAGTGATGCCTAGCGTTCGCGCTTCATCAGCTGGCCGAAAACGACGTCGAGAACGGGTCACCTCGACAGGGCAGGACCAAGAGTCTGGGGACGAATCTGACCCACAGCGGCAAGACGGAGAAGACGCCCACGACCGCGTAGCAAGAGCGAACGGGAAGAGGGACCGCCGGGGCCGCCGACACTTCGACCAGACCTCTTTCTGGACGCCAGCGAAGAAGGAGCTGTTGCGTGATGCTGCCGTCATCCTTCGCATGCGCGATCAGGTGCGAGGTCGGTCGGATTGGTCTGCGCTGTTCCAGGTGATGGATCGCGAAGACCTCACCAAGACTCGTGCCGTGATCATGGCACAGTGGCGTAGTCAGTACTACCGCATGCGCTCGCTTCACGGTGAAGAGGCATACCTCACCGCGCTCGAAAGCCGCTGGGTACCAGTCTACCTTGAAGCGCAGGAGGCGGGCACCTTGGACGATCCCGAGTTCCCGTCTCCGACCGAGTTCGACCTTGTCGCGCAAATTGAGTTGCTTCGAGACAAGATCGACAAGGACGAAGTGCAGAGCTCGCTGACCAAGCCGGTCGCTCGGTACCATTTGCCTCTCACGTTGGGTGCCAGCGCTGATTTCACCACGAGCTGGAAGGAGGAGTTCGAGGAAGAACCCGTCGAGCAGCGTTTCGAAGCCTTCTTCCCCACCGACTTTTCCGGCGCCATGACCAAGCGATTCGAGACGCTGCTTCACATGTCTTTCGGCGAGGAGCAGTCCATTGCCGAGAGGTGGAAGGAGCGCGACATCGAGAAGCAAATGGCCGAATGGGCCGTGCGCGTCGTCATTGTCAGTGCTGACGCAGAGATGGCCCCTCAAGATGATGCAACGACGCAGGTTGCCCCGTCACCAGTGGATGAGAAGATCAAGGCCGAGTTTTGCAAGAGCATGGGCGACACGCAGATCGAGGAGGCAATGCAGCGCCTGCTCGACATCAAGCTCATTCGGTGCACGGCCGTCGATCCGATCGTGCGTCGCAGACCTGGGACCAACTTCGTTCTCACTGAAGAGCTGCAGAAGCTCCTGCCGGACGCCAATGCTGACAACCGCATGGCCGCGATGGATCTGCAGGCGACTCTGACGCATCGAAAATCGGCGTTCCAGCAAGTGACCGAGGCGAAGGACGGCGTGGTGGTAGAGCCTGTCGAGGCAGATGGCGAAGCGGCAGCGATGGTCCCCCTGTTGGCGTCCGAGCTGATGGCGGGCGAGGTGGATGTGCGGGCTTTTGACACGCTGAGGCAGAGTGCCGCTTTCAACGCTCGAGTGCTGAACGACGACGATCTGGAAGCGCTCATCACGATCAAGGATGCCAGTGGGATGATGGAGGCGCTCGAAACGGCCGTCGTTCCGTTGCCAGCTGTGCCTTCGGACGAGGCACTCGATTGGCTGAAAGCGGCAGCAAACGACGGCGATGGAGGGCCCAGACCACTCCGACCTGTCGTTGAGACCATGGTGGGAATCTGGCGGCTGCGGTTCCAAGACTGTGTCCGAGATCTTTCGGCCACCGATGCGCAAGCCGCCGAGCGAGTGCAAGACTTTGGTCTTCAACTGATTCAATCTGGCGCACAGGGTCTGGCAGTGGACCGCCCATCTCACCGACTATCCCGCACGGACATCGTCACGCTCACACGCGGTCCTCTACCCCTCGCATTCTTCTCGCCACTCACATCCACGCCTGTGCTCATCGCATCGATCTTTGTCGGAGCGTACACGCTCACCATCCCCGTCCGCTCCGAATTCACGCCTCGTCTCTCCCTGCCGCACATATGGACGACACTCAGCAGCCACTCCCGCACGCAATGGCGCGCGCTACTCGACACGATCGTAGCCCTCGTCTTCCAACGTCCAGCGACCCGTCTCGCCTCGCTCACGTCCAGATTTACTTCGACAGCTGTCACGGAGGATGGCGAGAAGAGGGAGGTCGTGGGGACGAGCTTTGCCGATGTTTGGGCTGCGGTGACTGCTCTCGTGGAGGCAGAGGTGGTGGAGGTGTATGCGGAGGGAGAGGTGGAATTGTGGACGGTGCATCCTGGGAAGCGGGTCGTTTGGGCTGGTTTTCGTTGAGTGTCGTTGCAGATGTCTCTTGTTCTGCAATTCGGGTTCATGCCTACTGCGCGGTCTCGCTGTGACACACGTCTGACTGTAAGCCCACTGAGTGTCAAGATCGACTCTATCAACGAATTTGCAAGGCATTTGCTTCCTACGTGTGTGTGTTGATTCCCATCATTGATTGTACGTGTGCATCTATCTAGTTTCCTTTGGGCAGCACCAGCCAAGCGGCCAAGCCGACCACCAACCCGCTCACCTTCTCCTGCGGCGTGTGGAAGTAGATCGCTGTATTGAGGAGCATCCAGCTCCACAGGCCCACCAACCCCAATGTCACGCCTACTGCAGCGTACGCCGTTCCTGTCCACCTCGTCCTGCTTGCCTGAGCGGTCGATTTCCCAAACAGCGACCTCCCCAACAGCGCGGCCAAATACGGCGCCACATCCTCCAACAACAACAGCGACGAGAGCACCATGATGAACGTGTGACCCGAGATGTCGTGTCCGCCCTTCCACATCGCCCTTACATTCTTGGCTGTGAGCCCGGAGGAATGCAGTGCGGGGTGGTCGCTGGCCAACGGTGTGCGTGTTCGGCAATACATCTCCTCCACCTTTCCCCCACCCGTTCCGGTGGGAACACACACCGCGCCGGTGGCCGTCAGAATCCGTTCCGACAATGGAGGACCAAAGAACCAGTTGGCAAACAATAACCATGCCGAAGTAGCGACCAGGTAGCGCAGGACGGAGATCGAAACGGGACTCGTAATCGTCGCTTGCTCCGTAGCCACCGCGTCTTCGTCCTTCTTCTTGTCTACACGAGGCGGTGCGAGACGCAGGAAGAACAGCTGCATCCCCCAAGCCAAGGTCGTCCACAACCACGCCTTCTTGACAAAGAGCTGGTTGACAATGTTCTTCCGGTTCGCCCAGTAGTTGAGCGCATGGTGCGGTGGGAGCAGGATGGTGGGCGGGATGGGACCGAGATTGAGGCTCCCCTCGACAGTGTTTTGCACGGGAGCGGGGGCTACCGCTGCACCAGGCAGCGTGGATGGAAAGTCGCCAGTGGCACCGGAGGAGATGCGTACGTTCTGCAAGTGGGTACCGTAGAGAACGCTGTAGGTGGTGCCGATGACGACGATCGAGGTGAAGTAGAGCGCGAACGTGAGATGATGCGGTTGAAGACCGAGGGGCAGCTTGGATTGCCGCCGCGGCAGTGTTGCGGTAGAGGCGCTCATCGTGACGCAGATGTCTATTGTCCAGCGATGTCAAGTCTCGTGAGCCACAGAGGTCGAGCGAGAGCGATGGTGGTGGTACGAGCGAGGGGAAGGGTGAAAGATGCTGCGCAATGCGGCAGGACCGAAAGCGACGTGGCTCAAGCGAACCCGCATCCAAAAGTGGAGGTTTGGCAGTGAATTTATTTTTGGGCGTGCTCACGACGCGGCCACGTGGATGCCGTTTGGTGATCTGGTGCGACCCAAACAACTCAAGATGCTACCAGTGCAGCATTCAGACGGGGCCAGAAGAGAATGGACGTTTGCGATGCAAGAACAGTACAAAGTGAGAAACGGACAACTACGAACGGGAAGCCAGAAAGCTGCAGCCTGGCGAGAGCGAGGTGAGAGATGACGCGCTACTGCTTCTTCAGAGCAGGATCGGTGATGGCGAGCACGCGTACCTCGACAGACCAGCGAGGTTCGGCATCCTTGGGCGTCGTGGGATCTTCGAAAGCCGTATGAGGCGTCCTGGTCTCGTCCACCGAGTCGTAGCACTTGAGCAGGATGGCTTCGCTAGCATCGAGTCCACTCTTGTAGTACCATCGATGATCCGGGTTGCTGTAGATCGACAGGGTCTGCCCTGTCCACGTCGGATAGCGCAACTCGGTCTCGATCCAGTCCTTGGGCTTGCCATTCTCGCCTCTAGAGACGGTGCGGCTGTCGGCAAAGGCCAGAGGCATGTCCCAAGCGTTCCCCCGAAGCACCCTCCACAGGTTGATCAGCTGAGCATGAAGCTCGCCTTTCTTGACCTTCTCGAGCGTCTCCTTGCCAAGGTGCTTCTCGATCCGGTTTTCGCCCGCAAGCCGAGATTGATCCGAGTGTGCCATGCCGACGGGCTTGCGGGTTTCAGGTGTTTCCGGTAGATCCTCCTCCTCTCTCGGGCGTCGTTTGCGAACCGTGTGGTCGAAGATGAAGGTTGACGTGACGCCGAGCTTGTCCTTGAACAGGCGGTCCACGTCCTCGTAGTACACCGACTTGAGCCACTCATCATCTTCCCACTCTCGGTTCCCCCAGGCCTTGGCGGTGTCTGGCAAGCCGAAACCCTCGACGATCTCGAAGCCAGCATTGCTGACATTGAAACCGGCACGCTCGCGATCGGCAGGGCTGGTGCCACGCAGATCAGTGATCTCGATGGTTGGCGTGTCGAAGACGTGGTTGTTGAGCTTGCCGTCGGCAGGCTGGTACAGGGCTGTGAACGGCTTCTCGACGGTGCGCGACATGTAGTTGATCTTGGCCGGCACCTTGCGCGCTCCGGGAACCTGAAGGGTCACCGGGTCCGAGGTCTTGACCTGCGTTGCTGTGGATGTAGATGTCATTGCGGAGGACTCGATAGTAGCTGTTGGTGCTGAGGATGGACGTGTCAGCGGGAAGGGTAGCTCGCTTGGCTGCAGGGTTATATACCTTTGTTGAGCCTGAGGTGGAGCTTAGTTATGGTGCGCGCAAGAGTCTCACTCGACGGCCGACAGACAGCTCGAGAGCGGCAATACGCTGCACACATCCGCGGGAAGGACATCACGGCATCGGCATGCAAACTCGCGAGTGTGCTCGCACTTAAGCGCAGTCAGTGTCTTGTGAGGGAACCGGCTATGCAGGCGCTAAAGCTCGAATTGCGCCATCACCGTGACGTCGTACAAGCCTCGCTGAGGGCTCGAGACGCCGGGAGATGGCTCGCCGCCTAATCTCCGCGATCTGAAGAGAGTCTAACAGTTGTCACTTTTGCGAGCGCCGATTGCTGCTATGTTGGACCCTGAAATCGGGCTGCGGATTTTTTCTCCACCTTTTGGAGCACGGACGTTGTTGATCTTCTCTTGCTTCTTCCACATCAGCCGGCCAAGATGCAGCGCAGCAATCCGCTGCGAGACCCTTTCGCCAACGAAGATGATCTGACCGGTCCATCAGCACGACCGACACGGCTACCGGGGTCGAACGAGGTAGCAGGTGCAAGCGCTGGCTCGGCCGTTGCTCCTCGCTCTCTCGGTCTCTCGCTGGGCCTGCCTCGAAGTCGCATGGGCGCCAGGCGTTGCCAGTCGGACGATCCAGCTAGCAGCGCCGGCGACTCACGAAGAGCAGACGAGGCCGTCCGTAACACCGACTCGGATGCGCTTCTCTCGCGTCTTTCGGCGCTCAAACTTGGCTACTTGCCTGCGGAACCCTTCACGCAAGAGTTTGCCACCTCGTCAGCATCGAATGGCGGAGAAGCAGCAGGTCAACACGGCTGCCCGAGATCACATCAGCCAGAAGCCCCTGCGAGGAGGTCTCCGCTCATCAACATTGGCACCTATCTGCGGTGCACTGCTATTGATGCCGAAGTGGAAAGCTTCCTGACGCAAGGAGAAGGGCAAAAGCAGATCATCTCGATAGGGGCTGGAAGCGATAGCCGCTACTGGAGAATCATGGTGAGTGTGGCAAGACACTGTTGCGGCTCAAGCCGAGTGAAGCGCCAGGAACACTGACACCTTGGACTTGTGTCGTCTCCGCCCCACTGCGCAGTCAAATCCAGACCTCTCGAAGCACCTGCATCACTACGCCGAGATTGACTTTGCGGAGAACACGAATCACAAGCTCACTCGCATCTCGAAGAGCTCCATATTGCGATCGTCTCTGGACCCAGATTCTAGCGTCCATGGCGGCTCGCTTACGAATCTGTCCGAGCAAGGCCAACAAAGAGAACCACATCAGGGCTCGAAACGGTTCGACGTGCTTCGCTCTTCCAAATACTCGTTGCTCGCTGCAGATCTTCGCTCTCTCCACCCAGACACTGTCGCAGCGGATCGCATCGACGTTGAGCACCTGCTTGGCCCAGATAGCACTGGGCTGCAGTCGGAACTCCCGACGCTAATCCTCTTTGAATGTGTGCTTGCTTACATTGCCCCGGAGGAAGCAGACCTGCTGATTCAGCTGCTGGGCCAGCGGTACGCTGATATTAGTGCGGTCAGCTACGACATTGCGCTTGCTGGCGATGACAACACAAGAGCAGCTCCGTCAGCCGTATCACCCTCCATACCGCCATCGCGGTTTGGCAGAGTCATGCTGCAAAATCTCGAGGTAAGTCTTGCTGCCACTCATCGGTGCCTTTGACAGGCTCATCGGCGTCCGGCGTCGTTACTCACCCGACCTTGTTCCGTACCGTCGCCATCCGTGTCACCAGATGCGAAAACTCTCACTGCCGGGAGCAAAAGCATACCCAACAATCAACGCGCAGAGCCAACGGTTCGCGCAAGCATGGTCTTCGGCATCCAGTGGCCAAGCGGCACCGGTCGAGACATCTGGCAGAAGCCTATTCTCGATCTGGTCGTCCCTGGATGCTGGTCAAAAGTCCAGGTATGTGTCGCTCGTTCTTGTGGTTTCCGCCATGGCCTGGATGTTGACCCGAGGTAACCTTGCTTTGCTCATGACAGGCTCTCGAGACTCGAAGGACTCGACGAAGTGGAAGAGATCGACATGCTTCTCAAGCACTACTGTATCGTCCGAGCCAGGCGAATGCCTCGATGAGCGTCCTTCTCTGTCAATCACGGAAGCTGCTTCGAACAATGACGACGCTCACCTTGACGCACACCCGACTCGCTGGTTACACGGCCGAGAGAGTAAAGAGCATACTTTCCGTGGGTCGGCACGGCCGCATTGATGCAACACGACGCTAGCGGGGAGCATGGGGACAATGCGGTCGTGTTCGCGTGGCCAACGATTCCGATACCAAATCCGTCGGCAATCTGCTGCGATGCGAGCGGAGTGTGTGTGTGCGACACACTTTCGGCTCTCCGTCCAATCAACCACATTAAACAGCAAATCGGATGGTGGTGTTCCGAGAATCTGGTTCGATTGGAAATCGACGCGATTCGAATCGTTCCACCTGCGCTTCCGTCGCTGAACGCATGCACGTCCTGGATCTCTCATTGTCCTATTGTCGTGCGCTCGCAGCCGATCCGGTCAACTCGAACAATGCGCACCATTGTGCTCTGCCTCGAGACGCGGCAACGGAACAAGCTGATCGCAACACGAGGCAGGGGACTGGCAGCTCGGATCTTGAGTCTCGCTCATTTCTGCCTCCAACTCCATTAGTGAAGTGCATGGGGCTCAAGTGGAATGCTGCAGCATGAACCACTCTGCATGCTGTTCCAATGCCGCGACCCACAAAGTGGTCGACCAGGCTGCTCTCCGACCGCGAGATTTAGCCTCCAATCCGCATTGTTTCGGCACCGGCAGCTTGAAAACGCCGACAATGGGCAAAGCGCTCGGCTCCAGAGAAAAGACAGAGATGGGCTGCCGATTTTTCATGCTCCGATCCTCCATCCTCGGAGCCTTTTCGCGACCTGATAACGAACGATCGAAGGACGGGGCATGTTCGAGACCAGCGCGTGCTGTATCACGAGCCCTCTCACTGCATAGGCTGTCAGATCCACGCCTCGCTGCCGATCCCCTGAGGCGTGTCGATAAACTCTGAATCAGGTTGACCGGCCGGTTCTGTCACGACGATCGCAGCCGAAGGTTTCATGCGTGCCACGCTTTCTGGGTCGCGTCAGGCCTCTTGCCGAGGCTGCATTTTGGATCGCTCTTCTTTCGAACTCCGTTTGTTTCTCGGAACCTTGGCTTCATCGCAGCTGATGCCAAGATGCTTAGCACGTTGGTATCACGGATGGGCAAGTCATTGCTGGTGACACACGGCAGGCCAAGCTCGTCTGACCTCGACACGGGACGCATCCTTCGATCGAATCCACGTTCACGAGCCTACTTTTGGCGGCAGCAGGGCGTGCCGCACTAGACCGAGCTCGGGCCGTGGCAACACTAGCTTGACTCGCTTAGGGCTGCGGAACTGCAGCGTGGCATCTTGTGCATGCATGTGCTGCTACAGTACGCCAAGCCGCACCGTTGCTGCACATGACCACTTCCTCCGCCCTTTTGCCTTCGACCATCAACAAAGCGCCAGCAGCTGTTTGCTGCCGCAGATGCACGCCGATGTGGGGAGGAGAGAGAGAGAGGGTGGCAGTCTGCCCGACCATCACATTGAACGACTGTCTCATCGTCGCATCATTGTTTACGATGGTACCGCGATTCTCAATAGGAAAGCATCGCCTATTGTCATGCCGTGCACAGCGAGGGACAATGTCACAAGTTGGCTCCGATCGGTAGCCATGCCGCACGCCTCCACGTATGCCGAGACGCCCACCTCGCTACGCCCCACCAAGGAAGATCGACGTGGCAAGCGAGGAGCGTGGCAATTTCAGCGTATGCAAGGCTGCGGAACGCAGCGGCTCCGAACATCCCTGCAGACGGTGAAAGCAGCGACTCGCTTACAGCGAGATACTGCGGTTTATCGTAGCAGGCTGCTGATGGGCTTGGGCGACTGGTGCATCTGGGAGGCTGGCTCTCTGGGCGCCGTCGCTTTGGTCCCGTCCTGATCCCGCAACGGAGGGCGTGACACCCGACCCAGATAGATTGCAGCATTGCGGTAGGGCAGCCGCTCAAAGCGATCGGATTTCTCGGCCAGAAAAGGGAGGTTTTTTGACACGAAGTGCCGCGGCATGCCGGCGCTGCGTGCTGCCGTCCTCTCCCCGTGTTGACGATGGTTGATCAACGTGCTGATTGCCACGTCGACGACACGAGTTGGGACACGATGATCTGGAACTTGACTACCCACGATAGCTCGCGTGGCGTCAGTCTCACCCCAGAAAGGATTAGTCCTTCGCTTAGAAGGTACGTACGACTCTAAGTGGCCACCAAATTGAGATGCAGTCACTGAACTCCGATCGACATGCCTGCTTCTGGCGAGAGTTGAATAGAGTCGACCCACTCGGTTGCATTGCATAGGCTGAACGGAGCCACTGTTACCGTCAAGCAGCCAACAAGCCGCAATTTATGCAACTGGCACCTCGTGTGCCGAGTCGCCGTCCGATCCGTCGGGATAGCATGCTAGCGAGGTTGCATGCACCATGGGCCATCGACACGCGACGATCGAAGCATTCCGGAAATCTCTAGCAACCATCCTTTTCGACGCCACTGTCCGGACTGGAAGGAGGAGCTGCAAGAGATACAGTAGTCGATGGCTTGGTCGTCGCGGCACCGGCGTGTCGGAACAGGCCCTGTTCGGTCGAGCGGTGCGGCATGCGAAAAAGCGGTTAAGGAACAGCAGCAGCTGATTTGGGTCGGGCTTCCAACTTTGCGACTTTTTCCGATTGGTTCCGTCGGGGTTTCACGCCTTTTTTGGCCCCCCTCCTTTCATGCTTGGCCCGCTTCTGCGACGCTATCTATGCGAGCCCGTCTGGAAGCTTGGTACTAGTGGGACAATCTCGAGGCTCGCTTCGCTTCTTTTGCACAGGAGAGGCTTGGAAAGCACAAGCTCGCTTGCCGATCCCGACGCTGTCCGCACGAGCCAGCTGATACCGACCCACGCTCGAACCCACGCTCTCATCAACTACAAGACCGGACCGGACCGCAGCTATCCCGGACTTTTGGCGAGGTGTAGAGCAACATCGTCGATGCCATCGTATCCTGCTTGCGCACCATCTTAATCATGCAGAAGACCTTGACTCCGACTAGAGCGCATGAATTTGCAAATGGACGACAGGCAGCCGTTTTTACGATGATGCAAGCCACCAGTTCATCATCTTGGGAAAGGATCAGGGAGGAAGACCCAGGCCGCTGCATGCCAAGGTAGCGGGAAGCACACCTTGTTTGTCGCTGCCCGACGGATGACACCGGCAATCTCAATACTAGAGCAGATTCAGCTCTGCATCGGAGTTCTCCGTCGAGGCAGCAGCCTGTCGGCGATGCAAAAGGGCAAGTCCGTCGGGCTGCATCCGCTGCATGCTCGATGCAAATATCCAGAGCAGAGGCGTGACAACGTCCGCGTGCGCATCCGAGCGAGCCTTGCTCGAAGATGTGCGTCTCCTTCCGTTCTTGTGAGGAGCATCTCAGCCGAGACCTCATCCAGATCGCATCGTCAAGATGGCAAAGTCCTCGTCCACCTCGTCACAAGTGAGCTTGCAGTGCAGCCATCGCTTCTTGGGGCTCCGACAGCAGTCTTGTTGATTGAGCCACGTCTTCCTGTAGGAAGCTCAGCAAATGCTCAAACCGGATCCAATCATCTCAGATCAGATGCACAGGTGGGTGAGCATGTGGCAGTCGGTGTGGGTTTGGTCGGTTTCGAACGTCGGTCCGGCTGGCGTCCGTTTCTAGCTCGCTGCCCGCGGGCAGAGACCAGACTGGAAAAGAAATTTAAGGTTTTTTCTCCCTTTCCTGCAATGTGATGCTTTATGGGCCATCGGTTTCGGGTTGGAGTTCCGACTGGGCGGACTGAGCACCTTTGTGCGGTGCAGGGCTGCCGATAAAATGTCTCGGCTGAGTTTCGTGCTTTTCTGCTGTTTTTATGCGGGCAGTCCGGCAAGGATCTTCTTGAATTTAAATTCCCTAAAGAAAAAAAGGTTGGCTCTGCGCTGCTCTGCTACTCTTGTTGACGATATATGAGAACCTCACTTCATGCCGCAAAGGTGGCTCGTTGAGCCGCGGCATGGACGGACTTGCGCAGGGGCAAAGCCTTGTTGATCTGGCTTTCCGACCCTCTGCAACAGGTCGATATCAAACAATCCAAGACAAAAGCCAAGCCTCACCTTGCTTGTTCCCTGCTGCTCGCTTACCGGGATTTTTGTTTTATAAAAATATATTTAACGTCATATGGGATCTTGCTTCGCTCCTCTGCGCTTGAACCCGTCGCTTGACGAACCGCTCTTTGTGTCTCCGCCTGTCTCGCTCCGCTGCTCGCTGTTCATCGGCATCGTTCGTCCATTTGTCGCTGTCGTAGTGCCTCGTGCCAGAACCCAGAAACACCGAGACCCGAACAGCAGCATTTGCTGCTGCCACTGCTGCCACGGGTGCCGTTGCCGTTTCCGTTAGGTGTCAACAATTAGGCTCTTTCTTGTCGAGATCTCGGTCTCACCTGTTGATCCGCGATTGTCTTGCACTTGCCTCGTGCCGCCGTGCTGGGTGGGTGTGTTGTTCGCCCAGCCTCTCGTTCTGGTCCAATGCGCATGCCGCGAATCTGCACAGACGCCCGTGCATGATTGCCTGCCTAGATCCCGAACACTGTCCTTGCGCCGGCTGGGCGGCCGCGTCGGTGCGATTCGCTTTCTTGTCCGGATGTCCGTTGTCGCGAGCAGCAGATCGCATCCAGGTGTGATCGCTTGGATCGCTCGAATGCCACGAGTCCAGCCAGCTGCTTCCATGCGCCGTGATTGTGTGTGAGGACGCCGGGTGGGTTGAGTTGGCTTCCAAACCAATTTGGGTTGCTTCTGATCTCACGTTGCTTTCCGACTTTCATCGTCCGACCCGTCTCTCTTTCCCTTTCCCCCCTCTCTTCCTCCCTGTCTCAAGCCCGTAGGTCGCGACGGAGGCCACGGATAGAGTGCCGTGTGGCCTGCTTTGCTCGCACCATCTTCGACTCGGTCCGACTGCTTCCTTCTCTCTCCGTGCCTGCCTGGATGGTCTCAAACTTTGACTCCAGATCTCCATACACGAGTGCCGCTGCTGTTGCTGCTTTCGTCTTCGCTTCGCTCCTTGTTCCTTGCGGCTTGCTTCATGACCATCATCTTTGATCTCCTTGACAGCAACAACGACATTAACCCTGTAGATACGCACTCGACTTTCCTCCGCACCCGTCTTGCTCTCCAACAGATCTGCAGTCGCTCCAGCCAGCCTCGCATCTTGCGTTGCAGCTCCCACCAACACGCCATACCTGCCGACGCACCGCAGCTTAGGCACGGCCTCGATCGACTTTGAATCCACACCTTTGCTCACTCGCTTTCTGGCTCAGCTCTTATCATCTCTCGACAAGTCGCTGCGGCCCGCCCCTCTCGGTTCTTAGCCTTTGTCGTCTCTCGCTTCTCAAGCTCAGCCTTCAAGGGCATTCCACCCGGAATTGCTCCGAAGGCGCTGTTGGAAAGTCAAGAGCTGAGCAAGCGCAACATAAATCGGAACGCACCCAAGCCGTGGGAACCGTGTCGATTCTCACCTGGTCATCCCGAACACATCACACGCACTCGGACATCCGCTGGTCGGCTGCTCGATCACAATCACATCACAAATCTCCTCTGCGACGAGTCACTCGATTGATTTGACCGCCTTTGTTGCTGCGCAGCGGAATAATTCCATCCCTGGACCTCGCAACATCACTCGCTGCCATCCTATGCGCTAGCGAGCCTTCTCGATTGGCTCGTCTCGTCTCGTCCCTTCCCTTGTCCATCAAAGGGCTCCTGGCGCAACATCCCAATTCGATCATCCATCGCTCAGCATGCACCCACATCGGCCCGACCGCGCCGCTTTCCCCGACCAAAGCACATCGGATCAGCGACAGATCGATATGAGGAACTCACGCATCGGCGACACCGACCATCGCTTGCCCCCAAGACAAGCCTCGTCGGGTCTGCCGCAGGCGCGAATGGAGGCTGGATTGGGATACGCGTCTGCTCCTGGTGCTGATGCCGATGCTCAGCCATATCATCATTCCAAGCCACCGCCTCATGCTGCTTCATCTTCCCACGCTCATCGTTCCCACGACTATCGATCTTGGTCACCAGACCGATCCAACCGAGAACCTGCCCGACCTTCGCATCTGCAGTCTCATCTCGATCGACCTCACTACGACAACTATCCACCGGCAAACAACATTGATCCGCGTCATCGTGGTCAGTACTTGGATCAACGATCTCCTCGCGATCTCTCTCGCCCTGTCCATGCGTCGCCTTACCCCACTGCCTCATTCGATGCTCAGCGTCGACAGCAGCCGTATCAGGACCACATTGGTCACCAACAACCGGCTGCTCATGCCTTTCGTGGTCATCCATATCCTGATCACGCCTTGCCTCATTCCTATCAAGACCCTCGCTCCGGAGCTCAAGTGCGTCCCAATCTGCCTTCTCCTCGAGACGCGCATCGATCCGTCGAACGCATCCCACCCATGGGTGCATTTACTAGTCGCGACGCCTACCCTTCTGATCAGTTCGGTCATGCTCGCTATCCGCCCGTCGCTTCAGCCCACGACGCTCGCCCATGGCCAGAGATGCGTCGCTACTCGGACGGCCCTTCTCGTCCATCTACCTCCACCTCGTCCGACCCCGCCTTCCCGGCGAATAAGTCGACCCTCCCTTCGCGAAAGCGAAAGAAGCAGTTCAAGTACATGCTTGAGCTCGAAGCCGCCGACGCATCCAAACCGGCCAACGACGATGCGGAGAAAGACGAGCTGGATGCAGACGGCATGGACACAATCGACACCGCTGGTGGTATCGACAGTGTCCCTCAGCGCAAAGAGAGCAGGAAAAAGGTCAAGAAGGCCTGCATCTTTTGCAAGCGCAGTCACATGCCGTGCGAAGAGGCGCGACCGTGCAAGCGCTGCGTCAAGCGTGGCATCTCGCATCTGTGTAAGGATGCTGAACCTGCATCCGCCTCTGGCAACGCATCTTCTAAGGCAAAGAGCGAAGAGACGCGCCAGGCTGCACGCGCAAAGCAACGCAAGGGCTCCAAAGACGCGTTGCGCACCAACACCGACCAAGCCCTCGACAACGAATCCGGATCCGACTCGGAGAGCCTAGCCTCTTCCTCGGCCGCCTCGTCTTTCCACCGTCGAAGCTACGACATGAACGTGATGCCCGGTGCGGCGGCGCGCGATCCGGACTACCGACCGACGATGCCCGTGTCGATGCTCTGCTCGCCTGCTGGGGCCGAGTTGGCGCGTCGTCCCGCCAAACGTGCTGCTTCGCCCGGCGTCTCGCAAAAGGAGCAGGAGGACGCGTGGAATCGCACCATGGACCCGTCGACGCAGACCAAGATGAAGCAGATGCTCGAGGCGGGCAACGCGGCGCGCGATCTGAGCGATGTCTTTGGCGAAATCCCCACATCGCTGCTCATGACACCTGCGCAGGCCAGCCTTCCTCGGGGACAGTCGATCCTGCGACCTGCATCGGCCGAATTGACCAGCTCGCCTCCGCGTAATGACGGAAGCGAGCGCGAACAGCGACTCAAACGCTCCCTCTCCATGACTCTTACCACTACCCCGCACGAGGTCGACGAAGCCGGTTTCAAACTCCCTCGTCGACCCCGCCACCTACTGCAGGAAGAAGCAGCCACCACCTCGGAACTGCGCGGTGGCCCTCCGACTTACTCCTACACCTACGGTTACGCCAAACTCGCGCGGTGGATGCACACGCGTTTCTCACGCGAGAGCTGCGAGCAGGTCGACCAAGCTCTCTCGGTGATCCGACCCAAACTCATGGCGCTCTCCCGCAGCCTACCGGAAGCCGAGCTGATCGGAGTGGAAGACAGCTTCTACCAGCTGCTCGAGTTTTACACGGCCAATGTGATGGAGACGATTCCGATCCCGATGATCCTGGCGAGACGAACGGGCGAGATCTACGCGGCCAACTCGCACGCGTGCAATCTGATGCAGTTGCCGCCGTCGATCTTTGAAGGAGGGCAGATTTGCCACTACCAGCTGGTTTCTGAGAAGGACGCGGTCAACATGTGGGGAAAGTACGCCAAGGAGGCAAGGGGCGAATTGGATAGCGCCCCGAGCCAGACGGTCATGCTGGAGGTCGATCGGAGTTTGTTGTTGTTCGACAAGCCGGGTTTTGATCCGTGCACGGGCGAGTTGTTGGGTGACGGGAGTGGGAGGTGCGAGGATGGAAGTGCTGCGGTGATCAGAAGGAAGGTCATTGTGACGTTCGAGGCCAAGATGAGCAAGCACGGATTGCCGTTCATGGTGACCGGGTTTATTGTTCCTATTCCGGAGGAGGATTGAGGGGCGACCCGGTTCGGTGTTGGGTCGAGGGAAGAGTGACGAGATTCACCTTGCCGATCTCGAAAGACGATTGATGTCGACACGGCGACACAGCTCTAAAACGAGCCTTTGAGTTCAATAGACAGACTGCTTGACGGACGCCAGCGGCCTCGTGCAAAGCACCTAGATTCATATAGACACTACTACACCACACTACTGCTCCCTCTAATCTCGTTGTATCCATAGCAATCACATGCGCCCTGCTGCTCGGTGTACAGCTCTATCTTACAAGTGTTCTCTCTAATCGCATCTTTTGCACCCCGCTCCGGCTCTGTTTTGTGACTCTCGATGCGTCGCTGTGTGTCTGAATGCTCTCGATGAGCAGCCTGTGTGCATGTCTCATCCTGAGCCTCAACTTCCGCATTGGAGACGAGCGAGGAAGGGTGCGGTCGACGGATCTCCACAGCTGCGCAATTTTGACGCTCTGGCTGGCGCTCACAACATCCGTAGGCTGCATTCGCTTCCAGACATGACCTCGTTAAGCTGTCAACCCACACCCTCTCAAGCAATCTAGTGCCACCCGGATCACGCGTCGAACGATCGTTGCAAAAGGGGTTCGTATACTGCGTGCGTTGCGTGGGGGGTCGTAGTCAGTGTGTATCTATACTTGGGCAACGAACGCCGCCGGAGCGCCAGCGAGCATCCGTACCACCTCAACAATCTGCGGAATGGCGGCGAGCACCAACAGAATTCCGCCGAACAGCACGAAACTCAGACTGGCGACGGCCATGCAGCGCGGTTTGCTGATGAGGCTGCTGGCGCCGATGGCGCCGGCGGTGCTGCCCATGGCGATGCCTATGGTGAGGTAGTCCTCGTTTGTCCGCCTGCTCTTGCTGGTCGAACTGCTTGCTTTGTCGGCGTTGTCGGATGTGACGTCGTTGTCAGAGTCGGAATCGTCGCCGTCTTGGGTTGGGTCAAGTCGGAGCAGTCGGAAAAAGGGATCCTTAACAATACTGATCAAGATCCCCGTAATCACCACCAGCACGACGGTGATGCTCTCGTCGGCGCCAATGGTGAGGCTCAACTCTATGGCAAGAGGAGTGGACATGAATCGACTTGCAAAGGCCAGCGCGCGTTCGGGAGCAATGCCGATGGCCGCTGCGACGGTGGGCCAGAGGAAGAGGCTGAGCATGGCGCAGGGGGTGAGGATGACGAACATGGACGCAAAGTGGCGTCGGAGGTCGGCGCGGTACCGATACATCGGGATGGCGAGCGAGACGATTCCCGCGTCGAGGGTGCTGAACAACACATCGCCCGCACCGATCACCGGCCCAGTGTAACCCGAAAGACTCCACAGGACGGTGTACTTGGCGTCGACGGAGTAGGACAACAGCGTCTGACGCAAGGACCATCCGCGTGCTGCTCCAAGCCCCCACAGGATAAACACGGTGAGCAGGGAGGTGGTGAGGATTGGATGCGCAAATCGCCGAATGCGGGGCGGGACGATCGAGATCGAGAAGAGGAAGGTGAGGATGTTGATCGCCAGAAAGAGCGGGAGGGAGATGTGGAGCAGGTAGAAGACGGGGAGGCCGACGATGAGGGTGACGAGGGTCACGAGCCACGGGAGGGATGCCCAGATGTGGGTGATTAGGCGGTCGATAGCGTCTGTTTCCGGTTCCGTGTCCGACGAGGAAGGGTCGATGGGACTGGTGATCTGTACAACGGTGTCGTCCTTCGCTGTTTCGGCGGAAGTGATGCCGGTAGAAGTGGGGTGCGATTCAAGGTCGTTGACCGTCACCTCGCTCGACTTGCTCGGTCGACCGTCGTCGAGCGCGGCCTTCTCGGAGACCAGAACGGGACTCGCGGCTCGGGTGGGCATGACCAACGTCGCCGGCCCACTTTCGATGTCTGCCAACGCCTTTTCGTCCGTCGTCTTGGGATCCACCTCTACCGCAGACCCGCGTCGAGCAGCCACCTCCTGTCTCGCCTGGAAAATGTATTCGTCAAACGCGGGTGTTGTCTCACCCGCCACCACGAATCTCCCCGCCGCCCGTGCATCTGTCGCGCTCTGCGGTCGTCGTGCCGACTCGTTGCGCAGCGCACTTCCCGGTCGGACCAGCCTGCCCTTGGCACCTTTTGTATCGTTGCCGCTGCTCGGTCTCGCCCGAACACGCGTAGGCGACAGCGTGGCGCTCCTCGAGTTCCCTTGCAGCTGATCCACCCGTCGTCCACGCGGAAAGTAGCCAGAGGTGGAATGCTTCAACCGATGCGTGTGCGGCATGCTGGGCGAGTGCGGGTAGTGTTCCCGAACAGGAGTGTGGGCCAGCGCAAAAGGGTCACCTTGCTGACGTGCCGTTTCGAGCGCCACGTGGTCGAGGTGACGTTGTGCGTCGGTCTGAATTTTGAGCTGAAGTGGCTTGCGAGGGTGGACACGGGGGACGTTGAGTTGTAGGGGAGCAGTGGCGATCGCCGTCATGCCAGAGAGACCCGTAGCGATGCTATTCAGCGCGCTGGGGTGTACTTCTTTGGTAGGGCTCGCGGTGGGAACGGCATTGATGTTGGACATGACAGCGACGAGCGTCGCCACGGATGCTCTGCGTTGCTCCTCCACCTTGCGCTCCTGCTCCAGCTTGGCCTGCTTGCGCTGGTGTAGCCTCGAACGGGCAGTATCCAAGCCCCATCTCATGCCGCGATGTAGCAGCACAGGAAAGACCATCCCCGCCAGTTGACTAGCGGCAAACCACCCAGTCAGCAACCCGATCTCCCGACCACCAATGATCTCCCGCGCAGGAATGAGGATGAAACTCGGGGTGAACATGACGCTCATGTACCGCAAACAGAAGTCACATGGTGCTTCCAACACCCTCAAGAGCCCCTTCAGCCCGCTCTCCCCTCCACGGACCCGTTTGGTCGAGAGAAAATCGAGCAGGAGTAGGGAGAAGAAGAGCAGGAGCATGGCAAGTACGGGGGAGGGGAAGCGGAAAGGTGCGCGGTCCATGGCTTGTTTGATGAGCCAGGTGAGGACGAGGAGGGAGGTGATGCCGAGGGGGACGTGAACCCAGTTGGTGAAGAGGTCAGAGCGACGGGATGGGTCCGAGAGGAGGAGTTTGAGGGCAAGGAGGACGTGTGAGGGAGAGCGGATGGAAGCCACGTAGGGGCGATCTGTGAGACAGGCCTCGCATGCTGAAGAGGTGGTGCTGCTCGTGGAGGGCGTGGAGCTGGGTCGCCGCGATGCAGAGGTAGCTGTAGAGGGGTCGTGCGTATGCGTCATGGCGGTGGATTTGCGATGGGGTGCTATTGGTGGTGCACCGGCTACGGGGGTGGGTAGAGAGGGGGGAGTGCGGGTTATGCTATTTGTAGGGGTGTTGACAGGCGCGGGCGAGGTGCTCTGCGATGTTGCGCTCGCTGGGCTGGTCGAAGAGGCTGAGGCTTGGTTAGAAGGGCTGAGGCCCATGGTCGATGCTGTGTAGATGGAATGCCAGGCTGTTACTGGTGACGCAATGCTGAAGGGTCGAAGAGCTGAATGCAAGAGGGATGCGAGTGTGAATGCTATGAGGAGACGAAATGGTGGGTGAACAAGGGCGATGCTGAATAGATGGATGAATGGGTATATGTACTTGGTGTAGCGAATGCTTATCAGCTGATGGGGCAGCGCACTCCAGCTGAAAGGCCTCAGTCCGACACGGCGTCGATATAAGAAGCCTGCGGGTCGGGACTCCAAAGTGGCTGTCAACGGCTCGTCGAGACATGCATAGGATCAATGACAGGTGCACGTAGCTGGAGCACAGGAGGAGAGTAAGACAACGACGAGCATGCATCTCGCAATCACCGGCATGGCCACTAGCATTGTTCTCGGGCTGTCACGCAAGTCAGAACAGAATCGCACCGAGAGAGACAGTTCTAGACTCGGCATTCTCATACGATGAACAAGATGAAGTTTAGCGAATCGATGCGTACTGAGCACGCTGAGAGTGCGTTTCACGGCGGAGAAGGAAGGCGGCGAGTGCCTGCGGTTAGACTGGAATGCGCATGAAGACGAGAAGCACGTCAAAATGTGCCATTTCTTGGCGTTTGCTAGCCTGGCAATTTGTCGGAACGTAGGGCGCTGTCAAGGGTGTTGATGTGAACGTGCGCCGCTCCACGCATGGTAGTCCTGCATGACGATAAGGCTGCTGGCAAGAGTCAGACACAGCCACCACCATCATGGCTTTCACCCTCGATGTCGCATTGCACTGTATGCACAATGAGTCGATAATGAGGTTCGACAGGCGCACAATGGCTTGGCTGGGGGCCGACCTTGGTATCGATCGCGAACTGGTGTGGTAACTGTGACGGCGTCATGCTTGCTCAGCGCAATGTGAAAGGTGACACAATGGGGCGAGCACACAGCATTATGCAAGACGGCCTTACCGCCAAGAGGAGGCTAGAGCCAACGTGTGAGTTGGCCGCTGGGACGGAGAATATTGAGTTTTCTCGGTTAGGCAGCCTGCGTTTAGTGCGGTCTGGGCAGCGGACAGCCAGGCAGCAGCACAGCGTCAAGGAGTGCCAAGGCAGCCCAACGCGTCTTGCTGCGCCCAAAATGACGTTTTTGTTTGCAGATTTATTTTTAATTTTTTCAAGATAAGATCGAGCAAGATGATGGTGAGGAGCGATAAGACGACGTCAGCATCAGAGCTGGGATGCCAAGACCCTGTGGGCCCCACACGGCGCTATCCTACTGCGCAAGCGTGCCCGCCTTGCAGTAGTGTAGGTTGGGTGAGAAGCGAGCACCGAGCGGGTTCCGTCCAGCACCGCGTGACAATGCGTGCTTGTTGGAGCACCTCATGGCTCGATCAAGCCGTCGACGTAGACGCCAGCAGAGCTCGTGATCAACGGAAAGAAGCGTGAAAGGGACAGCTGCCAAAAGTCGGAAGGGCCCAATTCATGCCGAGAGGGCGTATCACCGAGCAGTAATCGCATGATCTTCGCGGTTGTCACCTTTTGGCCTGTCAAAAATTGGCGTTCCGCCAAATGCTCCGGCTTCGATTGGGTTTGCGCCAAGAAAAGGCCGTAGGTTCCCACCGCAAACACCGGTCAATTCTCTTGCCGCAAGCTGCCGCCTCCGTCCGCTGACTTTCGTCCCTGTGATTGGCCAGCCCCACTTAACTATCGAGACAGAGGCTGTAGGGACCTTGTGTGTCGAATCGACCTCGATGTCAGGGGTCTGAACCATTTTGCCATTGCCGAAAGCTCATGACAGGCTTCCACTTGGCCCCAGAACACTATGTCAGCCCGATATAGACCACGCTAGTCCGTATCGCTTGCCGCCGTGCATGAGCGAGCTCCGACTCATCTAGTTAACACCGCATCTTGAGCCATCGGTCAATTCTACCCTGCCCGCTGCAACCGTTTTTTGGCACGCGCAGCGGTTTGCTTGGCAGAAAGCAACAGGCGCGCTGGTCTCAGTGTTGGAATGCACATTTTGCATCCAAATTTAGGGCTTTGCATTTCGCTCCGACTTTTTTAGTGCCCCTCTTGGCGTCTGCAGACCAACCAAGGGGAGCCTCCATCTTGCCAAGGTGGCACTAAACTCAAGAGCTTTCTCGAACACGCGGTCGAGCGTCGGAGTCATACCAGTTCAGAAAGGCTCTAACTTTTGCCGGAATCAGGGTTCGTAAGCGCCAAGAGGGCGAGGCGGGGGCTCGCCACGTCGCAAGCCTCACTTGGCGGGGGAGATTCCCGCACGGCGCCGTCTTTCATGCGCCCCCACGTCGAGGACCGCGTCAAAGGAAATTCGAGTGGGGTAACGTCTTGTATGCATGCGCGGAGGTCGTTGGCTCGTCGCCGTCGGCAACACGTAGGATCTTTCCGAGCTGTCTATCTGCTCGATCAAGCGCCGAACTTCTCCGACCCACTCTCTCGCCTCCTCTCCATCCCCCTTCCGAGCGCCTGCAACCGCTTCGCGCGCCCAAATCGGATCCCCTGGAGCACAAAATCGATCGCCTCTTCAGCGACCTTCTTCCTCCGCTCCACGTCGCTCCTCCAGCAGAATGCCAGTGGGAATCTAAAACTCAACCACAGGTACAGCGTGAAGCACCTGTGGAGCGATTCGAGCATCAGCATGGTCGTGATGTTGATCAGCGGGTGGGCTGTGCCGCCGCCCTCGCCGTTGAGGTATGCAATCAGCGGCTTCACTTCCTTGCCAGCATCGCTCGCTCGCTCCCGTGCCTCTTCCGCTTGCCGCATGAGCGAGACCACTTCCTCTTCCACCTCCAGCATCGCCAGATCCTTTGCGGCGAGATCGAACTCGACCAGCCCACCGCGGCTGAAAAAGCGCACGGCGTTGGTGAGGAACGCCGAAACGCGCTCGTCTCGCGTGTTGGCTGGGGCGTTGCTGAACGTTTCTCGCTCGGACACCGTCAGCATCCCACCCGACGCACTCTCGATCAAAGGACTGATGGTGAGTTGTTGGCTGAAGTCGGCGAGGAAAAAGTTGGTCGAGTCGATGCGCGAGAGCAAGGCTACGTCGGCGTAGATCTGCGACAGTGTGCGCATGACCCCGCGCTCGATGCTGGGAAGCATCGCACTGAGCTGGCTCAGCGTTTCGGAGGACGGCTGGATGGCCGCCCGCGTGATCGGCACCAGTGGCGACGCTAGTGCGGCTTCGAGTATCCCCAACTCGTGCTCGTGCCGCGTCGTCACCACTCCTCCCAGATCCGCTTTTTGCGTGTCCTTGTCCTGCGTACCGTATCGCCCCGCACGACCCGCAATCTGCTTGATCTGACTAGCACTCAGAATCACCTCCTCCTTGCCATTCCACTTGCTCAGCGTGTCAAAGATCACGCGCTTGATGCGAAGATTGAGCCCCATCCCGATGGCGTCGCTCGCGACCATGACGTCGAGCTTTCCGGCATTGAATAGCTTGGCTTGCTCCGCTTTCGTCTCTGGTGGCAGTGCGCCGTAAGCTACCGCGCACCGAAGCCCAGTCTTCTTCTCGATATCCCGCTTGAGCGCAAAGATGCCCGAACGGGAGAACGCCACGATGCAGTCGCCCTTGGTGATGGAGGAGAGGTCGTCATCGAGCGACTCTTTGGCGATGCTGAGCGGAGTGAGTCGGTCGTAGCGATGGACGGTCAGGTGGTCCCCACAGGCGCTGGCGAGGTTCTCGATGAGCGGGATGACCGACGCTTCGCCGCACAGATGCAGCTCTTTCGCGGGCAGACCGAGGACGGCGTTGGTCCAGGCGAAACCGCGTTGTGGATCGCCTATCATTTGGATCTCGTCGATGACACCGACGTCGACGGCGCGCGTGGTGGAGACCATTTCGACCGTGCAGCTGACCAGACCGGCGAGCGGGTCGACGGTGCGCTTCTCCTCACCAGTGACTAGGTTGCACGCTCGTGCTGCAACGCCAGGCGAGACTGTACCACTGTTGAACCGATCCCATACTTCATGTGCGAGGAGGCGGAGAGGACCGGCGAAGATACCGGTGCGAGCTTTGGAGAGGGCCACCAGCGCGCCGTGCGTCTTGCCTGAGTTGGTCGGACCGACGTGCAGGTGGATGTTGCGGATCAGCGTTCGTGCTTTTGGAAACTGGTGGACGGGGAAGCGAATGTCCATGCACGATCGGAGGAGGGAGAGTTGCGAGCGCACGAGCGAGATCTCGGCTGCTTCAGCTGCGGTCCGAGATGACGACGCGCTATCCTTTGTTGTCAAGGACGAGTACAGAGACTCGAGCCCACGGTCTACCCAGTCGAGGAAGGCAGAGACACAGAATCGACCAAGACACGCTTCCCCCTCGATGGTGTAGGAAGCGATCGCATCCGAGAGATTCGAAAATTCGGGCGCTTGTGCCGCATTGCCAGTATCGTGCAGAACAGCAAGATCCAAGATCGACTCTTTGGCACCTTCGGACCACGTTCGGAAGAGCTTGATTGCCGTGACTGAGTCGTTGAGTTTATTTGTCTTTGAGATGTTGCGTGCTATTGACCGTTGATCGCCTTCCTGATCCCCAGCAACTTGCAGCAGCAGTTCTGCCGGCCTGCCTTTGATGCCGTACGCAACGAGCTGCGACGGCAAGTCTGGATCCTTCGTAATCGCCGTCAGCTGTGCCACTAGCTTTCGTCCCACTTCCTGCGACGTTGGTGGCTCAGGAACGGAGAAGTCGACATCTTTCGGTTGAGCTCGCGGGCCCTTCTGGAACCGGCCTTTGCTGAATCGGTCGTTCCTGTCCTTGCCGCCTCTGCCTCTTGGATCGTTATAGTCTGATCTCCGGGTGTCATCTCTGTATTTGCCTGAGGAGTTCTTCGGACCGCCTCGCGCAGGCGATGCTGAGCTGGCAAAGCTTCGCAGAGGAGTGTTGGATGAAGTCGACGGTCCTGGGAGGCGGAGGAGACAGTCGGCATGAGCGAGCACGGCAGCTGTGCGCAGTGTCAAGGTCGACGGACCTGCAGCCGCAGTCGAGGTGCTGGCTAGAGCTAACGTCCTTCTCCACATCCTCCTGCCGCTCGAATTGATGCTTGATGGCGGATGATGACGAGGAGAGGTCGGTCAAGAAGATTATGCAAAGTCGAGAAGAAAGTGGAGCAGCCGCAAGAAAAATTGAATTACGTAATCCACATTTTTGGGTTCTTCTTCTTGCTCCCTTGACCCTCTTCGCTAACGACCTTTATCACCTGTTCGCTACAACCACGGTCAAGTGCGGCAGCCATGAAGGTAGTCGGGCTGCTGTCTGGTGGCAAGGACTCATGCTACAATCTCGTCCACTGCGTCCAACAAGGTCACGAGCTGGTGGCGCTAGCGACCCTCGCGCCGCCAGGGTCCAAGGATGAGCTCGACTCGTACATGTATCAGACGGTTGGGCACGATGCGGTCCATCTCGTCGCCGAAGCGATGGGTCTTCCGCTCTATCGTCGGATCATCAAGGGCACCGCTGTCAATCAGCGCTCCGAGTACGGTTCTCGCACCGCATCTTCATCCACCTCCTCGTCGACAGAGGATGAAACGGAAGACCTCTACCACCTGCTCGCCGACGTCAAGGCACACCATCCCGACATTCAGGCCGTTTCCGTTGGTGCGATCCTATCCAATTACCAGCGTGTGCGTGTCGAACACGTCGCGTTGCGCCCCGATATCAACTTGACGCCACTGACGTTCCTCTGGCAACGCTCGCAGTCCGAGCTGTACGCAGAGATGCTCGACGCAGGACTCGTTTCAATCCTCATCAAGGTAGCTGGGATTGGGCTTGACGAGCGAGACTTGGGCAAGACGCTAGGTCAGATGCAGATGAAGCTCGAAAGGCTATCGTCGATGTATGGGGCGCACGTCTGCGGGGAAGGCGGAGAGTACGAGACCTTGACGATCGATTCGCCCTTGTTCAGGAAGCGGATCGAGGTGGGCGAAACAGAGACAGTGGTGCATTCGGATAGTGGCTTTGGAAGCGTCAGCTATCTGCGGTTGAAAAATGCGAGGCTGGTCGACAAGGAAGATGGACTTACTGCGACAACGGCGAGGACTCCGCCGCTACTGGATGCTATCGGGAGGAGGACGTTGAGAGCTGCGCAAGCCGAGGAGGACGCAAGCCGTACAAACGCAGCAGATCTGTCCAACCGAGTCAGCAGCCTCGACATCAAAGACAGCAGTCTGGAGTATCCATCGCCGTCAATACGTCGCAAAGGTCGCTATCTCGTCATGTCCAACATCACCGGCCTCTCCACCTCCTCTCCCTCTCCCGTCTCCGTAGAAGACCAAGTCGCAAACGCTTTCGGCACCATCCGTTCCCTCCTCTCCTCGGCCTTGTCATCCCAACCTCTCGGTATGCAGCACATCACGCACATCAACCTGTATCTCCGCTCTCAAACTCAGTTCGCCCGCGTCAACTCGGTCTACCGCACGCTCTTCGGTGTCTCGCCACCCACGCGCGCCTGCGTAGCTCTTACCTCGCTTCCTCCCGGCTGTGATCTGGTGATCAACGCCATCGCCTTCGACGACATGCCCGCGTTCGATCGGCGCGCGCTTCATGTTCAAGGGCGCTCCTTCTGGGCACCAGCAAACATCGGGCCGTACTCGCAGAGCTTGGTGCAGGCAGAGAAGATTTGGGTCGCAGGCCAGATCGGGTTGACACCGGCCGATCTGAGCTTGCCAAAAGAAGAGGAGCTGCAGACCGCGCTGAGTGTCCAACATGCGAGGAGGATACTCAAGGCCACGATGAACGATATGGGTGGTCGCAGTGTGGAGAAGGGCTGGGTCGAGGGCGGGATATGTTGGTTGGATGACGTGGGGAGGGTGGAGATTGCGAGACGGGCGTGGATGTGTCAAGGCGAGAGCGATGATGACGATGATGATGGTGAGGAGGAGAAGGAGGGAGAGGAGACGGAGAACTGGCTTGGTCAGACAGGCGGGGACGGAAGTAAGGTGCGGCCGATGCTGTTTGTCGTGCTTCCAAAGGCGTCATTACCGAGAAGCGCAGCGATCGAGTGGCAGCTCACCGCGCACACAGGTCGCATCCCGCCGCCAATCGAGCTCACTGAGGACACCGTGCCTTCAGATGAGAGCGAAGACGACGATGACGACAACGAACCAGGTTCCGATACTACCGACGTCCGCATCACCCGTCAGACCGCCACGGTTGAATCTTTCGAAGTCGTCCACACGATCACCAGCTCATCGTTAGCCAAGAGCGCTTTCGGCGTCCTCACTATGCGATGTCTTCCGTCCTCCACAACAGCACACGAACAGGACAGTGACGCGACAGACGCACTCAGAGCTTCGTTACGGTCTTGCATGGATCGGTCTTACGCCACACAGCTCTTCCGACCGAACGGAAAGGAAGTCGGAGAATCGATGGACGTCCTCAAGCGTTTACTCTGGATTTTGGACGCAGGAGACGGCTCAAAAAAGCTGTACGACTCTCAACTGATCTCCTGCTCAGCGTTACACAGCCTCAGCGCTGATTCGGCAGCACAGCAAGTGGACGTTGCTCTGGTATGGCATGGTATCTGATGTCAGGTTGTAATGAAAGCGTGTGAACCATCATCGACAGAACTGAAGAGCAAGCTCCTGCGTTGATATGTCGTAGACCGTGCTGCAATAGCTGAAATGTCCAGAATCACCTGCCATCGTTGCCCGGCTGCAGCGTGTCCACCAGCTCCTTGAACTGCGAGACGATCTCCCTCTCCTTCTTCGCCTTTTCCTCGGCCTGCAGTCTCAACATCGTTCTCTTCTCTTCCGCCGAAATGACCTGATTCTCCTTCCTCATCCTCACCGCGTTCATACGGTGATGTCGGCTGCCGCTCATGACGTATCCTGCCTTTTCGTACGCTTCGATCTGGTCCGAGGACAGTCCGATCTCTCCTCGACGCGGGATCCGTTTGCCGTCCTGCACATAGGATGCCATGGCCGAACCTTCGCCGGGGAGGAGAGCGCCACCGTAGGCGCGAGGGTCGACGGGCTTGCCATCGGCAGCAACGGTGGGCAGATCGGGGCCCACTTCGACGTCCGAGTCTGTGCCAGACGCGGAGTCGCGGTGGGATGGCGCGGTGGGCTTCTGGTCAGCTTCCGAGTCGGAGGTGCGTACTGATGGAGAGCGATGGCGACTGCTTCGGTGGCGCTTGTCCGACTCGGATCGGCGGTGTCCGCTCGATCGGTTCGATTTGTGATGGCGGTGACGCCGAGACGAGTCTGCGTCCGACCGTGAATCCGACTCGGAGTCAGAGCGGTCCGAATCCGCATCCGAGACCTTAGAGCGGGATCGTTTGGAGCTCCTTCTCCTATCCTCCTCGTCGTCACGGCGGTGAGATCGAGACGAATGTGAATGCCGACGTCGCGAATCCTGGTCATCTTCCCTATGCCTGCTAGAGCGGTGATGTCGGTCCGAACTGGATCGATGACGATGACTTCTCGACGAGCGATGCCTGTCGCTGCTGCTCCGGTGCCTGTCTTTGTCCTTATGCCTGCTGCTGCTGTCGCGATGCTTCTTACGCTTCTCTCGCTCTTCATCACTGTCAAGCGTCGGATGCGGCGGGCTCGGTGGCCAGATGGAGATGGTGGAATTCTTGCGCTGCTCGTTGCGCGAGCTGAAGAAGCCGCCATCCCCTCCACTGGCCTGATTGCCGCCGGACGACATGCTCGAAGCGTAAGGGTCTCGTGGTAGCCGCTTCCACTGCGCCGCTCCATACTCTGAGTGCTCATTCCTGTCATCTTTGTCTGCATTGCCGTTGCGATTGTCGTCAAAGTATCGGCCTCGACCGCCGCCGTTTGAACGCGATGGACCCCAGCTTCCACGCGAGTCATCGTCTTGGTCGCGCCTTCCGTATCGCTCCCTTCTGTCGTCATTATCGCGACGGTCATACGAGCGCGAGTCTGGATCTTCGCGAGGCGGTGGCACCCATCGATCTGCTTGAGGTCTGGGTGGTCGTCGGTCTGGATGTGTGAAGGGTTGTGGAGGCCGCATGGCAGCTGAGGATGTCGAAGGCGCGGCGTCGTACGAGGGCGATGAGCGTCGCTGCCTCCGCTCTGGCTGCTCGGATTCTTGCGAGACAGACCCGAGAAACAGAATGTCCCGATCGGAATCTCGTCGAGTATCGTCATGCTCGCCATCGTCGGCTCGGGGTCGTTGCTTGGAGGCCAACAATCGGGCACGCAACTGCTGCTCGCGATCAGAGTGCTCGGAGCCCGTCGGCACCCCTGAGGCGTCAGCAGCGCTCGAGCCGAGACGCTCCGCCAGGGTAGGCATGATGCTGTTGGATGCTCTTTGGCTTTGGAGATGATGGTGAGCAGGAAGCGTTTGACATTTGAGAAAGGGTCGAGAAAGCTCAGCTCGGCTAAGTGGACATTTTGGTGACCGCGGATATGTTAAAGTGAAAAGCAGCCGTGCGAGTGGAAGAAAAGCGGCAAAGGCAAGCTGAGCTGGAGACTCGAAACAAGCCGCGCGCACAGACACCCGCTCACCACCTTCCTCCTTCACCATCATCCATCGCTTGCTTCTCCTCAACAGCAGCAGCGACACGTCCAATATGTTGCACTTCTCAATACGGCGTCGCTCGCTGGCCCCGGTCCTGTCGCTGCTCCTCGCCATCTCTCTCGCCCTCTTCTCCAGCCTCGTCTCCGCCCTGCCCTCAGCAACCGGCAACCGCGTCCTCGTAGTCATCGAGCCGTCCGTCAAGTCCACCTACTCGACCTTCCTCGCCTCGCTCTCCTCCCGCGGCTACAGCGTCGAATTTAAGGCCCCACGCGATGTAAAGCCACAGCTGGTCCAGCACGATGTTCTCTCCTACGACCACCTCATTCTTCTCTCGCCTGCAGCCAAGTCGCTGGCTGCAGACATCTCACCACAACAGCTCGTAGAGTACCTCAAGACCGGCGGCAACATGCTCGTTGGCCTCGATTCCACCGCTAGCGAGATGCACCGCGACTTTGCGCGCGAGTTCTCGCTCGAGTTCGAGGAAAGGGGCAGTGCGCTCGTCGACCACTTCCGGTACAGCGATCAGGATGCTGGCAATCACACTTCTGTGCTCGTTGGTGGGAAGAAGAGCGCTACGGCGAGGCTGAGCACGGGCGGACTAGTGCCCAACACGAACGTCTTCTCGACAGAAACGTTGCGAGCGGCGAAGGACGCACCGTTGTTGTACCGCGGAATTGCGCACAGGGTGGGAGCCAACCCGCTCGCCTTCCCGCTCATCCTGCCCCCTGCGACGAGCTATTCCTCGGACGTACCCGCGCTGGTCAAAGAGCAAGACGATGTGGTCGAATCGACCTCGTACTCCACCCCGGCACCGGTCACCGTCACCACGACCAGGATCGTTGATGGTGAAGCGTTCACGTCTGAAATCCTCTCCACACCACGCGCCGTACCGACCGTCGTCAAGAGTAAAGCAGCCAGCAAGCTGGGCAAGAACGGCTGGGTCGCGAAGAACCGCGCTAGCCTAGAATCTCTCGAGTCACGCAAGGAGCTCGTTGCGGGTCTTCCGACCTCTGCTTCCACGCAAGTCGTCTCGCTCGTATCAGGCTTCCAGCTGGCATCCAATAGCGCACGTGCCGTCTTCCTCGGCTCGACGGATCTGCTTTCCGACGCCTTCTTCTCGGACTCGCTCTGCGGCAAGGTCAACGAGCTGGTGGTGAGCGATCTGACCAGCTGGGCTTTCCAGGAGAAGGGCGTGCTCAAGGTCGTTGCTACACACCACCACCGTGTCAAGTCATCGCCGTCTGACACGCGCGAGGACTACGAGGAAACGGAAGAGGGCAGCAGGATGTATCGCATCAAGGATCATGTCCAGTTCAGCGTCGATCTCGTGCAGCACCACCCTCAGCTCGGTTTCATTCCTGCGGACAAGAGCCTGGATCTGCAGGTGGCGTTCAAGATGCTGGATCCGTACATCACTGCCCACCTTGCGCCCGTCGACTCGGGCAACTTCACCCATATCTCCCCTGCCACAGTTGGAGCCGGTCAGGGGGAGAGCCAGGCTTTCCAGAGATTCGAGACAACCTTCCAGGTGCCCGATCGTCACGGCGTGTTCACATTCCATCTCGATTTCAAGCGCCAGGGATTGAGCTTTGTCGAGAGCAAGGACACCGCTCCCGTAAGGCCGTTCAATCACGACGAGTATCCAAGGTTCCTCAGCTCGAGCTGGCCGTACATCACAGGCGCGTTCAGCACTGTCGCTGGCTTCCTTGTGTTTGTCGCCATCTGGCTCACCATCAGGGATGAGCCGAGCACGGGCAAGAAGAACAATTAGGTGCAGCCCTTGTAGATAGGATCTCAGAAAGTGATCAGTTGTCTGGGACGAGGACAGAGTGTGCGCGAATGTGTGATTACGAAGAGGACAGCTCTGATTTCAGCCGGACCGTGTATGGGCTGATGTGTTCTAGCGGGAGCAACGGTAGGGGATCCAGCGGCGTATTGACCCCGCTTCAATGAAAGTTGCGATATACATTTCCCCTTGAAGAGGGAAAGATAACCGTATCTATATTCGTCCTCGTCCGATGGTCCAGATTTGAGTAGCAGAGACGGCCATCGCGATGTCTGAAGAATGCCACAGTCCCGTCATCCCGCTTGTCCTTCGCCTCACCTTTTTCATCCGAACCCTTCCTTCCCTTTGCCGCCTCAAGAAGGGGCGCACCAAAATCGAATGACCAGATCGTCTTATCGGTCACACCGACCAACCTATCTGCTTCACCAACGACGCAATACAGCGGGCTGTCGGCGCCAGGCACGGCGAAAGCTGTCCAGTCCTTGCCCTCTCCGCCTGCTCCATCTGATGGTGCTAGCAGGGGTACGTCGTACCCGGCGAGGCTCGACACGTCGAACACGCGGACTTGCGCGAAGCGAGCTCCGCCGACGACGAGACGATCTGCATGAGTCCCACCGAATGAGAGGCTGTAGATGGCGTCTGTGCTGTAGGTGTCCCGGAAGTGGGCGATGGGGTGGAGCTCGTGAGGGACATGGCGGCGACGAGGTCGAGCACCATTGGTCCCAACCGGCAGCGCCTCGTGGAGGCTCTGCATGCTCATCGATCCGTCATCGGGGTGCGTTTGCCGAGTGTCGTACACGCGCACCACTCCGTCGTAGAACCCAACAAAGAGCAGGAACGAGGGCAGGCTCGAAGTCGCGGGTGGGGTAGCCATGGCGTACACGCTCGTGCGCTGACCGGTCGATGCGACATAGAAGGGCTCTTCCAGCTGCACACCGTCGCGGTGGTCGAGAGGGTAGATGTAGACGGCGTGCTCGGCAGTCAGCCCTACCGCCAACCAGTCCCCTCCAGCCTTCTGCTTCCGTGTATCGGTGCTACTGCCAAGCAAGACTGACCATGCGCGAGTAGCCCCTGTTGAGCCTTCAAGCGGCGCATTGTTGAACGCCGCACTGCGAAAGTGCGTCCTCGGCGTGTTGGTGCCTGAATCAGTTGTATCGTCCCCGTTCGGGTCCAAAGGCACTGCTTCGCCATCGGAGTCGATCTGCCAGGACCACGTCGCTGGGCCGCCTCCCGTGTCACCATCAAGCTGAGGTGAGACAGTGTGTATCCGTGGGCATCCCCGTTTCGACAGCGATGCTAACAAGCAATCTTCTGCCTTCGTGTGTGTCAATGTGGAACCGTTGGAGTGTGTAGGGGGGGCTGCTCTGATCCCATTCCGTACCGAGATGCCTGCGACATCTTGCCGTCCCGTCGAAGGGAAGTGGTGCATCACCTCAGCTTTCCACTTGCCTTTCGCTCCCTCGGTCGACTTGAGCGCGATGACCTGTACGCAACCGGTTGCGTACCCAACAGCCACCAGACTCGCCTCCGCATTGATGGCCTCGAGCGCCGTGATATCTTGATATGGGTCGTCCGCCAGGCTCCCGTTGCCCTTTGTCGCACTCGTTGAAGCTATGCTCGTGCTCGGGCCCTCTCCAGCCTCTGTTCGGCTGTCCACCCTTATTCGCGCAACGGCGTTCCTCCCCTTGCCAGTCCGCGGCCTCGCGTGGTATACACACAATTCGGACCGCACCCCCACGACCATCCACTGGTTTCCCAATGTCAGGGTGGGTATCGCGAAGTCCCCTGCTCCTCTTCTCCCTCCACCAGGTGCGATCCGCTTACCCTCCATCTTCGGAACGTCCCCGTACGCAGGTCGAAGCGTCACACCATCCCAGGCGTAGTCTAGGGCTGCAGCGTACCAACATGCTGCCCACCACCTTGACCTCCTTACATGTGCCTGCTCGAGGATCCGATCCAATGGCACCCGTGAGAACTGCTGCTGGAGAGCAGTACGCCAGCCGTGCTCGTCGACCAGCTGCAAGAGGCGCTTGCACGTCACGCTGAGCGCCGCAAGTGTTGGCGCTGGTGTGAACGGGAGGCTTGCGAAGATGTGGAGCCACACATCGGTGGGCAAGCGGAAGATGGGCACGTCGATCCAATTCGTGTTACTGGCAGCAGCATGGTGTCCTTTGGCAGCGCGGCGTCTGCCCATGCTTCACGGTGCCTTATGGACGGTTGGTGGAAGGGAGAGGAGGAGAAGGGGGCTGCGGTTGAAAATGTCAATCGAGCCTCCACATCTCAACAGCTTTTCGGTTGTGATCCCTGATTCACCTTCACCATGATCGCAGCCATCATCCGACAGGCATAGGAAACACGCGTCGACGCGGCTGTCACGAGCTCTAGCGAGATGCACACTACTAATGGCGGCTATTCTCACCTCGACAGGTATCGCAAAAGGCTCTCCTGGTCCCTCCGTTAGCTGTCCCCAGACCGCATTCCGTCGTCGATCTGCGCCAGCTAAAGCCGTGATCGCCCCTGACAGCCGTGATCCTGACGATCACAGACGATTCACATGCTGCTCATGGCAAGCTACTCCCGAGCGCATCGCAAAAGCAAGGAGGGTGACTACCAGGCGCAACGCCAAACATGCATGTCTTGATAGTAAAGTGTCAGCTTGTGCGGGTTGCGTTGTAAGGGTCTCGTGCGAGAAATCCCAGCCCGATTTGACCAGGGTGCGTGACCTGAGCTGGTCCAGGAAGAACGGCGAGAAGAAAATTGTGAGACCCGACTTTGGGCGATTTTGCGTAAGTCAGACCTTGTTTGACAGTCCGAGTCTTCGACATCATCATCGTCTGCACTCCACCATCTCCACTCTACCCGGCAGTTCACGATGATGTCGCCATTCGGAAGCGCCGTCGCTTCGTCCTCTCGTACTCTTCTTCGCAGCAGCACACGTCGTATCGCACCTTCGGCCGTCCGCTCTCTGTCCAGCACTGCTCTATGTCGCAATGCAGCGCCAGCGGTAGACGCCAAGATCTCGGGCATCGTCGACCAGATCGAGAAGCTCACCCTGCTAGAAGCCGCCGACCTCGTCTCGCATCTCAAGACCCGACTCAACATCACCGAGATTGCCATGCCTGCTGCGTCGGCTGCGCCCGCCGCCGCACCCGCAGCTGAAGCAGACGCAGGCGCCGAAGAGGCCGCCAAGCCCAAGGAGAAGACCGTCTTCACGCTCAAGTTGACCGGTCTCAAAGAGCCTACCGCCAAGGCCAAAGTCATTCGCGAAGTCAAGGCTGCTAACTCGAATATGTATGTTTTCGCTCTTGCACATGGTGTGGTGCAAACGCTCCAGCTACTGACACGTATTTGTATGTTGATGTTGCGTCTACAGGAACCTCGTCGAGGCCAAGAAATTCGTCGAGTCGACACCTCAGATCTTGAAGGAGGGACTGAACAAGGAGGACGCCGAGAAGATGAAAGCTGCTATCGAGGCCGCTGGTGGTACTGTCGAGCTCGAGTAGACTGTCCGACAGAATTGACCTCGAAAGGACGCTCTCGATACTCACCGACATATCAGCAAACGCTCAGACCAGCCATATCGACTTTCACGACTAGACTTCAGACGCTACCGCTGCAATCGTGTCACATGTTCTCATTCAACCGTTCAATCCGCAAAATGTATCATCTCAGTCCAACCGCTTGTCCGTCCGACGACACCGACAATGCTCGCTTTCATTCTTGACCACCGCAGCCGCTCGTTTGTCGTAACGGCACAAGTCTCACACAAGGTGCGTCAGTTTGTATGACTGCATTGCAATCTACGCCCACGCGTCTAGCCGATGAGCATGGTCCTCGTTCCTCGCGCCCTTATTCGAGCTTGCTTGGCGGGTGGGATGTTCGTTGTAAAAGTGCTTGGCGATCATCTCCCTGACCATCTCCCCGATTGCCAGGCTCGAAGTCAGCCCTGGACTTTCGATGCCTAGCAGGCTGATCATCGCTCCACCTTCCGCCTTGTCCACGCTCTCCTTGGCCTTGGAAATGCAGCTCGTGCTTGGTGCAGGCAGCCCGGGTGCACGCTGCCAGAGCTTCTGCCCAGCCAAACCGGTCGAGTTGTGCCAGAGGAACTGGAAGTCCATAAACGCCTTCGTATCTGGACCGATGAGTTTGGGTCGGATCCCCGCGTAGTCGGGCGCTAGACCCGCCTTGTCAATGTTCGGCAGGTACTCGGTGATCGAGTCGTACATAGTTTCGATACGAGAATCGTCGACGACCAGGGCTCGCTTCCAAAAGTCGACTGCGTCTTTCTCAGAGGTAGGAGGGGAGATCCATTCCGTATCGGGTCCAAAGCGAATATTGCCATCCAGATCAAGTGTCAGGTGGGTGCCGAGGGAGGTATGTGCGTGGGTGCCCTTGTTCCGTGTGTCTGGGCAGGGGTAGATGAGGTGCTGGATGCCCGTGGCGCCTTTGCCCTTGTACGAGGCGTAGTTGCCTTTGGAGTGCCACATTGGGATGGCGTCTTCCTGCGTCCCACCAAGGTCTGAGAGCAGCGAGTTCAGCACTATCGGAGCGTTGAGTCCGGACGTGTTGATGACGACTTTGGCAAGTAGCGCATCGGCATCGCTTGAAGAGGAGCTCGACTCGGATGTGACAGTCTGTACGATCCACCCGTCTTGCGAACCATCGCCTCCACGTTTCGAGTTGACAGCGCTGCGATCGGGCTCATTGGGGTCCACGCGGACCAATTTGGTGTCGTAGACGATCTCGGCGTTGTCTGCTTCGAGCAAGTCGCGTTCGAGACTGGCCATGAGCTCGTGGCTGCTGACGATGCCAGTACGCTCAGATAGCAGAGCCCAGGCGATGTTATCGGACAGATTCGGCTCGAGCTCTCTCGCTTCCTGGCCCGTGATCAGCCGTGTCGGCGGTGCGAGCGGTCCAAGCTCATCGCAATGCGACTGCAGCTTTTCCAGGTAGCCTTTCGAGAAGTCGGCGCCGACGACGAGCTTTTTGGTCTGCTTGTGAGGGATCGACTGCTCCTGGCATCGCTGGTACATGAGCTCGCGCCCGCGTAGACAGAGGCGAGTCTTGAGCGAGTCGACAGGGTAGTAGAGACCGGCGTGGATCACCTCGCTGTTGCGCGAGCTCGTCTCTTCGCCAAAAGACTTGTTGCGCTCGACGAGGTAGGTCGTCTTTTCTGGCCAACGTGCAGCGAGCGCCGATGCGATCGAGAGACCGACGACGCCGCCCCCGACGACGAGATGATCGACTGTGAGTTCAGGCGCCTTGGCTGGGTACCGGGATCGAGGTGCGAGCGAAGCGATGAGTGGTCGAATCGGATTCGATGTGCCTGCTGCGGTGGCGAGGCTGCGGCGCAACAGGGGTGTCCGGCTCGCAGCCGTGCGTGTTGACGTTGCGAAGCTCATGGCCGTCCCTTACTTGCTCCTGAGCTAGTAGCTCCGGGTGTTGACCCTTTTGTAGACGAGCCGACTCCACAACTTCGAGACGATGGAAGCCAACAGTGACTCGGAGGACCTGGGAAGCGGAGAGATCCGGGGCACGAATGATGTAGGACGCCGAGCTGATGGTGGCCGGATGTTGGAAGCGCGAGGTGCATCGTCGTTTGGTGTCACCGAGCAACGCCGTTCTGAAAGCCGGCGGATCTGCTTATCGCCAAAATCGCGGCCTGTTCTACTGTCCGATCTCACAATATAGCATTTTCGACTCACCTATGGCCATGCTTCAGAGAAGTTCACGATGATGACGGGCGCTCATCTTTGGCTGCACTACGAGCACGAAGCGGCAAGGTGGATCACATTGACTACATCAAGAACGAGTAGGGACAGAGCGGCCGAGTTTGGCGAATGTCTCCTTGACCTCGTCCGCATCACGGAGAGACAAATCCTGGCCCATCATGCGGCGACTGATATAACGGACCAGGCTGCGTGGCGCAATGCGCAAGCTGGCGATCGAGATGTTGTTGAAGTAGCCGGGGATGATCACGGGCTTGTTACGCGCATCGAGGGCAGACAGAGTGGCGGCACATACGTGCTGCGGGGTGTCGAGCGGCAGAAGGAGGCCCTTGTCGTTGGCACCTCCTTTGGTCCAGATCTCGGTCTTGGTCACGCCAGGGCAGCTGACCACAATACGAAGGTCTGATCCTTCGTTGCGCTGTTCAGCGTAGGCACTCTCGGTGAGCGAAAGCACAAACGCCTTGGATGCGGCGTACAAAGCCATCGAGGGGATGGGCATGAAGCTTGACATAGACCCAATATTGACGATGCCCGAAAGTGCGTAGCTAGACGTCTTTTGCGCCTCCTTGAGCTTGGTGTGTTGCTTTCGGATGCGTTGCAGGAAGAGGTGGAAGAGCTCTGTGAGGGCGACCACATTGATCGCGACGAGAGACTGAACGTCTTTGTATTCCATGTCTTCGAAGGGGCCGCCAAAGGCAACGCCGGCATTGTTGATGAGCAGGGCGACGTCGAGATCGCGTGTGTCCTGGTCTAGCTTCTCAGCGGCTCCCGCGACCGAGAGGTCAGACTTGATCACTTTGCACTCGACCAGATCGGACACAGACTTGGCCACCGAGTTGAGCTTGTCCACGCTACGGGCAGCGAGGATGAGGTTGTGCGTCTTGCGTTGCGCCATTTGAACGGCGAATTCCTTGCCAAGGCCCTCGGAGGCGCCCGTAATGAGCGCCCAGGGGCGTGCGGAGTCAGAGGGAGCAGACATGCGGTGCGAGTAGGAGAGGTTGAGGCAACGGAGAGAGGGATGGAAGAAACAGAGATAACGAATGCAGATCATCCTCCGTCCAGATCTTCTGACATTATATAGCGTGCCTGACAGCTACGTACAATAGGTGGCCGGCAATATCTCGAGCAGCGTCTCAGCGCGGATCCCGAACGCAAGTTTCCACCTCAACCGACGGACTGGCGTTCGGGGCAGCAATGGACAGGGGCGGCGGGAACCATCTGGGCAACGCCATTGTTCCCCCGCACACGATACGACCTTAAAATCAGTTACCACCTCGACGGACCGGAACAGCGGTCCAGCAACGAACACGGTTGCCACTCAGACAAGAAGATTGACTTGCCGTCTTGAGGTTCGTAGACATGGTTTCAAGGGGTTTGTACGACGTCATTTTGTGCGACTCCACGGCAGTCAAGGCACTGTGAAAGTGGTCGACGCCTTATCCCAAAAAACGTCTTTGTTCCATGTTACGGTCTCACAAAGACGGATATTCTTCGTGCATTCTGCGAACAGATCTCATCATCGTGCGTGTAAAGGCTTTGGGCGCGTCACAGCCTGCACGGAGCTTGAAGCTCAGTCCTCCACCAAAACGGGCAGTCCCCAGCACAGCTCAGCCCAGGTCGCGATTTTGACCCTTTTCGACCCTTGAAACAACACAGATCGGCTAGGTTGATCAGGGCGCTCTCTCTGAGCAGAGGTGAGATTGCAACACCTTGACTCACTTTTCTCCACACTCGAACCTCGTCTCATCCATCTCCATCATCACTGTCCATCCGTCACTGTCCATCCTACAAGCATCGCACACGGGTCACCCACAGCTCATCCATCGACACATCGCGCACACATTGACAGGACGTCACGCTGCCGATCACATCCGCCAGTTGGTCCTTATCAGTGTCTCTATTGCGCATTTCCATCCACGCTGCGGAGAAAGCAGTCCCTCGCTCTCGGAACCGTGTATCAGTCTACTGCTACTCAGGAACCGGCATAGCTAGATCAGCGCACTTCTGACCCAGCCGCGGAATCAACGACGAGATCCCGCAAACTCCCATCGACCGTACATCGTCTACCACCACTGCTACCAAAATGTCGGGCTGGCTTGGATACTTTTCCAAGAAGGACAACAAGAACTCGGCGCGAGATGCGATAGTGGGGCTGCGAACGCAGCTGTTGATGCTCGAGAAGAAGGAGGAGCACCTCAACAAGAAGATCGAAGACGAGCTCAAGAAAGCAAAGGCCAATGTGACCACAAATAAGCGAGGTGCGTATTCATACTCTTTCTCGACTGTTGAACCCAGACATTGCCCTCGAAATCGTCATACTAATGTCTGGTTCTGATCCCTTGCCCACACTGTCTCATCCGTCAACTTGTCACTCCAACAGCGGCGCAAGCGGCTCTGCGGCAAAAGAAGGCATACGAGAATGAGCTCGATCGCATCGCGGGCACACGGATGACGCTCGAAACGCAGGTCAACGCCATCGAGAGCGCCAACATGAACCTCGAGACCATGACGGCGATGCGCAAGGGTGCAGACGCTCTCAAGACGATCCACGGCAGCTTGAATATCGACAAGGTGGACTCGACAATGGACTCGATTCGCGAGCAGATGGATCTCACCAACGAGATCTCGGATGCCATCTCGAACCCCGTGGGCATGGGCCACGATATTGACGAGGACGAGCTCAAGAACGAGCTGGAGGAGCTGGAGCAGGATGAGCTGAACGAGAGGTTGGTGGGCGCCGACTCGGTGCCTCTGCACACGCCCGCGGTGGCCACATCAGCAGGACCATCACGCATCTCGAATGGGCCGGAGCGCAAACAGGCTGTGGTGGAAGACGATGACGATGCCGAGCTGCGTGCGCTACAGGCCGAGCTTGCCATGTAGACGTGGCAGCCTTCCAGACTTGATACATCGCCTGGCACCGTCTGGCCCGAATCTTTCCTGTCACTGTTGTCATGTTCGTTACGTCTGCAGCTCTTTGATCGAATCGTCACGCAATCATCCACCGTCTCGGGCGTGTCGACACGTGATCAGCCATCGCTTGGACCAAAACGCCGGCAAGGCTGGGCCTTGACCCACCGTATGCAGCTGACTCTCCCGCCCTCCTACGGTTGCGGCATCGCTTGCTATGTCGTGGAAGGCCAATGGCGGGAAAACGAATGGTGTCCGCTCAACTCAGCCTCGAGGCTCGGAAGAAGGGACACTACAACCGAACCTCGATGCTTGACGCTCGCTCGTCAACGTGAGCCAGCAAAAAGTCAAGACGCTAAGAACAGTTTACGGCACGGCGGCGGCTCTCAGGTCTGCTCGCCCATCTCCATGCAGGGCAAATCTGCCTGTCAGCAGGCACTGTGCAGCCGAGGCACCTTGTCAGAGGGTCTCTGCTGAGACGGCTGGATGGATGGAGGACGGTGGGCAGTGAACGCACCCTTTCCCGAAAGCCTAAAAATCCAAATTTCTGAGATTCTGGACCCCTCTGGAGTGCGACTGCGCCCCTGCCTGCCTGGCTGCCTTCTGTAGCTGCCTGCTTGCATGGAGCGTGTCTTGCCTTGGTTCTCCTGACGTTTCCGCGTTTCACATCGCGAACGACTTCTTGCCTTGGTACTGGCTCCATCTTCCCTACTCGCGCATCCTTCTCTTCACCTCGACCATATACCTGCCGCCCTCATCGAGCACAGCTTGATACCCCTAGATACAGCTGATGCTGGCATCACCTCACGACCTTTCACGACCACCTTCTCGCGCTTCGATACCCTCTGCTCCGGTCTATTTCTCCATACCTTGATCTCCGGACGGCCTTCTCCAGTGTCTCGTCGTATCCATACAGCAACAACGCGACGTCCAATACAAGGCCTTCGCAGAACCAGCAGGCTGCCATCGTACCGAGACAGGCAGCAGCGCTACGCCAAACGATACCCAGATCCCGTTCCAGATGCTGCCCGACATGCGCCTGTGAAGGATATCGCCAAGTATCCAACGACCATTGACTGCTCAGCATGAGCACATCGATAGCCAGCTCGTCAGCAAGACCGATGGCGCCTGGCGATAGTACGTCATCCTGCCTCGACGTCGAAACGACCAACTGGAACGCAGTCAAGATCCTCGCCGTGCAGCAAGGGATCCCGCTCCGCTTGTTGGAGACCATCCGTGATGCTGTCACCGCCGAAGCCAACGGATATCCCGCCGACCATGACTTTGGCTTGGAGACGCCCTTTCACATCACAGCTGCATTCCTCGACACAGGCCGTGTCATCTTCCGATTCCGCTCGCGTCAGCCTGTTCCCTCACCATCTACCAAAGTCGGTGCCGCCGACATGGCTGTGATGCCTCGCTCCAGCTCTTCTGGTGCCATCGTCTCCCAGTCAGCCTTGGACTCAGCAGATTCACATCAGCTCGCACCAAAGGGCACCCTCGCTAGCGGACTCTTCCGCAAGACGGGCAATCTCAGTCTGAAACACTCGAGATCGATTCCTGTTCTGCGTCGCAAAGCGTCGGCAGGCTTGGCTTCCTTCAAGCTGAGTGGTGCAGGTGCTGGGCCCTCCGCTGCGGCACCTTCGGCTTCCTCCTCCTCTTCGAAATCAGCTACTCGCTATCCAGGCGATGCTCGTTTGCCAGTTCGAGCTCTGCCGTTGGCCTCTTCGTCTACATTCGCTTTCGGCAGCAATGGCGAGAGCATGGCCCGTACCGGCAGCACGCCTATCAACGGTGCTTATGCCAATCGCCTCGGTACTGATCACATCTCGGAAGGCGATGTGCTCGGAGCAGTTCTTGGACTCGGACAAGCCGAGTTGTGGGCAGACGCGCAGGCCGACGCTCAGTCACCTCGATCCCCAAGCGGATCGTTGGGACCTTCTTCACTTCATCCATCCCCGCCACCTCAGCTGCAATTGCCTCAGCTCAGCTCTGACTCGCTTTTCCGCTCGCCTCGTTTGCACCAACTCAGAGAGGCGCAATCCTTCGAGTCCAATGCATCCGACACCACCACTCGCGCCACAGAGGACAACCAAATCGACATCGAGTGCTATCCATCCGACATGCATCCTTTCTTGCGCAAGGAGGCTTCCGGTGCAACCAGCTACGACAACAAGTTCCTCATTTTCGACGTCATGCAGTGCTACCAGCGTCCATCGCTCATGCCGTCTCATCCTCAGCACGGACATCCGCAGGCACGAAAGCGCAGCGTGGGGCCAGCATCGCCACCTGTCCATTCTGAGGCAGAGTTCGACACGTCAGCTCACCCAGCCAGTCTCATCGAGCAAGCACAGGCACTACCTACATCCGCTGCGCCAGGCGATGATCAAAGATTTGCTGTCTGGGCTGTTCGCAGCGAGAAGAATGATGGCACTTTCCTCGTCAGCAACCGCTTTGGCCAGACGGACGAAGAACAGAGCTCCGAGCATGCCTCGCCCGCCAACAAATCACCCACATTCACCACCAAGCGTCGAAAGCGTAGGAGCCCTCTGCCTTTTGGCGATCGTTCTACTGCCAACGACGATTCCTCTGCATCTGTCCCGCCTGCAAATGCGGCATCGTCGACCAAAGGCAAAGCCATGCTGCTGGCTGCCTCCGCAGCGCGCCTTGTCGCTGAGCTGACCGCCGAGATCGACCTCGATCTGCGTCGAGACTTCTTCTACACGTACCGCGAGTTCATGACCCCTGCGGATCTGCTCGAGCTGCTCATACTCCGCTTTGAGTGGGCAGTATCGCAGCCGAGTTCAGTTGAAGACGAAGCGCGCCGTCGCATCGTGCGAGTTCGCACCTACGTTGTCCTCAAGCACTGGCTGCAGCATCACTTTGACTTCGACTTCCTTCCCGATCGCGCTCTCCGACAACGTCTCGCCACCTGGCTCAACTCCATTGCAAAGGACGAGCGTGTCACAAAACGACCCGCAGATCTCAACATCGTCAACAGCCTGCGTAAGATTGTCCGGGGACTCAAAGAGACTTATTCTCAGTCTGGTGTGGGCGGTCTCCTGTTGCACGATGCCGGTCGCGTAGTCGATACGAAGACTAGCAGCGTTTCCACTTTCGGCTCATCGTCCCATGATTCCGATCCAGGCGGCGGCACTTCTTCGAGCACCAGGTCGGACAAGGAGGTTGGAATGACAAGCTCCGTGTCAGGATCGTCCATCACCGAAGACGTCGATCTCGACTTCAACGAAGATCAGAGCTCGCTCGACTCTCCTCAGATCCGATCGCCTCCGACTCAGCACAGTCAGCGATCATCTGGCGAAGCACGAGGCGATCCGTCGGATGCGATGCTTGCTGCCGCGCAGAAGGCCTCCGCAGAGTCTGTGCTCGTGTCGCATCGGCACACGCTTGCACCTTCCTCGCTGCAGCAGTCGCGATCCCAGGCCCCGGCTGCGAGCTCGTCACCCTTTGCGCTGCCGCACACGTCCAATGCATGGTCTCGTGCGGTCGTCCACACCGTCGGTCGTCTTTCCAAATTCAAGCGCGCGATTGGAGCTCGAGGAATGGGCATGGACAGTCATCCCGAGCTTGACAGCGAAGCAGAGGAGTGCAGCGACCTGCTCTTTGCGAAAGGAGGTCTCGACAGTCTTTTGCAGTACTTTGCTGCTGAGCAAGCCAGGCGACAGTCGTTGGCAGCTTCACGTATGTCGAGGATTCCCCAGCAGCGGCCGCTCCCGCGGACGGAAGAGGCAGACGAAGAAGAGGAAGGCTTGGCCAGTCAAGCATCCGAGGACAGCACTGGCCAAGAGGAGACGCCCAGTCTAGCAGGCGCGTCCACCAACCGCTCGACCCCAGCCAGCTCCATTGACCTCACGGTGCTCTCAGATCAGCACGCATCGCATGGCCACCAGAGCGCGCACGGTCTTGGCATTGGTATTGGCCAACGAGAGCATGCCGGATCGGACTTCTCGACTGCGACGCACGGTCATGACGCCCTCAGACTGGACTCGACGCGCATGCAACCTCTCAGCTCGCTGGTTCGAGCCAAAGCAGAGGGCGAGGACCACCTCCATCATGCGACTAGCGAGCAGACGCTCAGGTCCGTGTCGCGCATGCCTGTCGAGCAATCCTCGCAAGAGTCAGCTCCGATGACGAGAACTTCAGTCCGTCGAGGACCTTCCACGCGCGACTCGGTCCTGAGCAATGGCGCCCCACGAATTGTGCAGATTGACGATATCGACCTCTCCAGCGACGAGGATGACTTTGCCGTCAGGAAAGCGCTCAGGCGTCTGCCAGGAGCCAGAGACCTGCGCCAGGCGAACACGATCAAGGACCTCGAGCCACATCAGCAGCTCCAGTCTGGCCGCGAGAGCGTCGATTCGATGGCATCCTCCATGTTCCGACACCCGGGCGCCCCGCATCGCCTCCAGATGGGTTCTTTCAGCCACGGTCACGCTCGCGGGGTCAGCGTCGACAGCGCGCTCTTTCTCCCTGGCCAGCTCGGTTCCATGCACCTGGCTGCGCCGGCAGCACCGCCCGTCATCACCACCGTGCAGTCCGAGATGCTGGACCCGGACGAGGCCTTGCAAGGCTACGAGCTTGTCAAAGGGTTCCGACTCGACGACATCGAAAGCGACGACGAAGAACCTGGTGGCGTCGAAGCGGCTTTGCTTCGACTCGAGGGTATCATCGACGAAGATCGTCAGAAGGCAAAGGCGAAGCGAGTCGAGCGCATGTGGCAACGATCCATGGCGCGCAATGCGAAGAAGGACGCTCTCGGAGACAGTCAGGACAGCGTCGTCACGCGCCGCAGCCAAGCATCTCTGCGTTCACAGGGCGATCGCACGTGGTCGTCCTCGCTGACGGGCGGTTCACTTGCCGATGTCGAAGATGCCGCTTCCATCGCCTCTGTCCATCCCTGCGACCTTTCTGTGGACGGGTCACTCCAGAAGCATGCCAAGCCGATGGCCCATCACCAGCCACGCATTCGGCCACAGGCTTCGTTCCTGGATTTGCAAGACGGCAGCTCTGCATCCGAGTCTGGCGAGCACGAAGAGCGTAGCCAGGCTACAGTGCCTCAAGAGGAATCGCAGCAGCCTTCCGCGGAAGCTTTCTCGTCGTCTAGGCCGCTTGACGCCGCTGGGATAGACGCCACTCCTGCGCAGCGATCTGCAGCGATCCATGCCTCGAGACAAGCTGCGTCTCCGACAAAGACACCGCAACCAGTCCCCGGTCGTCTTTTGTCTCCCAAGGCTGGCTTGGCAGCTCCCCTCCCCTCCCATCGCTCCTTCTTGCTGTCCTACCGGACCGAATCGGTGGCGCGTCAGATGTGCTTGATTGAAGCAGAGTTGCTGCGATCGGTCTCGTGGGACGAGCTAGCTTCCCCGAGATGGCGCGAACGTCGCTATGGCGCCGAGGTGACTGACTGGGAGGCGTTCTACCGCGATCGTGTGCGCGACCGTCTCGAGGCCCAGCGTCAAGGCGAAGTATACCACGAACGTGCCGTCGAAGCCATTGTCGCACGCTTCAATCTCACCTCGAACTGGGTGGCCAGCGAAATCGTTCTCACGCACAATCTCGAGGAGCGCGCCGCGGTCATCTGCAAGCTGATCCGCGTAGCCTGGAAGTGCTATTTGCAGTCCAACTTTGCCTCGCTGGCGCAGATCATCTTTGGCCTCAGCACGCCATGGGTCCAGAGGCTGCGTCGAACGTGGAGCCGGGTCGGCTACTTCGAGATGCGCATGTGGCGAGACCTCAACTCGTTCGTCGGACCTCGTCACAACTTCCGTCATCTGCGCAATGCCATGCTGCAGCTGGCCGAGAGCAGTGCGGGCGAGAGCGGTCCCGGTGCCTCGAGCGCAGGCTCTATGGCTACCGAAGCGGCTCAGAGCGCGCCGACGCGAGGCTGCATTCCTTTCTTTGGCCTATTCGTCTCGGACCTGATGCAGTACGATTCGATGCCGACCCTTTTGGATCCCACGTCGCCGACGATGGCCGCCACCACCACCACTTTGGCCGCCGATGGCAAGGTGCGACTATACCCTGCGAACCCTCACGCATTTGCCGACTTGGCTCCCCTGCCTCCAGGCGTACAACTTGAGCCGCTGGTCAACATGCTCAAGTTCCGCAACGTCGCCGAGGTGATCCGCCAAATCTCTGCATTCCAGAACGCGGCCAAGAACTACGCGGCCGTGTTCGAGGCGGAGAAGGGCGCTTACGTGCGTTGCTTGAAGCTGCGATGTCTGCCCGGCGAGCTGCTGGCTCGGCTGAGCCATATGATTGAGCCTTGAAGGGCTAGGTCGCAGCAATCCACTATACCCGCTGTGACCAGCTGGAGCCGGATAGGCTCTAGAGAAGGATCACAGCCGGCCCACCCAATCACTGTATCAGTTCCACGCTTCAGTGAACATATGCCACATCAATATACCTTTATCCAGACGATGTGCGTCTTTTGCCTGAATTGTGGTCGCTCACATCTGACGACTACGCTATGCCGTTGAAACGAGAGTCGTCTACCGTCGACACAGAAGCCGATACAAAGAGACTGACAGCATTTTTCGGGCGAGAGGTTGCAGGCGTTTGAGACGAGGCCAGTCGCACGGCCAGCGCGTCTCAGAGGCGCGCCTCTGGCAGAATCGAAAAATGCTCGTGGCGTAAATGAGAGAACGCGTCGCGGTCTGAGAGATTTGTCTTTCGTGTTAATTGCAGATGCGAAGAGTGCGCTTCTGCGAGTTGGTTTCGACTGAGTATCTGAGCAGACGCAGACACTCGCAGAACAACAAAGGGTCAGCGAGAAGCGCAGCAAGCAGAGACATCGACGGACAAGAGAAGGCCAAGAGAAGCCATCGAACGAGCTCACAACTCCTCTTCTCCACTTACCATATCTTCCATCGCCATATCCTATCTGCTCATCATTCGACTTCGAAGTACGCATCTTGACAAGAAGCCATAGACAAGACACATCACGGTAGCACTGGCCACTCTCACGCTCCGCCATCGGCACAAATCATCCCTTAGCAGGACAGGTCCCCGAACGTCGCTCGATACCACATCCTCACAGTAACACAGCCAACCATGTCGGGCTTCGACTCGGGTCGTGTCTATTCCGCTCAGGCTCTGCCTGGCTCAGAAGCATCTCGCGCTCCTGATGCCCCTGCGCAGACCGAGCAGACGCTCTTCAACTTTGTTCAGACGTTCCGCACAGGCAGCGACTACATCTACCGTGATCGTCTCCGTGCTAACCTCCTCGCCAAGCAATACGTCCTCGAGGTCCAGCTCGAACACGTGCAGCTCTGGAGCAACGATCTCGCACAAGCACTGCGCGACAACCCCTCCGACATCCTTCCCCTTTTCGAGTCAGCTGTCAAGCGAGCGGCACGAGCGATCTTGCATCCAGTCGTCACCCGTGATGAGCAACGTCCAGAGGCACCTGACTGCCAGGTGACCCTCCGTAGTCATGCCAACCTCACGCCTATGCGCGACTTGCATGCCGATAGCATCTCGCACCTTGTTCGAGTTCCCGGTATCGTCATTGGCACCACCACCCTCTCTTCACGCGCAACACACCTGCAGATCATGTGCCGAGACTGCCGCACCACCAAGCCTCTCCCCGTCGTCTCTGGCTTTGGCGGCTTCACCTTGCCACGATACTGCGACTCGGCCAAGATGGACCCCACATCACCTCGATGCTCCACAGATCCTTTTGTCATCCTCCACGACAAGTGCCGCTTCGTCGACAACCAGACCGTCAAGCTGCAGGAGGCACCGGACATGGTGCCCGTCGGAGAGCTGCCCCGTCACATGCTCATGTCGGTCGACCGTGCGCTCTGCGGTCGTGTCGTGCCCGGATCGCGCATCATCGCAACCGGTATCTACTCGACCTTCAACAGCACCAAGGGTGGCAAAGGCGGCTCCAAGGCAGGTGCCATTGCGCTGCGCACACCTTACCTGCGGGTCGTGGGTCTGGAAATCGACGCAGAAGGCGCAGGTGGACGCGGCATGGCCCGCATGTTCTCCGCCGAGGAGGAAGAGGAGTTTGCTCGTCTCTCAAGGACAAGAGATCTCTACGAAAAGTTTTCGGCAAGCATCGCGCCAAGTATCTTTGGCAACCAGGACATCAAGAAGGCGATCGCCTGTCTACTTTTCGGCGGATCGAAAAAGGTGCTGCCCGACGGGATGCGATTGCGTGGCGACATCAACGTGCTCATGCTCGGTGACCCCGGAACTGCCAAGTCGCAGCTGCTCAAGTTCGTGGAAAAGGTCTCACCGATTGCTGTCTACACCTCGGGCAAGGGCTCGTCAGCTGCTGGTTTGACCGCCTCGGTGCAGCGCGATGCGCAGACGCGCGAGTTCTACCTTGAAGGCGGTGCCATGGTGCTGGCCGACGGCGGTGTGGTGTGTATCGACGAGTTCGACAAGATGCGTGACGAGGACCGTGTGGCCATTCACGAATCGATGGAGCAGCAGACCATCTCGATCGCCAAAGCGGGCATCACCACCATCCTCAACACGCGTACTTCGGTGCTGGCGGCAGCCAACCCGATCTTTGGTCGCTACGACGACATGAAGTCGCCCGGCGAGAACATCGACTTCCAGACGACAGTATTGTCGCGATTCGACATGATCTTTATCGTCAAGGACGAGCACAACGAGCAGCGCGACCGCACCATGGCCAAGCACGTCATGAACATCCACATGAACCGTGCCAACGACGCCGCGGCGACGGGCGAGTTTGACATTGAGCAGATGAAGCGCTACATCTCGTTCACCAAGGCGCGGTGCGCACCGCGTCTGTCGACCGAGGCGGCCGAGAAGCTCTCGTCGCACTTTGTGGCGCTGCGCAAGCAGGTGGCGCAGGTGGAGCGCGACAATGACGAGCGCTCGTCGATCCCCATCACGGTGCGTCAGCTGGAAGCCATCATTCGAATTTCGGAGTCTCTGGCCAAGGTGACGCTCTCGCCGACGGTGGGCGAGGAGCACGTGGACGAGGCGATGCGTCTGTTTCGCTCGTCGACCATGGACGCGGTGCAGGCGGGCAACGTGGAAGGCATGACGCGCGGCGAGCTCGCTGAAGAGTGCCAGAAGCTGGAACGCGAGATCCGTCGACGTCTGCCCATCGGCTGGAGCACGAGCTATGCCAAGCTGCGCCACGAGTTTGTCGAGAGCCAGGGCTACACCAACCACGCGCTCGAGAGGACGCTGTTCATCCTCGAGAAGCGTGATGTGATTCGTTTCTCGAACCAGCGCAAGGCTCTGACACGTACTGGTGTCTGAGTCGGGGGCGTGTGGTCTTTTCTTGTCGTCATCGCTTGGCTGTCCTGTACCACTTCATACCAATCTCTCTTGTATCTGTAGGTCTTTCTCATGTTACTGGTCGCATTGTTGCTCAATTTCATCCGTCCCTGTCTCGATCCAGACCGAATCTTTGTCTGCCGCACTGTGCCGAGCAACGGCCTACTCCATCCAAAAGCAACCGTCCGGCAAAACGATGCGGGCTGTACGCGGATACGCCACGCTGCAAGGCAGCCCACGCGCTGTTAGTCTCCGAATAGTCTCCAAAGATAAGACGTGGCGAGACAAGGAGGCGTCGACCAGGATGGTGGAGCACCCTCGGTTGAACTCCGGAGTTGGCGTTCCTCATGCAGCAATGGTGGTCGTCGTGGTGGCTGTCTGATTTAGGGAAAAAGGAGCAACCTCGGTTTGTTAGGCCGGGTCAAGAATGCGACTCTCGCAAAAAGGAAAAACACGCGAGCGAGCCAGCGCCCAACATTTTGCCCTGCCGCTTCGCAAGCCTCGAATGGACAGAGATTTCTCCGCTAGCCTCAGGGTCCTCCTTACCCCAAAGTTTCGAAGGCGAGGAAGCGACGCCCTGCTCGATACTGGGCCCTTTCCGCTTGCTTGCTCGTTCTCTGCACGTCCGGGAAGGCGTTCCGAAGTCACAGATTGCGAGCACAGCCTGTTATCTGCTGCGCCTGGCTGGCGTCGGTCGAGTCTCGTCGCAACGTCTCGTAGCAACCTCAATCGTGGGCAGAATCGCTTGGTCAACCTGAGCGAAATGCAGCACGTCGCCTGATGGCTTACTGCATCTCATCTGCAGGCTTGCGGGCTTCCCAGTCAAATTGTATGGCTCTCTCATTGTTTCGACACGCATTTCGCTGCCGTCGAGTGCTGTCTCAAGCGACACGCGATGCAACCTTGCAGCGACCAGCCGAATGGCACACCTCCTCGCCCACTTCTTCCACCCAGACCTGTGTCGAACATGGCTCTAAAGATCCGCTCTGCGTCGATGTGGAACTCGACGGCGAGGCTCATGCATGTCAAGCTTGTCTGCTTCAGCTTCTTTCGACGGTCGAAGGCGATCTCGAGCGACGACGTCGAAGAGCAAGCATAGCCTCGACGTACTGCACCAGCAGCCCAATGGTGCTTTAAGTTCCCCACACGCTTTGTAATGGTTCAATTGCGAGACTTGAATTTAAAGTGACAAATCCTCACCGCAACGAGTGGTTGCTCGCTTTCCTCTCCTTCTGAGCCACGTTTCGCTGCCACAGTGCACCCTCCTCGAAGAGAAAAGAAAAGAAAAAGAAAAAAGAGGGAAAAAGGGAAATCGGCGGCGTGTGTGTCACTTTCTGCTGGTTCATCCGGGCGCAGCACAGCACAGTGTGCGCTCTATCTCGCTCGGCTGTCCTTTCTCTCTCTCCAACCCTGCCTTGTCGCCTTCCTTCCTCGTGAGCTGTCCCGTGTGCCAAAAGGCTCAGTCCAGCACGCTTTGCACTTTTCCACTGCGAGTCGCAACTTATCGCGTTGTCCTCATCATCACCATCCTCGACACTCTCTCCGACCATCACCATTTTTTGAAGGAGGCGAGGCACAAACCACATCAGCACTCGTTCCAGCTTCCAGCACCATCCTCTCCGACCGCAGTCACTCGACACCTCGAGGCCACGTGCACAGACAGGCTGTGCTTCATCCATCAGTCCCGGGTCTTAAAGGCTGCCAAAGGCGCCGAGCGTCTTTCACTACATCTTGCTCGACCGAAAGCAGTCTTCGCAACGGAAAGCCACTCATTCGACCGCGTTTGCCCCATCTCGACACCGCGTACGTAGCAGAGCAACGAGGAAGCGTCCATCTGCAGAGATCACGCAGAGTCCAGAATCAGTACATCTACCAGACATTGCTTTGATTCAGCCACCGCGCGCACGACGGCCATGACCACCAGTTTTGCCAGCGCATCGCGGAAGACTCAGTTCAGCACATCATCAGGCTCCCATTCCACCTCGCCCCCGAGCCTTACCAACACAAGCAGTCCTTCCTCGAGCGACTCCACGGGCGAAGACGAGGCTTCGGCCACGGCCACGAGCCGGGCTCGTCTCGGTGCCTCTCACCACAGCAAAGTAGACACCTCTGCTATCTCGGACTCGCAATCCACCGGAGCAACCGTCTGGGGCGAGTATCCAGAGTCGCTCCCCAACAGCTTCACCGTCCATTCCGAGCAACACCTCAAACCAGGTTTCCACGACATGACCTTTGCCGGCTGGAATGGCAACTTTGCCAACCTGGGCTCGCAGAACGAAGCGGATCTTTCGATGGACATGGACTCTGCCTCAGGCACCGACCATGGTTTTTCACCCACTTCGATTCACTCGCCCGCATCGTCCCACAACGCCATGCCCAGCTTCTCGAGTGCATCACAGACCATCGTCGGCGACAGTCCCGGTAGCTCCGACACCAAGACGGGCTCAGCCCCGCATGACACTGCAACACCTGGCACCATGAGCTTTGCTGGTAGCGGCGAGGACTCGGACGGTCATGTGGCATGGACAGCAAAGGCGGGAGACAACGACGAAGCCATGTTCGACTCCTTTGTTCAAGCTGGCTCGTTCGGCTCGCCTGCTGTCAAGTCCGAACCGTTCCCTGTCAACATCGCCCACAACAACAATGCCTTCGCAGCTATGAACATCCCCGCTGCTTCGTCTTCCGCCATGATGCCGCCTTCAGCACCCACCAAACCCAGCGCGACGCGAACACCAAAGGCAAACGGCATCGCCAACGGCAATGCGAGCGCTTCTTCGTCTCGACGCAATTCGGGCGAGTCATCCGAGCCCAAGAAGCAACCCGGCTCTTCTTCAACAGCAGCAACGCGACGCACGGGCTCGCAGACGGCTGTGCACAGCAACAACCTCGATGCGGATCTGGGATACTCAGCCTTTGAAGTCGTTCGCCCCAATCGCGAAGGTCTCAAGGACCTCCAGGTTCACATCAACGGAGTGCCCATGCATGGGGCCAAGTCGCGCGTCGAGACGCAGATTCGAATGAGGATCGAGTTGGTCCGGCCCAAGACCACCCCTGCTGGCGGGTGGGAACGCATCGGCTCGTTTACCCACATCAAGCTTCCACCTCTCAGCGGCACAAAGCGCAAGTCGAAAAAGTACCAAAAGACAGATGTGCCTCCGGAGAAGACGCTCTTTGTCGACGCGACTGTCGTCAATGCAACGCCGCCCCACGACCGCGTCCACGTCTGCAAAGGCTGTCGTCAGAGGGAGCGCAAGCGCGCGCACCGAAAGAAGGATCCCAAAACGCCTTCCGAAAGCCAGCCTTCCGAAGAAGAGATGAGGACTCTGGGTATCGACCCTTCCGCCCCCGACGCTGTCGCCAGGACGCAGGCTCGAATGGAGGAAGAGGAGAAGAAGCGAGTTGTGCTCTTCAATTGTGGTGACTACGTCGATTTCGAAGAGGGCGAGGCTGTCCTCCCGACTCGCATCACGTGCTACTGCCGACATCACAAGGAGAAGACCGGCTTTTGCGTCATCTTCACCATGCGAGATTGGCAGGGGCGCTTGATTGCCACCGGCTCGACTCCTCCCATCATGATCACAGATGATCACAAGTCGATGGGCCAAGCGGCTCAAGCAGCTGCCGCTGCGGGGGCGGCCTCCAACGCAGCATCGCCTTCAGCACCCGCTTCGCTCGGCATCATCAAGCAAGTCAACGGCAGCAGCGCACGAAGCCCTTCGTTGCTGCAGTCTCAGCAGCAGTATGATGATTCGATCAGTGCAGCCACTTCGGCAAGCGGCAGCGCCACTCCCAACGGCAGCTTCAGCGCAGATGCACCAGCCAAACAGAGGAAGGAAAGGTCCAAGCCGTACGATGGCAACCGACGTCGTCGCAACACCTCGGGCAAGGACCTCAACATGACGCCATACTCGGGAACGGGTCAGAACACGCCTTCTGTGAACGCCACCTCCCCTGCACCTGCCGGCAACGGCGTCGACTTCAGCTCGACCGACTTCTGGAATGCATTTGCTACTGCAGGCACAGCCATGACAGATTTGGGCCGCAGCAACAGCACCAGCACAGGCACCAAGACACCCGGCGATGCTTCGAGCGTCGGTGGCGGCTCTCCGCAACCAGCAGGTATGGTCGGGGCTGGGACGATGCAGCCCATGCAGCAGCCGATGCAAATCTCACCCATGCCACCTCAGTTGCAAGCCCAGCTCGCGCAAGGCTCCCTCTCGCCTACGTCTCTGCAGACCAATCTCGCGAGTCTGCCCAACTTTGACCTCGAGCAATTCTTCCGCAACGCGCAAGCTGGCGTCTCGAGTGGTGTCGATTTTGCTCAGCTCATGGCAATGGCCGCGGCCGCAGCACTCCCTCCTCATCTTCGACCTCAGCCGAGCCCTGGTGCTGCTTCGACGCCCAGCTTTGCACAACTTTCTCCTTCCGGGCCGAACCCGTCCATCGAGCAGGCTCCTTTGCCAAAGATTTCCAAACTGATTCCAGGCGAAGGTCCCACCAGTGGCGGTATCGAGGTCACTGTCTTGGGAGAGAACTTCACTGAAGGTGTCACCTGCGTCTTTGGCGACGTTCCAGCCGCCAACACCAAGGTCTGGGCCAGCAACACGCTCGTCTGTCTCTTGCCACCGAGCTCCAGCCCGGGTCCGGTCGTTGTCAGCGTCAAGACTCCTGGGATGGCAGTCCAACCGCCTCCAGTCAACGGTCCTCTGCAGCTCTTTACCTACATCGACACCACCGATCGTGCTCTCATGGAGCTCGCCTTGCAGGTCGTTGGTCTGCAGATGACCGGGCAGATGCGTTCTGCGCGCGAAGTGGCCATGCGCGTCGTCGGCTCGGGCGGCGGCCAGCAGCCGGGTTTGCCTCCCACCTTCACCAGTGGAGGCAGCAGCGGCGGCGGCGTCGGTCACGCAGAAGCTCGTGATGCCGTTGCTGGGTTCTTCACTGGTCGATCGCAGAGCTCGAGCTTCCAAGATACCCTGGTGCAATTCCTCTCGCTTCTCGATACCGATGTCAGCGACATCGAGCACGCAGAACCCCGAGTCGATGCAATCCGTCTCGCCAACAAGCAAGGCCACACCCTGCTCCATCTCGCTACGCTCATGGGCTTCCATCGACTCGTCGACGCGCTCATCCGCCGAGGCTGCCCGCTGGATGCTCGTGATCACAACGGTGTGACTGCACTCCACTTTGCCGCCATCCAAGGTCGGGTCACCATTGCCCGTATGCTCCTGAGAGCAGGTGCGCGAGACGACGTTGCCGATGTTCACGGTCTCTACGCTATTGACCAGGCTCGCAATCAGGATCAGGAGGACGTAGAGAGGATGCTCGACAACACGGCGCGCACCGGACATTGGCAGACTCGCCGACTCACGTCCCATGCAGCTACGAGCCTCTTGTACGATGACGAGGACGAGGACATCGTTTCGGACGAGATCGGTAGCGACGCCAGCCAGTCGGACGTCGACGACGACAACGTCAGCACCAGCTTTGACGAGTACAGCGACGACAGCTGCTCGGTGAGTGGCGACGATGCCTATGACCTGCCCCATCGAGGCCAGGTCTCGGCTGCAGATGACGACACAGAAGCTCGCGAGGCATTGGACTCTCTGCCAACGCCCATCATCGACGAGAAAGCGGTCTTGAAAGCTGCCGATGCTCGTCTCGCCGAGGAGAGCGCCAAGAAGGCCGAAGCAAAGGAGGACGACTCGAAGAAGGGAGCTGTGCTGGACGCGGGTGCCACCAAGTCCTGGCTGACCAAGGCAGGCGATACGGGAGCCGACTGGATGAATCGAGCCTTCCTTCCTCAGACAGTCGCTCACAGGTTCTCTCAGCTGCACATGCCCGCCATGCCAGCGATGCCTGCCATCAGCGTCTTCCATCTCGCGTTGCCGGCTGCTTCGGGCTTGATGCCTTGGTCCGGTGCACAGCGGTCGGAAGAGATGACCAACGTCAAGGAGGTCGCTGCTACCAGTCCCAAGGCCGAGCAAGGCTGGGACCAGGATGAGCGGGGCGGGTTCCTCACTCTGTGGAAGAACATTGTCGAGGAAGGCGCCTGGGGTCTCAATCCGCTCTACACGCCGCCGCCCGCTTACGAGTCAGTTGCTGCAGGCGAAAGTCAAGATCTATTGACGCAGTCCACCAACGCGAAGGACGCATCCTCGCCGACCGACATTGCTGACGAATCGATTTCGCAGAGCAACACTCCCACTGCCGGTCCATCCCGCAGGCCATCGACACGCCGACGCCCAGCTCAGTCCAGCAGCGAGGTCTTTAGCACGCCTTCGAGCTCGACGTCCACTCACGCTTCGAAGGCCGTCCCTGCATCGACGGGCCAAGCCGGAAAGGGCAAAGCGCCAGCTCACGCTCCTTCCGCAGCGGTCGCACGTCGTCGCAAAGGTCAGCTGCATTTGCGCGACGACGCCATGCTCGTATGGTTCTGGATTCCTGTGTTGCTCGTCGCCGCCATCGTCGTTCTCTTTTCAAAGAGCTCCAGCATCTTCAGCTACGCCGACCTCATGAGTTACCTAGACTTGCCCGCCGTCGGACGCATTCGAGAGGCTTGATGCGCCTCTGTTATCGCAGCATTCCATCAGTCACGCACTAAGTTGTCATTCTTGTCACTGCCATTGTTGTTTGAATCGTTGCTCAATCGGATGTTTGCTTTCACTTTGCCCCCACCGCATCGTAAGAAGTCTGTCTGTCCGTCGCTGATGAGCTTTCTTAAAAATCCAGATTTCGCGCTGCGCAAATCTTAGAATTTTGAGTCTTGAGATTTGGAGATTTGAGCCTCAAGTCTTGCAAGTTGAACTTTTAGCCTTAAGTCTAGCAAGCTGAGGATCTGCAGGTGCACACATCCTCACTACCCTTTCTACAATGCTTTCTTTCTTCACTCTGTTGCTTCAGCTTGATGCTGCTTGGGTACGCTGTTGTTGTTGATGAGAGCATATAGCATCAGACAGACAAGCTGATGCTGGTGCGTCTCTTCATGCACATGTGCGTGGACAGAGAAGGCATGCCCAAAGCCGTCAGCGCTGCCACCTCCATCATTGCCAGTCTGGAGTTCTGCATGCGCACCGTGCTGCACCACCACCTCTTCAATGACACTGACGGTCAGCTACTCAGGATGTTGTTATGGGTTCGCTCGAGAGGTATGGGTCATTGCCGAACTCACAACTTCGGCAATGCAAGCCCGGCTCGGGCCAAACTCGAGTTAGCTTCTCTAGAGACGGCTAGCCGCTATCAAGGATCACTCCAAGAAGCTTCGCAGGAGATCACCCGGGGCAGGACTGGACACAGGCACCACCCCAGACGGCAGGATGACCGCCAGGGCCGGATGGGGGCGTGACCAGGCACACACGCAGGTCGTGCAGGTAAACAATGGGCCGGTTTAGGCTAGCTGTGCCGGCAGGAGAACCAGGCAGGGCCAGAGGCCTCTTTATATACATCACGCTTGCTCGAGTAGGATGAGGCTGGACCTCATCCACTCTACTTCACATATCACGTCTCTAACGTTGTCTTTGCCATCAGCGATCACTTCATTTCACTCTCTACGGTCACACAGTCACGCAGCGGCAATACAAACTGTGTTGCTGCTACATCACTGTCTGTGCCGTCTGACACAGGACTGGGTTAGGGTTTGATGGGCGGAACAGAATGATGTTGGCGCATCAACCGCCTGGCAAGACGGTCCATTTGAAATTTCAAGTCCCAAATTTGAAATGGCAGGAAGACGGTCAGCTACAAAATTGGAGACGCGTTGTATTCATTTTGAATTTCCTGGCAATTTCCAACTGGCAGGCGGACGGCACCATCAGCAAGACGGTCTGATACAAGCAGCAAGACGGTCTGATACAAAGGCAAGACGGTCTGCTACAGATCAGCAAGACGGTCAGCTTCAAGTTGGAAGACGGTCTGATACAAAGTGAAGCTGCCTGTACGGTTGCACATCACCTGTCCACCACACAGACGTTCCAATCTCAAGATGACCACCGTCAACTGTCCGGTGTGCGCCTTCAGCTACGCCATCACCAACATCACTAACCACATCTGCAAGGCGCACTCTGGTGTTCACGTCACACAAGATGCAGCAGCAGCTTGTGGTCTGGTGGCGTGCAGCTGCGGTCAGGTAGTGTTGAATGCAGTGGCGCTGAGGAAGCATCAGGGCATCCGGCACTGCCAGGCGGTGCTGCCACCAACGCCACTAGAGACGCAGCCCAACACGGTAGCAAACATGGTAGCAGCAGAACCAATATTGCAATTTCAGGTACCACCGTCTCCAGAATCTCAGAGCCAGGCCGCATCACCTGCACAAGGCATGCCACAGTCAGACAGCGGCAACACGGCTCAAGACCAGGAAGATCTACCGCTTGTTCAGCCAGACAGCGGTCCTGCAAGTCCAGGCTCTCCAAGTGAGCGGTCACTCAGCCCAGTATCTGATGTGGACGGTCCAACGCTTCCTGACTTGCCAGCAGAAGAGCCAGCACCACCGTCAGATGCAGGAGACCGCCACCAAGAGGACATACCAGCAGACGGCATTGTGATTTGGCTGGGAGGCAGTGAGCCAGAACTGCCAGTGGAGCCGCCAAGCATGCTTCTTGCGTCTGCTGCAGACACTGGTACGCGTCTGCCACCGGCACCTCCCTGCACGCCAATCAACAACTGGGATGTGGAGAGCACAACAGATGTGGACTTCTACTCCGTCACTGTCTCTCCTGCCACACTGCTGCTCATCCACCCACCGGGCTGCTATATGGCGCTGGTTGCACACGCACCAGAATCACGGGACCTGGACATGTACAAGAACTGGGTCTTCTTTGCGGAATCCAAGTGCCGTCTCAGCTTTGAACCGAAACACAAGCTTCCGCTCATTGAACGTCTCCGTCAAGCACCACAGCACGCCACACTGCTGGCATCACCGCATCCCACCACGCTCACATACGGAGAGCTGCGCATTGACAGCGCCATATTGGTGGAAGCGCTGCAAGACATAGGCTGCCAAAGCGTCCACATGTCTGCATTTGGCATCAAGGTGCCCATTGAGCGGTTCATGGATCCAGCACATCATGCAGAACACCCGCTACAGCACACCAACATGTATGACATTGGGCGTACCGTGTACACTGGCAGAGTCACAGCACTAGCGCCCAGGANTCATGCAGAACACCCGCTACAGCACACCAACATGTATGACATTGGGCGTACCGTGTACACTGGCAGAGTCACAGCACTAGCGCCCAGGACGCGTAAGGGACGGTACAAACAGTACCCACTGGCAATGCAGGTTGGACGCGGCTATGGCGGTGTAGAGCTGACGTGGAAGAGGCGTGCAGACGGTCTCATGCACTTCAAGGCGTACTCCAAGCTGACGCATCTGCTCAAGGCGGGTGCTGCTGGTGCCGGTAAAGGTTTCCAACCCATGACGGTGGGTGTGATCAAGAAGCGCATTGAGACTCTGCACGCGTGGAAGGAGCGTATCAGGGAAGCGCCATCAGATCTGGGAAAAGGGATCCGCCTGGAGCTCACGGTACAANCATTGAGACTCTGCACGCGTGGAAGGAGCGTATCAGGGAAGCGCCATCAGATCTGGGAAAAGGGATCCGCCTGGAGCTCACGGTACAAGCATCATCAGTTGTTCAGGCGCAAGCAGCGGCAGAAGCAAGCCGGTACCTGGACGCACAGTACCTGTTCTCAGCAGCGGCCGGTGATGAGCAGCTGCTCACGCACACGTTCTCCAGAGGCGCCGTGATTGCCAATACAGAGGCAATGGCGGCCATTGCAGAAGAGAAGCGGCTCCTCAGCGGCAAAGGCGCCAAGCAGTCCACTCTGGTGCAGCGTCAAATGGTCACAGACGTGTACAATGCCATTGGTTGGAATCCTGGACGGAAGCCCACACCGCTTGACAGCCGCACCGCCTGGTGGAAGCAGAGCCAGGCCGCCACAGCTTTGGAACAGCAGCTGGAGCGGTTTCAGACCGCCACGCAAGCGCGAGAGCTGTTCTCACATCTGCAGATCCATCTGCAGTGTCAAGCGTGCCGCCATCATGGGACCTATCAGCGCATTGGCCTGGCAAGTTCATTCCGCATCCGCTGCAACCGCAATCAATGCCATCATGCGCTCAGCAAGCAGCGCTTCCGTGCTCACATTGCAAGAGAGGTGGAGAGCGGCCATCTGACAGTCAACTTGGACGCACTGGTTGCAGATGTCTTACAGCTGACGTTCCTTCCAGCACCAGAGGACGTGCGCTTGCGGGCCCTCAATACAAGGCGGGACCTGCGCGGTCTCAAGCGCTCGGGCACATATGCGGCAGTTGAAGACAGTCTTCTGCGTTGCGTGTCCAAGATGCTGGAGGAAGAATACGGTGCGCAAACTGCACTTGAGATTCAAGACGAGGCGCTGGAATGGTTGCGTGATCATCCAGCAGCCGTGACCAACCACCTTGGTACTGCAAGCCGGCCAGCAGCTGACGCCCTCCTGGAGCGCTTGGCACAGGAAGATACAGAGCTGACGCCGCAAGAGGAGATGCTTAGGGTTAGGGTTAGGGTTAGGGTTAGGGTTAGGGTTAGGGTTAGGGTTAGGGTTAGGGTTAGGGTTAGGGTTAGGGTTAGGG